GGGCCTTCAGCTCTGAAGGCCCGGCGGCTTTGGTTTTGCCAGCCAGACGAAATACGAACCAAGGCACCACCTGGACAACTGCCGGGCGGTGCGAAGAGGGACAAAGGCGGGGGCTGCGAAATCTATGAAACCACGAACCAAAACCCTGATGTAAACCTTAATTTTTTCAACCCTTAATTGTAGTCCGACCGCGAAGCACTTCCCTGCTACTGCGGAACTGAGCAGAGGTCACCGGCAGCGGCCTACTGTAGTTGTCCATCTTGTTGCTCGTCGTCGTCCCAAGGCGGCCTACCCGCAGTTGTTACTCATGATTCGGTGACCAAGGAACCAACTTGCAGCCCCTTGCCAGAACAAGTTGTACAGTTTGCTTATGCTGCTCGTAGTCGTACGTGCATATTACTAGTCGTTGCACCACAACGTGTGCGTCCCATCAATCTAGTGCTAGTCTTAAACTCGATGCGCATCAGCATATCAAAATGGAAGCCAGAAGAGTTGCTCGTCCGAGACTAAGTATAGCCACGCACTGTACTACCCGCGTTCGCACAGATGAATCTGCATCAGGCTACGACTGCCAGTGGCAGTGCCAAGCTTTAACACTTAATTTGTGTCAACCTTCATAAGTCACCGCTCTCGACGAAAAATCCTGCGCCTCTCGATCTGTCCTACCACAAAACTAAACTACAACTCTCTGACGCGACAGCTATCGCCTCGTCCTCTCGAGCGGTTGAAGAAGAAACGAATTTGGACAGTTTGAGTTTTCACTGCCTCAAAAACAAAACCACAAAGTTTCCCGTTGCGCGATCACACACAGTACATGTAGTACATCAGCTAGAGGCAGCTTTTTACCTGTTCTTTCGTCGAATTTATCGATCGTGTCTGCTCTTTGGTTTTGGGAGGAACAAGGCGAATCGGATTTTTAAGCAAGACCACCAACTTCCGTGGCCTGTACCGCTACCATCGTCATGACGGTCTTGAGATAGGAAGGATACTTCTTCTTTACACCGACATAATACAAGGAGTTTCATGCTCAGCGCTTCAAATAAAGTACATACAATAGTACGCATGCCGATTTTTTGGTGCATTTGATAGATACTTTTTGCAAAATCTCAATTTGGTCCGCTGTATTTCCTATCAGCGTAGAAGGGTTTTATAGTCTTCTTGGGTTGTTTGATACATAGGGTTGTTACATGATGGTATAGATTATACACGTTCTACTTGTCTGTTAAGAATCAACGCAGACAAAGATACTGCACCTGAAAAGTTCGACGAACTGGGGCTGTATTCTCAAGAGAGTTCTTGCACGGTGTCTCCTTTAGTACGTTCCTTTTCATTTTTCGTTGTATTTCTCCAGAGGAATCACGACCCGAGGACGTTGGGTCTCCCTTCCTGATCGCCGTCGGTCCCTGCGGATTCCTCCTGTTCATCTGGCATTGAAGCAGTCGGGGTCCACCTCGCGGCCGCAGTCGTTGTTGCTGTAGCTTTTGCGGAAGATGATTGTTCATTTGGTCGTCCGAGTGCTACAAGATCAGCGGGAAGAGGTGCAGCATTGATGTCCTCCCCGTGGGGCGGCCCGATTCCTACTGGTCCGAAGATCTTGCCTTGTTTGCTCGTGTCCGGGACGACGGTCGTGTCCAGCGCAGTTGTGGCTGACTGCGTGTCCAGTTTCGTGGGGTCCCCGTCGTCCTCGTGCGGGTGCCGCGTCAGGTCTCCCACAGGCTGCTGCTCCGTAGCAGTGGCCGTCTGCTGTCCGGGTAGGTGGGAGTCATCGGGGTTTTCTTGGTTCCTCGTCGTGCCACGGTCGGCGACGGGGGGTTGTCGTCCTGCTCCTGCCGGGGGGCTATCTTCGGTGTCTGCATTGCAAATGTGTTTGGGTCGGGAAGCTTTGTTCCACTTCCAAATTGCGGCGCTAACTCATACTGAGCAGGAGGCAAAGACATCTGTACTATTGTATGACGACTGCCAAGAAACGCTGGCGCCCACTTTTTGCTGTACAAATATACGAATTTCTCATCCGAAACCTGTAAGCGTATCTTCGCGTGTATTTCAGATCCAGACCACCCACCTGTGGGTGTGGCAGAAGTAGATGCATGAAAAACAAATGCACTTTTCCAGACCCAGACATATTTGCAATGCATACAGTGCTTGCTGCGTCGATTCTTCCGAGCTTCGTGTTGTAATCCTGTTGGGTGTTCTCGATCATGATCTGCCGTTTTTGCCACTCCGAAGCTCGTCCTAGTTCGCTACTACGGGGCGCAGCCGCCGCATGCTGCACATTGGCATGCTCTGCACCGAGTTGCGCCGGTGTTGCGGGCGACGACGTCTGCGACAAACTGTCGTGGCGCAGCTCCTTTGTAGTTGGGGCACTCCTTCTACCGGGCAGCGGGTCCGGCAGCACTACACCAGAAGAGGACCCAGATTGATGATCTTCTAGTTGCGCGACAGGGCCGCTGCTACTTGCTGTAGTTGCAAGAACGGAGGAAGTCGTGGGCCCCTTCGGTCCGAGGCCAGTGTTGACTGCAAGTCGTGCGGCATCTTGTTCATTCCCGCGGGGCGAAAATCCCCCTGCTGGTGCAATCATCGTGTTCTTGGTTGCGTCAGTGGCGCCGGCAGTTCCCAGTTGTGCAGCTGAATAGCTGCCGCCCTCGGCGGGATCGGTTGCGGCCCCGCCTTCATCTTCAAGGAAAGGACCCACTCTTGAGTCCAGCACCTGCTTATCGTTATCTGTGAGAGTCAAGGTTGAAGTCGAACTCGTTCCTCCTGACGACGATGAAGGCGAATCAGCGGCGCTGGACGACGGCGACGAAGGAGGGAGACTCGTTTCAGGAGAGTAGCTAAGGGACTATCAACTGCAAAAATGGCTGGGTCTGGAAAGATCCAGGGTTTCTTGTCATGCTCGTCTGACTCTCAAGTCTGTCCTGCGCATTACACAAAAGCCCCACTGTTCTGTCTTGCAAAACAAAGCTCGCTGTGCCATGCAGAAAAGACAATACTGTAGCACCCCCAAGACCTGTCATGCTTGCCACTCAATGGAGGCGTTGGCGTCCTCGCTTTTCTCAAGCAGCGCCACAAGTTTCCAGACCCAGACATATTTGCAATTGATAGGGGCAGAGCCTCGACCATCTTGAAGTTTTGCGGCGGCTGTTTCCCCATTCCTAAGAGCTGATCTTCGCGAAGCAATTCACGGGGTGATGTAGATGGAGAATCTTCGCGGACGTCCTCGCCAATCGCTTCCTTTGGGGTCTGCGGGTCGTTTTTCAGTCCCTCCAACACTTTGCCCAGTAAGGCAGTGTAGTTCGGGTCTCTTTCCTTTGTTGGACCATAATCAAAAACCTTTTCCTCCAGCCATGTTCTCCATGAGCTCTTCGCTTCGCGTTTGGCGGCTTTCTTTTGATGTATCTTTTCAGCGAATTCCAAGGCTGCCTCAGGTTCGATATCCTTCGCTTTCAGTCTTTCAATGAGGTCATCAAGCTCCCGCACCTCGTCTTGGTAGACGACGCTGTCGGGATTGAAGAGAACCTGCGCGGTGTCGTCAGAAAGGAGCGCCCAGGCACCCCATTTGTACAGGGGGTGTAAGATGCGCTCCTTTACGATCGCGTCCATGAAAAAGTCCCAGACCTTCTCTACGATGACGGTGTGGAAGAAAATGCTGAACGCGATAGCAGGTGTTGTTTTGCCGATGATTGGGGGCAGCCGAGCGTGAGCTGCGAAGCAATGCGGCTGGAAACTTGCCTCAAGCGATACAGGAAACGCAAGTCCCCAATCATCCGGAAGAACCAAAGAGTCGACCAGCCATTCCGTAATGGTCCTGCCACCAGTTGCTAGCGCTAGTGTGAACGTCGCAGTCGTGGTAGATGACGCAGCGGGAGATTCTGGCTCATCAGCTGCTAGCTTTAGCTCCTCCTGTATGGTAGTGAACCCTGCGTCTCTTCGCGCCGCCTGAGCAAGAACCTTCGATCGGAGATCGGTCCAGGCAGGGAAGCCCGGTACATGGGGTAGTTTTGCAATCATCCTCGACACGATGAGACCAATGTGTGCAGCTACATTGGCATGCCGTGCGACCTCTGCGACTTTTGGTGCTGCTGCAATTGCAGCACCGAGTGCAGCCGAGGCGCCCGGAATCAGCACCAGACTCGCTGCACCCGTGGCGGCGAACGCAGCGGCTATCATCGGGTATTTCCGATCGAGATTTTTGAGGCGCTCCACGATCAGGTCGATGCTGCCCGCGATACTCTGTACCCAATCCTTTTCAATCGTCATCGCGTACCGGATATCAACTGCAAATATGTCTGGGTCTGGAAGAATGTCATGATCATGTATTTTTTGAACCTGCAAGAACAAGGAGAAGGACTGGACTGCACGCAGAGCATGACAAGGTCTGCTGAGGCATTTCCATGCCGAGCCTGCATGAGAAGTTCCCTCTTGTTCAAGAAACAAAAAGCGCACACTTTTTGCTCTCTTTGCAAGACAGATTTTTGGCTACTTCGGACTCAGCATCACAAGTTGCCCTGTTCCAGACCCAGACAGACTTGCAATGCATACCACAATGCTGCCGCCATGTCCCTCGCAGCTACCGTTCCGGTCGCGGCTACGACTGTGACTGGTTTGTCCGATGGGCCCTTGAGTATCAGGTAGAAAAAGAAGCCCGCCGAGCTTTTTTCACAGTATTGACTTTAGCTGAATGACTTTAGCTGTCTGCCAGCATGAATTGTTCATTAGATATAGCAATTTATGGCCTGATCAGCTGCGCGACCGTCATCATGCAACGAACCTACGTGCACAAGCGGTGGGCGCCTTTAGAAAGCCCCCATCCACAGCAGGTCGGGGCTGGTGAATCTCGCACGCAAAGATGGGCTTGCCTACAATTTTCTTTCTTGGTAGTCGTACCCACAAAAAATGCAGAAGTCTCTACCGAAACTGCACAAGGAAAACATTAACATTTTTCAGCCTGATACTTAGTTCGACGACCTTAACAAGCTCGGTGTCCCAGTATCCAACAGAAATATGCTCAGACCCGCACAACAAGGGGAGACGTGTGGTATTTAAGTGCCTCCCGAGCTGCATCTCGCCCTTCTGCACTGAAAGACAGGAAGCGAAGAATGGCGCGCAGCTCTTCATGCAACCAAGTAATCGTCATGCTGATCACCAATCTCGACACACACCTGCATTGTACATAGACCCGGCTTCCAGGTACAGCTACAGCTAGTACAGTGATTGAACACGGATAATGGATACATCAACTACACGTCGAAGCACACCGCGTGTTGATGAAGTACTTTGTTAAGTAAGTACTTTTATTTCTACTGTAACACTAACATTGCCAAGTCGATAGAAACAATTGAAGAGGAAGACCTCCATCGAACACGAACATAGTGACTCCGGGCATGCAAACCGTGAATGCCCGAACACCCAAATTGATTTTTTGCATAGAAAAGATCCCCAGCACCATTCCACGACCTCGAGCAGGTCTGAGCACGTGTATGATTTGGATACCGTGGCGGGCGTCGATTCTGCAGCATCCAGAGATGATGAAGAATCGGGTTTCCTCCCGTCTTCCTCCGCTTCGTGGATTTTGAGTTCGACGAGGAGCTGTTCCGCGAGTTCGGAAAGTACAAAATCCACGTAGCCCAGAAAGAGCACCACAGCATTGGGGTCTTCATCTGCGAGAGGACCAGAACCTTCATGAGAATCGGGGGTACCGCCAGCAGTTCCTACGGGGGGACCACCGCCGCCTCCTCCACGTCCACCTTCGCCACTGGCGTCTGCACCTCCCGGGCCACCCCGTACACGTACAACACGTGTTCGCGTTCGGTCTGGATCTCGTACACGTGCATGTCCTAGCCCTAGGGATGCAGCGCCAGTAACTACGCCAAGCGCAGCAGCACCGCCGGTTGTCGGAGAAAGTGGAAGTGCTTCACCCCGAGACTCGGCATAAGCAGGCCGGGGAGCAGAACCACCCCCCACACCCCAGACGAGACTCGATATGCCAGGACCGCCGGGAGGAGGCGCCACACTAAGTGCTGCAGGTTTCACCTCAACTGCGGACGAGCTGCTACGCTCCACCACCACTTCGCCTTTCGTTTGCTCCTGCATCTTCTCCGCCGCACCTCGTTCCACCCGTTCTCCGCCGGGCACGGTAGTTTCTTCTTTCCCTTCCGAAGCAGGGGTAATAAAGCCAGTTTTCTCGTCGTCGTGGTCGTGGTCCTTCGGTTCTTCAATCACAGCACTACCGTCCGATTCCGCGTTCTTCCCTTCTGCAGCTTCACCAGCATGACCGTCACTTCTAGGAGGAAGCTCGGCATGCTCGTCCAGAGACGAAATACTTTCCACCCCGACGACGTTCTGCCCGGCTTCATCTTCTTGCGACTGATCATGTGCAGCCGCGCCTGCGACGCTGTCGGAAGCTCCATTTTCGGATGCTGTTGCTCCAGTTGTATGGTACTCCGACCGCTCACCAGAGTGTCCTCCTTGTTCGACGTGCTTCTCCCCCGCGAAAATTTCCGCCCCGCTTTGTGACAGCGCAGAGGTGGCGTCAAACTCTTCTGGATCTTCGATCGGGTGTTCATCTTCTGCATTTCCCGCGGTCGCTGGCGATTCGTCATGTAACGGCAGTGGAAGTTTGGAAGCTGCGCTCGTTTTCGATTTTTGTTTTTTGCTAGGAACGTAGTCTAAACCAGCACGAACAGAAGCATCAGCAGGTGGAAGACCGGTCTTCACACCCTCCTGTCGTCCTGCTACCGCAGCATCTTCTTCTGCAGCAACCACGTTGTGATGATTTAGTTCCTGGCTCAACTCGAGGAAGGAGTAAATCGATTCCTCATCTTGTTGTGAGACAACATGGTGCGGCGAAATGAAGCGAAATTCGTCCACTGAAGCACTGGACGACGTGGAATTTGGTACATCAGGGAGATTTTTGGGGAAGACAGAAGATGTTTCGAACAGTTTTGCCTGCGTGGACAAATAATGCGAAGATTCGTCCCCGACCGGCCTCGGTTTGTCGATGTCTTCACTGACAGAGTGGTCCTCATCCAGACCCGAGTTTTCTTGCGTGGAGGCAGGTGTCTCTTCTACTTCGCTGCTTAAAACAGAAGCATCTCGTAGTACCACAGGAACTTCAACTTCAGGATCTTCAACTTCTTTTGTCATGATGGGCAACAGAGACGCGTGCCGTTTCGTCGCTGATTTTCCCACCGTCTCGTCTGTCGCAGCAGCACTCGTGTTTGGGGAAGTTGAATTCGTTGGCGTTGTGAACGACTGCTCGTGGTCACGGTGTAGTTTGTTCAGCGTCACCACCATTGTTGTGTTCGCAGCTTCCTCCCGCATTTGCTGTTCCCCGGAGGTCACGACAAGTGGTAATGGTGTTGCAGTGGTGTCCGTCGTGAGAATCTTCATATCTTCCGGATGTTGATCATGTGTGACGCTCGTGTTGCTGCTCGTTTTTACCAGATTTACGCCAACCCAGGACAGATAGCCATCGTCTTGCGGCGGGGCCGGATCCGGCCCTGTTCAAGAACGTAGGATTTCTTCAATAACAGTTTTGATCTAGTGCCTCAGTTCGGAACATACCGATTCATATTTGCAACGAAAAAATCAAAATGCAAATGCCAGCACCGCGCACTGAAAAAATAAAAACAAACGCGTCAAACATCAAGACGTGCTGACCAGTAGCAGTGCAGCAACCTGAGAGTCGAAAAAATAAAAAATGGTACAGAATTTCACTGAAAATACCTGACACTGCCGCTGTAGAGGATGTGCAATTGATCGTGGTGGTCCAATTGATGGCGGTATGATTCGACGTTGTGGTCCAATTGGAAGTGGCGCCAGTACTATTGTTCGTCGCACGACGAATGGCATCTTGCTCGCCCCAAACCGCCGGGGTTGTGATGTTTGTACTGCTGCTCGCGGCGAGAGGCATCATGGTACCATTGGTCCGACCTCCACTCGTCATGTTCCCAGCAGTGAAGATGCCCGCGTTCTTCGGAAGATGACCGGCATTGGTAGTAGCACCAGCGTACGTCGGACTAGTTGCCAAATTGTTGGCGCCAACAGCCGCTATGTAGTCCCCGCTCGCTGTAGCGCCAACCATGGGCCCTGTCGTGTCGTTGGAAGAAATGTTCGTACTTGTATCATTCGGCGCCGTGCTGTTGCTTGGGGTCGCGTTGGTGCCCGTGCCGTTCGTAGAAACATTAAAACCGTACATTTCCTCCACCGTAGAAGTACCCGAGCCGAAAACCCAAGACCACAAACCTGCAACCACCTTGCCTAGCGGGAAGAGGTCGCTCTTCTCGTGGTATGAAATACAAAAGCATCGTACTAGAAGTATAAATCGCATTTCCAAATTTCCTTAGCATGACGAATGGAATTTGTCATGCTGTTTTAGCTTAGGGAGGCGATTTGTTATGCATAACTGCGATTACTACGAGTACGATGCTTGTGCACAGGATACGCGGAACTCGTACCCAATTTCCTCTTTTGCTTTCCCCCGGTCGTTCTCGTGACGCAGCATGCGTCGTCTTCCGTGTACAAGATCCGCATGCTGAACCAGATAGAACGACTGCAGGAGAAAGAACACCTGCAGGGTGATAGAAGAGGAAAGGAGCCGAGCCGTCTTGGTGTTCTTGACGATGTAGTTCTTTCTGGACCACCAACAGCGGCCGCAGCATGAAGTGGAAGTAGTGGTCGAGCTTCTAGGGCGACTTCTGGTTCCGGAGGATGTGGATGCGGTGCTCCGACCCCAGGTCGTTCCGCCGCTTGTTCCGCGGGAGTGCTGGGCAGGGGTCACCGGCAGTGGCCTTTTGTTGTCCTTGTCCATCTTCCTCGACCCAAGAAGTCCACCCGTCATGGTCCGAGGGAGATGTGAGGACGTCGCGTGGTCGACTGTTGTACAGATTGAGATTCTTTCTCGGAGAATCTTTGTCGGCGACAACCGGCGCAGTTGTACTGAGGTGGTTGTAGTAGATATTTTCTTTGATGTGTGTGTCGTGCAAGAGTGCAGCCGCTCCGGCCGCTTTGGCTGTCGTGCAAGAATGCAGCCGCTGCAGCCGCTCCGATCACGAGGACGACCCTCTTGCAGCAGGGACGTGGTGTTGAAGAGATTCTACTTCGTGCTCCCCGCCTCCGCGCCAGCTATTTGAGGGAGCCACACATCAACCTGGACGCGTCCTGGTGATGTTTGTATGTTGACGCGCGGCAACAAACATCTTGTATGAACGTGAGTTTGTCGCTCCGTATATGTAGTCTTGGTAGCTTTACAACTTTTATTATTTCGCTGCAGTCCTCGGCGGGTGCGACGAAAAGCTTATTTGTATGAAAATGACAAAAAACAAGAGTCGATACGGTAATTTACGGTTTTCCTCTTACTCGCAGGGTTTTGTCGAAGAGTCTGAATCCCTTTACCTCGACTTCACTCTTCTCTCGTCCGAAGTCTACAGAGCTGTTGTTCGAGCTGCAGCGAACTCATCAAGTACGAGGCGCACAAGGTTGACTTGAGTGATTATGTCAGTAGTGCTAAATCAATCCACAAGGGTGAGGAGTTGTAGATCTGGTTCTTACTTGGTGCAGCTCTCGAAGTTCTCAACGCACCCGAACAACGTTGATCCCACGACATAGCCGACGACCAGGTTGTGTTTTCTTAGTTCTTGTTATGCATAACACTTTACTTCTAAAATCAAAATCATATCACTTCTTCAAATTTCTGCTTGATATGAAGGCGCGGTCATGTCTGCTACTTGCACGGCCGAGGGAAGATTGTTTAGCGGAGGACGGCTTTTTATTCTTCTAGCTGCGCCCACCGCGGGAAGCATCCGGTCCTGTTCGCTTTGATTCCTTTTCTCCTCGACGTGCGCACTATTTCCGTCCTCTAACTTGATTGCATCTTCTGCTAGTCCTATTTCTTTGCGCTTTTCATCATCATCACCACTCTGCGAAGCCATCCGCTCGCCCGTATTTTCAACAACACGATCTACTTCCATTTTTCTCTTTTCCAAAAAACCTGCCGCGGAGGCTTCTAGTCCCGGAACATTATTTCCATTGCTGCTTGCACTACTTGGAGAAAAACCCTCCGCTGCCGCCGGTGGCTCCTGCACCAGTTCGTAATCCACCTTTTCAAACACGCAACGCCCACTGGCCGTGTCGCTATTATACCTCTTTTCCGCTCCGAGCCCGCGTTTGAACAGGCAATTGTTTCTCACCTGGCCTCTCAAAAACGTGAACAGCTCGCATTCGGCGTTTTGTTCGCAGATTTGCCGACACTCCTCTGCGGTCGCGGCCGTTTCCCAGATGCCCATGTCACCGCCAAAGTATGAACTGCAAAAGTATCGCATTCATATGCGTATCTATAAAAAAATGCATTACATTTCCTCAGCATGAGAAATAAAATTTGTCATGCGGATTAGCCTCAAGAAAAAGATCTCTAATGCATGACTGCAATTATTACGAGTGCGATACTTTTGCAGTTCATACAAAGTAGTCCGTGTCTATTTCCTCGAGAGTGCAGATTTTCTTTTCTGCAATCCCTCCTACATCCGGCCACGCCGGGGTATGGGACTCTCAAATGTTCCATTCTCAACTGTGGCACGATTTGTCATGCGAAATTGCCGTCAATAGCTACATGATCAACTTCAACAAGCTCCTTCGCATGACAAATTCTCGAAGAGCCAAACAGGCTGAGAATCTGTGCTAAATCTGTCATGCAAGACGCGCTAGGTCTCCCCTTTCACGTTTGCCATTCCTTCATGAAAAATTCATGGAGCAGTTGAGAATGTAACGTGTGAGAACGCCATACGGGGCATCTTGTTCGTGCTGGAGTAAGACCTGGCGGTAATTCCTCCGTTGGTTCTCGTTTGGAAAATTGTTTAGCCGCAGGTCCCTTCGGAGTTCGAAAAAGTGCTGCTTTTGATAGATCTTCACACGACGAGGACTTCCAGACGCCTCATCCGTATTCGAATTCGATTCCATCTCGTTCCACCGGGCGACTAAGCCAAGCGGTGTGCTGGTCTTCGCCCTGTCGTTTGTGGAATAGAAGTCCGCGTCGGAAGGTATCACAGCTTGGTCCTGATCCGCACCGCATTCCATGACCGTGATGAAAAATTCCGCATCGCTGAACTCAATCCGCCACCGACATTTCAGGAAGAAAATTCCCCGCAACACCACCCGCTTCATGTTCCGCACCAGCCCGGGCTCCAGCAGCAGACCGTTTTCTCGGATCCGCAATCCGCCCAGGCCGAAACTCACCGTTTGCAAGAAGCCGCCGGTACCCGTGATGAAGTTGGTGGCGCCCCCACGGTATGGATTGCAAAAGTATCGTATTCGTACTCGTAAAAATGCATTACAAATTAGCACAGCATTACAAATTCGATTTGTAATGCTGGTTTGCCTTGAGAAAGAGATAATTTGTAATGCATGAATGCAATTACTAGTACGAGTACGATACTTTTGCGCAGGATACACGGGGGTACTCCGTCCAGACGCGGAACGGCCCGTAAGCGTTTTCAAAAGACTTTTCGATTTGGGCCGCGCACTATGATAGTGCACAACTCCCGCCTCATTTGTCATGCAAAATACCCAATCGACCCTGTGCCTCTTAGCACTGTTTGCATGACAAGTTCTGGCAGCCCAAATAGCACTACAATCCAGTGCAAATTTGTCATGCAAGACCTGCAATCTTGCTGATGCTTGTATTGCCCTTAATGCTATACAAATGAGGGGGAGGGGGAGTTGTGCACCGTCATACGCACTTTTTCCGCATCTTCAACTGCAGCCACCCGATCATCTGGATGGAGTGCGTCATGCAGGGTGCCTCCGGGTTATAGACCTTTTCAGCCTCAAGTAAGTCGTTCCGAAACGTGTAGCGCGTTTCCATATGCATTGCGAAAGTTGTATCGCAGTCGTGGTAGGCACTATTATTAAATGCAGTCATGCATTGGAAATCTCCTATCTTAAGTCAAATCCAAATTGCAAATTTCCATTTCTCATGCTGAAGAACTTGCTCATGCGGTTTGAGTTTGTCTTTGTACTAGTACGATATAACTTTTGGTTTTGCGCAGGATAATCCATCGGTTTGGTCAAGGGAAACCCGAGCAACACGACGTCCGCTTGCTTCACCCTGCTACCCCACTGTTAGCCGGCGTATTCGTAGTGGGCGTCGCGGTTTTTGTCGTACAGCGTGGGATACGTCTTCTGCAGCCCGGCGATGGTTCTCTCAAACTTTTCCCTGAACGTCGCACTGTCTGGGGCGGGATCAAGTCGGAACTTTCCTCTCCTGTCATGGAGGTCCATGTAGTACACTGCCAGCCGCATGTTTTCTTCCGCAATGGCATTGGTAAATATCGAATCATCCTGGTACCCCGCCTCCTCGTCGGGCGGGACGACGTTCAGCACCCGAGCGGCGGCGCCCTCCCATCGGACATACTCGGACCAAAATTGCCCCGTGCCCTCGATCAGATCCTTGTAGCCGCCACTGTTCAAGTATGAAACTTCACAACTCCCCCTCCTCCTCATTTGTAATGCAAAAATCCCAAATCCAGCTGCTGCCTTGTAGCACTGTTTGCGTGACAAATCCTGGAAGCCGAAAAAGCACTATTTAATCCAGTGCGAATTTGTCATGCAAAACCGGTATTCTTGCTGATGCTTGTATTGCCGTTCATGCTATACAAATGAGGAGGAGGGGGAGTTGCGCACTTTTATATCAAGAAGTCCAAGTCGCGCGTCAACTTGTAGTATTGATCCGCTTCGAAAGCGACAACGTATGCATTTTTGCAAAAAGGACCGTACCAGCAGGCACCCGTAGGTAAAATTGCAACACAAATTGTCTATAGCATGACGAACGGAATTTGTCATGTCATGGTGATTTTTTCGCTTGAAACGGAAGAGTAGATTTGTCATGCGTATCTGCAATCAGTACGAGTAGCTACGATACTTACATTTGCAATGCATACATCGCCTGTGTTGTGGATTTCCGCCGCGCCCGTATCGAACCCCGGCGGTGTCTGCTCGTTCCTATGAATTGCAAAAGTATCGTAAATCGTACTCGTATATATAAATGCATTACAAATTTCCTCAGCATGAGAGATAAAGGTTGTAATGCTGATTGACCTTAAGATCACGCATGACTGCAATACGAGTACGATACTTTTGCAATGCATAGTTCCCCGTGATGGCAGATTCCCAGCTGAAACGGACCCCGTTCGTGCTGTAACCCTGCAGCGCGCGCTCCCCACTCCGCCAGGGGTCGTTCCCGAGTTTCGCCCGCGCCCGCGCCCCCGGCACCGTGTTCAAACGGTACTGCAGCGCCGCCTTGGCGATCCCCGGGTGCCAAAGGAGCAGCGGGGGAAACATCCACAGCTCCGTGTCCCAAAACACATGGCCGTTGTAGCTGTTAGTCGCAATTCCGCCGGGGGAGCTGGACCAGTAGGTGTCGGCCCGATAGTGTATCAAATGTAAAAAGGTCTGGGTCTGGAAGAGGAGAAGTTTGTTATGCACATTTTCCATGATCCATGATGTTTCTGATGTATGCCATAGCATCACAGATTTTTTGAGCGCCTATCGATGCGCATCCTGCATGACAAATGCCCTCTCCGCGTAGCCAAGTTTGACTCCTCTTGCTGCTCATGCAATACAGATTTTGTTAGCATCCAAATTCAGCATCACAAGTTTGGCTCTTCCAGACCCAGACATATATGCAAGCCATATAGTGCTGGAGCAGCCAATAGAGACCCGCCATCGCGGTCTTCTCGATTTCCTCTTCGCCCTCGATCTCTACGCCAGACTTCCACAGCTCCGCCCACGTCTGGACGTTATGCATTGCAAATATGTCGCGGTTTGTCATGCACATTTTGCATGACCCGTGAAGTCTGTGACGCAAGTCCTAGCATCACAACTTTTTTTGAGGGCTCCGCATGACAAATGCACTCTCCGCGTAGCAAAAATTTACATTCCCTTTGCTGCTCACCATGCTGATTTCTTTGGAATCCAAATGCAGCATCACAAGTTCTACTTCTATCTTCCAGACCCAAACATATTTGCATTTGATAGACGTGCTCCTGGAACAGTTGCGCGGGCGTCACGCTCATGGCGTCCCGTACCGCTTGGGCCGCGATTTGCTTCAAATATGACAGCGCACAACTCCCCCTCCCCCTGATTTGTCATGCAAAATCCCAAATCCAAGAATCGGTGCCTTGTGGCACTGCTTGCATAACAAATTCTGGAAGCTCAAACAGTACTACATTGCGTATGTAAATTTGTCGTGCATGGGCTCCACGCGTGCGGGTGTTTGTATTGCTGCTAATGCCACACAATTGAGGGGGAAGGGGGGTTGTGCACTCTTATATCAAATCAGCCCTCTACTTCTTCCATATTGCTACTCGCGTATGCGGAGAGCAGTACCACCGGATTGGCTTTCGAAAAGGAGAGAGCGCCAGGACGTATCCTGAGTAAAAACATCCCCGCACCAGAGTCAAGATGGGTATTTTTTTATTTTTTTTTTGCTAGGCCCCCTCTAAAATTCAGTTTCAGTTTCAGTGGAGCGCCCCACCGGTCGAACACTTCTGATGGTGAACGAGGACCAGGGATTTGCGGCTTCGCGCCGCGACGACTTGATGGGGGTCCCACACCCCCCCTCCGTTTCCACAAATGCAGTCTGTGCGTGAATGCTGCAAAACCTCCGACACCGCGGCACCAATCAGGAGCAAGCTCCTATTCACCATACACAAACCCAAAGAAGGAAATCATCGGGACGAGGATATTGTCGACCGCAATCAATGACGCCAATGGCAACTACAACCCGAAGTAGGGGAGGGGTAGCTACTCCCGCACAACGCGCGAAATTCGTTTTCTACGTGTCGAGCCGGTAGCAGCGGCACACGTCCGATCCAGTTTTTTCCACGTCGACGAAGAGCTTCATTTTTTTCTGAATCGGAAAACCCTAAACACCTAAACCCTTCTATTTACTGCGGGAGGAAGCAGCCCCGGACTTTTGCGACGAAGTTCGTAAAACGGTCAAAAATGATTAAGCTATTGCGTTACGCTAGTGACTGTGTGCGCGCTTCAGAAAACATAAGCCCGCACAGGTCTGCATTTAGCTACCGCCCGCCCTGAATGAGGTACGTCCTAACCCCGGTTGCAGCGAGGCAGATCATGTTTTTTTTGAAAAATACGCCGGGCGTTTGCAGAGTAGCAGTAGCCGCAGATGCAAGCCTGCGGCTGGTAAAACGATTGTAAAAATTAAGTAGTCGAGTTGATTCATCATTCGGATCACTAAGCTATTTGGGGGCGGTGGGCGTTTCCTGTAATGTGAGAGACCCCTTCCGCTGTCCACGACATTCACACTCCAGCAATTTCGCGGATCAAAGGCTTTGTCGTCTTGTTTTGATATTCTTACTATCTGCTCTTGTCCTCTGCTTCAGCACGTTGTTCTTGCCTGCGTCTTGATTGCGCCAGTGCTATGGGGATTTTGCAACACAAGCCTAGAACTTTTGGGGGTCACACATCACAAGTTGCAGTCCGTAGTGTAGTGCAGGTTCGCAAGGCCAGCTGCATCAGAAATCCATCTGCTCATCCTGTTTACAGCATTACAAATTCCAAAACGCGACTAAAAATGCCTCTCCTGGCGATGCGCATTGCAAATGTTCCTGTCTTTGCAAATCTGCATTACAACTCTGGTGTGGGTACGTTTTTCCTCAGGATAGGACGCTGCCCCTGCGCTGTAGAAGAACTCCCTGCTCGCAGGAGCCGGTAATCATCGCCGAAATTTTGCGCCTCCGCGAATTTCAGTAAAGATTTCTGCAGATTCTCGTCCTCCTTTCGGCTCGTCGAGCCTTGGCGCACGCGGACAAGAACATCGCTGCTCGTACCAGTCGTGCCAGAACTACTAGCGCCTGCTGCAGTTGTTTCGAAAGCACTTAATCCAGGCGCGCCATTTTGCCCGGGAAACACTACAGCCGCGTGTTTCACCATATTCACTGCCGTGTCTGCCTCCTGGTCATTGGACAATTCCAGGACGAACAAATTCCGCCGTTTCCGATGCGCGTAGAATTTCATCTGCACGGTGACGGTCTTTCCGTTTTCCGCCCTGACGTTGCCGAAGTAGTACATCAAGCACGCATTTTTGAAATCTTGCACCTGCACTTGTTCGATTGCGTTCCAGCTGTCAATCTTGGGGAGAAACCGGTAAAACGGATTTGGCAGATTCGCCCGGTAGCTGCATTGCACACCATAGCTGCCAAAGACGCTGCCGCAGAAGCCGTACTCGAACACGCCCGCGAGGAAGAGGGACCCGCACCCGCTTTGGTCCGCCGCGCAGATGGGACCGACGGTCGCGAAATATCCGTTCCCAATCTCGGCCATCAGGCAGTCCAACGGGTTTTGCGCAGTGCAGTCCAAACCACCTTGTCGGACCCCGACGGTCTTTGACGCACTGTTGTACTGCGCTTTCGTGATAAAGAAGGAATCGCCTTCCTTTTGCGGCACGGGGAGAGCTTTCGCTTCCCACGTCATGGTGGAAGAATCGCGGAGGACCTGCTTCCTCGGCGGATGAGGGCAAAATTGTACCCGATGAATCACCGCCAGCATAATTTTCGCCGCCATTTTTATCAGCTGTCCCGCCGCCGAGACCACCACCGCCCACCCGCGTCGCGCCGTCGATAGTGTTCGGGGTCCGCGGGTCCGCCGGCAGCCTGCCATCTGCATCGCCGTAGCCACAACAAGGCACTGGTTCCTCGGCCAGGACGGTGCGGTGGGTGGCGAGGGGGGATAGAAGAAGAAGGAACAAGCGGCACGAGGACAGTGCTGATGTGAAGAAAACCATGATTGCTGCGGCGATCTATTTTGTGGGTGAACAGAAACTGAATGTAGTTTTTTTCTCAAAATGTAGTTGTGGCGGGCTGAGTCAGTTGATGCGTACAAGATAGAATGAGAATGACCACCAGAAGCCAATACGCCTGTTGATCTTGATTATATCTTCAAGAACCTTTTTCAATAAAAAAAAAACACTTGCGTGCGGCTCTGTAGTTCGGTCCAAAAGCAAAGACTCTGACTCGCATTGCTAGATGTATTCGTTTGTAGATGACAACAAGTATAAATGCTGAGTTAGCGTGTCAGATGGACACTTGGTTCAACGAACAAGCGCTGGCTCTTGCGCAACGTCCTGTCTAAAAGAACGACTTCAAATGCCACACAGGGGCAGCTTCACGAGTGAGTACATTTTCCCCACGACTGCCGACCGATAGTCGGCAGCTAAGCGGCTAGATCACTAGTGACACGATGATCTGCCGATGCTCAACTTTTGCTACTTCAAGTTCGAAAGAATGAGCACACACACGGACAAAACATTCATTGGAGCTGAAAAAGAAGAGACCAACGATCACGAAGACGGCCCCACGAATAAACCCAGAAGTCCAGAAGGATTCGGATTTTGACGAGCATCAACATTCGTCATCCCTTCACAGCTTCATACATAAACATAAAGATAAATCCACTTACGGTCTCCCACATCAAGTTCAAGTTGCACCCGCGTGAAAAATGCATAACCGACTCCGACCACGTAGATGATGGTGCGTATTCCGATAAACGAGTCCCGATGTTCCTCTTAGGATCAAGCCATGAAGCCGCGAGCAATGTGGAAACTAGACCTCGCACTCACAGCTTTACTTTGTTTCAGTTCCAACGACAACGAGCCGATACGTAATATCTCCCGGGGAGGCAAGACTGAACATGTGCCCAACCTTCCACAAAACCGGACAGCTCGGACACACACCTCCAACACAGCAACACGCCGCCCCACTTTCTTTGGTTGTCGACCATTCCTACGGTACTTATGTGCAGCGAACTGGCTTCCCGCTGTTCGGCTGCGTTCGTAATAAAGGCAGCACCCAGGCGGCCTCCCAACAGGCCCGGTCGCCGGGAAACCCAAACAGCCTCCTGCCGGAGAACCGGGGCCGGGAGGCGCCTGCATGGGCCCACATGCCTGCAGGCTGGCGCGACAGAAAAAAGGCCTTCTGGCGCCACAAAACAAATGCCTGCGCGCCCCCCCGCCCGCGGCTACTTCGCGGCCGGAAAGGCGAAGGGGTGCGGGGCCGCGCGCCCATTCGCGGCCCGGCCTCCCACCGGGCCAAAGAACGGGCACAGGGAGAGGGAGGGGGGCGAGGGGCGCGGCACTCCACGAACATTCATTGCCTGCAAGCGCGAAGCAAGGAGGCGGGGAGCGGCGAAGGGGGCCCCTTCGCCTGCGGGCAGGAGAAGGGCGCCGGCGCGCGGGCCATCCCGGAAGGGCGGGCGGGGCGCGCGCCGCCAGTTACTTACAAAGAGGGAGGAAGCAAGGGGGCGAAGCGGCGCAGGAAGGGCGGCCCGGCAGAGAGTTTCCCAGCCAGGTAGTCTCGCGAAGGGAAGGCTGTCTCTGCCACCGCCCGCGGGCTTCCAGCTTCGACGCACCTTCGCCTGCACCGAAAGAAGGGAGTCACCCCGGACGCCCCCGGAAGCAGGCCGCGCGCCACGCATCCCTTCGGCGCCCGGGCCGCCGGCCGAGTTCCAGCCCCCCGCGCGGGGGCTCGCCCGCCGGGCGCGGTGCGCGGCGGTCCGCCACAAAGGGGGCCCGGAGGAGCCCGCGCCGGTCTGGCCGTCGCTTCGCCGCCCCAAATACTGCCCGCCGCGCGGCGCCGGGCCCACCCGCGTCGGCGGCTGCGCCGGCAGAGTCCGCCAAAGGGTGGCCCGCTCCCCCGGGGAAGGGCCTGCCCCACCGACCGACCCCCCGCTGGCGCTGGCTGAAAGGAAACGGGCGGCCGCACCTGCTGCCGCACCGGGGCCGGCGCCTGCTGCGCCTGGGCCCATCGGACGAATACCGGCGGACGCAGGACGGAGCCGCGCGCGGGGCTTCGCAATTTCGACAGGGCGCAGGGGGCTGCGCAGGCGTCTCCGCCTATCTCCAAAAAATCGCAGAGCGCACCGACGCCCAAGACCCTCAGCGCAGGCACGGCGCGCCCCTTGTAGGTACAAGCCCAGACGCTGGACATGCGCAAACAGTATTGCATCCTCCGCGAAGTGACGCCACCAAAGCGAAAAGCCGCCTCATCTTAGCAGCACCGCCAGAACACTAGCAGAGGTTGGTTGGAGTCCGAAATTGGTACTACTTCACATGAAACTCTCCGCAGGAAAAAGTCACACGCATGGTGTGCCGGAAAAAGGTATGGGATTTGGGTTTGTCCTCGGAATCCGTTTTATCAAGCTCGTTCATTTCCAAAATTGTCGTGATAGCCACGCTTTATTCTCCTCAAACTACATCACGACTTCGCGCCCCTCAGCCCTCCACCAAGGGACATTTCATCCCCCTGCACTCCTCACTCCCATCCAAATGCTTCACGATCGTTCGCCAAGTCAAATTGATCCGTTCTCCCTGCGTTAATGGGTGCTCCTTGTAGTTCCGATCGTCCCCCGGCCACACCGAGTGCAGGTAATACAGCTGAAACAAGCCCTCCATGGTCATCAGGTCTCCGTGATTCAGTATGACCTCGTGGATTTCAGGATTCCCTGAAGAGTTCGCAGCTGATGGCAAGCCGCCACTTCCTTGTCCAGCGTTCTTGCCAGTTGTCCCAATCCCATGCGGGTCATCCTTCTTCATAAACGCTTTCTTCAAGCGCACCTGAAACTTGCGCGCGCCGGACTTATGCGCGACTTCCTCCTGGTCCTGCCGTTGGTCATCAGCAACTCGAACAGGCTGCTCTTCGGATTTTTGGTCATTCGATGGAGGGCTATCACCAGCGCTGCACAGCGACAAAGAGATGATGCAGGTGTCTCGGTTCAGCCCATCAAACAGAAACTCGTCGTCCGCGTGGAACCCTACACCGCCGCCTGTTGGGTAGTAGTTTAGGTTCACGCAGTTTATCAGCTCATCTTCTGCGTGCTTTTCATCATGATTGGTTCCATCCTGTAGTGCTCTACTGTTGACCAGTCCGCAGATCTCCTTCACTCTGGCCGTGATCTCCCACAGACAGTCCTTCATCTTCGCATTCGTGATCTGCTTCTGCCACGTGTCGGAGTACCCGTATTCGCACTCGCAACTTTCATCAAACACGCACCACGCGGTCTTCCGCAGTAGCAGACTTCCCTTGTAGTACGCATCCGTCCACGCGCCGGTGGTGTTTACGCCGAGGGTGTCTGGGTGCAGCTGCCGAAACCACGAGTCGAGCTCTGATTTCGTGAAAGAGGAGGAAGTTGTAGAGGGGGTTGAGTCGTCGAGACTTTTGTCTTGCTTTCCTTGTTGCACAAACCTGCAAACATAGCTGTAACTCCGCCGAGCCACGTCCTCGACTAAGGGACGCCAGGGGTTGCTCGATGAAGTACTAGCATTGCAGCCGCTGTTTTCGATTTCGATTTCCGTATCAGCAACAAAGTTGTCCTTCACCAGCTTCAACTTTCCTTCCGAACTGCTCACGGCGTGGAGCACGCGCGCTGCTTGGATTTCGTCCGTGTTCAGATCATCGTCTTCGACGTAAGGTTGGTGGGGATCATTGTCCGGAGGCATGGTTAATGTAGTTGTTTGTTTGCTATCGTCGGAAAAAACTGGATGTGCGAGATAACAAACTGCTGGACACGGGCCTCAAAATTGGGATAAGTGGATCATCTGGCACTGACTCATCTGCGGGGTCAGATACTAATGGCTGCTTGGGATCTGCATCTGAAAAGTGTGGCGGTTTCTACTACAGAAAATTCGATATACAAGGATGGCTGTCGACTCGCTAGCCCAGGTGTGCTCGGTGCCAAGGAAAACGAACCCCGCACGCAAACCAACTCCCACACGCAAACAAACTCCGCCCCGCTGAGGCGCAAGCGGCCCAACACAAAACTGTAGTAGGCGTCCGTCTTGCGCTGGCTTCTTTGATCTGCTTACAGCTGGGGTGAGAACGAGTCCCGATCGGTGGCAAAAATCAGTGGGCAGCCTGCGTCGATAAGACAAGTGCGCAAACAAATAGGCGCGAAGGACACTGCCGGCCCGGCAGAGCAATTCCACGCCAAACATAATGGGGGGGGGGGCTCATGCAGGCCGGGCCCCGCAATGCTTCTGCCCCCAGGCTATGCTGCTCGCCCCCCCCTTCGCTGGCCCGGGCAATGCCAAAAAACGCCGGGCGAACGGTTCGGGCGGATGAACGAAGCCACCACGGAACGCGCCGCCGGGGCCATCATCGGGACGGGCCATTCAGTGCGGCCGCAAAGCAGGGCGCGCAAAGGCTGGCGCAAGACCACGGCTCGCCACACGCCGGGGGCAAGGAGGCCGGGCGCAGCGGCAGGGCGCCCGGGCCCAGAATTAATAGGAAGGGGCGATCGGTCGGAATTTTTTCCGTCCTTGTTACCTTTGCCACTGCCGCTTCGACTTGACAACTCCGGAGCGCGGCCCCCCCGCGCAAGGCGCGCGCGGCCGCCCGCTGCGCATCCCTCCGGCGAAGGCGAAACGCCGCGCCCAAATAAAAGGGCAGGGGCTAGCGCCGATCTCTCCCGGGCTAGTCGCTGCCGAACTGCGTCCCCCGGGCCGGCGGGGCTTTCGCACACGCGCCCACCGGTCTGGCTGCCCCGCGGCCATTCACTCGCATCCGGGCCGGCGGGCCGCCTAATACCGCGGTCGCACACAACCTGCGAGCCGTTTGCACATGCAAAAAAAGGAAACCGCTCCGCGGGCCTCCTGTATGCCAAGCAACGGCACGCGCGCCCCGTTCTCGCGGGCCGAGGGACTGCACCCACGAGCCGGGTGCACGTTTTGGGCTGCCGCTGACCCTGTATTTTGCTACTCGGTCTCCCTTTCTAACAAGAAAAACAAAACAGCACCCTCAGGGACATGTGAAATAGCTCTCTAGTCATACGTAGCAAACTTGGAGTAGGCCAGACCCGGCAGGCCCTTTTCGGTAGGTAGTGCAGTAGGGTAGTATGATGAACTAGATAGATTAACATTAGCTAAGTCGGAAGAAGAACGGGGTCGGATAGGAAAAATGAGTCCCCAGAGCAGTTGTCTTCGAAGGGATTTTGTAGCCGTTTGGCCTATCCTCGTTTGCGCATGCTGTGCGTGACATACTTTTTGTCTCGCAAGACACGCAAGAATGCAAAAACGGGCTACACCTTTGAAGACAACTGCATTGCGGACGCAATGCACTTGGATGCCTGGGCTCGGAGGGGCGGCATGCGTTGCAAATATGTTCGGGCCTGGCAAGTCTTTCTGTATTGCGTCGGCTGCATGAATACCGACAAACAAACGAAAAACTACCACGCAGACACCAGGCAAGCGGCAGGCGCAGGGCCTCAAAATTGTCACGCTCGCTGTGACGAAGGCTGTAGCGCGTGCCTCGCGTATTCTTATTTTTCAAGAGTCTTGATGTGATACTGGTGGGGCTCGGCACTGTGTCAACCTTCCAGGCCCAAACACATATGCAGCCCATACGTAGACACGCGGCGGCGGCGATGCCGGGGTAGGTCGGTAGGGCGGCCCTGGCAACAGCAGGTGTAGGGCTGCCTCGGGTGACTTCACAGCAGCCAGCCCAGCTGTCTACCTACCTACTGAAAAACCGAAAAAGCCTACGCCCCCAAGCTCATTGGTAACAGGAAAACCATCTGCGCCGTGCAATCTGAAGCGCACAACAAGCAGAGCCCGGCCTTCTTGTCGCGAAATGCAAATGGAAAACCCAGGAACCCACACCCGCGGCGCGGCTCACACTCAAAGAACTGGGCGGAGATAACAGCTGCCTTCGCCCGGCCCGCGCCGATTTGCTTGCGCGGGGGGGCGGCATGTAGTAGGTAGGTCGGGAAGCGTTCTGGCCCTAGCTCTTGCAACCACCCCAGCATTGGTTGCGACCTCTCTGTCCCAGCCGCGGGGGTAGGTAGGTCGAGCAGATTGACGGCGCCTGGCATCGAGCAGCGCCGGGGCTGGCTGCGTGGGTAGGTAGGTGGGGCAGAAGGTAGGCCGCTACGAAGTAGGTAGGGCAGGCAGAGGCTCTAGTACGGGCCCACACGCGCCAGCGCCCAGCTTCAACATACCTAGAGCGCGTCTCTGCATGAAGCAAAACTCAAAGCGCGCCAGCCTGTTCCGCTTTATCAGTCACCAGCGGGTCGCCAGCGGATTCGACTGGCCGCCGCTTGATGAAGCGACGGGGGGGGCCGACAAAAGGGACGACCTTCTGAGGCGCCCGCCGCGTGGGACCCCGTCGAGTTGGGGCGCCCAACCGAGAATCAGAACCGCGGAACCGCCTGGCTTTTCCGCGATTGCGGAGCAGTTTAGGGAGCGGCCCCCCCCCCCGATCTTTCGCTGGCCCCTGAGCGGCGAAAGCTTCACAAAAGGCGCAGGCGAAAAAAGCGCAACAAAAAAAAAACGCGCGCCAGGCGCATGAGGCTAATCGGCATGCTGTGGCCCCGCAAGTTCTTCGCCCCTTGGGCGCCCCCCGCGGCGCCCGGATCACCGGCCGCATAGCGCCGGGTCCCGCTCGGTTCCGGGCACAACTTTCGGAAATTCGCCAAAAGTGGCCACGTTTTCTTTGCAAGCGGCCGCCATCCCGTGCGGCGTAGCCAACGTCGCCTATGCCGGCGCGGCCAGCCCAGAAAACAAAACCAAAAGCAAACACGCGGCGGCAGGCAAGAAAAGAGCAGCGATCTCAGCACCTTCGCGCCGGCGGCCGTATTTGGTAGGTCAGGCAGACCGCAGGGCCAACTCTGATCGGCGCGCGCTCGGGAGGCACAATCAGGGTGGTGCCGTTAGTAGGTAGGTCGGGCAGGTCGGAGATCTTTGGCCTGGGTCAGTCCCGGCCCATGTCCCGCAGTAGGTCGGTCGGGCGGGCCGAAAAGGTGCGATACGTGGCGTAGAGAGGGCGACTTCAAGGAAAATCTCGGAGAATCTCCTTGGCCCAAGGAGATTCTCCTGGACCCCCAGGAGAATCTCCTCCCCTCCTCCCCCTCCTCTTCCTTTTCTTTTTTCTTCTTTCTTTTTTTTTTTCCTTCATGTGCTTCTTTTTCCTTCATGTGCTTCTTTTTCCTTCATGTGCTTCTTTTTCCTTCATGTGCTTCTTTTTCCTTCACCTCCCCCCGCCGTCTCGCTCCCCTTCTCCCAAGGAGAATCTCCTTGGCAAGGAGATTCTCCCCGAACGTGGGAGAATCTCCTTGCCAAGGAGATTCTCATAGCCCGCCAGAAAACCACAAAAGCGGGACTTATCGCCCTTGGGGTTGGGCGCCCGGGCGCAGTGCAATTCCAGGGGCGAGGCGCCCTCTGCGGCCCAAGCCGCATCTTCAAGGGCGGGCGCACTGCCCTATGCGGCCCGACGCAGACGCAAGCTCAAGGGCGCAAGACCCTACGAAGCCTTTCCCGGGCGCCCTGCCGACTATGGCGCCGCGCTAGAGGGCGCTTTGCCCCATGCAATCTCACACGTGCACTGCCCTATAAAGCCCGAAGAACGGCCGCAATTTCACGCCCATTCTGCCCGATGTGGCCGTTGCGAAGCCGCAACAAAAAGCAAGTCGTCCCTCGACCGCTTTAACGGCAAGTCGCCTCTCAGCCGTTCGCACCAGAGCGCATCAGAGGCAGATCACCCCGCACCCGCTCTGAAGCGACCTCAAAGGCAAACCACCCCCACGACCACCTAGAATCGACCTCAAACGAAACACAAAGCGCGCGAGGCAAGTCGCGCAACAAGAGCTCAACCCCAAGCCAAGGGCCAGGCGCCCGGCAGCCGCTCAGGCGCTGCATGCTTGCGTGGGTGCAATTTGAAAAGGAGGCCACCCCTCAGCAACTTCAGCGAGATTGCAAGGGCAACGAGCCCCGGGCTGTTCATCTGGCGCGATTTCAAGGGCACCCCGCCAAGGCGGGCCCTCCCTAACGACCGGAACAACAGGCCCTGCAACTTGCGGCGGCCGGCGCCCCACCGAGATAATGAATCGGCAACATCAAGCCCATGGACCCACGACCCGGGGTAGCCCGAGTACAACACGCCAAATGCCCACACCCAAGAAACCAAATCGCGCGCCCGTGAATGAAAGAGATTTTCGCCGGCCAGCCGCGAGCGAACAGACACGTATGGCCTTCGGCGTAGGGCAACGAAGAAGAAGAGCACGATCGCGGCACGCGCGCGAAAAAAAATTTGTGTCGGCCACCCGTTCAAGAAATTAGAAAGGCGCGAGGCCGAAGCAGCGAAGCCGCGGATTGATAGCGCAAGTGCAGGCGCGCGCCAAAAAAAAAATTGTCGGTCGCCCGTGCGAGATAGAAACTGCCGAGGCGCCGGCGCGAAGCAGCGAAAGGTGGAGCAGTGCGCGCCGCGCGCGCGAGCAAACTTTTTGTCAGCCACCCGCGCAAGAATGAAACGGCGAGGACGTTGGCGCGAGACAATGCAGGTTGGAGCGCGCGCAGCGCGCGCGCGAGAGAAAATTTTCGCCGGTCGCCGGGCCGTGCAAACGCAAAGTAGAAGCCGCCAGGGCGTTGGCGCGAGGCAGTGCAGGATGCAGCGCGCGCAGCGCGCGCGCGAGAAAAAGTTTTCGCATTCGCCGGCCACCCGTGCATAGTAGAAGCCTCGTCCAGCGCGTTGGCGCGAGCCGAGGCAATAAAGGATGGCGCGCGCGCAGCGCGCGCGAGGAAGAAAATTTTTTTGGTCGCCCGTCCAAGATACGAAACCACCAGGGCGTTGGCTCGAAGCAGCGAAGGAAGGGGCGCGCGCAGCGCGCGCGGGAAAGAAAAATTTTTTTGGTCGCCCGCGCAAGATAGAAACCGCCAGGCCGTTGGCGCGAAACAATGAAGGATGAAGCGCGCGCAGCGCGCGCGAGAAAATTTTTCGTCGGTTATCCGTGAGAGACAGAAACTGCGCGGGCGGTAGCGCGACACAGCGAAGGATGCAGCGCGCGCTGCGCCCGCCCGAAAAGTTTTTCTGTCGGCCACCCGTGCAAGAAAGTGCAAGCTCGCTGGCGCGCGCGAGAAAAATTTTTGTCGGCCACCCGTGTAAGAAACTGCAAGGGCGCTGGCGCGATGCAACAAAGGATGGGGCGCGCGCACCGCGCGAGCGAAAAAAAAATTTTTCGGGCCCCCGTGCAAGAAACTGCAGGGGGGCTGGCGAGCGCGAAGCAGAGAAAGGTTGGGCGCGCGCGCAAAAAATTTTTGTCTGGCACCTGCGCAAGCAACAAACTACAAGGGCGCTGGCGCGAAGCAACGAAAGGTGGAGCGCGCGCAGCGCGCGCGTAAGAAAGTTTTTTTTGTCGGCCGGCCGCCCATGAAAGAAAGCGCAAGGGCATCGATGCGGCGCAACGAAGGGTGGAACGCGTGTGGCGCGCGCGCGACAAAAATTTTTGCCGTGCGCTCGTGAAAAAAAAGCGCAAAGCCGTCAGCGCGAAACAACGAGGAGCGGAGCACGTGCTGCGCGCGCGCGGAGGCAATTTTGAAGGTCCGCGAACGAAGGCGCGAGGCCGTCGGCGCGAAGCAACGACGGGCAGAGCGGGCGCGGCACGCGCCCGAAATAAAAAAAGCCGTTGCGACGGTGCAGGAATTTGAAGCGCAGCGCCGTCGGCGCAAAGAAAGGGAGGACGCAGCGCGCGCTGCTCGTGTGCGGAGCAAGGTCGTTGCTCTGCAAGGCCCGGGAATGCGCGCGAGCAAAAAAAGCTAGCCGGCTCTTGCTGTCGGCCGTGCAAGCCACACAGCCGCACCGGCTACAAAGGGGCCCACAGGTAGGGGCACGCGCGCAACGCGAAATTTTTTTTGCATTTTTATTGCTAACCACTGGCGAGAGAGTGCGCGCGCAAAAGCAGAAGCTGTCCTGCTCTGTCCAGTTTCAAAGACGAAAAACACCGAAAAAAAGAAATGCTGCCACCGCGCCGCCGGGAGCCAATCAGGAGGAAAGCTGCTGCGCGCGTTTTGTATGTAAGGACGGAGCTGCGCAGCCTGGGCTGATGCTGCAGCAAGGCTGGCGCCACGCGGGCGGGGCAGGCGGGCGAAGGGCAGGGCCAACAAGTATTCCGCCCCCGGTGCACAGGCGGGCCGGGGGCTCTTGGTGGCAACGGTCGGCGCGCACGTACTTTGGCCCACGCTCGTCCCTTCATCTTGCACGAGCGCCAACGCTCGTCTTGTCCACTATATCTTTCTATGCTTGCTATGAGCATGAAGCTCCACGCCAGCTCACAATTCAAATTTTATGGGGGGGAATCTCCTTGAGGGAGAATCTCCTCAGGCCAGTCAATTATATAAGGATTTTCCGGCCGCGATTTGCGAGCAATGCGAGCAATGCGAGCAATGCGACAGCGATCCGAGGCCTTGCGAGTTGCGAACGCGCGGATCTGTCGCAGGTCTTGCGAGTACTTCTCGCAACTTCTTCTGCGAGTGCTAACCCTCAGACCCTACCTCGAGGTCGTAGCCCTAATCCTATCTATAGCCTACCTACCTAGTTCTAGCAGGCGGCGAAGCTGGCGTGGGTGTGTGTTCGTCGTCCTAGGCCAGTGCGCCGTCGTGTAGTTCGCGAATAACGTCGGTATGGTGCGAATTTCATTGCCGCGCACCTGGCTGCTGGCCGACCCTCGCGATTTGCGAGCAATGCGAGCAATGCGAGCAATGCGACAAAACGCGACCGGTTTGCGAGTCAATGCGAGTCGCATTGCTTATATAAATCTCTGTCAGGCCGTCGGTAGAATTTCCTTGAGATTTTTTTTTTTCCAACATCGCCATCTACTCACAAAAAAAAAATGCGGTAGTAGGTAGGTCGGGTAGATCCGAAATTTCCGACCGAGGCCAGCTGCAGACAGCCAGGCGCCTCCGGTAGTAGGTAGGTAGGCCGGGCATTTGTGATCATCGCCAGCGGCCACGGCCAGACATCGATAGTGAGTAAGTAGGTAAGTCGGGAAGATCTGAAACCTCTGGCGGCAGGGCCTAGCTACGGCCGCCAGCATTTAGTAGGTAGGTCGGGTAGATCCGAAATCCCTGGCCACATCTAGCGACTGGCAATAGGGTCAAGTAGTAGGTAGGTCGGGGAGATCGGATCTCACCAGCAAGTAGCAACAGCGTCGAGTAGGCAGGTCGCGCAAGAAATTTTCTAAGCAAGAGCGGGCGCGGTCATTCAGAAGCTTCAGGTAGGTAGGTCGGGTAGATTTTCTGACCAAGACCGGGCCCGGTCAGTCGCTTGAGGTACGTAGGTAGGTCGGGCAGGTTTATTTCTGACCAAAGCCGGGCGCTGTCAGCAGCTTCAAGTAGGTAGGTCGGGTCTGATCAAGGCCAGCGACAGCCGGCCAGAGCTAGTAGTAGCAGGTAGGTAGGCCAGCTACAGCCAACGTTCTTGCGCCAAGTGGTAGGTAGGAGAGAAAAACCGCCAATAGAAAGACACAACTGAGGGCGCGCCATTTATACCTACCGAAAAGGGCCTGCCGGGCCTGGCCTATTGCAAACTTGCTAGAGCGCGCTCATGGTTCTGCTCTATCGCTCTTACCTAAGCACTTAGGTTGACGAGCAACTGTGTGCTTTGCGAGATGAACACACGGAAAACTAAACTGCTATGGTTGGCAAAAAGCAACCCAATAGCTTTCGTCCTCATAGTCATTTTCCAAGTCTTTCAAATCACCACCTCTGCCTGCAGGCCCCAATGATCACTGAACTCATGCCCGTACTCTTGTTTCACCACGTTGAGTGCTCTCACTTGTGACTTCAGAAATTGGATTGTTCTTTTCGACGTTCTTGCAGCTATGGCACCCTCGCTCTTTACCACCTTTGCTTCCTCAGCTGCAACATCTTCAGCGTCCGTCCTATCACAACAACTAGGCACCCACAATTCCAACGAATCCACCGCGAACAAGTAATCCAATCTCCGCGTCGAATATTCCTCCGGCACGTAGGAATTTTCCGCGCTCGGGCCGAAGGTGTTGCACAGTAGATCATTGGTGGAAGTAGACTGGTTCTTTGTCATGCAGAACTCCCTATGCAGATCCCGCAAACCTGAAGACGCGGCTGATGTTTCATCTGCTGTTCCGCCCAGGATGGTGCCGGAGGTCGGCGTCGGTGTGGTACTACTGGATGACGAAGTAGATACCTTTCCTCGTCCACGGTGTGGTAGTGGTTTGTCATCTACTTTGTCAAACATTCTGCACAGCTCCCCGTACAGCCTCTCCTGTTCGTCCTGAGCTCTTACAAGTAGATGCAGCGACCCTACTCTGGACGTGGATCAAGGTGCGATCCGTCCTGAGTAGCTTGCGCCTACCATCTCTTGCTGGCTTTAGTCGAATCTTCTGACCGAGATTCGTAAACACGTAAGCGCTGTAAGTAGCATTTGTCTAGGCTAAGAATATACGTAGTCGTAGTGCTTCTATTCGCAAAACAGATGCGAAGCAAACTATGCGCAAGGCATGAAGGCTGATAGGGAAACATGGCGAAAGAACAGCGCTATAACTGTCATCGCTCCCTATTCTTAGGCTAGGAAATGCCCACGCTCCCATCTCTGGGGCGGTAGACGCACTCTCGGCATGCTAAATCCCTACTCCCCTGCGGTTAATTCATTCTGACCGATGACCCCATCGACAGAGAGCTCTTCCTCAAGCTGTATGCAACAGCTTTGGTGGTGGTTGCGTGCAGTTGCGATGGTTGCACCAAAGCGCAAAAGTGCCCCCGTTTGTCATGCGCGAAAAGCGTGAGAACTGCAGAAACAGCTGCAGAACTCGCTTGGTGCCTTACTCAAGTTTGCTTTTGCGATTACGAGTAGAAACGTCGGCCACCAGCATGTTATTGAGAAATAAATCCCAGCGCAAAAGACAAACCAGACAAAGTAAATTCCTAATGCCCCCAAATTCCTTAGGTACAGGGGGCTAGTAGTTCTTACCTTTCCCACTGGGGGAATGGTTGGGCTCATAACTCTGTGGACGTCTCAAGCGTCAGGGACTAGGCATGCTCACTAGCATGCTGTCCGAAGATAGAGAACAGAGTTACTATCTAAGCACCTACCTAGTAGGTACTACGGAGAGAAAGGGCTTTTTATTGTTCCAGCTACTGGCCCGTAGACCAGGAGCCATTCTGGCACTGTTGTGTGTACGTTGTTACCATTGGCATGATTATCATCATCACCATCCTAGTGGTGTAGTGTCCTGCGTGACCCATGTGACCCATGTGGTCCTAGTGATCCTACTCGTGTGACCCCTCTAGGCTATTGCTAGATCATCCACCTATCGGTATACTTTGATCCTACATCTCTGATCTCATTGATCTCAGGAGCATGCTAGCAACTGCTCTAGTCCGAGACAGGTTGCTGCGCAATATACTTTGTCAAACATTCTGCACAGTTCCCCGTACAACCTCTCCTGTTCGTCCTCCCCAACGCTTTCAAAGTACCGAGCCATCGCTATCGGTCCGTTGTCCTCCGGGTTCGGGTACAGAAAACTGTCCAGCCAATTGCCCCAGGTGCTTGACGTGCTGGAAGTTGTTCTACTTGCGCTTGAAATGTATTCTCGGATCCTCTTCGCCAGATGTCTACTTTCGGTTACCAGCCTCTGCTTTCTCGTTTGTTTCTGTTCCACTTCCTCCGCCACGCCCCCATCGATGTTGAAGTCGCCGAGAATGAAAATAGCGAGGCTTTCGGGGTTGATATTGAATCCATTTCTACTTCTCTCTGATGACACGCCTACACCTTGTTGCCCAGCTGGTGTCGAAGAACAAAACAGAATTTCGGAAACGGTCTCCCTCACGAAGTCCGCCAGCTCCTGCAGCTGCTTACTCTGGCTGTTCTGCAAGTTCACATGATCCAGGTGCGTGTTGAAGAGCAGCACGTACTTATTTTTTTCATGCGGCGTAGAGTGATCAGTGGCCGTGGATGTAGAAGTCCCCGCCTCTGGAACTACAAGACCATCATGACGATCAAAACAATTTTTCTTACTCTTAAACAGACAGGCCACAATCCCCTTGTTTGACCGGGAGATGCTGTTTCGATACGTTTTCTTCCGCAAATAACGCTCCTCCAAATCAAATTTCTCTGTATCAAACACCACCTGCAGGCCGCCGGTCTTTTCCAGAAAGTAGACCTTCAGCGTGTCGAGGAAAGTGGAGCGCCAGGACTTGTAGAGGAAGCTGTACTTGTTTTTTGTGAAGAAGATGGGATCATTCTGATCGTGTTGTAGTTGGCCGGTGCTGGTGGCACGGGGGCCACTGGTACTGGTTGATGTACTAGTATTAGAAATCTTTAAATTTGTATTTTTCCCATTGTTCGCGCTTTCCTCCATCGCGTAGCAATCACTTCCCCAGACCTCCTGCAGGCCGCAGAGATCGACCGGCGTCGTACTGATCCATCGACCGATTTTCTTCGCTCGGTCCTCCTGGTTGGCACAGGTTTTGTTGGCTTTGTTGACCTATCAAGTGTAAAAATGTCTGGGTCTGGAAACTTGCAATGCTGCGTTGGGAATAGTAAATGCTCTGTAATGCACAGGCAAGCATGAGAAATATCTGCGCTTCTTTGTGTTGCGTTTTTCGCATGACAAACTGCGTTTTTGCATGACAGGCAAAAGGGTCTCTTCTTGGACACGCATCACAAACTTTTTGGTCGTGCCAGACAAGCATGACAAATCTCGCAATCTTCCAGACCCAGACATTTTTGCATTTGATATGACCAAGAGCTTCGGGATCAGGTAACAGTTTAGCGTTGCGAGCGTGAACTGGAAGGTAGATTCGGCGAAATGCTGGGCAGTTGCGGCGGGCATGGTTCTTGTTGGGGTTTTGAGCATCGGGGGTCGAGACCGATAGGAATAAGTAGATCTGATAGATTACTTCATCAAGTAGATCTTCTTGTGATCATCAAGGGCACTGTGTGGCGAATCGTGAGTGATCTTGCTGGGATTCTTTGCCGCCGAGAGAGAAAGACAGAATCAGAGGTACTCGGAGTTCGTTGTACTTGTTTTCTCGGGGGGGGGGTATAGGCTGTAGAACTAACCACGGACGGCCACACGCTACAAAAAAGGATATGATCGACTGTCATTCATTGTCGTGTACCCGAATAAACTAAACCGAAAATATCCAACTGTAGTACTCCTAGGTAGTTACTCAGCTGCAGTGTGTAGCTTTTGAAATTCTTTCGCGAAGAACAACTGCGACGCCAGGAACAAGGTTGTCATGGCGCGAAAACGCGTCACATTTTCCTTTTCATTTCGTAGCGATTGTACTTGTCCTTGTCCCCGAGCCCGACCCGAGGAAATAAGAACTTGCAAAAACATGAAGCTGCGCACTGCAATGTCAGTAGGAAAGAAATCGGTTGACAACTTCAACTCTCGTCGTCCTCACACGTCGAAATAATGACACCAGGTTGGTCAGGTCATTTCAAAATCGAATTGTTGTATGGTGAAAAAATCGTACATACGAAAAAGAACTTCTGAAAGGGCCAAAGCAACAACATCTTGACTAAAGTCGCGGCCTGATCTACCTCAACTGGCTTCCGCTGATCGGCGGGGTCACCGTATCCACCGAAACCACCCCGGGCACTTCCTGCTGTTTCCCGCCAAAGAAGTTCCACGCCAAATCGTTGTTCCACCAACACCCCGTGTTCAAGTGATCCCGGCTGGCCGAGCATTTTATCAGCAAATTCTGCCCGCTCTGCATGTAGTTCCGGAATTGCTCCAGCGTAACACACATCGGCTCCCCCTCCACCTCCCGACAGAAGTTGTCCTCTGTCCGACAACAGGTTTCGTTTTTCTGGTAGTTCGGATCAATTTGGTGATCGGAGGTGACCGCGTCGTGGACAGAGTAAGCGAAGCTGGTCGCGGCGGCGATAGCCCCACTTTGCTGCGTCCTGACGTCGGTCGTCGTCGAGGGCCACCGGGTTTGCGCTGCGTTCAGGAACTTCCCGCCGGTGACAGTATTACTCCTTTCCCAGATCGAGTGTTCATCCTCCTCGTTTTTCGCAGAGGTAATTGCCTGGTTGCGGGGCATTTCGGTGTAGAATTCCTGGCTCCGGTCCAGGTCATACGTGTAAAACTTCCCGCCGTCCGCCGCCGTTTTCTCACTGTACCCGACCCGCATGCCGCCCGGCTTCAGCGCGACGCTCCACTTGCAAAAATCGTTCGGGAGGAACGTCACGCAAATGTTGTTGTTTGGGTGCTTCGGATCGTCGCAAAATCTCCCCTGCCGCCCGAAATTCTGGTACGCCTGCCCGTTGCGGTCGCGACCCTGGATGATTGAATCATACAGTAAGAAAGCGGAAAGAACTACTTTGCGTCGCCCTGGAACTACGCGAAGTAACTGCGAGCAAGTTTCACCTCAATGAGAATGCCTACTATTTTTGCAGCACAAATAGACGTGCGCGTTGTGTATTCTTTACACAAGAACATTATCTTCAAATTATATCGAATTATACCGTCCTGCTGCACGGCCTCAGCTGGTAGGGTTTCCGTTCCAACGCGTTTTTCACACAGCCTTCCTTCGGGCACCCCGTTTTTGGACACACCTTCAAATCCGCTTTAAAGGAATGGTCGTCCTGTGGACAGTACTGCCCTTCCACACACGCCCGGGTCGGGCACCCAATCGGGCACGCCTTGCCGTCGGCGGGGCACAGAGTTTGCTCTTCCCCCGTCGCGTTCGGGGGCGGGCCGGGGTCGTTCGGGTCCTCTTCGGGCCCAAAAAAAAAGTGGGTGACCAGATTTTTAGTCGTGCTGAATTTGTTCTTGTTGATCTTCAACATTGGAGTACCCGGTTGTGCAAAAATTCTTGCGCTGGTCGTGGGGGATGAAAGAGGTCGTCGTGTGCCAGCAGAAGATGAAGCGGTATCCGACCACGAAGACCAGAGCTCTTTTTGGTCGAGCAATTCCTGCAACGCCGACGTGAGGAGGCCCCCGGGCATGGTTTGATTATAAAAAGGCTAGTTGCTGCGGACACCGTTCTAGTGGTATTCGTCAAAATAAATGCGCACTGCCAAATCAAGTACTTACACATACGGGCACGGTTTTCACACACGAAAACGACTTCCGCTGCGCGTTGCTCATTCTTCTATCTTGTTACCCAGCACGACGAACATGCTGTGCTGAGAATTTCCACTCCCTCGGTGGAACGAGCAAGTAATATGGACCGACGCAGCAAGAACTGCATGTCGCTCAACTTATTCGTCCCCTCTCGTTGAAATCGCTCTCGACGAAGAGAAAACAATACAGAAGAACGACCACAGGATATTCCGCAGCTGGACCGTCGATCGACGAGAAACGAAAACAAGCTTATCGTTTATTTCAACATGCCAACGTGAAAGAACATCTTCGAACAGGAATAATTTCATTGTTTGAACATCTTGATTTTTCTTTCTACTTACATTTCTTCGACGGCAAAATCATAAATTGCTTTTTATTTTCTTGGAATTCGTGGAAACAAATTGCTGTTCCATCTACTGTATTGTAAATTCCACCTGTCATGAATCGATCGAAACAGAAACAAATTTAGATTATCCGTACACCGCCGGTTGCTGATGGTGAAGACTCTCCAGCCAACAGTATTTGTAAGGAAACTCTACCTTAACAAGTTATTGACTCAGGGGTCGGTCCTGCTGGAGTGGTCACAAATTCATCTACTTACGTAAGTCAGTAGCTATTGGCACTCCCATTCGCAGTACCATCTAATTACCAGCTGCGTTTTCATCGTCCCCTCATGGTCCGCGGAGTTTGTTAGTCTTGAGAGTGTCGTGCTAGTACATCCCGCCTCAATACTGGTGCCTTCCGAGGACCGCGTGCGACTCAGCCACCACTTGTCCGGTGCCCACCTCCATCTGGCGGTGCAACTTCCGGCCAAACGACTCGGCCTCGATGTGCGCACACAGGCCCGACATGCCCACACACTGCAGCCAAATGCCGACCCCGGTTATGGATTGCAAAAGTGTCTGGGTCTGGAAGAATGCAACTTGTGATGCTATTTTTGGAATCTAAAAAAATCTGTATTGCATGAGCAGCAAGAGGCGTCCAGTTTTAGCTCCGCGGAGAGGGCATTTCTCATGCGGGATAGGCATCAAGATGCCCGCAAAAAAATTGTGATGCTGGGGCATACATCACAGACATCACGGGCCATGCAAAATGATGTGCATGACAAACCTTGCAATCTTCCAGACCCAGACATTTTTGCACTTGATACCGATCCAAAACGTGCAGATTGCGGTGTGGTTGAAGTGCGGGAGCAGGAACGCGATGACGCAGTTCTCCGGGTGCTTGCAAAAGTCCGGGCCGCAGTTATCAACTGCAAATATGTCTGGGTCTGGAAACTTGTAATGCTAAAAGTGTAATACACTTTTAGCCGGACTGCAATACGCAGCCACGCATGACAAATTTTTGAGCTGCGATGTGTTGCGTATTCCGCATGAGAAACAACGTTTTTACATGACAGATAGGAGAGCCTTTTCGTGGCCATGCATCACGGATTCTCGAGTCATGTCAGACATGCATGACAAATGTAAGAAAGAATCTTCCAGACCCAGACATATTTGCAATGCATAGCAGTAGGAGTGCACCCACTTGCTCGCACCGTAAGAGAAAAATACGATCAAACTGCCCATCGCGTAGATCATAAAATTCCCCGTGGGGGAGTAGTGGTGCTCGGTGAACTTGGCGGTAAAATGCGTGAACTTCTTCTGCAAATGCACGCGCAAGGCGCTCACTCGCCTGTTGGAGTGCCGGACCAATTCGTCCACCGTTTTATCCATGGCTTTTGCTGCGTCGGCAAGATCTGTGGCCAGTAGTTCGTTGATAGGTTTATTCTCATTCATCGCATGATATAGGGTCGTGCTTCTTTTTCAATAAAATTCTCAAGACCTCCTACATGCCGGTACAAACAAAGTAGAAGTGCTTGGAACCTGATGGCCCTTCTTTCATCAAAAAAACGAGTACCGTTTTACAGTTGTACTTCTACAGAGGTCGCACGGTGTGGTGTAGGAAAAAATATCCACATCCAAAAAGCTTAGCCACTAAAAAAGTTCAGCAATTATTAAAACCTGCGCTCGTTCTTCGCTGCAGCGCCAGTAGATCCGAAGCGGTTTTTTCGCACTCCGCTGTCGCGTCACGCAGGTCTTGTTCCGCGGAGGAAACATGAGACCGCGGCATCAGATGGTCGTGCGCACCAGCAGCTGGATTTTCATCATAGTCAGTGTCGGACAGCAAGCTCTCCTGCGGAGAGCTGTCCTGACTACTTGTGCGTCCTCGAAAGGCGCCACCTGCGACATCTTCTGCCGCGTCCGCCGGTGTCGTTTCCGGGCCGATGATCAGATTGTGCATCGTATCCCAGAGGAAAAAGCAGGAAGTAGAGCCTATTTACTATTTGTAATGCAAAAAGAAATACACAGAAAAATTTACCATGGGCGGCCCCATAGCATGCTGTTTAGGATCATGCGCAGTACAGATTTTTGTGTGTATTTATTTTTGCATTACAAATTATGCCTGCTTTTTTCTATGTGATACATCGCTTGCCTCTCGCGGTCTTCGAGCAACGCCTCGACCGACTGCGACTTCTTGCTGACTTGCGAGGAGTCTAACCGGGTCGCCCGACCAGCATGATGCAGCAGCGTTCCGGTCACATGCAGCTGGTTTTCTCTATCAAGAGCAAATATCCCTGGATGTCTGGAAACTTGTGATGCAGCTGGGTGGCGTATCCTGGGGAGGCCACAAGTGCTTGCTCAGCATGGCAAGTTTCTGAGCTTCTAGGAGGTGTTGCCTATTCTGCATGACAAACTGCGTTTCTTTCTGCATGACAGAAAAGTGGTGCTCTTGGGTAACGTGCATGACAGGTTTGAGAGTCATGCCAGAGAAGCATGACAAACATGCAGGATTCTTCCAGACCCAGACATATTTGCGCTTGATATTCTCGCTTCAGGTACAATCCGGTGACAAACACGCTGAGAAACAAGGGGGTCAGCATGGCAATAGAGGGAAGGTACTGCTCCGCAAAGTCGAAATAGGTGGTGTCGATCATGATGACCAGCGCGAGGCCAAAGTAGACCAGCTGCACGTACCGAAAAATCAGCTCCCTTTGCACTTTATGCATTTTCTTGCAAAAGTATCGCAAAATGAGGAAATTGCATTATCTTTACGATTTTTTTTCAAGAAGAAAAACGCAATTTCTCAATCATGCCAAAACACGTGGAAAGTGTAGAGAGTTTTCCTTTTCATGCTAGAACTGTTGCTGCTACTGGACTGTTCCCAATTACTATTAATACTTTTGCCGCAGGTGATACATTTTATCGGACGACTTTCTCCGCTCCTTTTTCGACTGGGAATCCAGTTATGAAATGCAAAAGTGTCTGGGTCTGGAAGATTCCAACTTGTCATGGTAAATCTGAAGCATGCGAAAATCTGTGTTGCATGAGTGCCAAAAGCTGTACACTTCTGACCAAGTTGAGTAGTAGTAGTACCATTTAACTCCTGGCGGGTCGGCGTTAGAACAGATTTAGCCTCTGCCAATACCTGGGCGTTAGAACAGATTTAGCCTCTGCCGATACCCCTAGGTGGAGACACGGTCCACTTCCTAGCTACCACCCGACTGCACCTGCAGAACCGCTATCGATTTCTTACGCATGGCTGCAACCAGTGGGCGCGATGTGTGGCTGACCTGCCTTACCATCCAAGCCCGCGAGCAAGGTGGAGTTCCAGTATTGCCTTGATGGGTTAGTCTTACAAACTTGCTCGAAGAACTACGCGCGTGGCCGGTTGCGCGCTAAAAAGTATACAGGGGGTCTAATGATCAGACACGGTGATCCTACCACGATGGCGGGCGACCCAACGGCGTGTCCCTTTCAGACACGTTTTGCCGATCTTCTTCCCGCACCCTTTTCTATGCGTTTCCATAGAAACGGCCCGCGGAGCTCCGCATTCGCAGAGCCGCCATCGCGCCCGCCCCGGGGGGACCCCTTGGGGAAGGGGGGTGCTGCATTAGCGCAGTCTTTTAAATTAGCAACCCTGGCACCACTTCTTTTATATAGTTTCTCTTTCTTCTCTTTCTTTTTCTTTTCGTTTCCTAGCGCGTCAGTGCATGCGGTTCGCCGGTGCAAGGAGAGGAAAAGCAGCGCCGTGCCTTTACGGCTGGCGGGAACGAAATGATTAGCATCGCCGCACCCCTCCGGGCTGGCGGGAACGTGTCGAAACGAGGTCCATACGCAGTCACATCATTTTTTTCGCTCTTTTCTGTTCCGTTTTGTGTCTACACTCTTCCCTCTGCACCCGCCAGAACACCCCGCATTTGCCTTTTTCGCCTTGAGCCCCGGTCTGTGTCTTCTTTGCTCCTTTATTTCATTCACGTATGAGGTCTCTTATTGCCTCTACTTTGCTATCCATTCATCAATCTCCTCCAAAAAAGAAGAAACACACTGCAGTCACTATTTTCTCTTTCTTCATTCATTTTCCATCGCTGTTTTCTTTTTCTAGGACTCTATACATTTGGGCTAATTCTCGCTGCATAGGAGTTTCGTACTGCATCTGCCTCCTCCTCCTCTTCTCCTCCTGCATCCTCGGCTCCTTCTCCCGCTGTTCTTTCTCTTTCTTCATCAATGTCATGGGGTCATCTGCCATTAATTTCTCGACTGTGGGGAAGTTAGAGGCCTCCGTCGTTTGCTTCTTTTTTTCGTCTACGTTTCCACCGTTTTGGTTCGCTTTCTTGTCTTGTTTCTCCACTTTTCTCCGTTTTTGCTGCTCTTGGTCCGCCTCTTTTTCATCTCGACCTTCCTCCGCCCGCTCCTTATTAATCGCGTCCCTTTTCTCACCCTCCCCCCACGCCACCAGATTCCGAAAAAGTGCTCGCGTTGCCTCTTCTGGGCCTTGATCTATATAGTATCCCTGTCCCATCGCCCCTCTTTTGAACACGTATCCTCTCCGAGTGCCTTCATATTCTTGCGCCCCGTAGAAGCTTTTTTTTTCTTCCTCTTCTCCGTCTTCGCTGATCCCTTCTTCTTGGTCTCCTTCCTCCCGTCCCCTTTCTTTTTCGTTTGACTTTCTACCATCGTCTTCTTTATTCGCCTCCTCTACCTCCTGCAACAGTTTCGTCGCTTTTTGGATTATTCTGAATGCCCCCTGCGCCATCTCGTCACCAGTTTCCTCTGCTTTCTTCTTCTCTTTCTCGATTAGTCGCAGCATAGTTTCAGAAAGTGTCTCTCCTTCCCTTCTTTCTTCCCCTTTTTCTTCTTGCTTTCTTTCTACATTTGCCCGGCTACTTTTACTTTGACTGCTTGCAGCGCCACTCTCCTTTCCTATCCTCTCTGTGTTGGTGTTCTTTTTCGTTTCTTTCTTCTTTTGAGATTTCGCGCTGTCTTTCTCTCCTAAGCCTCGCTTCATTTCATCACCGTCCCCAGCTTCTACATTTTCTTTCTTTTTGTCCCCTTCTGTCTCCTTGTCTTTCATTTTCCTATGTATGTATACCTGCCTTTCTATTTTTGACATTTCCGGCCATTCCCACACCGGTTTCAATGGAATCCGCTTCGTTCCGAAGTCGAACCGCACCCAGTCCGTGCACTCATTGTCGTGATTTAGCACGTTCGCCACCCTGAGCGGTATCTCTTCTTTGGTCCCTCCGTCTATATTTCTTGTCGCTTCTGCTCTGCTTGCAGTTCCTTTTCCCCATCTCGTTACTATAGTTAGGCCCGGGTCCTCACTTTCGGCTTTTTCTATTGTCTCCTGTAGCTCCAAGCCTATTCCATGCCCTTTTCGTAATATCCCCCGCGTCTTCTCCCTTAACTCGTGGCAGTCCAGCAGTATAATCTGCGCCGCTCCGCCTTCTTTCTTTCTCCTCTCTGTGGCTATTTCTATGGCCCTCATTGCGTTGTTGCAGTATGCCACGAAAGTCTTTTCCTCTGTTCTTATTTCAGTCTTTAAGTGCTCCACTTTTGTCTCTATCGTCCTCAGGTGTGTCTCCGTCCTTTCACTTGCCTCTTGTACTGTGACTGTTGTACTTCTTTCATTTCCGGCATGCTTCACCCATATTTTTTGCATCCTATCGCCCTGCCCTTTCTTCCCGAGGCTTCCTTTTCTGTTCCTGCTGACTACCAGACCCGCGCTCCCCCTGTGTGTATACTGATCCTCTACCCTTGGGGGACCCCGCGCGCTTCTCTCCTTCACGATCCCCACTGCACGCAGGTCGCTTCCCGGCGATAGCCTAACTGTCGCGCCATCCTTCAGCGCCCGCAGCAGTGCTATGTCGGCTTCTTTTCTTTTCAGCATTTTTCGTTCTTCTGTTTTCGGGATGCCCGCCTTTGCTTCGCCTACTACCTTTACTGGCGTCGTTGCTAATGGTGCGAACAAGGCCGGGTCTGTTAGGTAGTTTGCCTGCGCCGTTGCGCGTAGCGTTTTCAGTCCCATCGCGTACGGGTCAGCTAGTCCGAGTAAATTCATCCCGAGCACTACCCTGTAGAATGTCTCCGCCGTTGTTTCTGTTCGGGCCATCAGCTCTTCCACTGCCTCCGTTGTCATTCCCAGTGTTTCAGCTATTGTCAGCGCCATTTCGCCCATCAATTCCGCCCAGTCTCCTAGGTCGAAATATAAATGCATCACTGGCAGGAAGTATATCACTGCCGACACAAAGAAAACCTGCACTACCCACGTGAGTTCCTCGCCGTTAAGCCTTCCCCTTTTCGCCATTACTTGGCACGCCAAGCGTTGTCCTATCCCTATACTTTGTCTGACCTGCCCCCTCAGGGCCTTGGCTTGTTCCGTTTTGTCTTTTGGCACTATTTTGATCCCCAGAATCTTCAGAAATGTCTTTTCCTCGAACAGAATCCCGAAAGGCTGGAAAGCCTGTCGGATCACGTTTACCCTCAGCGGGTCTTCTATCGACGTTGCAACTTCGCACTTCTGTGGTGCCAAGAATTGTCCTTCAGTTGCGTAGATTTCCTCATATGCCCAGCTTGCCGCTTTGAGCGCGCGCGCTACTATTTGTATATCTTCGATAAAGAACTTTATTACAACTGTGCCGTCGTCCACGTATTGCACGCATAGGGTCCATCTTCTTTTCCCATCTCCGGGGAGTGTTCCGGAGTAGTATCGAGTCTCCACCCTTTTTCCTTTCTCATCCACCTTTCTTTTTCCCTGCTCTGTCGTTGCCTTCTCTCCCTTTCTGTATCCCGTGACTACTGGCGGGGCTTCTTTAAGGTAGATCTCGTCGGCTTCTTCTCTGACATTGTAATCGGGGAAAGTTGTATCGATATCGCCCCCCTTGTAAAGCCTTTTAATCCTCGTTCTCATCTTGGCATCTGCTGCTTTTAGCCTTTCCTCTTCAGCCCTACCGTCTTCATTAAAGATTTCTTCGAGGAACTCCGCGACTATTTCTACTCCTGGGAGGAAAATCAGGGTCCCCGCTAACATCGTTTCTACTGCGCCCTGAATAAGTTCGCGACGTCTTAGCACGTGTCCGCAACAATCCCCGTTTCTGATCCATAAGTCCTTCGTCCACGCTGTTACTATTATCAACTTTATGAAACACGGGTGTAGTTTTGCAGCTCTGTATGCTGCTACTGCCCTCGGTAGCCCTATATTGTTGAAATAGTTGGACGCATCTAGCCCAAAGACTCCCGCTTCCTTTCTTCTTTTCTCTTGCCCATTGCCTCCCTCCTTTCTTTCGTCCGGTGTTTCCGCTTCGCCCCTCTCTTCCCCCTCGTGACATGTCTCCAGGACCTGCAGCGCTGTGGCTTGGCAGCTTGCTCCTGGTTTTGATGCTGATCCGCATCGGGTGAGTGCGTCACTTTTGTCGGCTACCCGCGCCATTTCATATACCACTACGCTCAGCAACACCCTCACTACCGCTGTCCCCTGTATCACGGTCCGGATCTTTTCTATTGCCGTTGTTGCTGCTGTTTGTTTTTTCAACAGCTCCACCTGCACCGCATTGAGGTGCTCCTCCAGGAGCTTCGGCCCCTTTCCCTCGTTTCGCTTGCTTCATCTCATACTCCTCCACTTCTTTTAAAAACCTACTAAACACCTCTGCTAACACTTGGTATTGTTCTGGTGTAAGGGCGCGGTATATTCCTTGTCGGAGCCCATCCATGCCTGCTGCTTCACTGTTTAATTTTGAGACATGGGCTTGTAATTGTGGCCCCGTAAGTCGTACGCTCTTTACTTCTTTACATGCTTGCGTGAGCTGTCGTGGCGCTTTTTCAAGCTCTTTTCCGTCATATGCGTGCTTTTTGTCATTTTGCTTTCTCACGAATTCACACTTGAGGAGGTGGCTACTCGCTATCCTTTCTGTCGCTGCTTCCACCCCTTGCACTAGTGTGCCGCCTACAGTTACTTCCTTCGCCTCCCCCATCGGCATTCCTCTGCCTACCCCGCACACAGCTTCTTTTACCTTTCTAGCCGTCTCATAAACCGCTTTCTCATTTTTCTCTTCCTTTTTTGGCTTTTCTGCGAATGACGCCAGCCATGTCTTTTCCATTTCGTCCTGTTTCGATTTCTGCTCCTGTCGTCGTGCGGTTTCCTCGTTCTTCTCCTCTTTCTCTTGCGTTTTTCGCTCGTCTTTTTTCTTCTTCTGCCAATTTTCGTAATTCGCGTCCTGTTTCGGTACTTCTTTGAGTTTCAGCACGCCTGCCTCGCCTAGCTTCTCCATCAGCCATTTTTGCATCCCTAGCATGCTCCTGCGATTTTCTGGCGCCGTCCCTGCTTTTTCCATCACCTGCTGTAGTCTTTCTAACGTCACCGACTTTCTCGGCCATTTCACCAGCTGCGTGACAGGGTTTTTCTTCTGAAGTCTTTCTTTCCCTTTTATGATCTCAATTCGCTGCCTTGAGCTTTCAACTGTCGGCACCATCAGCGTATAGCGCGCATTAAATTTCCACCTCTTTTGCTCTTTTTCTTTCTTCTGTTTTTGTTCTTCTGTGGGCTTCTCGGGCTCTGGGATCCACACTATGTCTGCTAGCAGAGCTACGTGGTCCGACTCCTCTTCTTTATTCTCCCCCTCTACCTCCTTATCTTCTCCGTTTTCCTCTTTTACTGTCCGCGGTATTTGAATTCTTTCACAGGTCTTCGCCACAACTTTTGCCCTTTTTTCCGCTATCGCTACTATATCGATCGCTGTCGGATTTTCCGGGTTTCGGAAGCATGTCGGGCCTCCTGTTGTAAGTGTTTCAGCATGTTTGTTGAAAATCTTCTGTATCGGTTCTATTATTTCGCTGAAGTAAACTTTTTGCACTCCTGTCCGCTCCCTCTCGAATTTCACCTTTCCCCTTTCATCAATTTGATGCTGACAGTTTAGGTCTCCCGCCAGTATGGCTATTCCTGCTTCTTCTATCATCTTTTCGAGTTCTGAAGTCATTTCTTGCATTTGCTTCCTTATGTGTGCTACCTCCTCGCTGTCCTTCGGTGTGTCCTTTGCCGGTCTCCGATAGAACGCGACCACTAGCATTCCTCTTTCGTCCTCTGCTGCGATCATCCATAAAAGTATACCCTCCTTGTCTGTCGCATCTCTCTGGAAGAATGCGCCCCCCCTTTCCCTTCGAAAAATCTCCTTTCTCATTGTCTTTTTTGGTAGCTTCTTCGTTTCGTCTGTGTACACGATTCCTACCGCTCCCGAGTTCATCTCTGACGCCACGCCTTTCATGTCTGTGGCGGCTGCGAAGTATATTCCTGGCCTCCCCTCTAGTCCTAATCTCTTCATCTCCTCTTCTACATGTTTGAACGCTGCCTGATCTTGTGTCAGCGCGGCGGTCTTCAACTCGGCGCAGCTCGCCCCTGTAATTTTTGGCGCTATGTCTCTGTAAGCTTTCACTAGCCTAATCGCATTCAGACGCTTCACCCCGTTAATATTCCAGAACATATGTCGCTCTCTTCTTAAATCATCTTGCCCGTCATTTCTTTCTTTTTTCTCTTCTTCCCCCATTTCTTCTTGCATTTCTCCCCTCCATATCCCGTCTGGCTCCTCTTCATTATCATTGCGCTCTTCTTTTTCCTCCTCCATCTCACCTTCCCTCTGTTCTGTGTCCGTCCTCCTTGTGCTGTCTTCTCTTCCTTCCGGGGTTTCCCGCGGTAGCAGGCTTTCCTGCCGTTTTCTATCATCATCCCCCTCGTTCTGGTCCATCTTGTCTTTGTTTTCTTACTGTTTTTGACTATCAGGACCGACTGCTCATTCTAATGCTACGCTAGCTATACACTATCCAAACTGCTTCGAATAAAAAGAATAAATTAAAACTAAACTCAGAATAAGGAGGGGGTCGCTACTTTCCTGCTTTTTCGTCGTAAGTTCAAAAGGTCTACTACTTCTACTTAGTCTACTACTCTAAGTTAACGCTTTCTCTCTGCTTCACCAGTATACTTCGTCGCTGCTTTTTTCTTTTTGGGTTCCTTATATTTTTTGAACACACTGCACATCTCTACCATCTTTTTCTCTAGGTGCCCTGCGGCTTTCTCATCTTTTTTGTTATTCCTATCCGTTTTTATTTTGATCTCCATTCTCTCTCTTGGATCTCGTCTGTACAGCGGCCCCGTTTTTTCCTCTTAACTTGCACACATTCCTCAGCCGCCGCCTGCGCTCCTCACCGTCGCCCTTCACTCTGCTTTCTTTCTTTTTTCCTGAATTTTCCGCAGCCGGTCTGCTCTCTGTGTGCCATTTTCCCTTTTCCGGGCTTCTTTCGTCCTTTTTGCTTGTCCTTGTGCTGCCCGCTGTTTTCTCTTCTTTTCGTGTTCTAATCTTTCGGCCCGCGTCAATCTAACTAGGGCTTTGCTCCCTTTATATGATTTCGTCTCTATTAGCTCTCGAGCCCGCTTCTGCCATTCTCTGTGTCCTTCCTCCGACTCAAGCGCTTGCGCTAGTCGCTTCCGTGCGTTCTTCGAGTTTGTGTTTATTGTTTCTTTTCTATCCTTGCTCAGCTGAGCCTTTTCTTTTTTCTTTTTCTTATTCTGCACCCTCCGCCTTCTCATGTCGTCGCCGATGTGTATCTTCCATTGTATTCTGTTCATCCTCCTCAGACGGACTATCCCTAGCGCCCTCTTCTTGTCTCTCTCGTCTTCCAGCTCCGTGTTTGTTTCTTTGCTTTCTATCGCTGCAGCGAACAGCTTTTTCATTTTTTCGGCCCCTGCTTTCAATCTCATTGCCCTCGCCATATGCTGTCTCTGCTTCATTGTTAGCGTCCTGCCTGATGCGTCTTTCTCCGGCGTCCTACGCAGCCACTTTGTCATGGGTGTCTTTCTCTTCCTCCGTACTTCTATAAGGTTCTTTAGTAGGCGCATTTTCATGCTCCCCCTCCTTTTGTTTATATCTTTTATCGTCATGGCTGGCTTCGCCTTCCCTGTCAATATTGTGTCGCTTTCCCGTTCCTCTATTAGCTCGGCTATCGTTGCTCTTTCTTTTGGTTTTTTTTCCTCTTCATCTATTTTTTTTCGCAGCTTCTCGGTATCCCTCTCCATCTCCTCCAGGAGCGTGCTCAGCCGGTCTAATTTTCGCACGTCTTCTTTTTTCTCTTTCTTCGGCGGTGGCTTGAAGCGTGGCACTAGGAGCGCCATTTTTTGATCTTTTTTTCTAACTAGTTTGCGTAGCTCATTACCTTCCTACCTGCTTCGATCTCTTCTAGTTGCCGAGCAAGCTCCTGCCGTTTCGCCTTCATATCATTTCTTGATCGCCTTTAATGAAGCACTATTCCCACTACATTTCGCATCCTACGCGCGCACGCTGCTGCTTAGATCTATCACGAGACAAGACTAACTACCGCATCTACTCCTTCCGTGAAGTAATGCGCTTTTCTTCCTCATTCTCTATTTTCATGCAGGCCTCTGTCCCCTTCTATCTAGCCACTCAAAAATTTGTAAGTAATCTGAAAAGCACAACTAGCATCGTACTCAAAACCGAGGCAAGCAATCGCATCGCTGTCTCCTTATCGTTCATTCGTGTCTTCTGACTGTGCCATATTTTTTCTCCTGTTGTCATTCTCATCGTGTTCTATCTGCTCCCTCTGGCTTCCCTTCGGCTTATCCCGTCGCTCTTCCGCTATCCGCTCACCCTGGGTCCGCTAGTAGTATCCACTTCCGCCCATTCCCCACTTTGTCCCGCTTCCGTAGTTATAGTTTTCGTGCCCTCCGTCCCCTACTCCCTTGCCCGCAGCCCACCAGTTTTTTTCTTTTCCCCAGTCCCATCCTCCTTTCTCTCCCATTTTCCCGTAGGGCGTTTTTCCTTTTCCGCCCTTCTTGTACCAGTGTTCCATTCCTTCTTTTCCTCCGTACGGGCCTGATTTGGGACCGTACATGGGGGTGGCGTAGTGGGGCCACTCCGTGTCCCATCCTTTTCCTTTCGTCATCTGTTCCTTCCCGTGTTGTCCCCATTCGTTTTTGCCCGTGTCCCCTTTCGCTTTTCCTTCGCCTCCGGGTCCGTAATCCGCCACCATTTCCTCTTCGTACTCCTGGCGCGCCTGCGGCTCCCCCTTCACCTTGGTTGTGAATTGGGCTCCGTCTTCCGTTTCGTTGTATTCTTCTTTTTCTCCTTCTTCTTTCCCGTCGTCGCATTGGGAGTAGAAGGCTCTGCATTTTCCCTCTTTTTTCTTTGCAAGGCCTTTCCCGTAGTCGCCCTCTTGTTCTGCTTCCCAGTCGTCGTAGAACCCCCCGCCCTTCTCGTATTCTCCGCTCCCCTTGCTTTCATTTTGATACAGATACTCTCCTCCGCCCATGTCCGAGTAGTTTCCGTAACCCACTTCCTCGGGCCAGTAGTAGCCCTTTCCTTTCTTTCCGTACGGGGCCTGGTTCAACATTCCCCATTGCTCCCCCCCCGCCTTCGCTGCTTCTTTTTCCCATTCGAGTGCCGTTTTCATTTGGTTGCTCGGGCGGAGGTATTGATCTTCTTTCCACTCGATCACTTCTCCGGTTCCGATTTGTTTCTCGTCGACGTTTTCGCCTGTGTCGAGGAACTCCTCAAACAAGTCGGCCATCAGGGCGCCGTCCCCTTGGAGCATCAGCGTGCCACTGTTCCAGAATCTCACAACTGTCCGCTTTTCCATCCACAGCACCGCAGCTGTCTTGTCGCACCCCTCTCGGGAATGCATCTGGATCGTATCCGGATCCTGATTTATCAGCTGGCCCAGGAATTCCATCAACTGCTCCGCTTCGATGTTCACAAACTTAGTGTGATTTTCTTTGTCGCGGCATGGGCCGGCCGCCGACTTTTTCTTTTTTCCCCTCCCCATTTTTGGCGAGCTTCTTCTTTCTTTCTCCTTTTCCTCCTGTCTCTCTTCTTTTTGCCTTCTCTCGCGGGCAGTTATTTTGTGATGCTCCGCAGCTCGTGACTCGGCCTTAGGACTTCGCCTGCGTGCCGCGTCTGCTGTCTTTCACTTACACTTTCTTCCAAAACTAAGTATAATGTCGCTTGTGTTTACTTCTTACGCTAACTGTGTGTCTATCAACTTTATAAGGTGGAAGCTCTAAACTTAATTCTGATTCGTTTCCTACTGTAAATTTTGCCCTTTGATGTCGCTTGAGCCAAAATGGCTACGGTTGGAGGGGAGTTTCTCATGCAGTTGGAGGGGAGTTTCTCATGCAGGATAGGCATGGCAGAGACCTCGCAGAGTCTGTCATGCTAAGTCCCGCATTCCAGACCTCATGGGTAATGGAAAATCAGCATGACAAGTCTACACGACTTTTCCAGACCCAGACATTTTTGCATTTGATACCAGCGTCAGTGCTGAGATGATGTCCTGCGAAAAGGAGCTGAGGCCAGAAAGCTCATCCTCCGGAGAAAATGTGCTCGAGCGCAAAAGCGGCTCGCGATCTGCTCCCGGGGACGCGGAGTTCGTCTTGGGTGATGCTGGATTCTTGTCCTCTTGCTGCTTTATTTCAACAGGAGACGGTGTTGATGTTTTCGAAGCACTGGCCGCAGCCGCAGCCGCGCTGGCCGTTTTTATTACGCTCGTTAGACCAGCACCATCTTCGACATGTTCCTCATGCTGCCCGGAGGTGCCTGTAGAAGTTTTGTTGACGATTTGAACTCTTTCCAAGTCGTCGACGGCCGCCTTGCTGCTATCAAGTGCAAATATGTCTCGGTCTGGGAGAATGCAAGTTTATATGTCATGCTTGTCTCGCATGTTGACTCTTGAATCTGTAATGCATGAGCAGGAAAGCAGCCTCTTACCTGTCATGCTGCAAAATCGCAGTCTGTCATGCGGGACGCGGGACGCGAAACACATAGAAAATCAGAAACTTGTCATGCGTGGCTGCGTAACGCAGTGCGCCCACAAGCCAGAAACCAGCATCACAAGTTTCCAGACCCAGACATATTTGCAGTGGATAGCTCCCCAGATAAGGCAAAAACTCGTCCTCCTCCTCTTCCTCGCCCGAGGAGGTTTGGAACAATTTGGAAGTTCCTTATGAGAGTGCACAACCCGAACAGCCCCCCTCATTTGTCATCGCAAAATACCAAATCCACGCTTTGTTTGCTTTGCCTCTTGGCACCGTTTGCATGACAAGTTCTGCCAGGAGCAGAAAAACCACTACAATCTTCCTGCGCGAATTTGTCATGCAAAACCTGCACTCTTGCTGATGCTTGTATTGCTGTTCATGCGTGGCCTAAAATGAGGGGGACGGAGCGCTGTGCACTCTCATATTCGTCGTCCGTCGCTGTCCCGTAAACTACCGCCGTCCTCGTCATCCCCAGTACCACCGATTTTCCTCTTTTTCTTCCGTCGACTGCTGGGAAGATCCCAGTATATCCACAGTAAATTTCCCGCACACGTACAAACGCAGTCTCTGCATGACAAAAGAAACTGGGCTTCGATACTAGTTTAGCATGACAAGTGTTGCATTCCAAATTGGTGAAATTTGTGATGCATCTTGTGCATGCCCGGGAAATTTGTATTGCGTACAGTAGATGCTGAGGCAGCAACTGAACCAGAACCCGCCCGCGGTCATGTAGGCCCAGGTCTGCAGCAGTTTCTATCAAATGCAAAAATGTCTGGGTCTGGAAGATTGTCATGCTAGTCTGGCATGACTCTGCACTCTGTATTGCGCGGCCACCAAGAGCTTCTCTTGCCTGTCATGCAAAAGCGCAGTTTCTCATGCGAAATACGCATCACAGAAGCACGAAAAAACTTGTCATGCTTGGCGGCGCATTACAGAGCACTTATTGTTCACGGACTTGCATCACAAGTTTCCAAACTCAGACATTTTTGCAGTTGATAGTTTCACCCAGAACACGAATTCCGCCGGCTGCAACACAGACGCCTATGGATTGCAAATATGTTTGGGTCTGGAAGAGCCAAACTTGTGATGCTGCACTTGGATGCTACAGAAATCTGTATTGCATGAGCAGCAAGGGGCGTCAACTTTGGCTACGCGGAGAGGGCATCTGTCATGCAGGATGCGCATCGATAGGCGCTCAAAAAATCTGTGATGTTATGGCGTACTACATCACAGACATCATGGATCATGGAAAATGTGCATGACAAACTCCTCCTGTCTTCCAGACCCAGACACTTTTACATTTGATAACGCCTTGCGGCCGTCGATGATGGCGATGGTGGCGAACAGACACTGGTGCCCCCAGAGGAGATATCCCGGGAAAAAACTGCGTAAGTGTAACTTTGTGTTGCAGAAAATGCAAAGCTGTTTACGCTTGTCATGCTGGACATGCATGACTCTTCAGAGGCTATTTTCGTACGTGTTTTCAAGTACTAGCTACGCATGACAGGTTTTCTGTGTCATGCAGAGCAAACTTGTGATGCTGATCCTCCAAGAAAATTACAGTTACACAGTTTTTTTCGTGCATAGGAGGAAAACGTTGGAGAAGTTCATCCGGGCTGCGTATCAAATGCAAACGTGTCATCTGGGTAGGGTTTGTGATGCTGTTTTTGCATGACACAGAAGGTCTGATCTGAAGCCCTAGCATCACAGGTTTCCAAAAGCTTCCGCAATGCCTATTAATCCGCATGAGAAACCCCGCCCCCACTTTGGTGACAGGAAGTGGGCGTCTTTTGCTGCCTAGGCATGAGAGATTTGTGTGTGTTGTGAACTGCGCATCACAAGTTCTTCGCAACATCCTTCCAGACCCAGAGGACAACAACATACTTGCATTTGATATTTCGGGAATCTCGTTGAAGGAGCACATCCGCCGGATGTTATCCCAGGAAAAAAGTGTTACAGTTACACATTTGTAGTCAATTCAGCAACACAAATTTCTCTGCATGAGAGAGAAAACTTGTAACGTAAAAATCCTACGGGAGAACACCTTATTTCCCGTTTCATAGGCATAGAATCTATGCGTATCCGGCATGACAGAGCTGGTCTGTCTTGCTTGGCCTGCAACACAATGTGTAACTGTAACACTTTTTTCTTGCGATAGATGTAAAAGCCGAAATAGTAGGCGACGTAAATGGTCATATCAAATGCAAATATGTCTGGGTCTGGAAGATGAATGCGGGATTTGTCACGCTAGTCGGGCATGACACTGAGCTCTGTATTGCGTGGCCAGCAAGAGCTCCTCTTATCTGTCACGCAAAAGCGCTGTTTCTCATGCGGAATACGCAAGAACACGGAGCCAAGGATAAATCTGTCATGCCTGGCAGTGCATTACAGTGCGCTTTCTTCTCACTGACATGCATCACAAGTTTCCAGACCCAGACATATTTGCAATGGATAGGTGAAGAAAAAGAGCAAAATCGCCGCGGAACTGTTTTCCACTCCGTGCTTGTAGTATGAAGTGCAAAAGTATCGCACTCGTATAAATGCATCACAAATTTCCTCAGCATGAGAAATAAAATTTGTCACGCGGATTTGCCTTAAGACAAAGATTTGTAATGCAAGACTTGCATTTATACGAATACGATACTTTTGCACAGGATATGTAGTACTCATTGCCAAAAAAGTCCGTCAATTCCTTGTCGCTCCAGCTACATTATCAAATGTAAAAATGTCTGGGTCTGCAAGAATGCAACTTGTAATGCTGCATTTGGACTCTACATAGAATCTGTATTGCATGAACAGGAACAGCAAAAGAGCAGGTGTAATTTGTGCTACGCGGAGAGGGCATTTCTCATGCGGTATGAGCATCAGAAAGCCCTCGCAAAATCTCTGATGCTAGGGCATGCATCACAGACATCATGAATCATGCAAAATCTGCATGACAAACTCATGCATTCTTCCAGACCCAGACATTTTTGCAATCCATATACAGTTGCGACCGTGCGACGTTGAGGGTAAAATAAATGCAGCTCCACCTTCTGCAGCTCCCGTCGATGGTAATGATGTGTAGTTCGTCAATTGCTCCACCTGATGATCTCCCGTCGAATTACTACGTCTACTATCGGACGGGCTGCAACACCCCGGAAAAAAGAAACTACTGGTGCTGGCGGATGTTGAATTATCTGCTGTACTTCTAGCGGCGGCCGTGGTACTAGCAGCGGTTGAAGCTCCTGCTGTGTAGTTGCGGTTCTCGTAGTTTTCCTGCTGGTCGACTTCATCTACTTGTGACAGCTGAAGATGTTGTTCATGATCTGGACGACCGTCTCCAATTGTATTCACCTTGTTTCCTGCCAAGGGTTCTTGTTGTTGTTCCAACAAGTTGCTTGTTATGCATTGCAAATATGTCTGGGTCTGGAAACTTGTAATGCTGAGCTGGAAATAGCGAGTTCCCTGTAATGCACAGCCAAGCATGAGAAGTATTTTCGTGCCTATATGTTCCGGCTTGTTCCGCATGACAAGCACAAGCTGCGTTTTTGCATGCCAAGAACATGGGTCTCTTCTTGGACACGCATCACAAACTCTTCAGTCATGCCAGACAAGCATAACAAACTCTGCACCCTTCCAGACCCACACATTTCTGCGATCCATACTCGTCGCGACAGTACCACCTCCTCCGTCGTCTCCTGTACTCTCCTCGGGGCCAGCTGCTATACTAGAGGGAGTTATTGTATGGGTATAATGCGTGTGGTCGTTGTTAAAAATGTGTGGCACGACCATATTCGCAGCGGTGCGGCTGTCAAGTTGCTGTAACATGGAGGACTGCTCGTGGAACTGTCTACTCTGTCTGCTCGCAGCTCCTGCTGATGCAGATTTGCTCCCCGCCGGCGTAGAAGATGCAGCAGTTCTACCTGGTGTAGCACTGCTACTAGTTCCATCATCTTGAAGTAGATGGGTATCAAAACCTGCAAGAAGGACTTCAACATCTGCTGCACCACTACTCGTCGGATCATAGAATTTGTAGCTTGGGTCATCATCTTCTTCGGTTCTTGTGCTGCTCCTGATGCTACTTCCACTCCCACGGAGACGAAAACTGTGGTCCACCTCGTCTTCGCCGGGCTGAAGCTGTAGCTGAAGCGTACTCGTCGTATAAAAATCTCCTGAAACAAGCTTTATATTGTCCCTATAATTTTTCCGCACTGGTCCTGGCTCTCGTCGTTCGTCTTGGGCGACGGGGTTTAGAACAAGTTCATCTCGAGAGTTCTTGTTCTCAACATCTTCAACCGTCACTTCTACGTGACCCACTTCCGGAACAACAGGCTTTCCAGAACGTCGAGCACTAGCACTACCCTCCTGCGGTAGAAGATCATCTCCTGCTTCTGGTTGGGCAGCTTGCTCTGTCAGACTGCTGGTGCTCGAGTGAAGTAGATCATGATGCTCATAAGCAGGAACAACGACTACCCCCGCGAAGACGTTGTTTGTTCCTGTGCCACGTCGTCCGGAAGATGCAGACCCCACCGCAGGAGGAGGTCCATCTACTTGTTCCGTTTTGCTGACAAGAAAAACGTCCCCGGAAGGCTCGACCTCGGCGGCTGGGACGTCGGATGTTAAACTTCTCCTATGATATCGCCGCCCCGGGGAGGAGCTGCTTGAGCTTTTCTCTGCTTGTTCCGGCATGCTTGATTGAGATTGATGCAGGACGACTGCTCTGAGGATTCTTTATCTTTTTCTTCTTCTTTTCGCCTGCGCTTCTTCCTGGTGGTAGACGATATGTCAACAAATACGCAACAAGAAAACAGGTTTTTCTGATTCTTTGGGTCGCAATAACAAGATTCGGTCGGAAAGCGAAGGATGATACATCAATAAACGAGGATTTATTTTGCAAACGATAAGCCATCAGAGACGATGTACGAACCATAAGGAAAACAAGAAGCTCCGAGCGAAATCATCTCCAATAATTCTCGCTTTCAATAGATAGATTGTTATACTTTGTGGTACATTCTGATACTAGCGACAACAATTCATATCACCAGCGAAACATCAAGCGACAACGATTTTCAGTTTCTCTAATAGCGATTCTAACGATGGATTTGCTCTCTCCACTGTCCACGAACGGAACACCAGAGGGGGAAAACGATGTGAATAGATTAGACTATGAACTACAACCTCAGGGTGGAGGAACAATCCGAGCACGACTAAAGGAATCAAAATCAATCAGAAATAAGGCGCCGACACGACAGAAGCTATTCTCCATCGGGAAGCGCAAGTACAAATCTTCTTCGTTCTATTTTTTAGCTCCTCAAGACCAGAGAAATGAGAGCCATGTGCTTCCACCGACTTCTAAAGATCCACTTGAGGACTCTGAAAAACATCATCAGTGTGAAAATTGTACAGCCAAAGAACAATACGTCGGCCACCAACGCACCTATAAAGTTGTTCCTCATTGAGAGGACACAACATGATCTGTGTGAGCAAAACTCATGATCGACAGAAATCGCCACCGAAATAATGTAAAAGACTGGCTGCAAGTAGATCGCGCTGAAAAATATTGATTTTTCTATGCAACACAAAGTGAGTTCGGTACAACGCCGCAAGCGCAAATCCAAATTATATATGGTCTGTCTGTCAGTCTTTTTCCCAGAAAGATTTACCCTTCGTTCCACCGCCTATATATAATGGCGGTAGTGGTTTGCAAAAAAGTAACTTCACAAAACTGAAGTGGTCGTATGCATTGCAAATCTGTAGTCTGGGTCTGGAATTTCCATAAGGCTTGCCAAGCATGTTTTCTCCAGAATAGAGAAACGCGTGGGCGGATAGAGCGCCGCTTGTTTGGTTTCTTGTCAAACTCCGACTTGTCGTGGCCCACACAGAAAAATTACATACAGTGCCCACAGAAAAATTACTTTTTCATGCAGCATAGTGATCGGGTACAACTACCTATTGGGTGAGTTCGCGTTCTTCTTGTAGTTCGTCGTGCAGAATACAATTACAGCAAGAATACTTTTGCTTAGTAGGAGCAGTGAGTAAAATAACTACTACTATACTTACTAGCATAGTGCCTCCAAGTTCATCTGTCACATGCACATCACATGAAGACCGGACCCAGACTACAGTACATTTGCAATGCGTAGGTTGTACTTTCGAATATCGCCTGCAGGACCATCTGCAGGTCGCACGCTTAGATCGGGTACAGCCAGTACCCGCATTTCCACTCCGTTTCGAGAAAGCGGGTGCATCACGTTGATCTGGTTCTGTGCCAGCCCCGGACCCGGGATCTCCAGCGGGGGATCATCATCACCCTGAACGACAGAAATAGACACCACGCTTTCTCTTTCACGTGGAGGTGCCAGGGCGGAGACACGAATCTGCAACTTCGCGTCCGAGTAATGACGTAAGCGGTATGTCAGAACGAAGCTTGTCGCCCAGATCTCCCAAGACGTGTTCCGCCGCGTCTCTTTTTCTACAGTTGGCACCTCCGCGCCGGGCGCTGTGCAAATCCTCCCAATCGCGTCTTCCATGGAAACTAGGAGCTCAGTCGGGATCGTCCCTTGCACAGGACCGCTGTGAGGAGTCGGACCCCGTGTCACCGGAACCTCCGCGGAGCTGCTCCCGTGTTATCAACAGTAAAAATGTCTGGGTCTGGAAGAATCGAACTCGTCATGCTGATTTTGAATTCTAAAAAGCTCTGTATTGCATGAGCAGCAAAGAGAGTCCAAGTTTTGCTACGCGGAAAGAGCATTTGTCATGCAGTATAGGCATCAGAAAGCCCCCACAAAATCTGTGATGCTGGGGCATGCATCACAGACATCAGGAGTCATGCAAAATGTGCATGACAAACCTGGCAATCTTCTAGACCCAGACATTTTTACATTTTGTACGTGTTGATCTCCAGCGGGGGATCATCATCACCCTGAACGACAGAAATAGACACCACGCTTCCTTTCTCTTTCACGTGGAGGTGCCAGGGCGGAGACACGAATCTGCAACTTCGCGTCCGAGTAATGACGTAAGCGGTATGTCAGAACGAAGCTTGTCGCCCAGATCTCCCAAGACGTGTTCCGCCGCGTCTCTTTTTCTACAGTTGGCACCTCCGCGCCGGGCGCTGTGCAAATCCTCCCAATCGCGTCTTCCATGGAAACTAGGAGCTCAGTCGGGATCGTCCCTTGCACAGGACCGCTGTGAGGAGTCGGACCCCGTGTCACCGGAACCTCCGCGGAGCTGCTCCCGTGTTATCAACAGTAAAAATGTCTGGGTCTGGAAGAATCGAACTCGTCATGCTGATTTTGAATTCTAAAAAGCTCTGTATTGCATGAGCAGCAAAGAGAGTCCAAGTTTTGCTACGCGGAAAGAGCATTTGTCATGCAGTATAGGCATCAGAAAGCCCCCACAAAATCTGTGATGCTGGGGCATGCATCACAGACATCAGGAGTCATGCAAAATGTGCATGACAAACCTGGCAATCTTCTAGACCCAGACATTTTTACATTTTGTACGTGTTGATCTCCAGCGGGGGATCATCATCACCCTGAACGACAGAAATAGACACCACGCTTTCTCTTTCACGTGGAGGTGCCAGGGCGGAGACACGAGTCTTCACCTCCGTGTCCGGGACATCACGTAACCTGTAATATGTCAGAGTGGAACTTGACTTGTCGACCCCCACGTCGGGCGCAGTGCAAATCCTCCCAATCGCGTCTTCCAACGAAACCAGGAGCTCAGTCGGGATCCTTTGCGCAGGACCGCCGTGAGGATCAACATTTTCCGCGACAAAAGCTTCGAAAATTTCCTGGAAAAAACTCTGCCTCGCATGGATGTTGTTACGAATGCCATTACCTGCTGGCTCCGGAGTATTGATATTATCAAACGCGTCTGCCCTCCTTTTTCTCGCCGCCAGCGTGCACGCGACGTCATTCCAGTCGTGTGCGAACGAATCCTCAGCGATACTGTGCGGCTTTACTGTGTCGTCTTTTATCGCTTGCAACAGCCCCTTGACCATATTTCGAGCGAGGCGCGCGTCACGACCACGGCGACGGCGCTCAAGGTCCTCCTCCTTGCTTCGACTGCCCGAGGCGGCTGCCCTCGCCTGGTCGGCAGCGCCCAGCCAGCTTCGGCTGACTGCCCGGAGTGGCGTGGATGCCTCGGCACGACCCGGGGTCTCCGGCCAGAAACGACACGGCCAGAAAGGACGGGGGCGTGGATGATTCCCCGGTTCTTGCTCGGTGGGGTCCCCGGCCAGAAACGACGCAATGGCCAGGAGCGGCTTGTCAGGAGGGGTTCTTATCCTACGGAAATCAAAAAGGGGAAGTACACGACCCATAGTATGTACCGGAACTTGTGTAGTTGCGATTTTTGTGTGTAACTGTTCTGTGATGCGGGGAACCAAGAAAGAGAGGCCATCCCCCTGCTGCAAGTGCAAACATGCAGAACGATGCATTTGGTAAGGCTAGCCAGCGACCAGCACAAAAAATTCAAAAAAGCGCTTGTCCTCGTGCCGAGCGGTCGGATTGAGCTTTTCACTATCATTGATTTGACGCTAAGCCCCGCAACAAAAGATTCATTCTTTTTCTGGTGCCTCTATGGGTCGTGTGCTAGTACTTCTTCATTTCCCTTGCATATTTTGGTCAACCTTTCCGCGAGGAGAAACACGGGCCTTGATGTTCCGCCGGCTGCAGAGTCCGCAGCTGGTCGCCAGGCGCCGCTTCTGCCGAGCAGACGGCCCAGGATCATCTTCAGAAGATGTACTACGCCACGATGGAAAAAGGCTCCGAAGCATGGTTCCTTTCCCAGAAGTTGCACTTTCCGCTGGCGCCGTCACGCCGGCTGCTTCTGCTCGCAAAACAAGATGGCTGCTCGTCGTGATAAAGAACAAGCCGGGGGTATGAATCATTTTCAACAGGCAGGCTGCGCACAGACGCAGCGAAATACTGCACGTTTTGGTATTTTTTTTCATTTTGTGAGTGGTAAGCTCTAGTTCTCCTGGCTGTAGTTCTCGATTTCTGTTGTAAAAGGTCTTTATTTTTATTGCGAGGAACAAAAAAAACAAAAGCTGTTTTCAGTCTAGTACCTGACTCACGGTCGAAGTACTGGAAGGCAAGCAGCACGCTCTTTATTTTTACGTACGTTAAATGCTTCAACTAACAAAACTGGTCGCCCCTTGATTGGAATATTGATTTCGTTACCATAGCTAGGTAGTACCATCAAGAAAAATCAGAAGGGGCGTTCTGATGCATTCGCATTCCTACTGATCGCCGAAATAAAACTAAATCTATGTATAGAACCACTTGCGTTGCGGTTGCCAACCCCTCGGAAGATCCCTGGCTTTTTTCATGCTCATTAGACTACTGAAGGCGGATCCATCTCGACAATGCTCCCAAAATTCCGCCCGGGTCTTCGCGTTTTCCACTAAAGAGTCCGGATCTGCTGCTGCTGGCCCCTTTTTCTGTTTCTTGACCAGGAACCAGGGCGCGCGCTTCACGAGGAAACTCTGAAACTCCTCCATTCCAAACGCCGCCGGATTTTGCTCGATTTCTGCCTGCAGTTCGAAGTTGAACTTTGCTACGGTTTTCGGATCGGGCTCCAGCGTAAACTCCTTGGAATTTGCCTGCCGCTGAAGTCCTTCGCGCCGCATCTGTGCATGCCCTTTCACATCTACCTGCACTTCCAGCGCCTTATGGTCCAGACGTTTTGGTGCCGCTAGCTCTCCGGTCTGCGTCAGTCCATTCGGATCGAATCTGCGGTAGCTTCTGAACTTTGATAAGAAGCGGCCATTGGTTAAGAAGTGGCCCAGCTCGTTGCCCTCTCTCGTGGCGGACGACTCTCCGGGACCTGCGTCGAAGTGCGTACCGGCGAGCACGGTGTTGAGTGCTAGCAACTTGTTGGCCAACTCTTTGCCCCTTGGGTTTGTGTGCTGCAACCCTTTGCCGCCGTGAATGCTCGAATTCGCAAAGCGCTCCGCCCCGATCTGTGCATTGAGGTCGCCACACGTAATTTGCGTCTTCCACTTTTGGCGCTTGCGTCTGCCCATCTCCATGAAATGCCGCAAAAAGTCCATGTCAAAGCGTTCCCGCTGGTTTTTCGCGGTTGCACTTGTGGGGGCATAGATGGAAGTCAGTATCATCTCCGCCAGGTGAATCGACAGGATCCGGGGCCGGGCCCGAATATGCTCCGCCGGATTTTTCATCGCGATCCGTAACTGTTCCCGCAGCTGCGGATGAATAATCGCAATGCCTACGCCATTTGTATAAGCCAAATCATACTTTTTGCGCTTCACCCAAGTCGGTTTGATGGTGCTCAAGGTCTGCGGGGCCTCGTAGTTGTCTTCAAAACTGCCATCCGTCTCGTGTCCGTCGCTGTCGCTGTTCTCTTGGTTAAAAATTGCCGGGCTTTGTGCTATGCTGCCTTCCTTACTGAATACTGTGTCGTCGTCAAGAAGTAGTGACTTCGTGTAATTGAACTCGTTCAAGCACACCGCGTCCCACTTTCGCCATCGTGCCACTTCCATGGCCCAGGTGAAAGACGCCCCCTCCGGGTTTCCAGATCGCATGTTGATACACCCCACCGAGTAGCTCATATGCCCGACCAGCGGCGGAAGTATTTGGCGCTTCGGCACATGTTGAAACGGGTCCCAGATTTGTGGCGGCGGGCCATCATCCTGCGGGCTGTCCTCATCTCCCTCGTGGTTTCCTGCTGGCTGCCCTTCATTTTTTGCAGTGCTGGGGTTGTGGCTCACAGGCTCCTCCACCGAAAACGTCGAACTCATGAACCCCCCTAATTCCCGAGACCCGAACTTTCCGCGCCTTTTCCTTCTGTTGGAGTCGTCGCCCCGCACCGGTTTGGGTTTTTCTCGGTACTGCTTTGCGGCCTTACATGTACGCCCAACCGCACTCGCTCTCATGACTGTGAAACCGCCACTACGCGAGTCTGCATGTGCTGCAGCTTCATCTTCATGCCCCCACGCGGCGTTGTGCTCGTGACAGTGTAGATTATACTGCTGCAAGCCAGACCAGAACGCTAACGCTCTTGCGACTTCCCCACTCTGCCTTGCGTCTCCAGGTAACGCAGCGAAACCAAAGGCACCGGAGTCATGACGCCGACGAAGCTGTTCTAACCATTTGCTATCGTCCCCCGCAACCTGCGACAAGTGCGGCGGAGTTTGCCCTTGCTGATGCTCCACAACCTGTAATGTCGTAACAATAGCACCGGCGTTCTCTCCCCGTCGGCTGTCCCAAGTCGGTATTTGCTCGAGGTGGCCAGACTTTCCGCAAAACTTCATCGAGACTTCGCTCCCTGGACTCGACTTCAAAACTACAGTACGCGAAGCTGCCACTCCGGGTCTTTTGAGATGATTGAAACTGAGATATTGCCGACGCCGTAATGATCGAGTACTGCAGCTCACAACGTTCTGCATAACTCCACGCCGCGAAGAAGAGAGTAGAACTCGACCTGCATTTCCATGGATCATAAAGCTGCCCTGGCGCCTCGGATTCGTCTGTGCGGGTTTCTTTATGCGAGAAAAAATTCCAGCAGAAAGAGGCGCTTCGGTTGCTATTCCCGATGTGGAGCACAGCTTCTCCGAATCAGGAATACCCAACTTTCGCATTTTTCTGTTGGGAGACTCACCAGATATGGACAACGGTCGCCCGCGTGCAACTCCAAGGTCGTGCGCCGTCATTGATTCGTAGTCGTAATTCGGAGACGTGGTCTGTAGTCGTGGTTCGTCGTTTTCAGCAGATTTGCACCAAAACTTCCGCAAACCTTCAAATTTGCGACTAAGCTCGGACGTTGAAGCATGTGCTTGAGCATGCTCGTTCCATTTGGAGCGCTGCGTGCTGAGCTTAAACGACCAATCCCGGCGTAGTGAAGGCGAAGAAGAACAAACCGGATGAGTATCCGGCTTATTGCTAGTTGTGCTTCTTAGTTCCATTAAGATAGACCCCCATCGGCAGAACAGTTCACCAAAGTCGCAACCCCCGCTCTTCAGCTGTCTGCCTTCTGATCCTCGCATGAGCCGTTTACGATCTAAAACCCGCGACTTTGCTGTCGCGCATCGAGATCCTCCGGGGAGTCTCAACGCTTTTTCCAAGGGAGAAGCCCGCCGCTCATCTCCTCGAGGATCGCTGGCCCGTCCACGGTCTAAAATTAGTATCTTAGCACTATTCCGGCTACGTGCAGGTGGTATATGGCTGAAACTCACTTCTTCATCCATGTGCACCAGGAGCTTCTTGATCGGTTTCCATTTCCAGGCCACCGGGCCGCACTTATGACAAGAGGATGGGCAGGAGGTACGCGCACGGCCTTCAAGAGAACTTGCTGCACACTCCTTTTTCATCATTTTCAAGACCGGGCGCAAAGTCTTCAGATGCCGATCCTTTTCCAGTTTGTCATGCTGTTTTGGCGCTCCAACCAAGGTTGCCGCTGCTACATTTGGGGCCCCAGGAACATCATCGCGCTGTTCTAAAACCGCAGCGGAATTTCGTCCCCCGTCGACAACCTGAAGTTTACGTTGGCGAGAGGATGCAGCACCTCATCAAAATTCGTTTTTTCTGACTACAACTTTGCGTCTTTGCTATATTGCGTTTTGATTTTGATATTTTCTTCTCCTCGTCATCATACACTCTTTTTTCAATAAAATCACCCAGTTTTTCATTCATACATAGTGCAAAAATCATGTCACAACCCTGGTGTAGTCCCTCACATAGACTACACAGCATCATCTGCGCGAGCAAAACAACTCATGATTATACAGAGATTGATGCCCACGCAGTAAGGAAGAATGGGCGCAACATCGATTTTTAGTTTTACCACTACACTACGATAGTACCTGAGCGGACATCATCCAACATAGGGCGATCAAAGATTCCTGTCATGCACCAATGACCCAGTAGCTCTAGAGCTTCATGGTCGCATCTCATCAAGATTCGTGTTCTCTGGCTACTTTGCGTCTTTGCTATATTGAGTTTTCTTCTCCTTCTGCTACTGCTACTCCTCTTCATCATACACTTATCATAAAAATAAAATCGTAAAAAACTTTTCATTCATGAACCAAGAGTCAACACATCACGCCCCTATAAAGTTAAAGTTCCTCATAGATGAGAGGACAAAGCATTATCTTTGTGAGCAAAACTCATGATCGACAGAAATCGCCCACCAAATCAATGCGAAAGAATGGCTGCAAGGCCGCTTAAGATTGATTTATTTTCTCTATGCAACACAAAGTAAGTTCGGTACAACGTCGCAAATAATTATAATGGTGCGTCTTTTCCCCGAAAAGACTCCGACTTAGGCTCCGCCGACTATGGCTTTTTGTAAAAATGTAACCGCACCGCTCTGAAGTGGTCGTATGCATTGCAAATCTGTTTCTGTAGTCTGAGTCTGGAACTTTCACACAGCTTGTCAAGCATGTTTATAATTTCTCCAGAATTATGTATAGATAAAGGCGGATAGATGAGCGCCGCTTGTTTGGTTTCTTGCCAAAGTAGTCCGATTTGTCGTGGCCAACACGGAAAAACTACACGACACAGCACCCACACAATTTTTTCATGCAGCAGCAGCGTAGTGATCGGCTACAAGTGCCTACTCATTGGGTGAGCTCGCGTTGTTCGTCGTGCAGAATATCACAGAAAGAATACCGCAGTAGCAGGCTAATAGCTACTACTTACTTGTTACTAGCATGGTGCCTCCAAGTTCATCTGTCACATGCACATCAGAAGAAGACCGGACTCACACTACAGTACATTTGCAATGCGTAGGTTGTACTTTTGAACTTCGCCTGCAGGACCACCCGCAGGTCCGACGGTTCGAGCGGGTTCGGCCTCTACCCGCATTCCCACTCCGTTTCGACGAGAAAGCGGGTGTGTCATGCTGAGCTGGTTCTGTGCAAGCCCCGGACCCGGGATCTCTAGCGGAGGATCATTCCGACCCTGAATGACAGCAATAGTCACCGCGCCTGGTCTTTCACGTGGAGGTCGTGCCGGGGTGCAGACAACAATCTTCACCTGCGTGACGACTTCGCGTGCGAGGGGCCAAATGGTGTAGTATGTCAGATCAGAGATACTCGAGTCGTCCATCGATCCCCAACCTGCAGATGTCGGGAAGCAAATCCTCCCCAGGTCGGGCGCGGTGCAAATCCTCCCAATCGCGTCTTCCAACGAAATCAGGAGCTCAGTCGGGAAGATCCCTTGCACAGGACCGCCGTGTATGGATTGTAAAAATGTCTGGGTCTGGAAGGGTGGAACTTGTGATGCTGCATTTGGATTCCAAAAAAGCTTGCATTGCATGAGCAGCAAAGAGTAGAATGCAATTTTTGCTACGCAGAGAGGACATTTGTCATGCGGACTAGGCATCAAGATGCCCTCAAAAAATCTGTGATGCTAGGGCATGCATCACAGACATCATGGGTCATGGAAAATGTGCATGACAAACCTGGCAATCTTCCAGACCCAGACATTTTCACATTTGATACCGTCGGGAGTCGGATCCCTTGCCACCGGAACCTCTGGGGAGCGGGAGCTGCTCCCGTGTTGATCAACATTTTGCGCGACAAAAGCTTCGAAAATTTGCAGGAAAAAACTCTGCCTCGCATGGATGTTGTTACGAATGCCATTACCTGCTGGCTCCGGAGTATTAATATTATTAAACGCGTCTGCCCTACTTTTTCTCGCCGCCAGCATGCGCGCCACGTATTTCCAGTCGTGTGCGAACGAATCCCCATCGGTACTGCTGGGTATTACTGTGTCGTCTTTTATCGCTTGCAACAGCCCCGTAACCGTATCTCGAGCGCGGCGCGCGTCACGACGGCGAGCAAGGTCCTCCTCCTTGCTTCGACTGCCCGAGGCGGCTGCCCTCGCCTTGTCGGCAGCGCCCAGCCAGCTTCGGTTGACTGCCCGGAGTGGCGTGGATGCCTCGGCACTACCCGGCCTCAGTTCGCCGGGGTCCCCGGCCAGAAACGACGCAACAGCCTCTGCCAGGAGCGGTGCGTCAGGAGGTGTTCCTTTTGCGTCACCCCGGCTGCTTCCGCCCGTTCCCGTCACCCCAGGAGCCGCAGCTGCTGCTTGAGGCAGAGACGAGACGAGGAAAGCATAGCTGTTTGTTGCCATCAAGAAGCCGGCAGTATGCATCTTCAGCAGTGCAGCTGCGCAGACCTGTAGAAGACCACACAGTAAGTAGACGCGCGTGCTGCTGGTAGTTTTCATTTTCTTGTGTCGTGCTTTTATCCTTGTACGCTGAACTGGTCTGACTCTGAGGCACAATATATCGTGACGAGCAAAAAATCAATTGTGTGCTCGCTTCTTTAGGCGAGCGAGTTACTGTCTGACGCACTATCTATATTCCTGCTTGTAAGTAGCTGACGAGCAAAAAATCAATGCTGTCTGTTGATGCACTCGAATTCTTTAAAGACAAGACCGTGGATATACAGTTGCTAAAATCGATATGTAAAAGAACTTTATGTGGGATATAGTCGCGAAAAAGTTCCTCGACGAACGGCAAGAACCTATAACAAGTCCTACCTGTACTCAGAGCTGCTGCTGGAAATGAGGACGAGTAGATTCTTCAAGCCATTTAATACGACCGACTTTGAGAACGAAGTTGCTCGATCCCCGATTGATCGATTGCCAGTGGAGACAAGACAAGGTGCCTCATGATGAGGCAATGTATCTGATACATCATTGCCTATGCCTGCTCATGGTGTATTGATTAAAGGACCTCTTGTCGCTGCACCTGTACTTGAAGATTTTTTCCAGCACTTGTGCAGATCTTCTGGATCTTGCATTGAAGATTTTTTCCAGCACTTTTGCCGATCTTCTGGATCTTGCTTTCTCTGGATCTTGGTTTCATCCACTGTAGTTGATGAAAGCACCGATTTGATACAGCATACTTATCTCGTTGCTCTGGGTTAATATGGATCTTCATCTTTATCTTTGTTTGTGTTTCTTGCCTTCCAAATTCAGCATACGCATTGGCATTGGATTTTATTTGCGATAATTGTTGATAAAATCACTTTTCAATTAGTTTATATCACTTTCCGCACAGAGAATACACAACCGTCACATCTACTTTCAGACCCCGCGCATCTGACTCTACTAAAAAACTGCTTCTGTACTTCTACTGGCGCTGCAGCTGAATTATTTCTCCTCGCGTCGTGAAGATCTTCCCCACTTCCGATCTCGTTCTCCTTTGCAACATCCCTGCTGGTGCTTTGGCTTGTTTCCCCACGACCACGCATCAAATCCGCATACCCAATGATTTGTGCCCGGCCAAAAGTCGCCCGTTGCGCCCCGTCGGCAAACACAAGTTGATTGTTCTTGCTGAAGAGGCCACAATTTGTTTTTCTTCTAGCAGGTGGACACGATGCAGGAGAAACTGAAATGCTTCTCGACGCAACATCATTGTGCTGCGGTTCATCTCCTGCGCGAGGGTCAGGAAATAAATGTTTTTGATCTGCACAGTGGTTTTTGTCCACTGCCAGCACCAAGTCCTCTTCTTTCTCAAACACAAGCCCTCGCTCAAGGAAAATCGTAGCTCTGTTTTCGCAGTTTTCTCGGGTTGTGGTTGTCGCTCTTTCATCCGGGGCATCAAAGAGTAATCCTGGCGCTGTTCCTGCTCCTGCTACAGTGGTAGAACCAGTAACATCAACCGGTCGCGATTCCTCGTCCTGGGAAGTAGTAGAGCCGTGGTCTACCAAGTTCATCTTCTTTATTCCATCAGGCCTATCACGAATGATCCGCGGCGCCGCGTTTCCCGCGGGCTGGATGCAAAATCTGGGAAAGTCAATCGCCTATCCAATGCAAAAAAATATGTCGTGGCCTGGAAATTTGTGATCATGCTGGTCGGCGAGTCTTCATGAGGGTCTCGTACCGCAAAATTTTTCGACCGCCCGCCATGACAAGTTTCTGAGATGGTAATATGTGTAGAAGAGCATTCTGCATGACAAACTGCGTCTCGTCCGCGTGACAAAAAAAACAGGCTCTTACGTGCATGACAGGCTCGAGCATTACAACAAGCATTATAGCAAACGTTGCAGCACTCTTCCAGACCCAAAGACCATATTTGCGAAGATGCATATCGCCCTCTGCGGGTCCATCTTTCGGTCAATCAAATTGTGGACCAGCTGCACATGTCCTTGTGGCTGCATGAAGCCCCCCATGTTTCCGAACACGAAAGCCAAATTCATCAAAAGTGTGCTTGTTCGCGAAGATGAAGACTTAATATCTTGTTCCCCTCCTCGTCGCTCTAATTTACAAGAAGTTCCTCGTCCTACTCCTACCGTAGTGGCCAATCCGGGGATAATCGTATGATAGCTCCGTTTATGAATTGCAAAAGTATCGTACTCGTATAAATGAATCTCCTCAGCATGAGAAAGAAAATTTATAATGCTGATTTACTTTAAGAAAAAGATTTGCAATGCATGATTGCAATACGAGTACGATACTTTTGCACAGGATACCGTTTCCCGCCGGCGACGCAATTTGGGTGATATTTGTCCCGTATGAAATGCAAAAATGCTTGGGTCTGGAAGATTGCAACTTGTCATGCTAAATCCGAATCATGCAGAAATCTGTGTTGCATGAGTGCCAACAGCTGTCCCCTTTTGACCAAGTTGAGAGGGAGTTTCTCATGCAGGACAGGCATGATAGAGACCTCAAAGAATCTGTCATGCTGGGTCTCGCATTCCAGACGTCATGGGTCATGGAAACGCTGCATGACAAATCGCGCATTCTTCCAGACCCAGAAATTTTTGAATTTGATATCCCGCAGATGAAAATTCGCCCCGCGATTCTGCAGGGTAAAACCGCAGCTTTCCGGGACGAAATTCGTGCCAAATTTGTTGTAGTTGGACTGAATAAACGAGACCGCGTTACCCGCAAAGTCCATCACGCAAAACTGCGTCGTGTGAGACTGGTTCGTTGGGGTGAACGACGAGGAGCCACTTGTTCTCTCCGGCGCAGAGGTGGTTTTATTTGTTGATCCACTTTTTATCTTCGAGGTGGAAGTCGTTTCTAGTTTTGCTCGGGTGGCGAGTTCTTGTGGTGAACCTTTTTTGTTGTGACCAAGACCATGCTTTTTTTTGACGTCCGACAAAAAGTCGGCGCAGAAGCTCTCGTTGGTATTGTGGTCAACTTCAACACCTTTTGACAGTATGCTGCTGCTGCAGCTTCGCACTTCATCCTGGTTTGTTTTTACTGTGGCGCTAGTACACGACCGGGTATAATCACTTCCACGAACCATGTTCGTCGCAAATTCCCTGCGGATTTTCTCGATTTCCCCGACCCTATCCTCCACCGTGGAGTCCGGCTTTATCAATTCACTCATATGAAAGCGTGAGGTTTGAAATCGTCAAAGTTGATGAAATAACTTGTATGTAATGCATAAAATCGATACCAGTCGGAAGCCCAATTTCCAAGCGGCGCATGACAAATTTTCCGAGCACCGGAATCCAATTTGTCGTGCTGTTTGGGCACAGACGACTGCTCATGCTACTTTAGCAGCTCTACTTCAAACCCTAAACAGGCTGACAGTCGGCCTCGCTTGCCATCCCGGCAAGACAGGCATTTCATGCCGTGGATTTTATGCATGACAAATCATTTCAACTTTGTCGATTTCAAACCTGACGCTTCCATAACTCAATTTCTTCGCGTATTCCTTAGACAGAAGCGTCTCGATGGGCAGGTGGGGATAGGGTCGTGGGAGGCCGGGATGCTCAACTTCCGCGTTGAGATCCAAATCATCTTCCCTGTAGAAGTCCATGTCTGCTATGTAGAAGTTGGTTTCGTGGAAAGTATCGGAAGAAAAAACTGTTTCACTGTAAGGATTTTGCAAGTTTTGCATTACAAATTCGCTACACATTACAATGAAAACCTGCCACGCGAGGATCCTATAGGGAAAACACCGCTAAAAATCACTTGTCTTGCATGTGCAGCAAGACAAAGACTTCAGTGATCATGCATTTTCTGCATCACAAGTTCATCACAGTGAAACAGTTTTTTCTTGCGATAGAAAGCCAGCTTCATGCACTCCACTAGTGTGTGCACACGCTGGGCTTCTTGGTCGGCATTTCCATCTATTTGATGTTGTTCCCGGTCAACTTTATTCCGCGACACTTTTAATGAGTCGGCCTCTCGAAGAAGTTGGTCGAAATCAAAGTTCTCCAGAATGTTCAGCCCAACCAATGCCGCAATGCGCTGTATCCGAAGAAAAAAGTGTTTTACAGTTCTTCTTTACACTCTTGCTGTGGTATAACATATCAGCAAGACAAACCATTTTGCCATGTTGTGGACAGAGGAAACTTGCGATGCAGAGATCAGAAGCGAAAACACACGCTGCACGAAACGGGGCGGAGGCTGCACGCAAACAGTTTATTGCGCAACATGACAAAGGTCGTCCTCGACCGTCTTGCAGCATGCAGGGGCTGCAACTGTACGTATGTACTTTTTTCTCGTGATACCCTGCCCGTTGGGCGGCATCTCGTGGATGCGGATTTTGTCTCGGTAGGTGACAGACAGGATTCGTTGCTTGGTTGCCGACTTGGAAAAAATCGCCGAGCCCTCTTCTGTGTGTCCCCCGAGGCCAACAGCTTCGTCGTTTGCCCCAAAAATATCCACCCCGAACTCCTGGTGCCACCGCAAGTCCTCCAGCGTCATGCAGCTTTCCGGCAAATTCTGCTTTTTCTGAGCGACCGTCAAGACGTCGAGGATTTTTCTCGCAGTTTCGCCCTCGTAAAACCCGGGCTTTCCCTCGCAGCAAATCCTCCGCAGAACGGTTGCGATGTTTTTGTTGACCATCACACCGTGGTCTTTGACCGTGTTTGGCGCTGCTTTAGAAGTTTCTGACTTGTTTGCTCCATGATTCTTGCCAACCTCCTCACGACCCTCGGCCCCCTCGCTCGATCTTCGTGTAGAGCTATTTCTAGTTGCTGCCTGCTCCATCAACAACTCCTCCCCGTGAAACCCTTTTCGTGCGCTCTCTTGCAGAAACGCTTCGCAGCTTTCCCACAAGCCTCCGGTCCAGATGCCGACGGGAAATCCGTTTTCCGCGAAATCAATCGCGAAGGAGAAAATCTCCTCCCTGCTGACGTATGGGCATTGCAAGTATGTCTGGGTCTGGAAACATGTAAACTTCTGATTCGCATTTGAGACCAGAACAAAATCTGTCATGCATGGACCGCAAAAGTTATCCATTTCTTGTCACCAAAAGAGGGAATTTGTCATGCCGATTGGGCATCGCCTAGCCTGCTCAAAAACCTGTGTTGCTAGGACTTTCATGCCAGACCTTCTACGTCATGCACAAGCAAGATCACACTCTTCCAGACCCAGACATATTTGCATTTGATATGACGTTACCGGAACCAAATTTGTCCAGGAAATCCATGTAGCCAGCGACTGCGCCGGGAACCGTCACTGCGTGCACAGAGTTTTCCGGGATGGTTTCGGGAATCATAGGGGTAGTACTATCGTGGATATCATTGTCGGCGTCACCAGTCGTAGTTTCTCGTTTCATTGCAAATTGATCTACTTCAGCAGTATTAGCAACATCCTCGACAACCCTTTCCCGCGTCAACGCCTTCGGACTGCGACCACTTGCGTTCATGCCGTACACTCGCTTTTCGTCTTCTTTCCAGTACAAAGCAAAAGCGTCACCGCCCAATCCGCAGCAGCACGGCTCGACGACGTTCAGGCCCTATCCTATGCAAAAGCATCGCACTCGTATTGCAGTCACGCATTACAAATCTTTTTCTTAAATTTAATCCACATTACAGATTTCATTTCTCACGCTGAGGAAATTTGTCATGCGGTTTATACTACAGTACGATACTTTTGCAGTTAATAGGACCAAGCACGTGGCGATGGCTGCGTCGGCCGCGTTGCCCCCTCTTCGCAAAATCTCCAGCCCCGCTTGGGTCGCGAGCGGCTGGGACGTGGCAACAAACGCGTCCCTTTCGGTCCCGTAGAGCGTGGTGCGCGTGCGAAAGGGCTCGCGGAGAAAGGTGTCCATTTTGTTCGATATTGCGTTCTTCATCGAAAATTTTGCTTTGTTGTCCAGGGTAGTAAGCACTTACCTATTTGATACTGCACGACTTGTGTCCAGAATTACAACTTGTATCACGCCGAATAAGAGCGTACTAATTTACGCGTTTGTAATACGCAGTACCGAAAAGATTGCGCAGCGGAGGAAAGCCGCCAAAGGCTTGAGCTTCCGGATCAAAATACTAAAATGCTAATCTTGGAGGATACATTCGACCGATCGACATACGTGCGTCCAAGATCTTTTCAGTAAGTACTTGTTTCCTGCCTTTTTTGACAACTTTTCCAAAAAAGTGCACCTGCAGGGTGCTTTTTGTTTCTTCTTTTTCTCGGATTGAAGATCCGGAAAGGGTTGAAAAAAACGACTCCATGATGTTTTCATGATGATCTCCGAAGATATCAGGAACTGTACATGAACAGGTTGAAAATCAGGCTCTTGCTGAGCCGTAGTTTTCTATGACCAAAACAAAGATAGGAACTAAAAAACACATAGATCAAGAGCACCATAAAGAGCCCATGGCGGCCGTAGCCGTACAACTACTCTAATAAACAATCATGTCAAGAAAAACTCGAACGCGAAGCCGCTTCCAAACTTTATTTACCCACCTGAGACCAGTGGCTCCACATGATCCGCAAGTAGTATGATATTTTCGTACTCTTGTATTTCTTTATTCATCTTCCAGACAAAATATAGCCAGCGCGACTTGGTTTCGTTTCGCAGACAAAAAACGTAGATGTACATCCGCTTGCCCATAGTACTTCACAGCGAGCACAGTGGTCGAAACTTTTTTGACACAAGTCGCGACCTCCTGACCGGCCGAGCAAAATTCATTCCTTCGTCAAAAGCAGGCACGGTCGGTGCCACTCCGCTTCCATTCTCCTTACTATCTTGGCAAAATGGTACATTTAAACACGTCCTGGCGCAGGTATTCGTAAACGTAGAAGTTGAGGCCGACCGCGGGCACTACTTTCACCAGTTCCGGCACCAGGCCCCTGTACAAGGCCTGCAGGCCGTTATCAAATGCAAAAATGTCTGGGTCTGGGAGATTGCGAGATTTGTCATGCTAGTCTGGCATGACTCTGGGATCTGTATTGCGTGGCAACCAAGAGCTCCTCTAGCCTGTCATGCAAACACGCAGTTTCTCATGCGGAATACGCAACACAGAAGCATGAAAAAACTTGTCATGCACGGCGGCGCATTACAGTGTCCTTATTATTCAGTTACCTGCATCACAACTTTCCAGACCCAGACATCTTTGCATTTGATAGCCGTTCAACCTCCACAACTTTACCGCTATCTGTACAAAGTTCATTTTCTTCTCGTTCAGCATTTCTTTATATGCATTGCAAAAGTATCGTACTAGCATAAATCGCATGACAAATTTGCTCAGCATGAGAAATGAAATTTGTCATGCTGTTTTACCTTGGAAAGAAGATTTGCAATGCACGACTGCAATTACTACGAGTGCGATACTTTTGCACAGGATACTTTACTACCACTGTTGATCATGAAATTGTCCACCTGCTGCCGCCTCCGAACGAGATCCAGGGGGTGCGTCAAAACCGAAGCCCAGAAGCCGGCGATGGCCCCGCACCAGAGACAGTTGAAGAGATTCGTGCGGGTCTGGTTCTCGTGTAAGGTCTTGACATTCAGTATCACACGAAAAAAGTGTTCCAGTGACAGATTTGTTGTCAATTCAGCAACACGAATTTCTTTTCGTGAGAGAGAGAAGGAGAACTTGCAATGCAGAAATCCTACGGGAAATAAACGCGGACGAACAAAAAAGGCTCCTAGGCATATCCGGCATGACAGCGCTTGTCTGTCTTGCTTCGCCTGAAACACAATGCGTAACTGCAACGCTTTTTTCTTGCGATATTCAGCGTTTCGTAAATACCAAACCCGATCCCCATGTTCAGCCCCTGGCAGGCGATGGTGCAGGCGAGTCCGCGGGTGTACGCGCGGAGGAGAGAGCCCTGTGACATTGTTCTTATGTTGATGGTCGATTCCTATCTAAACGAATTTGAAAATTCTTTCGCTGTTCGTGCACGACGCCACGCTTGTGCAACTACTCCGCGACGAGACAAATCAAAGTGTGTAAGTAAGTACCTCTTGCTCCACCAGCTTTGCCCACGCATGGAGAATGACACTGTGTTGCGTCAGCAAATTCATCCCGCTTCTTCTTGCAGCTCCGCTAGCACTTAAGCTACCTCGATTCTGCTGCAACCCACCACCACCACCACTATTGCAGCCAGGAACCTCCGTCAAGCTGTTCCCGTTCACCGCTAATCTTGTCCTGACCACATCAAACGGGTAGGCGAAGAGCAGGCTCCCGGCGCCGCCGAGAAACCCCGCGACGGTTCGGGCGGCGAAGCCGACCTCGGTGTCGGATTGCCAAAGCACCGGCTTGAGCAGGTACTTCGCACCCTCGAAAAACACGTAGTTCATTCCGGTCGAGTATTCAGGGCAAAAACGTCCCCACCCCAGAGTTGTAATGCAAATCTGCATGCCAAAAAAGTTTCTCATGCGGAGCCCGATGAGAAGCGTCATCTAGTCGCGTTTTCGGATTTGTGATGCTAGAATCAGCATGACAAACTAGATCTGTGACGCTACAACTGAACTAGCCAAACAGAATGACACTACTAGGATAGAACGTTCGTGACCTCACTACATACGAGGAAAAACTTGTCATGCGAATAAAATGCAGCTGGCTGATTTGTCTAGCAGATATCCCATCTTGACTCTGGTGTGGGGACGTTCTTACTGAGGATATCGAGATTCCCTTCTGCAGAATCGACGCCCAGTTGCCCTTCCAAAAACTCGCACACCCCTCTTCCTTGACGATTTGCCGGAAAAGGTGGTAGTTGGTGAAGGAAATTTTTCGAAAAAAGGGCTTGAGTTTCACCGGCGAAGAACTTGAAGTAGATGCTCCTCTGTTTGCATTTCCTTTTCCCCCACGACCTCCTATTATTTCCTGGTCGCTGCTGCACTGCAGGAGAATGGTCATTCGCGAAAGGGTATGCATTGCAAAAGCTAAAGCATCGTACTAGCAGTATAAATCGCAATACAAATCTTCTCAGAAGGAAGAATACAGTTTGTAATGGTGATTCGGCTAAGAAAAAGAAAACGATTTGTCATGCCTGATTGCAATTAGTACGAGAACGAGTACGATACTTTTGCAGAGCATAGAGGGGTGCGGTGGCGGTTTTGACCAGAAACCCGGCGTATGGGTTGCAAATTAATATCTCTGGGTCTGGAAGAGTACAGACCTGTAGTGCGCATTTGAGAACACAGAAAAATCTCTCATGCATAGGTAGCAAAACCTGCCCACTTTCTGTCACCAAAGTGGGGAATTTGTCATGCGGCTTCGGCATTGCGGAAGCTTTTTGAAACCTGTGATGCCAGAGCTTCCATGCCAGACCTTCTGTGTCATGCAAAAACAGCATGACTCTTCCAGACTCAAACATTTTCGCATTTGATAAGGCGGCGAACCCGCTCGCAAAGGAAACGGACACGTCTGTCGCATTCAGCGAGGACTTCTTCGGGACCTTGGGCTTCGACGAAGATGAAAGAGAACATGAACAGGTTGCCGGTCCTGCGCCGGAGGAACTCATGGTCATGATTGACTTGGATCGAAAAGGCTCAACGACGGTTCAAAAGGGACGCCGCGGGCAGCTGAATTCAGGATGAAAAGCCAATGCGGTCCTGCTCCTGTACTCGTCCACGAGACAGTCGCGCAGGCGACCACCGTGGTCGAGAACGGGTAGCATTATGAAGGTGCCCTCTCGACCAGACAACATCACCAAGGCTATTCCTTCCGCGTTGTAGTTGTTCAGCAGAGATACCGATACGCAGCCATGCTCCGCTCGTGCGGTTCACAGACATCATGAAGCAGGTGGAACAAAGAACGCTCGCAAACAATCTCTCAGGTCAGGCTCATCTTACCCAGAGACGCCAGTACCCAGCATCCGGCAGTGCTTTTTTCTTTGAACAAAAAACACTCATCCCGCAATCCCCTCGGACAGAAACAACGCAACGCAACACACGCGACAACGAACAAACACGCAACAACCAACATGCTGAGACACACCGACATGGTTGTGTGCGTGCGGCGCCGCTTAATCTACTTGGCTTCATATACCACGAGACAGTGCGGCCCTCGGCCCGGATACAATACCACGTCACCGCTACTGGCTGCCGTCGTTCGGGGGCGCGGGGACAAGATGCTGCCTTCCCCCGCGCACCCGCTCCCGCGCCGCGGGGGTGCGCCGCCTACTGAAATAAAAACGGTCCCTGTGGCGCAAGCTCCCTCCCAACCCCAATTTACGGGCGGCCTGGCCAGCAGTACGCCCCCAGCCGCGCAGAAAAAAAACACGGGCGCCCCCGGGGCCGGGCCCCCCCCCCGCAAGTGCGGGCGCGTCCGGACGGCGTTCCCAGATGCGTGCCACAAGCAACGTGGCCCAGCGCGCGCGACCCCCAGCGCCGGCCGTGGGCCCGTGATTCCACCGGGCCGCTGGCCGCCGCGGCGCCGCGCGCCCAATTCTTCCACCAAGGAACCCGAGGGGCGTCGGGACTGGCTGGCGCTCTTGCGCTGGCAGCTCTCCCCGCTTTCTTCAGAAAACTGAGAAACTTTCGCAGGGCTCTCGCCCCACCAGCTGGGTTGCGCGACCTGGACGATGGTCCAGCGGGCCGCCTGCTGGGGGCGCGCTCCATTCCAAGCGGCGCCCCGGCCGGGGTGGGCGGGCCGGCGCGGCGGGCGGGCGGTGCGCGCGCTTAGCGTTTGGCGCCTCGCTCTGAGGCGGAGCACCTTGATTGGCTGCGCGCTCCGACGAGATGGGGATGGCTCGCCCGCGGATTCCTGTGCACCGGCCGGCCCGCTGCGTCCAAAGTTCGCGGCGATGCGTAAGTTCAAAATTTGTCTCCAAGCCAGCGCCTGCACCTGTGGCCCCAAAAAAACAACGCACGCCATGCCTTCATCTTGTGTATATTCGTTTCGAAAAACGCTCTGAATCTGCAGAGACTGGACTGTATGTGATGAAGATCAAGATACATGCTTCCGGCTACCTGCTCACAGACCCTCCCATGTGGATGCCTCACCTGAAGTCGCATTCGGCCAACTGTTCGCTCACCAGTCTCTGTCTTGCTCTTGTGCAGCAGTCGGCTTAGCATGATTTCACTTTTAAAGTTTTTTTCTCTTTGGTTTGATGCTCCTCTCCGCAAGTGCGAGACAGCGGCTTGTGACTACAACTCAGAATGAAGCAAACACAACAGAAATCAAATCAATCGCAGCACCACGATAGCTCCGGCATTCGAAGCACTGCGTGAGACGACCAGCGCGAAGCATTCTCATTGTAATGCTCAAAAGCTCTGTCGTGTCTTCCACGGATGACACAAAAAATCCGTTTTGTACAGGTTCACATATCTATTTCCCCCCATCATGGTGCCAAAGTCCAAAAAGCAGGCTGCGCGCAACCTGATCAAGCCAAAAAGTACAGTTTTTATTCTAGGTTCTGCTACACTAGTTCAAAGACCTTGTGGAAGTAGTTCTGATGAAAGTGATCGATCTGCTTGTTGACATGTACAAACTAGAAAGGTGTCTACTTCAGGTATAAAACAGAAATGGATGCTAGATACTAACTGAGGATTATTCGAAAAACACACCTGAGCAGGCATTCTTTTTACACACACAAGAACTACTATCCCTCCTGTAAGTTCATTTTTTTTGGTAAGTACTTCTCTTTCGGATAGGCAGACTGCCTAAATCGTTCTTGGTACCTAGTACTGGAAGCAATACTGTACAATCGGAGTTCTGTCCCCCTTCCTTGCTCGAGCGACCTTAACCCATCGGCTTGTATTTCGCTGTCCCGGGATATGCAATGCAAATCTCGAGAAACTGTGGCAGCTTTTGGTCATACATGAACTTCGTGTTTTTTTGTCGCAGGTCAAGCACGTCGACTTTATCTTCACGGTACAACTACACGACCACATGCAGCATCAAAAATGTTGGGTCAGATTCAAAGAACTCTATTGACCTGCAGCATCCTTCTCGGTGATTTGCAGGTGATATCAGGTTCGTCTGACTCAAAAACGCCCGATTGCCGTACCTGATAATTATATGATGATAGATTTATTGCGTCAACATGCATACGCTGCTTTGCTTTCGTGCACCCGCGGGCGTTCATTCTCATTCAAGGGTTTTTTTACATAGCACAGGCAATTTTCGTCTTCCAGCACAAAAAAAAATCCTTAAAGATGTTCTATACGTTCCCAAAAGGGATTGGCGGCGAAGATTTCTCCGGTCCAAACGTTCATCCCGCTCCTGCAGCTGCACGATAGATTTCTGTATGAGTTGCAATTGTGTCTGGGTCTGGAAACAAATAAGTGCATCAAACGCAACTTTGTATTGCGTTATATCTACAACTCCGCATGAACTACATCATGAAGTCGAAATCTGTAGTGCATGAAGCGGGTCAGCTGCAGCGCATGGTCTGTCATGCAACAAACGCGAGGATCGCTGTTTCCTATGTTGACACGACTAGCATCACAAGTTTATGCTTGTCCCTGACCAAGACATAATTTGCAATGCATATTCTTCACGAACTCCTCCTCGTATTTTTCCCGCAATTTGATGCATTGCAAATATGTTTGGGTCGGGACAAGAAAGAGTGCATCCTGCTGCACCTTGCGATGCGCAAAAAAATCCGTCTTGCTCTTGTATGGAGGCCAAACACATCAGCGGCTCACTTTTTGGAACGCACATCAAGCGAAATAATGATCATGCAGCGGGGTACGCATTACTTCAGAAGCATTCGCAAAACCTGTCATGACTTGCGTGCAGACCAGCTATCTGAATCTGATCCACTAGGTGCATGACAAACAAGTGATCTCCTCCAGATTAAAACATATTTGCACTTGATAAACTGGATGGCCACTCGATGTCGCTTCCTCCACTCTTTATCGGCTGCGAGGTACCTTTTGATATCATGGTTTATTGGTGACGATTTGTCATGCGCGGCTACTAGGATCAACTGGTACAACACTTGATCATGCGGGACTGTGCGTGCATTCCTTCATCGATCTTCAATCTCAAAACGGCACATTCATAAATATTTGGTACTTCTTCTTCTGCTTCTCCCCCAACTCTGCTGCTGAGCTATCAAATGTAAAAATGTCTGGGTCTGGAAACTTGTGATGCTGGGTGGCGTCTCATGATGAGGCCACCCCACATCAAATGCTGGCTCAGCATGACAAGTTTCTGAGCTTCTAGGTGTTGCCTATTCTGCATGACAAACTGCGTTTCTGTATCACAGAAAAATGGCGCTCTTGGGTAACGTGCATGACAGATTTAAGAGTCATGCCAGACAGGCATGACAAACATGCATTCTCCCAGACCCAGACATTTTTACATTTGATATGAGCACACCGCTCGTAATTCCCTCTCCGCGAACACCTTGCTCTGGTCGAACCTGTCCCGTTATCCTCAGTAAAAACATCCCCACCCGCCCAGAGTAGATGTCATGCAGATTGGCGTTCACAAGAACATTTGTGATGCGCATCTTCTACACTTCCCCATGTAGTAGAGAGCGATTCCTAGTCGAGTTTTGGCATTTACACTTCTGCACGCAGGATATCAAGCAGACGACTTTCCTTGCTATACCTGTCACCCGCACCACAGAGGAACCTTTCATCCATGCCTCGCAAAACTTCTGTATTTGAATTTGTGTTGCTGTTCTTGCACAGTTCCCAATACAACTTTAACGGAATATGCGTATGTGTTAGCAGGGGCATTATTTTTACACAGGATACCCGTTCCGCCTCCAGTTCAAAGGTCCGCTTCAAATCCCGGGGGTCCGGTCTTTTCTTCAACGCCACCCGCGCATCGTGGTAGGGCTGGTCGTAAGAGAAGAACAGGGTCGGCATGTTTGATGTTCTATTACTCTAGCGTTTAGGGTTTTGTTGTGATGTGAAGTAAGCAGTTTTCCTTTTGTACCTGCCCCTTTGACTGGTAATTCTTGTGCGAACAGAAAAAAAAACTGCAAGTTTTTAAAAATGATCCCGTTCTTTAGCTTTTCTGAATGGAGTTATACACGCACTGCCTATCGACGCGTCGAGAGGAGGTCCACCTAGCTGTACACGAGGAACGAAGTGAAGAAGTGAATCGCCTTTGCTCTTTATCTACGATAAATTAGGCTACTGAGTACGACAAGGAAAAGCATCGGCTACAATTCGACGCTGTTCTACTACCCGGTTTTCCCTTTCGGGAAATATGAAGAGAAAGTGAAACTACTTCACGAAGAGACGGATCCTGGTAATTGACGATGATGTTGGCCCCGCCCTAAAAGTTGCAACATGTTCTTTATACGACACGAATCAAGTTGACGATAGAAACACTTCTTTGAGATTCCGCCACTTACTTTCCGTTGTAGTAGATGCACTTCATTACTTCCTGCTTCCCTCGACGAGCAGCTGTAACACGAACAGAAAGTTGGGTGCTAAAGTTTGGCACACGATTGCGAAACAAAGAGCCAGCGCCCGCATCCTACATTTTGTTGTGCCTTGCTCTCGTACTTTGAGTATCTTCACTTCGCAGACTGAAAAGTGGTTCTTTGTCAAATGATGTCAACGCGAATAATTGAAACTTCTCCGTGCTTGAGTTTACACTTTCCTCTGGTTCTTTTTCTTCATTTTTGTAGGGTTCTTAAAAACGTGGTCATATTCTATAAAGCTTTGCTTTCAAGTTCAACATCGTGGTTCTTCATCAAACACAAAGACAAGCTCTCTTCACACAAAGTGGCCAAACGACCTGAAAATGCATGTGCAACATTTACATCCCCGCCGAATACTTCTAGTTTGTTATCCCGCGACCTTCTCGGCCCCCCTTCGCACAAACAGCGTGAGCCCGTGCCCTCCTCGTTTGATTTCAAACAACCGCTTCCACCGATCGTCTTTGGGCATGTCCCGGGCCCAGGTTTCGGAGGGATGAATGTCGAACTCGTCCAGCCAGCGGTGCCGCAACTCCGCAACTGAATCTTGGTCCAGGTGCGCAAACTTCGAGCGGTAATAGGGCTGGAAGGTCTCAATCACGTAGGGCCGCCTACAGGAGGGGAGCCACCTGCGATGTGGGGTTTTCATCTTTCATCATTTACATTTACTTATGCTTATGCTTACTAGTAGAACGTTGTTTGGAAGATTTCAGCAAACGCAAGGAATAGGAAAGTATCGGCGCAAGAAATGATCAGCAGTTTTGTTCCATGCGGAGGGCATACCAGAAATCGTAGCTCTCCGCTCTCGACGTTGGAAACCACACATCCGTCGACAAACTTAAGCGTATGACAGTGCACAACTTCCCCTCGTCCCCCTCATTTGTATTATAGCATGAACGGCAATAAACTTACACGCATCTGCATCAGCATTTGCATGACAAATCTGCACTGGAGTGTAGTACTATTTGGGCTGCCAGAACCTGTCATGCAAACAGCGCCACAGGGCAGCGACTGGATTGGGGATTTTGCATGACAAAGACAAATGGGGGGGAGGAAGAGTTGTGAACTGTCATAAAGCGGTTGCAGGAGCCAAATCTTGGATCCAGCATCCAGCACCTCTCTGTCTTTCCGTCGGTACTACTGCCGTCATCCCTCTCCGGTCGAATGTCTACAGAGTAGTTTCGCTCGGACGATGCGGATGTAGTCGTCGACAGAGCAATTCTATCAACTGCAAATAAGTCTGGGTCCTCTGGAAAGAATGGGATTTGTGATGCCAGCCGTCGATCACACAAAAATCTCTATTGCAAGAGAGGCAAAAGACACTCAGATTGTTGCCACCTCCCGGAGAGGGCATTTCTCATGCAGTTTAGACATGTGAAAACCTTTGCGCCGAAAGCTGTGATGCTATAGCATGCATCAGAGGCAACATGGGCAGGCAAAGGCATGTACAACTTGCATGACAAACTCCCCAAATCTTCCAGACGAGACCCAGACATATTTGCAATGCATAAATTTTCTTCCCCTTATTCAGGGGGAACACGGTTTTTGTTGGCGGGTCTTTTGTCCGGTAGAACTTCGTGTCCGTGAAGTATGCATTGCAAACATGTCTGGGTCTGGAAACCTGTGATGCTGAACTGTTCATGATGAAAGCGCTTCCGAATGCAGCCAAGCATGACAAATTTGCAGAACGGTTTCTCATACGCTGTCTGCATGAGAAACTGCGTTTATTTTGTACGACAGAGGACGCCACGTCTTTTGCTGGTCATGCAATACAGATTGTTCAGGAATGTAAGACCAGCATTACAAGTTCCAACTTTCATCCTGACCCAGACATTTTTGCATTTGATATGAAGTTTTTGCTGCCAATGTTCGGATTGGTGTCGTGCAGGGCAAAAAAGACGACATTGTCAAACTCGTCAAACAATTCCCGCCCGAATTGGTACGCCTCGTTGCCCTTGGGCCCGTCAATGAAGACCCCCACCCTTTTGTCCGGATTGCGCCCAATCAGGGAGCGGAAGAAAAACTTCGAGTTGCGATTGGCCGTGAAGCGGAGGATTGTTTTACGCTTGTTCCTCGTCCGAGGGGTCGTGTAGGTGAGGAGCGCCGGGGCCGGATCAACTGAATCATCGGGAGCAGTTTTGTCCTCAGCATTTATGTCCTCCTCGTCATACAGGTATCTACTGTGAATGCTGAGCTCCGCGTCATCACCCACTACGTCTTCGTCCTGAGCAACTACCCTTTTATCCTCGGCTGCAAGACCACCTTCTAGAACATCTTCAGTCGACTTCTTCACCTGAAGAAGATCTTCACCATTTGGTCGTTCTTGCGATGCAGGCTTGTTGTCTGACCGTGCACGACCTCTCTTTCGCAGAAGGTCGTCGTTCTCGGAGGAGGTCCAAAATATTCGCCCCGCTGTTGTAGTCGGCATCGATTCAGTATTTTCATCTCCTTCCCGGTCTTTCTGCATTTTGTTTTTCTCACCCGATTCCGGCTTTACTTGTTTCTATGCATTGCAAAAGCATTGTACTCGTATAAAAAAATTTCCTCAGCGTGAGAAATAAAATTTGTAATGCAGTTTTACCTTAAGAGCAAGATTTGTAATGCAGGATTGCGATTACTACGAGTGCGATACTTTTGCACAGGATAGTTTCCAGCGAGACACGACGTCCCGGACCCCGCGAACCAAAATCGGGCCCCAGCCCCCGAGCTATGCATTGCAAATATGTCCGGGTCTGGAAACTTATGATGCATGTCGGTGAAAAGAAAGTACACTGCAATGCACCGCCACGCATGACAGATTGATTCTTCCGTCGCTCTGTGTTGCGTATTCCGCATGAGAAGCAGCCAGCACTTTGCATGACACAAAAGAGGAGCTGTTCGTGGCCACGCAATACAGGGCTCAGTGTCATGTTGCCAGACTAGCATGACAAATGTCGCATTCTTCTTTTCCCAGACATATTTGTTTGCAGTGCATACGAGCACCCCACTGACGATGTTCTCTGGGATTTGGCCCAATTTTCGTGACACTTCGTCCTTGCAAAACCCCTGGAGTCCGTTCTTGTGCAGGTTCTGCCCATACGGTCGGACAGTATCCTCCTCGTAGAGCGTCAGTGATATGGATATGCAAAAGTATCGTAGTACTGACAGTACTTATTTTTGCGGAATAATACAAATGAGCAAATGCAAAGTGCAGCACAAATTCGACTTCTTCATGCAGCTGATCTAGCTCGGAAAGCAAGGGGATAATTTGTTTTATTGCATCACTGCGGTCGTGCGCTCAGTACGACATGATCAAATACGACACTCTTAATTTTGCACAGGATAATCAAATTTTCACCCTGAAACCGGTCGGCGCCGAGGCGGGGAGAGATTTTGTTTTCTGCGTCGTCGCTGCACATAGAAATGGAGGGATCAGAAGTAGAGGAAGGGGAGAACCATGGGTTCCTCCTCGAAGTTTTTGATGCAGGCGGAGCTCCTGATGTCGCTTTGTGAAGGTTGTCGCCTTTTCCGGTTTTGTGCAAGTAGGTGGAGAAGGGCAATTTGAGAAATTCCTTCTGGTACAGCCGTCCCCCATCCCGGTCGTGCAGAATCGCGCTTGTTCGGCGATATGGAATGCAAATATGTCTGGGTCTGGAAGGTTGCAACTTGTGATGCTGTCTTTGGAAGGTAAAAAAAATCAGTCTTGCATGACCAACAAGAGGACTCCACTTTGTGCAACGCAGTGACGGCACTTCTCATGCGGTAGAGGCATCGCAAAGCCCTCTAAAAATCTGTGATGCTAGGGCATGCATCACAGATATCGTGGGTCATTCAGAATATGCATGACAAACTTGGCAATCTTCCAGACCCAGACATTTTTGAAGTTGATAGGCGAAAGATTCGCGCAACGGTCGCGTTCCAGGTGTGTGCGGAGGTTGTGCAAGAACGGGTGGCGGCCACGACTGGGGTTGATGTAGAGGTAGTGTTTGACGTGAGTTTTGCATCCTGCCTGCTGTAGTCCTCCTCGAAAACCAGAGCGGCGCTGATCTCGTCCTCGCTGTACTTGATGTTCTGTGAAGTAGATGTTGCGCCAGCATTTGCTTTGCGATTGCTTTGTTCTTTCGCAGTGGTCTTAGCGTTAGCAGCTGCAGCAGCAGGACCGTCAGTAGAAGCAGAAGTGGTAGTTAAGGGAGCAGCACTCTGGCGTGGTCCTGTTCCGGCACCACCCGCTGCAAGCGTAGTTGGATCTCCAGTTGTGTGGTTTATTTTCCCATCCATCTTGCAATCGGCTTCGAGCTCGAACGAATGAAAAACAAAGGTGCTGGAGGGCGCCGGGCTTGATTCAGTCCTCACAGTCGTGCCTTTAAAAATATTTTCCGTACTTTTCTTATTTTCCTGCTGTTCTTCCATCTGATCTTCGTTTTCGATGTAATCTGCCAGGTCGTCGTTTTTATTGCGGTCCACATAAGCATTTGTGACGACCATTTCCGCGCTGACGCCAAAACCCGTGCCGGATTCCACCACAAAATCGACTCCATACTGGATCCTCAGGAAATAAAACGTCCTCCTCCCATAATGGTCAAGATGATGACGACCACCTTGCTACACAAATCAACAAGATTTGGCTGCTGCGCGCGACAAATTTGAGCTTGCAGCTTCGTCGTGGGTACTTAGCTAGAGCCGCAGCCGCATCAGAAATCGATCACGATCACGTCGCCTCGTCCTAATTTCTGCAGGACAAACTACTCGCAGATGCAAGATAGCGTTCAAAACGGCTCCTGCTTATGGAGCTGCGCATGAGAAGCGTTATTCTAACTAGGTCTGCAGATTTGCATGACAACGACAAGTATCGGGTGGGGACGTTTCATCTATGAAAGTGTCAGAATCGAAATTGACAAAATCGAAAAACTTGTGATGCACAAAATCGATGCCAGTTAGACCCACAGTTTGTAGTCGGCGCATGACAAATTCTCCGCATCCTGGAGGCGAATCTGTCATGCGGTTTAGGGAAAAGGAGCTGCCTTCTGTCATGCTAGTCAGCAGCCCAATACTTAACCCTTACCAGGACTACAATCCGCCTTCCTTGCATCCTCTGCAATAGAGTCGCTTTTTGCGTAGCATTTTATGCATTACAAATAATTTCGATTTTGTCGATCTCGATCCTGACACATCCATATCATCTACACAGGATATACTGTTCGATCACGGACACTAAGGCGTGCGCTTCGCTCGGCAGAATCCCCCCGAATGTGAAATTTGTCGGCGTTCGCGGCTTCGCATGAATCGGGAGAGGGTCGGGAATGCCGTGGTCTTGAATGACCGGGTACCTATGGATTGCAAATATCCCTGGATGTCTGGAAGAATGCAAACTTGTTATGCGCATTTCAGAACACAGAAAAATCTCTCATGCATAGGTAGCAAAAGCTGCCCACTTTCTGTCACCAAAATGGAGGATTTGTCATGCGGGTTCGGCATTGTGGAAGCTCCCGGAAATCTGTGATGCTAGCGCTTCCATGCCAGACCTTCTGTGTCATGCAAAAACAGCATGACCCTTCCAGACCCAGACATTTTTGCATTTGATAGTACCGCTTTTTCGGCAACAATTTTTCCGCAAATTCCAAGGCCTCTTTCCGGTACTGAGTGAAATTCGGGTCGCACGTACTGCTACTGGAGGTGCTGGTGCTCGGGGGTGAATCATCTTGCGTTAAAATGGATGATTCCCGCCTTGCATCAGCTTTGAGGACTACGTCGCGCTCGGCAGTGACAAGAGTCAACATCTGGAGGGGGCGGGAGCAGGCTGGTACAATTTCTAGCACCGGATGAAAAAACCGAGGGAGTGCTAACCACGGGACGAAAAGCAGAGGAAAAAACACCTGGCTGGCGAAGTAGTTCCATGCTAATACGAATATCATGTTGACCAGGCTGCACCAGGCAATCGTGTTTAGTCAAGCACGACCAGGTCGTGCTTGCGTTGTTGTAGCACTGCTGAAGGTCCACGACCGCGACCATGACCTTCTTCGCGATTGACGTCGCCCTCCAACTAGTTCTACTGCTCTCCGAAAAGTCCTACGCCTGGGCCCCTCTTTTGTGCAGCAGAGGCACACAACCGAAGCTGCTGCCCTTGTTGAGGAGGACCTCCAAGTGCCGTTTTTAGCACAATGTCGTGGCACCAGGAGCTTGTTCCTCCGGCGGCCGTGGCTGGTTCCACCCAAAAATCGGCGTCCCTGCCCCAGCAACGGTGGTCGACAATTCTTTGTGGAGCTCCTTTATTTAACGTTAGAGAAATGGCCATCAAGAATTTGAATCATATATCCTGGGACGAGCTAGAGCTGCTTCCCCTTGTTCCGGACTGCCTTCTACTATTGCAGCCTTAGCAGGTCGTGCTGGTGTTAACGACTTCTGGATCATGAAAGATCGAAAGGCCGACTGCTACTTCTATCACTTGAAGGTCGTACTGATCTTCCATTTTGGACACTCTTTTTGATTCTGATTTGGTTTGCTTTGATCCTGATCTTCTTGCACCACGACACCCCCTGAGGCGTATAATTCTTGATGCAGATGATCTGCACTGTGCTGGTCCTCGTCCTCATGCAAGAACATATTTTTGTTTGACGACATTCATCACTGTAGAAAAAGAGACGTAGTACTACAGGCCCTTGCCGATATTATTTTCATTACCCCTACTTAGAACAAGGTGTACGAAGAAAATTTTGTTCTATTTTAATACTAGGATTTTTTGAATCTGCTCACATGCATATCACGTAACGAGCGTCAGTGAATAAAGCGGAACAATAAACTACGACGCAGGGATAAACTTCCGATGTAAGAACAAGAAGAAGTACGAAGCTGGACGGGAAAGAAGTCAGGAACAGCCAGTATAGCCGCGAGGACCTCGTGCACAGACAAGTAGAACCTCAGCCCGGGTAGAAGTTTTCAAACTACGCGAGGCAGATCGGGCAGATGGAAGTGTCGTGCTGATGCTGATAAAATCAAAAATCGCTCGCTACCACAAACCCACGATACGACTGCAGGGCGGTCGCAAGGGCGGTCCCCTATTCGTTTACTTAATCAATCTGGAGGGAGGTCCCGAACGTAGCGTCGATGTGCAAAATTGTACAGTAAAAATATGCGCTAGTAGTTCTTGTACGGGTCATTCAAACTACCCGTGAACGATCGTTCGACTCAGAAGTGCTATAATACTTGTTCGAGTTTTCTCACGTGGTTCTTTGAAAATAAAATTGTTCATTTACAGTTCTTTCCTGACTTCAATCATCGACTCATGGTCGATGAAGCATAGGAACTCCATGCTTCATCGATCCATCGTAGCATGAGCAAGAGGAATAAAGGGGGGGCCGGCCCTTTTCAATATTTTTACCCGAGCCCCCCCGCGTAGCTCGGGCCGAAGTACAGAAGAAGATAAATTTCGTCTGGCTTGTTGGTACTAGTTGCGGCTGTTTCTTTCGAGCAGCAAGCGCCATTTGGTGCGGTAGTATGATAGAAACAACCCGGAGAGGAAGTACGGAAAGAACAATAACATGCATTGCAGCGTGTGATATAGTATGATAGGCAGTTCTTGTACAGGGGGCGGAAGCCTATTTGTTACTTACTTATTTATAGATTAAGATTTATCTCACTCCGATGACTCCCTCAGCCCCCTTCTGTTGATCCCCCCGACTTTCTTTCAAAGTTCTTAAATGCGTATATAAATTATTGAAATAAGTATACTGAACTGAAAGCGCTCATATTGTTCATGGTAGAGTATTTTGCAATCGAAGAACATGACAGCACTCGGCTTTCCCTTCACCCGGCCGCGGTACTAGCATCGTCCTTTTCAACGTCATCTTCGTCGAGAGCGGAGAGGTCCTCGTCCTCTTCGCCGCCCACGACCCCCTTCTCGGTGGGTTCCACAGCGCAGGTATGCATTGCAAATATGTCTGGGTCTGGAAGAGTCGGGGCTTGTCATGCACATTTTGCATGACCCATGAGGTCTGTGATGCTGGTTCTAGCATCACAGATTTTTTGAAAGCTTCTTGATGCTTATTACACATGAGAAATGCCCTCTCCGCGTACCAAGAACTGACACCTCTTGCTGCTCATGCAACACAGATATTTCTAGAATCCGCAGACAGCATTGCAAGTTCCATTCTTCCAGACCCAGACAACATATTTCCAATACATAGCAGGGCAGCGCGGGGTCCGGGTCGAAACGGGTGACCAGCTTGTGCTGAAACCTTTCCGGCAAAGGATCGTTCCAGTTTTTCGTGTATGCATTGCAAATATGCCTAGGCTAGAGGGTCTGGAAGAGTGTAACTTGTCATGCTACATCTGGAACTGGGACAAATTTGTGTTGCATGATTACCAAAAGAGGTCCACTTTTGAACAAGTTTAGAGGCAGTTTCTCATGCAGGAGCGGCATGATAGAGATCTCACAGAGCCTGTCATGCCAGGCTGTGCATGGCAGACCGCGTGAGTCATGGAAAACCTGCATCACAAACCTACCAATCTTCCAGGAGACCCAGACATTTTTGCACTTGATATCGTGGGGTGGTCTGCCGGAAAATCGTACCCCGCGTTTTCGCGGGCGGTGGCGCACAGTTGCCCCAACGTTATCAACTGTAAAAGTGTCTGGGTCTGGAAGGTTCTGACAAGATGCAATGCACGTTTTGCATGAGCCATGACGTCTGTGATGCATACCCTAGCAATACAGATTTTTTGGGGGCTTCTTGATGCCTATTCCGCATGACAAATGCCTTCTCAGCGTAGAAAAAGTTGCATTTTCATCTTTGCTACTGATGCAATACAGATTTTTTTGGAAAAATCCAAACGCAGCATCACAAGTAGTTGCAGTCTTCCAGACCCAGACATTTTTGCACTTGGTAAACGTTTGCAGGCTGCCAAAAGCGCTCAAGTCCGCGCGGCATCCCGGGTTGCCCACCTTCTGATCCAGAATGTCCCGGTGGGCGTCGCCGAACAGGGCTCTGGCGTAGAGTTGCACCTCATGCGTGGTGAAGATCACCGTGGTTCCCCGTGTGGCCGCAAAACAAAAGATGTTGCGCACCACCTCCAGCTGCGTAGGCTCATCCAAACCATCCGTTGCCTCGTCCATAAACAAAACGCGCGGACGCATCAGCAAGGCCCACACCAGATTGTACCGATTCCCTTCTCTATCGTACGAAAAAACTGCTTCACTGTAAAGATTTTGGTCTTGCAAGTTTTGCATTACAAGTTCGTTCTTACACATGACCAAGAAAACTTGCCATGCGTGCTTCCTAAGGCAAAGCACGTTGAAAATCCCAATGTCTTGCGTGTGTAGCAAGACAAATAGTTGTGTACTCCATTCTATGCATCACAAGTTCACAGTGAAACTACAGTTTTTTCGTGCGATATTCCCCGCGCGACATTTGACCACGAAGTCCTTTATCCTGTGCAAAAGTATCGTCCTCGTACAAATGCAAGTCTTGCATTACAAATTTCTTTGTCAATGCAAATCAGCATGACAAATTTTATGTCTCATGCTGAGAAAATTTGTAATGCATTTATACGAGTACGATACTTTTGCAGTTCATACCCTTGCATGTCGAGCAGCTTTTCCGCCAGATCGACGTCACTCAGCGCTTCCACTGCTTCCGCCGTCATGGTGTTCCGCCGCGACACATCAAGTTTCTGGTTATTCTTGCGCCGAAAAAAAGAGAAAAGCCCGCTGCCGCTTTTTTTCTTTCGCAGCTCATCGGTCGTTTGTTCCCCAAACACGAGTGTCGTCCGCGCGTACTGCGCCTATCCTGTGCAAAAGTATCGTACTCGTAGTAATCGCAAACATGCATTACAAATCTTGCTCTCAAGGTAAAAGCGCATTACAAATTTTATTTCTCATGCTTAGGAAATTTGTAATGCATTTGTACGAGTACGATACTTTTGCACAGGATAGCGCCAGCTTGGGCCAAATCTTCGCGAGCTTCGCGGCCTCGACAACCTCCTTCGTATGCTAGTGTCAGGATCGAAATCGACAAAGTTGAGAGAAATTTGAGATGCATAAAACGGGCGCCACTTGATGCGTAGTTTTCAAGTGGCGCATGACAAATTTGAGTAGAACCGAAATCCACTTTGTAATGCTGTTTGGGTAAGAAAGACACTCTTTGTCATGCTAGTTTAGCAGCTCTATTTCTAGTACTTACCCCTCAACAGGCTTACAATCTGCCTCCCTTGCCTAAGTACTCAGCAAGACAGGCACTTTGTCGTTGCATTTTATGCATCACAAACTAGTATTTCAACTTTGACGATTTCAACAATCCTGACGCTTCCATACTTCGCACCAAGGCTGTACGGGTTTGCCTGGAGCACCTGGTCACGCACGGTCCCCGTCATCTGGTGAATGCTGATCTTTTGACTGGCACTATGGGAGTGCACAGCTCCCCTTTGTTCCCCCTCATTTGTATAGCATGAACGGCAAAAATACAAGCGTCAGCAAGAAAAAGAATGCCGGTTTTGCATGACAAATTATTTGCACTGGATTGTAGTGCTATTTGGGCTACCAGAAGTTGTCATGTTGGAAGGCTAAGGGCAGGGCTACCAGAAGTTGTCATGTTGGAAGGCTAAGGGCAGGGCTACCAGAAGTTGTCATGTTGGAAGGCTAAGGGCAGGGCTACCAGAAGTTGTCATGCAAACTACACGACAAGAGACAGAGGCAGACGCAGAGCTTGGATTTGGTATTTCGCATGACAAATGAGGGGGAGGGGGGGTTGTGCACTCTCATAGGCCACGACCTGGTGGTACAACATCCGGGACAGCGCCACTTTATAACCCGCTCAGGTGTTACAAAAATCTGTGATGCAAGAGCGCATGACCTAGCCAACTCTCCTAGGATTGCGCATGACAAGTTCCGGAGCCCCAAACCCCACTACAATCATCTGGCGAAGTTTGTACTTATTGAGTGGAGCGCGGCTCTGCGAGTCTGTCATGCTCATCATGCAAGACAAATCTCAGATTCTATTGAGATCATGCAAGACAAATCACGTTTGAGATTGAAACAGCTGAGCACGTTATACATTTCGCGGTCGTTTTCTTTGTCCATCTCCCGGCCCTGTTGTTCGGTGCCTTTCGCTATCAAATGTAAAAATGTCTGGGTCTGGAAGATTGCAACTTGTCATGCTAAATCTGCAGCATGGAAAAATCTGTGTTGCATGATTACCAGAAGTCGTCCAGTTTTGAAGAAAGTCGGGAGGGAGTTTCTCATGCAGGATAGGCATGAGAAAGGTCTCGCAGAATCTGTCATGCTAGATCCTGCATTCCAGACCTCATGGGTCATGGAAGAGCAGCATGACAAGTCGCGCACTCTTCCAGACCCAGACATTTTTACATTTGATATTCGCGCGGCCCAGGTCCACCCCGTTCCACAAAATTTCGCGCGTGCCGAACTCGGGGTCCAAATATCGAATGAAAAAATACCCCCTCCCCATATCAAAACGGAATTTCTGCTGCTGGATTTGTGTACACAAGTCAGCTTTGTATTGCAGAGAGGCACTGCGTGCGGCCAGGTCCCAAGGCTAGGTAGGGGCGTATACGTCTAGTTGTTCAGCATGTCAAACGGCTCCCCTTTAGGTCCAACAGCATGGCAAATCGCTCCCATAATGGGGCGCAAGCTTCTGCCCTTGTCTTCTTCCAATACAGATGTGATTTGTGACGTCAAATCAGCAACGCAAATTTTCGGAAACATACCTGTTCAATATGGGGAGTGAGCATTTTTCCTTCTGATACCAAACTGCCAAACATCATGCTCAGCAGCACGCTCTTCCCACCGCCCGAGGGCGCTCTCAAGTAGAAAAAGGAACCGCCAGGCACGTCGACCGTCTATGGCGTTCTCCACCGTTACGTCCTCAACTGTTACGTGGGTTTGATGTGGTGCAAGAACTGCAACAGTGAAATAGGGGACCTTGTTGCGCGTCTTGCACGACGACAGATTTGGCACAGATTCTCAGCCTGTTGGGCTCTACTTCGGGAATTTGTCATGCGAAGCAGCTTGATCGTGTCGATTCTGATTGCAATTTTGCATGACAAATCACGTAACAGCTGCGAATGTAACATTTGAGAACGCCATACCGTCGGCTGTCCGCGTTCGGGCCAAATCTTGAAGCGAACGTTCACGCTTTCCTCTTACAATGAAAAGTGCCCCCACCCCCGAACTTGGGAGCATTTGTTGTATTGCAAACCTTTCCAAATGAAACATTCGCAATCTTGCATCCATTTGCATCACAGATTTCCAACCGTGAAGAGCAAAACTTTGTATTGCAAGAGACCCCGACAAGACCGGCGCTTGTCATGCAAGCGATGCGATATACACCTAGATTTTGCAGCAGAAAGGTTCATACTCCTTTCACGCATAGATAAAAAGTTCTTCATTTGAAAACCTTATGCATCACAAATTTTCGCAACTTTGGGGGTGGGGGCATTTTTCATTGTAATATTTCCATCCGATAGCCCACGCGGTCAAGCGTGCCGCTCGTCTGGTTCTTGTCAAAGAGATGGTCCTATCAAGTGACAATATGTCTGGGTCTGGAAGAATGCAAGGCTTGTCATGCTTGTCTGGCATAACCCATGATGCTTGTATGTATTCATGACCCAGCATCACAGATTTTTGGAAGGCTTCCTGATGCCATTTCCGCATGACAAATGCCCTCCTCGCGCAGCACAAATGTGGCTCCTCTTGCTGGTCATGCAATACAGATCTTTTTAGAGTCCAAAGTTAGCAGCACAAGTTCCAACCTTCCAGACCCAGACATTTTTGCATTTGATAGGGCCACCGGGGCGCGGGAAAAGAGGTCCAGGTACTTTTGCATCTGCTTGCTGTTTATGCATCGCAAATATGTCTGGGTCCGGGGAAGAATGCAAACTTGTATTGCACATTGCACAACACATAAGAATCTCTCAAGCCTAGGCAGCATAAGTTGCCAACTTTCTGCCACCAAAATGAGGCACTCGTCATGCGGATTCGGCATTGCGGAATAAGCTTCTCGAAAGAACCTGTGACGCTAGAGCTTCCATGCTAGACCTCCTTCTGTGTCATGCAAAAGCAGCATGACTCTTCCAGACCCAGATCGATATTTGCATTTGATACTGTTGTAACCCTCCGTTTTCAAACTGAAAAGCGACTGAGCAAAGTCCATGCTCTTGCTCCCAACAATGCTGGTGCTGGCTCTGATGGTCACGGCCTTTGTGGGAGTCAACGGATTTTTTGGCAAGATCCACTGAGGCAGCTCTTTCTCCAGCGGATTTCCAGGGCCCAGCTCTGCATTAATAATTCCAAAATACATCAGAAAAAGCTGAAGAACTGAGGACACTGACGAAATGAAATTGACAATGCTTGCCTTGGTTTTTTTCAGCGACTCCAGTTTTACTTTGGCCTCGGCTTCCTTTTTCTCCGCCGGAAGGCTCTTGTCCGCCAGGCTGTAACCCAGGTGCGCATTTTCCCGAAGCGTTTGCAGTTCGTCCGGGCTCTGCAACGCGGACCGCGTCCGGAGCACTTCTTCCTGGAGACGTTCCAATTCCTTCTCCTGCGCGGCGATCTGGCTATCAAGAGCGGGCATGTTCCACGTCGCCATACCAGGAGCAAGTGCCGTGAAAATGGGAACCAGAAAGATCCAATTTCCCAAACCGACCATAGGAACAGCGTACGCCAAAGTCCCCAGCGTCGAGGCCCCGCCGGCAATCGCCGTGGGAAGCGCTTGCGTCATCAGCTTCGTAAAGGTGAACGCTTGCTGACGGCCCATGGCGGCTTCCTTTGTATTGCAAGGAAAAATCCCCCCTCACCAAATTAAAAACGTAACTCCTAAAAATTTGTGCTGCAGATTTGTGGCCACAAATCCTGCCTGTCTTGCTAAAAGGCAGATCCAGGCTCTCCGACACGCTACGCAGGCGATTTGTACAAATGCTGTAAGGACTACAGGGCAGCAGTCTAGTACCATGCTAGGCGCCTACACCAAAAGGCCCCTATCTAGCCCTGCGATCTGCGTGCAGTCCTCTACTGCAAGACAAATCTGATTAGATTTGTGTACGCAAATCCAGCATCACGGATCTCCTTTTCGATATGGGGAGGGGGGATTTTTCCTTTTGATACTTTGTCGTCATCCCTCTGCCTGATCTAGCGCCCGACACAGCGATCTCGTTCGCTTTTTGCTGCAGCTTATGCACTGCAAATATCGATCGGGGTCATCTGGAAGGATGCAAACTTGTGATGCATCAAATTTTGGAACAGGCAAAAAATCTGTGCTGCATGGTCAGCAAAAGATGCCAGATTTTTGTCTCGGGACATCAAGACAGTATTTCTCATGCGGGTTCTTAGGCATGAATCGGTATGATCCCATTCATTTGTCATGCTCTGTGTGCATTTTTCCACATCACCTTTGTGAAGCTGCAAAAACTGTCGATGACAAGTGTCTGACTTCATCCAGACCCAGACAAATACCTGCACTGGATACAGCTGGTCCTGCAACAAATTCGTAAACTTGTCCACCAGCCTTGTTCTCTGTGAGAGTGCACAACTCCCCCTCGTGGTCCCGCTCACTTGTCATGCAAAATCCCAAATCCAACTGCTGCCTGGTGGCACTGTTCGCATGACAAATTCCGGTAGCGCAAATCGAATTAGAATACTACACTCGGCCTCCTGCGAAGGTGTCATGCGCGACACCAGGCCTCAACACGTGTGCGTGTGCCGGTGGAGTTTGTATTGCTGTTTATGCCAACATGCAAATGAGGGGACGAAGGGCAAGTTGATGTGCAGTCGGATATTCTCGCCACAGAGCAGCTAAGCATGAGGAAAAAGCTGTGCAGCGCCGGCTGTATAATCGTAGGCGTCAACAGCACGGCCTTCAAAGCAGCCCCGAAGGTCGCCCCTGCTTGGATACTGGCCTTATCAGAGTGTCAGGATCGATGAAATCGACAAAGTTGCACTAGTCTGTCACGCATAAAATGCGACGTCGACGCACAAAGTGACCTTATTGCAGAAGATGAAGACGCCAGGGAGGCAGATTCATAATTATATATGTAGTGCTATTCTTCAGGGGCAAGGATTGGGCTGCTGACTAGCATGACAGAAGGGAGCTCCGTTGCCCTAAACAGCGCGACAGATTCGCTGCCCGCGCGGGGAAGATTTGTCATGCGCCGACTATAAACTGTGGGCCCAACTGGTATTGATTTTATGCATATAGAAACTTTGTCGATTTCGGTCCTAACGCTTCCATAGGCACTCACGCTACCCCACACCGCCGGAATGGTGGTCCGATATCAAATGCAAATATGTCTGGGTCTGGGAGAATCTGTCATGCACGTTTTGCATGAGTCATGATCGATCTGTGATGCATGCCCTGGCATCACAGATTTGTTGAAGGCTCCTTGAACTTGATACGACCTATTCCGCATGACAAACACCCTTCCCCCGTAGCGAAAATTCCATTCCCTTTGCTAGTAATCATGCAATACAGATTTTTTTGAAATCCAAAGGTAGCGTCACATATTGCATTGCTCCAGACCCAGACATATTTACACTGGATATCCAAATCAGTCCCATGGTACCCACGGTGGACCCCACATACAGGGCCAGAAACAGCGCCACATACATGAAGTATTTCATGCCCCCTCCGGCGAAAACCGTGCCCTCGAACACCTTCCGAATCCGATAACACGTGTTACAGCCGCGCGCATCCAGGTTTTGCATCTGCTTCAGGTATTCCGGGTTTTGCGCCGGTAGTTTCTCCCCCTGCATGCCCTCCGTCAGTGCTTCCACCTGTCCGTCTATCAAATGTAAAAATGTCTGGGTCTGGAAGAGTGCATGTTTGTCATGCACATTTTTCATGACTCCTGATGTCGGTGATGCATGCCCTAGCATCACAGATTTTGTGACGGCTCCCTGATGCCTATACCGCATGACAAATGCGTTTTCCGTGTAGCAAAACTTGGACTCTCTTTGCTGCTCATGCAATACAGATTTTTTTAGAATCCAAAATCAGCATGACAAGTTGGATTCTTCCAGACCCAGACATTTTTACATTTGATACCGTCGGTCATCGCGGGATCGATCGGCCCAGCCTGCTATCAAACGCAAAAATGTCTGGGTCTGCAAACTTGTAATACTGTGTTGGGAATAGTGAAAAATGCTCTGTAAAAGTGCACAGCCAAGCATGAGAAATATCTGCGGTTCTTCGTGTTGCGTTTTTCGCATGAGAAACAGCGTTGTTGCATGACAGGCAAAAGGAACTCTTCTTGGACACGCATCACAAACTTTTTTGTCAAGTAGCCAGACAAGCATGACAAATCTCGCAATCTTCGTCTTCCAGACCCAGACTACATTTTTGCATTTGATACCTGCTCCTTTTTGTGCTCCGCAAATGTCAAGCCAGTATTCTCCTCCTCAACCTTTTTCTTCATCCCCGAAATAGAGCGCAGCCACTTTCGGAACCCGCGCAGCTTGTCACGAACCTTGTCCAGCTTGCGGCGAAATAGATTTTTCGGCTGAGCCTCATATTCTACTTCGCTGCCTTCGGCTAAATTTTCAAGCAATTTGGCCTGGACCCCGGATGGCGCGCTGCACAGGAAAAGTAGCCCGCTGAGTACTACAACTTGCGCCCACGACCCCGGTCCTCGCGTGCTTTTATTTCCACCACTGCCCTTCATGATCTTGCAGGGCATTTATTTGAAAAGCAGTTTTGCTCTTTTATTTTTCAGACGGATACTTGTGAAGATATTTCCCCGGCGGTTCAGTGGGCCACGCAGCCTCGCCCGAAGTTTGTTGGTGTCGTCCTCTCCTTCACGTGGCAAATCTAGTAAACGAAAGGTTGTACTATCTTCGGTTCAATATAGTCGTAACAGCTCCTGTCGTAGCAGGAATGCCGACGTTGTAGCAGGAATGTTGTAGAAAGTAGAAAATTTAACTTTTTATATATCGGTTCTCCGAAGATCTACTTGAGACGTCTAGGGAGGTAGTAGACGAATTTCTGAATAAAGATTTATCAAACTGAGTTGCACTAAAAGAACAGAGCGTGTACAACTTGGGCAGCAGCAGCTCCTGTTCAGAATAATCAAATTGTCCTCGTGTAATATAAAAATTACCGCCAAGAAGAAATATACTTACAACCAGGACCGTTGTAGTTCCCTGGTAAGTATCAACAATACTAGATTAATATTAACCGATCACAGAATACAATTACAAGCCGAAGTAGATCGCACGACGGGTCGTGCAATAAAAAATATCAACCGAGCAGTCGAATGATCATCTTCATGCGCAAGAACCAGATCGGTATCACCTTGTTTCCTTCATGATGTTGTCCTTCACGACCGAGTTGTTTTAACTACATCAAGCACCGAAAAATACAACTTTTCAACTTTTTCTGCACCTCGATAAGCATCAGCCATAAAACCGAGGTTTTTAAGTACTTCTTACAACAACAAAGATGTAGTTTCTGCAGGCGTTGATCTTGTTGATGTAGCTCCTTCAGTATCGAAGAATGCATCAACTTTTATTTATGCTCAGAAGTATCAACATCGCGCAGCAGCAACTACTTGCACGAGGGCGGCTGCCGGCGTGCCATTTGATTTTGAGGCGGGCCATGATGCCAAGATCATGATCGGCGGGAATGGAGTTTTTAAATCCGGCTGTCACTATGTAAAAATTCGTGTTGGCGTTGCTCCTCGCTCGTGTGGAGGTCCATAGAAGTACAACTTCAACTTGTTCAAAATTATTCACCTACTGCAGCTACTCAACTTCCAGCACGAGGCTTCAGCTGCTACGGCACTGCAGGAGTAGCAAGAAAGGGGACGAGGAGGTGGCTCTTGCTCTTGCACCAGCTGCAAGAACGCCTGATGGGGCTGGGCGAAGCAGGCCGGGCCCTGCTTCCGTAGCGGGGACCGGCCCACTCCACCACCACCTGGCCCCCAGGGCAAGACCCCCCAGAACCCCACCTCCGGTGGTTGAATGGGGGGAAACGCGCCAGCCCCAGCCCCACTTGCCCCCAAGGGGAAGACAGGCAAACGACCGAAGCAATCCTGCAAGCAAAGTACGCCAAGCGGCAGCACCAAGACAGAGAACGCCGCACCAGGAGCACCTGCACGTCGCTAGTTCCGGCCCCAAAATAGCCACCCCGGAAAAAAGCGCAAGCAGCCCACTATCAGCCAAAAACAGCGTGAACGAGAAGCGGGAGCGCCTGCTCTTCGAGCAGGAGCCGTGTAAGCGAGTTCCCGAAAAAGCAAAACCCTCGCACAGGAAGGAGGGCGCCACTCTATACGTGCGCAACGTGCTGTAAGCCAGCTCCAAACATCCACACGGAAAGGTCTACGACCTTGGCCCGGGTATACAAACTAACAACCCCCCGCAAGGTAGGCCACTGCCGGCACGGCCGCAAGCCGCAACTGGAACAACTGACAGTCAGCCCAAAGACATCAAGAATGGAGCGTGCCACCGTGGTCCCCCAGACCGAAATCTTGAAAAGAGAGCGCTCTCGTTGAAAGCGCCGGCATGACGTCCCCGCGCGGCGTAAAACAGAGCGCAAAACGGACACAACCTGGCAACGAAACGCTTTCGATTTCAGCGAACCGGCAAGACGGCACAAGCCCTCCAAGCCCGAGCAAGGTAATACCAATAGCTAATGCCGTGCATTTGTGCCGGAACCTCCATTCCCCTATAGGGAACCCCGGCAAAGGGGCTATAGGGAACCCCGGCTGCAGGAGTAGCAAGAAAGGGGACGAGGAGGTGGCTCTTGCTCTTGCACCTGGGGCTGGGTCGAGCGGGTCGAACCCTCGCTCCCGCAGCAGGGAGCGACCCGGGACCGCGCCGTTGGGGCTGGGTAAAGCGGGCTGGGCCTAGTACCCGCCACTGAAGGCCCAGCCCACCTCACCACCAAACGTCTGTCCGGACTAGCCGGCTCGACGTATGCGGCCACTCGGGAGGGAGGGGGGGCAAAAACTTCCTACTTCCCGTCCCCCAGACGCACTGATCGATGACTCTACATCCCTCCCCCCCACTCTAGGGGGGGAGTACGCAAACGGGCATTTGCTTCTACGGATCTGCCAGCCGACACAGTGCGAACGGGGGACCCCAAATCCCAGTCACTACACGAAAAGAATCTACCGGGGTAGATGTGTCTTTCGTTTCGTTCCTTCCATCTGGTATCCACCACCCGAGCGGCCCGTTGGACCGCGCCGTTGGGGCTGGGTAAAGCGGGTCGAACCCTCGCTCCCGCAGCAGGGAGCGACCCACTCCACCACCACCAGGCCAACAGGCAAGACCCCCCAGAACCCCACCGCAGGTGGTTGAATGGGGGGAGAGGAGCGCCAGCCCAGCCCCACTTGCCCCAGAGCCACCACTCCGGAGCAATCCATCGCCCGGACGGAAGGCGAGCTCCATGAAACCGCGGAAAAGAAGATCACGACTACATCTACATCCGGAACCGGCAATATAGCGAAGACACCAATTCCGCCATAGTAAACACAGCAAAGCCTTAAAGCCCGCATCACTCGAAACGTAGCTGCCCTGGGCACAAACCGCCCCGGCGCCTACAGAGGTCTTCGTGACACAAATCCAAAAGCGTCCGAGCGCCAGCCAGCAAACGTGAGTAACATCTACGAGAACGTCCCTACCGGCGGGGCGGGACTGCCCCGTGTAACGGACCAAAGGTAGAAGCTGTTGCACCTGGACGCAGCGGCGCAAAAACTGAAAGAGCACGCAGGGGACCATCCCCGGTAGTGCGTCCCCAGCGAGTCAAGCCAACCAGTAACCCAAAGAAGCCCGCAACAAGGTCACTACTTACTCCCCGATACTGCCAAACAACAGAAGACCGAGCAAGAACAGCCGCCCCTTCGCGGCCCCCTTCCGCCTCCACGGGCACCTAAGTCTCACTAGAGGCACTCGACCTAACAATGCCTACCATGGCTGGCGACAAGCAAAGCCACCCCGGAGAAGCGCGTGGCGAACGATATCGCTATCGTAGCCCCCAGGGCAGATTATAGGCTAGCACGCGAGCCCCTTACCGCCGGTAAGAATCCGCGCGCCTACGATTGTATCGACGCGATAACGAGAGCACACCGTGCCCATTATAGAGACTCGCTGTCATAGACGGAGCCACCACCTGCACGAGGGAAGCATCCCGAAGAGCCATCGCCCCACAAGATGCAATAACAATACACTTACACAGCGCCACCAAATATTATTGAGGAGGAGGATCCTCGACCCCGCCCTGCTAAGGGAACAGAGGGCGAACAAATTGGACACCAAGAACCCCAGCCAAAGCATGGGAACAAGTTCGCAAGGGTAACGGATTGGGTACCGCCAGTGCATTGGTAACGGATTGTGCAGGAGTAGCAAGAAAGGGGACGAGGAGGTGGCTCTTGCTCTTGCACCAGCTGCAAGAAGTGCAACAGTGCATGACTCGCAAAAGCCCCCCCCTTTTCGCCGGAAAATTTCTCCGGACGCCTTCGAGGGACAAAAATCGCGTAAATTCGATAGTTTGCGCGCGCTTTTTCGTTCGTCTGAGACTCAGAAAGCCTTTCCAACAGTGCGAGGATCGGAGGGACACTGCAAGTCTGCAGCTTGCTCGCATGAACAGGAGCCGCTGCCCAAATTAACTCAAGGCCTCCTACAGCTCGCTCATAAGTAGTTAAGAAATCGCGGAAGAGCAGCGTGAGGCGCTTTCACAAACTTGCCCACCGGCCCGACGGCCTTGCTTCACTCTGGGAAGAGTGAACGCGACTTCGTCTCCAGAGTGGGAATCTTTCAAAAGTGAAAAGTCAGTGATTTTTCACTTTTTGAAAATTTTCTGGAGTCGAGGCCCCAAAGTGAAATTTTTTCAAAAGTGGAAAATCAGTGATTTTTCACTTTTTGAAAATTTTCATACACTCTGAGAAACGCGGCTTCGCCTCAAAAGTGAAAATTTTTCAAAAGTGAAAAGTCACTGATTTTTCACTACTTTTCTCGAAGGTACCCGTGGCCACGGAGGCCTTCGAGACCACGGGTACCTTCGAGAAGAGTAGTGAAAAATCAGTGATTTTTCACTTTTTGAAAATTTTCACTCTGAGAAGGGTGAGCGCGGCTTGAACTCCAAAATGAAAATTTTTCAAAAGTGAAAATCACTGATTTTTCACTTTTTGAAAATTTTCACTCTGGAGTCGTAGCCGCGTTTCTCAGAGTGTGTGAAACTTTTCAAAAAGTGAAAAATCAGTGATTTTTCACTTTTTGAAAATTTTCGCGAGTCGAGGCCGCGTTCACTCTTCCAGAATGAAAATCATTGATAAGTAGAATAAAGTCAGTGCTTTTTCACTTCTAAATGATTTCCACTTTTCGAAACTTGTCAACCTGGAAAGAGTTGCACGCTCCGTCGACTTCAGAAAATTTTGAAAAAGTGAAAAATCACTGATTTTTCACTTTTCAAACGCTACCTAGCTCTCAGATGCGCCTCAGATGCACTTTTCGAAAAATACTTTTCAGAGGCTCTTCGTTTGCCAAATTATCGCGCTTCTGTCCCCCGAAGGTCTCCGGGGAAGTTTTCCGGCTATCAATTCTATTAGAGGGTAGCAAGAAAGGGGACGAGGAGGTGGCTCTTGCTCTCAGATGAACGTCAGAAACTTTTCTTGCTTAAGCTTACGGCTGTGCTTTTACCAGGCTAAGAATACCACTTGGCCGAAGTGCTACCATCGCACTTCTCGACATCGGCTGTAATCTGAATACAGCAAGGCGTGAAGGCTAATAGGGAAAACAGCGAAACCAATAGCACTGAGGCCATGATCGCTCCCTATTCTTAGGCTAGTAAATGTCAACCGCGCTCCCATCTCTGGGGCGGCAGAGACGTTTTCTACTTTTTAGACTCCCACTCCCCTGCGGTGGCTTCACCACGAACGATGTTCCCATCGTCAGAACGGTTTTAATTTAGGCGGCTATATCCACTGCCAGTGGTTGCGTGCAATATCAATATGTAAACTCGAAATCTCTTCTAGCCCTGGTTGTCATGCGCAACATCGAGAATCCTCAAGCAACTGCCTCTGGTGCCCTTTTTTCAAAATATTCGCATGCTGACGCTAGCACTCGCGAACCGAAATTCTGCAGATACGGCTACCAGACTACTCGGTCGAGGAAATACGCCCCAGCGCACAAGACAAATCAGAAAAGGAGAAATATAGCCTCTAATGCTCCCAAAGTCTGAAAATAAGTCTGAGTCCTTCGCTTCAAAGCGGAATGAAACCACTACCCAGAAACTGCTAGAACCATAAAAAGGGTTCGTCAGCATCGCGCGAAAATTTCCGGTAGGGTCCTGAGCAGACATTTTCCAAAACCCAGCAAATGCAGCAAGCTCTCCTCCGTGGTTCAAGCGACTACTAGTGTGATCGCACCTGTCTGTGTGATCCCTGTGATCCTACTAGTGTGACCCCTGTATTTACATCCTACACCTACTGGTGTTCTGTGACCTAGTTCATGGATCTCATTGATCTGAGGAGCATGCTAGCAACAGCTCTAGTCCGAGACTGGTTGCTGCGCAATACAGGAGTAGCAAGAAAGGGGACGAGGAGGTGGCTCTTGCTCTTCATCAGGGCCACACAGTGCGAAAAAGCTACGCGCCCTGAAGACATTGGCGCGCGCATTGTAATCAGACACGAGGTTGCTCTGATGCATCTGGAGAGAGACCAAGCCGTCTTACAAAGAGCGAAGCAGTAAAGAAGGCACTAGAGCAAGTTCGCTACTTTGCTTGCTCGAATCCCTGATCCGAAAAGCACACCCGTGCCTCCGTAAAAGAAAACCGCAGCGGAGCAAGTTTGCTGGTGATGCATTTTGCTCGGATGGAGACACGGATGCGTTTTCCGGATCAGGGATCTGGGAATTGTTTTCCTCGATTTCGTCACCAAAGCTGAGAGCAATGCCCCCAGGCTCGCGTGAGTTGCCCTGATGGACCTCTTCAGGTTCGTTAGCGGTCCAAAGGCACTCAAGGCCCAGGGCTTCGATCCGAAAAACGCATCGCTGTCTCCATCGGAGCAGATTGGACGAGATCCAATGTTGTGTAATACATCTAACAAGAACCTCGACAAAAACTGCTCCGATGCGTTTTTTTCTGAAGCGAATCACGATGGAGAAAAATGCATCGGAGCAAAATGTCGGATACCCCATTCTTGAACCCCCAAGGACTACCCGCAGAGGCTATTTCCCGGGAGGCCGGCACTTGCCCTCATGGTTGCTCGGATGCAAATCCAAGACCTTTGGCTGGCCGTCAACGCATCGGGGCTCGCCGCACTCAAACGGCGCGTGAGGCTCCAAGCAGAATGAAAGCGCCGCCCCCAGAAAGAGGGCCGGGCGGAGAATGTCAGAGAGGCACTGGGGCAAAACACACTGAAACCAAGCGTAAGAGAAAAACCGGGGCCAGGGTAAAACACAGCCCAGCGTGATGCGCTCTAATTCTGGCGCCTAACCGCGAAGGCCAGCAATGCCGGCCACAGCGCTAGACTCAGGCCGGTTGAGGTGTCTTGCGGTCAGCCGTCCGAGACGCGCCACAAAAAACATTGCAAATTGGCCTGCAACAACCCCTGCAGAAACACCCTCGCACCCGGTCGGGCGACGGCGTGAGTACCATGCCCGCTGAGAAATTGGCGTCTAAGCACTCGAAGCTACGGACCACCAGGGCCGGGGATTTCTTGAAGCCAAGGTCCCGGAGGTCCGAAAACAACCGCAACATTGAAGTGCCAGCCGTGCGTACTTTCAAGCGCTTCGGGAATCCGAGACGCTACCTTTTGCACAGATGCCGACAGGAATGCATTTTTCAGAGGATTAACTACGGCACTGCAGGAGTAGCAAGAAAGGGGACGAGGAGGTGGCTCTTGCTCTTGCACCAGCTGCAAGAAGTGCAACAGTGTTCATTTAATATTGTTGTGTTGCTCCGCCAACATCTATGGGGCCTTTATTTAATTTTATTTTACACGACCACTTTATGAAAGTAATAACTAATACTTATCCCAGGTTTTGTTCTGTCACAACCGCGAACCGAGGCAGAGGAAGACCAGCAGCATATCAAAAAGAAAGATCCCCCCTCTCCATATTGACAAGGCACGTTTTCGAAAATTTGCGTTGCTGATTTGTGACCACAAAGTGTCTCTGTGTTGCATGAAGGCAACCCCACAAGGTCCGCCGCATTCTACAGGCGGTTTGTCATGCTGTTGCACCTACAGCGTAGACGTCTATCATGCAAAGCGCCTAGGCCAATAAAACCTGTCTACTCAGGCTTAGTATGGGCCTGCAGTTCTCGCCAGGAAGACAAATCTGATTTGTGTACGCAAATCCAGCATTAGCAACTTCGTTTTGATATGGGGAGGGGAGATTTTTCATTCTGATACAGCATGCACGATGTCCTCGAGATGTTGGCCGCCGGCGCCGCCCTAGGGAACGGCTTCTAGTATTCTTAACTGAAGATTGCCAGAAGGGAAATAAGTAAGCATGATAGCAACCGCATGCGCGAATAAGTTTCTGTGCAGGATAAAGGTCAAGGTTCTTTGCCTAGTTGGTTCTCTTGAATAAAAGAACTTGAACTACTACTACCGCTCTGTCTTCTATTACTTAATTTCCCCTTGGTTCGATGTTGATTTTTAGTCTGTATTCAAAAAGTGAAGACCTAAAAATCTTGACAAACTACATGTGACCTTCAGTTGATGAGCTTGGAGGTTTTATTCAAATTTCACATTGCGACTTCCTCGAGTGTCCGTAAAAATAGACAATCAGGATGGAAACTTACAAAAATTTAAATTTCAATATAGTCATAGGGCGTGCTCCTTTTGTTGATAAAAATTGAAATTTCAGACGCGCTTTTCATGGTATTTAAGCCGGACTACAAATCAATATTTGCGTATAACGTAGTCGAGATTGATTTCCAAAACGGGCGGCACCTCACTAGAAGAAGCAACTGCAGCGAAATTGTTCCACGATTTTTCTTTTTTTGGTGTCCTTCAATATTGTTCCAGGGATGACAAATTTTTCTATGTTGCTCAAACAAGTGTAGGTGTAGAGCGGATTTTTACTTCCCCGCAGCTTCTTTATCAATTATGTGTAGACGAAACGGAGAAACAAAAAATTGAAAAGAAAAGGAAGTCGCAATTACAAAAATTATGATTGGCGATTATCATTATTCAAGTGGTACTTAGTACAACTACAGTGGTGAGAATATTACATAAGAGCGTAAGTACTTACAACAAAAAGTCAAACGTTGCACCTGCAGGCCAGCAGCCTTGGCAAACCTTCCAGGGCGGACCAGCAGCTGCAGCAGAAGTGCCATGGCGGACCAGCGGTGGCGCCAGATCTGCCACAAACACGGCGGGCCAGCAATAGCAGACCAGCCACGGCGGATCAGCAGCGGTGGGCAACTTGCCACGCCCGGTGGACCAGCAGCGGCAGACTTGCCACGGCGGGCCGCCCAGCAGTGGCAGACCAGCCGCGGCAGCCCAGCCTCCATGTGCATGTGGCGAAGGGCTTTGCGAAAATCGGGGGAAGGCTTCCGCGCATTTCCCAAGGCAAACACAACGGAAGCGACCCAGCTCGGAAAGGGCTCGGGGCCAACTCCCAAAGAAAAGCGCGCGGGATTGAAGACCTTCCAGGGCGGACCAGCCACGGCGGAACAGCAGCTGCGGCAAAAGTGCCATGGCGGGCCAACGGTGGCATCGACCAGACCTGCCACGGGCACGGGGGGCCAGCAATGTATGGCAGACCAGCCACGGCGGATCAGCAGCTGCGGACAACCTGCCACGCCCGGCGGACCAGCAGCGGCAGCCCAGCAGATGTGGCAGACCAGCCACGGCGGAACAGCGGCCGTTGCCGACCTTCCACGGCGGGCCAACTGTGGCAGACCGGGCACGGCGGGCGGGCCAGCAGGTGTGGCAGACCTATCATGGCGATGGCAGACAAGCCACGGCGGACCAGCCACAGCGGACCAGCTGCGGCAGACCTGCCATGACGGACCAACCACGGCGGACCAACCACAGGCAGCGGGCCAGCTGTGGAAGACCTGCCATGGCGGACCACCAGTCAGTGGCCGACCAGCCAGTGGCAGACCTTTCCTTAGGACAAACCAAGCCCCTCCGCGCACACAATTAGCAAGCCACCTACCGGTAGCCGCCTGCGACGCAGGGTAGTAGGCAACCTTGTCGGCCTTGTCGCCCCCAAATGGCGCGCGCGGCTGGCGCTAGAAGCCTGCAAACCTGGAAAGCTCATGGCCGGCCGCACTAGGAGCGCCCCTAGCCTGCCGCGCCCAGGGAGGGTGAGGGAAGTAAGAACGCCACAAGAAAAAGGCGCCCGAGTGCCTGCTTGGGCTTGCGCGCCGGTTCGCGCCAACAAGGGTCCCCCGGGGGTTTTGAATTTGTGTGGTGTTTGTCGAGGTTGTGGAGCTCCTAGTGATTTTTTGGTTATCGGGAGGTGGTTACTAGTATTACATAAGTGCGTAAGTACTTACAACAAAAAGTCAAACGTTGCACGGCCCACACCAGCTTTTCTTGTTTCAGCACGGTCACGAAACTGGAGCTGGAGCAGAGCGCGTCCCTATCCGAGAAAAAAAGTTTGTAGGTGTAACTTTTTTGGAGGAACAGCATGACAAATCTGTCTTGCATGAGAGCAAAAACCCTGCATGCGCAGATGGTACGTGAAAACGGGCTTGAGTGGACCTTTTAATGCATGCCCAGCATGACAGCCGCAATCACTTTGCAGGTTGCGCATCACAAAGTTACACTAACGATGTTTTTTTCTTCGATAGCCGCATACTAGGTTTTATTCAGCAACGTCCTTTCTAGCGCAGTAGAGCCGGAACAAGCAACGCCGCTTGCCTCGCTGCTATCGCATGAAAAAACTGCAATCTCTGTACGGATCATTCTGCGAGTTTTGCATCACAAGTTCGATCGTCACACACGAGATAGAAAACTTGCCATGCGAGATTCATTTTCCTGAAGGGAAGCACGCCTAAATGATATCCACTGTCTTGCATGCGTATGTAGCAAGAAAAATGCTTGTTCTGTGTTGATACACTCTATACATCACAAGTTTCCATCAATGAAACAGTTTCTTCTATACGATAGCTGGCGACGTAGTCGTAATGGAGTCCTGACCACGTTCTCCTCCATCAAATCCAAATATGTCTGGGTCTGGAAACTTGTGATGCTAAAGCATGGATGAGCCTGGTGTTTTCAAGGGCAGCCAAGCTTGACAAGTTTATTTGACGCCGTGTGATCATGCGTAGCACGCATGACAAACTCCTGCGTCCTTACATGACAAAAAGGCCAAAAAAAACTTCTGCTGGCTATGCAACACAAATTTTTCAGGAATGCTAGATACGCAATACAAGCTCTACTTTTCCAGACCCAAACACATTTGGATATCCTCACCGCTTCCGCGATTACCGACCACATGTTCGTCGGGAGAAAAATCTGGTCAACAGCGTTATCCACTGAAAAAGCATCGCGCTCATACTAAAACTAATTGCAGTCGTCACGCATTACAAATCTCTTTTGTAAGAGGTAAATCCGCATTTACAAATTCCATTCCTCATGCTGAGAAAATTTGTCATGCGTTTTTATACGCTAGTGCGATACTTCTGCTGTTCTTCATAAGCGTCCGTGGCAGCTGGTTGTGGTTCCTGGATTTGCAAATTCACGATCATTTCATGACCTTGCGGATCTGTTATTGGACTTCCTTCGTACGACGTTTTCTCGTGCTTCCTCCCTTCGGATCGGCCCCCAGCAGCACTGCTGTCCTCTGTCGCCATCATGTCGAGAAACGCGAAACTAATATCACACAGAAAAGTAGAAGTACAGTCACACAAGATGATTGAAAAAAATTGATTTTTTCAATTTCAGTTCTTGTTTCTTTTCGTTTCCTGTAAACATCAAAACGTTTGCAAATAAACGACGACCAAAAGATGAGACGCATCATTTTCCTGTCACACTAAGTCGTGGAGACCGACGGGACCAGAGGCGGCCAAAAAAATTGTCAACATGCTGAACAGCCAACAACTCTTTGCCATGCTAAAAAAAAAACTGCATAGGCAATTACTTTCCAATCATGGCACCACTACGCCATCCTTACTTTTCTGGAGGATAACTGACCAGCACCGCCCAGAGAAACAGGATAAATAGCTCGGCTGCGACCTGTGTGCGAGCGGTCATTGAGTGAGAGACTTTCGAATCGACGGAAAGAGTAGAACAAGATGACACACATCATCAAACAAACAAATGTACTATCCGCAGGGAAAACGTATTTTATTGCGGAACAAGGTAGAGTCGAGTGGACGTAGAGTCGCAGTCGTATTTCAAATAAGAAAAGTAAATACTTACCACTAAAACCGCCGGGCGCTTCAGCAAGGACCGGAGGGTCAAAATCATCGTCGGCCTTTGTCTTCTTATTTGCTATTCAGGACTACTTCTTGTTCCAGCTACGAGACGAGAGGTTGTATGACAATACAGTGAGTGCAGAGGAGCACTCCTACCTGAACCTTTACCTACTTGTCCTCCCACACTACAACAGGTCAAGTTGGGCAGGGGTCTAGCGCATGACCAGTGTTCAAAAACGTTCAAAAATGATTGGATTTTTTTATTTTTGAAATTTTTTTGAGAGGGCAAACTTGCCGAGACAAAAAGAAAGATTGCTCGGTGGGCGAAGCGGAGGATTAGCGCCGAGCCACGAGAATGCCCGGCGGAGTTTGTGCTCGTCTTCGGCTCTTGGACGAAGAGCAGAGCACTTGGGTGAGGCCTAGGCGCCAACATGTGTCAGCTCTGATCATCACACACAAAACATCCTCTTAGTGCCCTGTCCTATGCAATGAAAAGCTCTTCACGCAGCTTCGCTTCACTCACATGCAAGAGCATCGAGCCCGATGCAAGCCCGCGAACGCCTTCTGGAAAAAGCCGCCGAATGCGGTCGGCGGCGAGCTGCCGCAGCGCCCGTATGTAAAGCGCGGCGGCAGTGGCGCACATGTTTCAGCAACATGATCCCTACCAGATTACTTAGCCGCTATTGCTATGGCAGATTGCTGGCAATTACCAAAACACGAGAAGCCCGAGCTGAAGGCCCCCGGGCCGGAATCAGCCAGGCCAGGCTCCGCGGCTGGCCAGCAAGCCGCCAAAGAACCAAATCTGAAACCGCGACACGGATGTGCTATTTTGCTGTCCGTTTCCCAAGCCGGTTCCGGATCCCCTGTTCGGGTCCCCTGTTCTGATGCCCTGTTCTGGTCCCCTGTTCTGGTCCCCTGTTTTGATCCCCTGTTCTGATCCCCTGTTCTGATCCAATTTCAAAGAGCACTCCTACCTGATCTGGAGTGCAGAGCACTCCTACCTGAACCTTTACCTACTTGTCCTCTTTGAATCTTCTCTGCTGCTGGGCTGCGGGGCCCCGCCGAGGTTTAGCGGCGTGGAGGCACTCTAGGTCAGAGCGAGAAAAACCTCGCAGAGCCCCGCGTGCAGTGGGCTTTCTTCCGCCGGGCTTCCCCACATTGCCCTAAGCCCCAAGGTCTTTTGCCCGGCCTGGTGGCATCGGAGACAACGGGAAATCTTTTTGGGCAGCGCAAAAATGCCGGCTCGAGGGGCCCCGGAGGGGGGGGGGGTAACCCCCCCCCTTCGGGATCCCTTTTTTTGCTAGCCCGCATGGTATGATGGAGGCAGGGGCGGGGGTCGCGCAACCCACCCCCCCAACCCCCCTCCGAGGGGCCTCCCTCTTGTTGTTTTCGGCGTGTCTCCTCAAGAGGAGGTCGGACACCTTCGAGCTATGAGGCAAATTTGCGCGGGAGGCGCGGTTCATACAGGTTGGTGCGTCTATGCGCACGGTCCCCGGCGTCGCGCTGGTTTCTGGCAGATTGGCCAAGGGCCGGCAGCGCCCTTTTCCGCGACGTTGCTTCCGGAAACTGTGTAGAAGCCTTCCCGGGCTCGAGAACTCTATCTGGGCCGTCTTTTGCCCTCCCCAGGGGTCGTTAGAATATGATCGAAGGGGGATGGCGACCTCAGGCGGCGCACTTGTCAGCCCCTTCGGTGAAACACAGAAGCTGGCCTCCGCACAGCGTGTGCTGCGCAAGAAGGCGCGTGCCCCGGTAGCATCAAGCCCGATTCAGACGGGCGCTGGTGTGCGGGAGTGAAAGGGGCACGGGCCCAGGACTAGCGGCACACCGAAAGCCCACAGCACCTGCTGCTGCTGAAGCGTCTTCGCAAGTGCTTACGCGATTGGCTTCGTATGAGCCGTGGCAGGCCTTGCTACTCCCTTCGTAGACCCGTTACAAAAAGTTGAAAGGCCTATCATGCACAGGCCGAGGACATGGGCGAAAAAAAAAAAGTTTCTTGAAAAAAAGTCTCTGCGTTCGCCATAGAGCACTCCTACCTGAACCTTTACCTACTTGTCCTCCCACACTACAACGTGGACTACTCTCTATACTGAAATAAGCGGCAGTCCTGCTTTCTTTGCGGAAATCCCGGTCTCGTCCATTGCGCTTCCTTAAGCTGGCATAGGGCCTGAACTAAAATTGGCAAAGCATGCGCATTTTGGGCCGCGTCTTCTCCAGCCAATGGCTGTACAAAATAAAACTTCGTGGCCATAGAGTCAGCCTCTGCTTCCAGGAGGTCGATTCTATGCCTCCGGAAATTTCGCGACCATAAAATCAACCTCTGCTTCCAAAAGGTTGACTCTGTGCCTGCGAAAATTTCGGAGCAATCAAATCAACCTCTGCTTCCAGGAGGTCGATTCGATGGCTCCGGAAATTTCGCGACGATAAAGTCAACCTTTTCTTCCAAGAGGTCGATTTTATGGGTGCAAAATTTCGCGACGATAAAATCAACCTCTGCTTCCAAGAGGTCGATTTTATGGGCGCGAAATTTCGCGACGATAAAATCAACCTCTGCTTCCAAGAGGTCGATTTTATGGGCGCGAAATTTCGCGACGATAAAATCAACCTCTGCTTCCAAGAGGTCGATTTTATGGGCGCGAAATTTCGCGACGATAAAATCAACCTCTGCTTCCAAGAGGTCGATTTTATGGGCGCGAAATTTCACGACGATAAAATCAACCTCTGCTTCCAAGAGGTCGATTTTATGGCCACGAAATTTCGCGACGATAAAATCAACCTATGCTTCCAAGAGGTCGATTTTATGGCTGCGAAATTTCGTGACGGTAAAATCAACCTCTGCTTCCAACAGGTTGAGTCGGTTTTCGCGAAAATTCCGCGGCCATAAAATCGACCTCTCCTCGCCCGACGTTCGATCCCATATCCTGGATTCTAGATTTGCAAAAGATCAACCTATGCCCGGGCATAGGTTGTTTTTATGTGCGACGAAATTCAGGATCTTGCACTGTGGCCGTGATTGTAAATTTCTCCACACATAAAAACAACCTCCCCCCCGGAATAGGTTGTTTTTATTTAAATCTAGAATCCAAGATATGCAACGGAACGTCGCCCCCATCCCCGGCCAGCGACCGCCTCGCCGTGTCACGCAGCGCGTGTTCGACATGCAACGGAACGGCGCGCCAGCCCCCGGCCCACCGCATCGCCCTGTCACGCAGCGCGTGTGCGACAACACGCGCGCCGGAGCCAGCGCAGGAGAGGCTGGGTCTAAGGTCTCGAGCCGTGAGTATAAGTAGGATCCCTGAGTGTAGGACAAGGACAGTCTTAAAAAAATAGTGTAGGACTCCCATGCACCTAAAACGGCCGAAATAATGCTAGGACGACACGGCCGAAATAATGTAGGAGTGCAGAGCACTCCTACCTGAACCTTTACCTACTTGTCCTCCCACACTACAACACGGACTACACTTGCGACGTTACTAGTTGACAGCTTCTACAACGTAGAAGTCCATTCAGAATTAAGTACAATTATCCTGTGAATCTTTTACTAAGAATGAAGAAATCGCTCACCGCACTCCTCGCTCTGATTCATTGGCAGTATTTGCGAAAAATGCTGGCCCACGCTCCCCCCCTTTGTAGCCTAAAAGATTATGATTTTCTATATACGCAACTACAGCTTTTACTCTTGTTTTTCACAATAGTACCGCTCTAGTATTTGTAAATGCACGAGCGACAGACCACATCCTCTGAACGCAGGTCTCTTTCACATCCACTCAAAGCAGTGTCCTAGTCACCATCATCCTCATCGTATGGTGTCGACACAGACATAGGCCATTTCGTCATTCTTGATTGTTAGTTCGAAGGTCTAGTATGTGCAAGTCGAAGAAAAGGTGAACGGAACAAGAGTTCACTCGCATCAGCACAACGAATAAAGTTTTGCTTTTGTTCTGCCAGCTGGTCCTTTGTGCTGCTGGGGAATAAAATTCACATTCATTATCATTTTCAAACAATATGCTGCCGAAATAAAAACGCATGTCATGAGTTCAGCTCTTCCTATCCATCCAGTCCAAGAGCTGCAAGTACAACTTACTCTACAAAAACCTTTGTAGTACCTGTGCCCAGGAAAAGACGCTCCTTGCGAAGATTTTATCGGCCATTTTTCGCATTTTTCGCGAAGTTCCGTAGTTGTCAAAGTTTTCCAATTTCCACAACAACTCCCGGACGTTACGGAACCTACCTAAATGCCTGAACTGGTAAAAGTCCGTAAATTTTGCCCAGAAGTCGCTCCCTTCAAAAAACTGCGCCGCTTCCAAAGACGCGAAAAACGGGGAAACGTTCAAGTAGTCCCCTTTTCTGATTCTTGCTGCAGCGTTAGAGGAGGAAGAGGAGGAAGTGCCTGGTTTTTTCATGTCGTCCCCGACATGATTGTGATTTAGATTTTCATTTTCTACTCCGGAAGATGAATCATAAACCACGTGGTGCTGCCTGTATGCGTGTAACCCGCGAAAGACGAAGAATTTCAGGTACTCGCGATCAGGTAGGAAAATCGGAACCGCGGCAGAGTACAGTTCGTAAAAGAGCATAAGAGAAACGTCGTAGGGATACATCACTACCGCGTAAAACCGACTTGCCATGTCGCTGTGAGACAAGCGCTTGCTCCCGTGTTGTGGGCCGAACTCGTCGAGGCCAAAGAAACGGAAGGTCTTCTTGGACACAAGCCCTCCTCGCGAGGACACATCCTCTGGTGTAGTTCTTGGCATAATTTTTACTGTGTCGGATAAAGTACTTCTAGCCGCAGGAGGAGTTTCTGAAGCAATTCTTGCTGTGGGAGGTTGTGCAGTAGAAAGCTTTATTTCATCTTCATCTGCAACATTTTTAATACCGTCGTCGTGTGAAGTAGTCGTTGTGATAGAGCCCGCAACTTCTACTTCCGACGAGGCACCAGCTTCTTCTTGATGAGCTGCAGTTAAAAATTCTTGCTGGACCATCGTCTCCTGTTCTTCCGTGACGGCGAAAGCGACTTATCCTGAGAAAAAAGTGTTACAGTATACACACTTGTAGTCAATTCAGCAACACAAATTTCTCTGCATGAGACAGAAAACTTGTAATGCAGAAATCCTACGAGAAAACACCTATGAAACGAGGCTTCTATGCGTATCCGGCATGACGGAGCTTGTCTGTCTTGCTTGGCCTGCATAGACTATGTGTGTAACTGTAACACTTCTTTCTTGCGATACGACTGGATTACCGTTCAGTACGTCGTAGTCATCGTCCTCAGCGAGATGAGCTATAAAAATGCACAATTCCCCCTCCCCCTCATTGGCAATGCATGAACGGCAACACAAGCAACGACAGAGATGGGCCAACCGCATGACAAATCTACACACAGACTGTAGTGCTGTTTCAGGTTCCGGAATTTGTCATGCAAACAGTGCTTCTTCGCAGGTGGTGGATTGGGTATTTTTCAGCACAAATGAGGGGGAGGGGGGGTTGTGCACTGTCATATGAGTGGAGGTCGAGTTAGTAGAGGTGTGCATTTTCTTCATCGTGTAAGTTGAACCGTAGTACCGCCCATCTTCTTCGTTGTTTGATGCTTTGTCGTTCTTCCACGATGAATGTTGTACTTTCCTAGTCTCGTCGGCGGTCTTTTTCAGCAAGCAAATCGGGTCCACGCAAATGTTTGGCCCTTTCGCAACGAGGATGTCAAATTGGTTCTTCTTCGCGGTTGTAGTTCCGACTTGCGTTTCCTTCCAACCATACTGCATTCCGGTGTATTTCCCGCTCACCCGAATCGCCGGAAGATCCAATCCGGTTTGGTACCGAATCATGTTCTATCAAATGCAAATATGACATCTTGGTATGGAACCTTGTGATGCTGAATTGTGGAGGATCAAAATGCTTCCCAATGCAGCCAAGCATGACAGGTCTGCGAAACACTTGTTTCTCATGCGCAATCCGCAACATGAGAAACTGCGCTTTTGTATGACAAAAGAGGGCGGCCTCTTTTGTTGGTCAGGCAATACATCAGATTTTATTACCGGAGTAGTACTAGTGTAGGGCTGGCATTACAAGTTCCAACTTTCCACCAGACTGAGATCGATATTTGCATTTGATATGTGCTTATCAAATGTAAAAATGTCTGGGTCTGGAAGATTGCGAGATTTCTCATGCATATTTCGGATCACGCAAATGGCGTCTGATGCAGGCAAAAGCATCACAGGTTTTGAGCACGCCTCATGATGCCTGTCCCGCATGAGAAACTTCCTACTTGCGTGCCAAGAAATGGACAGCTTTTGGCGCTCATGCAACACAAATTTTTGTGTGTTCCAGAGTTTGCATCACAAGTTCCAACCCTTCCAGACCCAGACATTTTTACATTTGATAGTGCTTCAAAAACGGGTTGTAGACGGCGAAAAACGTGTTGCTTTTCCTGTTGACCTATCCTGTGAAAAAGTATCGCACTCGTAGTAATCGCAGTCATGCATTACAAATCTCCATCCCAAGGTGAAACAGCATGGCAAATTCTATTTCCTATGCTGACCGAATTTGTAATGCGATTTCCACTAGTACTATGCTTTTGCAATGCATATGACCAGCCGCTCGAACTGCTTGAACCAAAAATCATGCAGACTCTTTTCCACAGCGAGAAGAAGCGGCTCGCCGATGTAGCCAAGGAGAGGGATATGGGCGTGTCAGGATCGAAATCGACAAAGTCGAATAATTTGCGATGCATAGAATGTAGGGCACTGAAGGCCTGCATTGGGGAGCTGGCAAATGAGACCGATTGTAAGCGTAAGCCTGTTTAGGAGTATGCAATGTGCTGCCAGAGTAGCATGACAGGAGTAGTCTTCTTTGCCCAAACAGCATGACAGACTGGATTTGGGCACTGAGGCTCCGACTGGCATCGATTTTGTGCATCACAAATTTTTCGACTTTGTCAATTTCGATTCTGACACTTGCATAAGGGATCTTGTCTAAATACTTTGCGAAAATATTGCACATAATGGCCGGGCTGCTGCACAGGATAATGTCCGGGTAGTTGTCGTTGTTTTCAATGATCTCGTCCCTTGGTATTTCTGCGCTGCCGCTAATAGTCCTCGTCCTTCCGGAAGTAGAAGATGATGATGAATACTTCGCATTAAAAGGAAAAATCCCCCCTCCCCATGCATATCAAAAAGGAAATTTGTGATGCCGATTTGTGGTCACAAATGCCCTCTGTCTTGCCTCTTGGGTAATGGGAGCAAAGTGGCGCATTCCACAGCCAGTCTGTCATGCGCTTGTGACTACTGCAAACCTGTTTGTTATGCCCAATTGCTAGCCTTCTGCATATCCAAACTGGCTTAGAAAATGCCGCGAAGCACTTTCTGAAAGACAGATCTGATTTGTGTACGCAAATCCAGCATCAGAAACTTCCTTTTGATATGGGGAGGGGAGATTTTTCCTTACGATACTTCGCCTCGAATCTTTCCTGGATCTCTCTCTCAAACTCCAGGTAGTTTTCGATCAGCAGATTGCCCCACACAGAGATGTATCCTGTGCAAAAGTATCGTCCTCGTAGGAATTGCATTTATGCATTACAAATCTCGCTCTCAAGGAAAATCAACATTACAAATTCAATATTGTAATGCTGGGCTAATTTGTAATGCAATTGAAAGATACTAGTACGATACTTTTGCAGTTCATAAGGTGAAGTATTTCGTAGAAACCTCCTGAAAGCCGATGTAGTGCGAAGAGGTCGTTTTTGACGACGAGGACTGTGGCCGCCCACTCTTCTGTTCGCATTCCTGTGTATTGGAGAAGAACTGACAGTGCGTGGAGTCGATGATTTCGTAAATCGGTCGAATGCGGACTTCACTTGTCATGCTGGGCCGCAAGAACCCATGATGATGATCTTCACCGCCACCAGAATTTTTACCCATGCTGGAGGACGACGACGCATCAGAATATAACAGTGCACAACTCCCCCTCCTCCTCATTTGTCATGCAAAATACCCAATCCACCGCTTGCTTCTTGGCACTGGTTGCATGACAAGTTCTGGTAGCCCAAATAGCACTACACTCCAGCGCAAATAATCTGTCATGCAAAACCGGCATTCTTGCTGATGCTTTTATTGCCGTTTATGCTATACAAATGAGGGGGAGGGGGAGTTGTGCACTGTAATACAGAACTTCCGAAGTTCAAATTGTCCGACACGTACTCGGATAGCATAGTCATCTATCGTGAGAAAAAAGTGTGACAGTTACACACATAGTCTATGCAGGCCAAGCAAGACAGACAAGCTCTGTCATGCCGGATATGCATAGGAGCGCTGTTTCATAGGTGTTTTCCCATTCCCGTAGGATTTCTGCATTACAAGTTTTCTCTCTCATGCAGAGAAATTTGTGTTGCTGAATTGACAACAAATGTGTAACTGTAACACTTTTTTCGTGGGATATCATCGGCTCTTGCGCTAGGCTCGAGTGGGTCCCTCTTTTGGATTGGTTTATTTTCGCGAAAATTGGAAGAAACCGAGCTTCATGTGGGAAGCACAAAGGGAGCGCTTAGCATGCTGTTGTACTTGTAGCATGCACAAATAATGTGTCAGCTGCATCAAATTTGTTTATTTTGTATCACAAACAAGAAAAAAAAAATAACCGCTTTAGTATTTCTTTTTCTATTTGCAGCACTATAGACGATACCTGTTGCGTAGATCACCACCTCCCGCATCCTCTCTTGACGCGTCTGCCTGAAGGTGTAAGACGCAACCCGGTCCGAGTTTGAGTAGAACAGGTCCTGACTGTAGTAAAACTCGGATGCTAAAGTCTTGGCGGTCTGCACGGGAAACAGCTCCTCGACTTTTTGCCACTTACTTCTTCTGTGCGAGAAGTTGTCGTGCTGCGAGAAGTTGTATCAAATGTAAAAGTGTCTGAGTCTGGAAGGTTGGAACTTGTGATGCTAACTTTGGACTCTAAACAAATCTGTATTGTATGACCAGCAAGAGGAATCTAGTCTGTGCTCCGCGGGGAGGGCGTTTGTCATGCGGAGTAGGCATCAGGAAGCCCTCTAAAAATCTGTGATACTGGGTCCCGCATTACAGACATCCTGGGTCATGCAAAATATGCATGACAAACCTGGCAATCCTCCAGACCCAGACATTTTTGCATTTGATAAGTTGTGGCCGTCCGCAGAGGTTCGCTCTTTCTCGTCGTGCTCCGCGCCCGGCACGAGAAATTTTTGCCGTGACTCTACTTCCGGTCGGACCTCCTCAAACAGCGACTTGATCGCGATTGTCGGCCACCCGGACTCGTCGAGAAAATCCAAGCAATTGTATGCTGTGCAAAAACATCCCCAGAGTTGTCATGCAGATCTGCAAGCACAAGAGCATTTGTAATGCGCATCTCCATGAGAGGCATTTCCCATTTTTGTGTTTTGAAACTTGTAATGCTGTGAACAGGATAAGGAGATGGATTTGTTATGCGGCTTCCCTTGCTAAACTGCATTACACCACAGTCTGCAAGAACTTGTCATGCGTGGCTCCCAAAGCTTTAAGGTTTGTGTTGCAAAATCCCCATCTTGACTCTGAGGTGGGGACCGACGTTTTTACAAATGATAAGTTGTTCTTGTTCATCAGTAGAAGCTGCAAAAAGCTTCTCACTTCCTCCATAATCTGCCTCTCTCCTCGGGTGCTGGTCGCCGTGGCAGCCGATGGCGGTTATGGATGTGTCAGGATCGAAATCGTCAAAGTTGAAATACTTTGTCATGCATAAAATGCAACGCAAAAATTGCCTCTATTGCAGAGGACGCAAGGGAGGCAGATTGTAAGCCTGCTGAAGAGGAGAAATAGAGCTGCTAAAGTAGCATGACTAAAGGCGTCGCCCTTACCCAAACAGCATGACAAACTGGATTTAGGCTCTACGAAAATTTGTCATGCGCCGCTTGGAAACTGGGCTCCAACTGGCATCCATTTTATGCATGGCAAATTATTTCAACTTTGTCGATTTCGAACCTGACAGATCCATAGCGGTGCGGTTTGTGTTAGCGTCGTGGCGGTGGTTGTCCTCCCTTCCGCAGATTTAATAATTTCACGACGGCCCTCGTCCTCCTCCTTCTGCTCGACGACCCAATCCTGGTTTGTCCATTCCGCCAGCAGGACCTTCATCTTCAAATATCTGTACTGTATCGCAAACGCGTTTAGCATGCCAAAGTAACAGATTTTCCCCACAATTTTATGGAGAGAAAAAATTTTGTCACAGTCATGTCACTAACTTGCAGGTTTTGCATTACAAATTTTCTCAGCATCACAAACTTTCCTTGTATTGCAGAAACACCATGGAAATCCCTAATGAAGTTTGGCTGTGATGCATTTTTACGCATGACAAACAATTTTGTATTGCAAGAATGCGCATGTTGAGTCGTGACGAACTTTTTTTCTTTGATAAATTTCCTTCCGGCTGCAGTCGAAGAAAAACTCGTTGCTTTTCGACTGGTTGTATCAACTGCAAAAATCCCTGGATGTCTGGAAGAGTCGGGGCTAGGCTTGTCATGCACATTTTGCATGACCCGTGAGGTCTGTGATACTAGTGCTAGCATCACAGATTTTTTGGGAGCTTCTTGATGCTAATTACGCATGAGAAATGCCGTGCTCTCCGCGTGCCAAGAACTGACTCCTCTTGATGCTGCTCATGCAACACAGACATTTTTAGAATCCGCAGACAGCATTACAAGCTCCACGCTTCCAGACATCCAGGGATATTTGCAATCCATAGTTTGAACTCCATGAACGCCTTAAAATGCTTCCCGACCAGGTAGTCCGCGTGGGCGTATAGTTCCTCGTTGAATTTTATCAAATGCAAAAATGTCTGGGTCTGGAAGAATGCAACTTGTGATGCTGCATTTGGATGTCTAAAAAATTTGTGTTGCATGAGCAACAAAAGATTCTAATTTTTGTGTCATGCGGAATAAGCATCAAGAATCCCTCAAAAAAACCTGTGATGCTAGGGCATGCGTCACAAGCGTCATGGCTCATGCAAACCGTACATGACAAGTCTCAGAATCTTCCAGACCCAGACATTTTTGCATTTGATAAATTTGCCGAACCCAGCGTGCTCGTTTATAATTTCGGCGTCATTATCATCCTCGTTGTTGAGAAGAAGCTTGCGGAACGCATTCCACTCTTCATTGTAGCTGCAGGTCAAAAGCGGGAGTTCTGGATGCGCAGGCGAGGAGGAGGCAGAATTATGAACAGAGGGTGGAACCGTTCTTGTCAGGAGTTCTTCTTGGGTTGAACCGCTTCTTCTACTGGCGACATGGTCCTCCTCGTCACTGGAAATAAGCCGTGGCGCTGTTCTCTCCCTACCGCGATCTTGTTCCACGTTCTTCGAGCTTGTGCCAGTAGTTGAACTTCTGTACAGAGAGGTCGTTGTCCTTGTATACTCGACCTCCCCGTCGCTTTCAATCACTAAAGGGACGTTGGGAGCAAGTCTGGAGGTTGTGGCTGCAACTACACCGACCGGCGCAGCAGTCGTAGACCCTGCTGCTGACGCAGTGGCAGAAGTACTGGGGGATCGGACTTGGAAAAGAAATACTTCTACGCCCCCGAACCACAACCAGAACCAAAGGCGGGCAGCCAACAACATCTTTACAGCTTGTTGTTCTGTGAAATGTAGACGTACTACTCAAATTTGAAACAAAAATCTACTACTTGTAAGTACTTACTGAACGAAAAAAATTGTGATGTCTCTATTCGCATATAATATGCCGGAGCTCCGAGGAACGTACGGATGACCAGTGATCAACTTCTACTCCGATCACTTCCTCATCAAGATCGCTGTGCTCAACACGACAAACAACAGAGATCCATCTGCAGCTGCTCGAAACTGTTTGTACAAAAAATGATCGCTTTGCTGATCCGGCAGGGAGTCCCCGTATCGGGAGCTTCCTCTGCTTTCAACAGTGACCCCAAAGAAAACTGAAGAAAAAGCAAAAAACTGAAAGCTGAGAAAAGGAAAAGGAAAACTGAAAAAACAAGAAGAAACATTCGTGCAATGATCTCGTCGAGGCCGCCGCGTACATAAGTTGTAGTAGTGTTCCTTACAACACGCACGGAATATTAACGGTGCAAAGTCAACACGTCCTATGAGGAGCTCCCCGCCGCATCGGGAAGCGGAGAAGCATCGAGAAAATCGAAAACCATTGTAGATTGTGAGGACGACAAGCCCCGTCTCACAACGCAACCGTGTGAGGGTAAAAAGCAGGAAGACAATATTTATTTTTCCCGTAGGTAAGGTACAAGTCCTCCAGCTAAATATGATGAACATCATTTCTTTCCGTTTTGTTTAAGAACGCCCAATCTGCCCTGCGAGCTTCTCCCACATCCAGCCCCTCTGCTCCCGCACGACGGCGCAAAAGGCCTCGATTTCCCGCTCCGCTTCCCCATACGCGTCGATTTTCAGTTCACAAAATTTCCGGAAAGCGGACAACCCTCCCAACCCAAACGCCGGGATGAAAGGCAATAGCGAACTGGGCACGCCAAGCGCCGCGACGAGAGGACTGGCTTCCACGGCGGCAGGGATCACGAAAATGTGAATTGCAAAAATTCACGCGTCGTACTAGAAGTGGGAAGTAGTAGTAGATAGTGCACAATACAAACTACATGCTTATAGCATTACAAATGCATGGACTTTGCCATGCTGATTTACTAGCCGAGGAAGAAGATTTGTATATACGCCAAAACTGCAATTAATGCAAGCACGACACAAGAACTTTTTGCACAGGGTAGAAAATTCGGCTGTGTAATAACGCTGAGACGAAAGCAGAAACTGCGACGAAGTCGTATGAAGATTCGCTCAGGTGTTACATTCTCAACTGTTAATGCGTGAACTACAGCATGAGAAATCGATACAGAGCCTCGCGCTTTTCCCAATAGTACGAAACTCGCCGGATTTTTGCAGGGCGAGATTTATTTGGGAGGATCCAGAACTTGTCATACGCTGTTTTCCTGTGAGAATGCGCCAGACCAGCAGGCACGTTTTCTTTTTGCATCACAAGTTTAATATTTCGTCTTCAGTCGAAATAACGGTTGTTTAGATTGTCAAAACACCTGAGCAGGTCATAAGTCGTGCAGCGCAGACTTCTCCCCATTGTTCCAGTGTTCCATGGGGCAAATTAAGCACTGCGTGAAGCTGATAGACGCGAACACTGGTTTGAACCAATCGCCGCAATTCCGGATCCTGTGTAAAAACATCCCCACCCTGTAGTCAAGTTGGGAACTTAGCAACACAAATCCAGAAGTTTTGGGAGCCACGCATGACAAGTTCGTCTCTACTGTGGTGTAGTGCAGGTTAGCAAGGACAGTCGCATCACAAACCCGTCTCCTTATCCTGTTTAAGTACAGCATTACAAATGCCAAAACACACTTGAAAATGCCTCTCATGTAAATGCGCATTACAAATGTTCCTGTCATTGCAAATCTGCATGACAACTCTGGGGTCGTGGGGACGTTTTTTCTCAGGATATTCCGTCTCAATTCGTTTTGGAAGTGTAAATTCCGGATCCCAAACCCGGCTTTATGAACTGCAAAAGTATCCCAAACCCGGCTTTTTACAACACGAGTGACTCGTGTTGTAAATGCATTACAAATTTCCCCATCCCCAGCATGAGAAAGAAAATTTGTAATGCGGATTTACCTTAAGGAAAAGATTTGTAACGCATGATTGCAATACGAGTACGATACTTTTGCACAGGATAGGCTTTTCTCAGCTGTAAATACGTCGTATCAAGTGCAAACATGTCTAGGTCTGGAAGAGTGCATGTTTGTCATGCTTGTCTGGAATAACTCTCAAATATGTCATGCACGTTACCCAAGAGCTCCATTTTTCTTTGATGCAGAAACGCTGTGTATCATGCAGATGAATAGGCAACACTTAGAGGCTCAGAAACTTGTCATGCTGACCTAGCACTTGGGGCCTCCTCATAATATTACGCCCCCCAGCAATACAAGTTTCCAGACCCAGACATTTTTGCAATGCATACGTCGCGCAGAAAAGCAAGCAGCCAGTTTGGATAAACCCTTTAAAAAAAGCCAAAGCTAAGCAGGGCGGGTAGTGGTATCTTCGCTGGCTGTTGTTGTTCACGCGTAAAGCTACATTTTTTCCAGTGGTGGAGCTCGTCGCGTCGCCGCTCAAAGTTGTCACCTCCAGACAACTTGCATTTGAATCAATGTAGTTCTGCGATGTAGTTGTATATTCGGGCTGAGATGATCTCGAAGAGGACGATGTTGACGCAAAACTCGTGCCCGCTGCGAGCACGGCTGCCGCTGGAGCGATAGCAACACTCGTCGCACTGTTGTCGTCCATCTTGTTTTCACCTGTACTACTTGTTGTTCCCTTGGTACTAGTAGAGCTTGTTTCATCTGGCACCTCCAATGAAGCGCTGCTGTTCTTCTGGTTCACTGGATCTTCGATGTTGTTGTCCTTTGTTTCTCCGAAGGTGAGCATTCGCGAGCAGCGGTTTTTGAAATTCACAAACTTCGTCCTTGTCCAGTCCCCAAATTTGGCTTTTGGCTGCGGCCTCGCGTCCGTCTGCACCAAACGAAAGTCCGCTGGGAGGAAACCGCGGCCAGCGGTGGTCTCTACATGATTTTGAACTTTTGAGCCACTAACTATATCAGTTGATGACCCGGGGGCTCCCGCACTACACAGTTCCTGTAGACACCGTCCATCCAGGGTCAGTGCCGCGTGGATAATCTCGTTTTCGGCTGCTTTGTGCAGCTTCTGTGGCTGGGCCGGCAATGCCGAGGCAGCTGCTCGAACCCCGGTCGTGGCTAGAGTTCTAATCTCGTCGTGTGCACTTTGGAAAAATTCGTCGCAGGTTTTTCGAAACAGCAAACCGCCCGGCCAATCGACCCGGTAGTAGGCGGGAGAGGAAATATATCGCAAGAAAAAACTACTTCACAGTGAACTTGTGATGCATAGAATGGAACACAGAACTATTTGTCCTGCTACACCTGCAAGAGCGTGACTCTTTAAGGGCGTTTTCCCTTATTTGGAAGCGCGCATGCCAAATTTTCTGCGTCATGTGTCAGAAACTTGCGATGCAGATCTTGCAAAGTCATCACAGTGATGAAACAGTTTTTTCGTGGGATAAAATAGTTGCACCAGGGTCGTGTTGTTCTGCTGCCTGCAAACCCGGATCTTCTGCAGAAGAGTTTTTTTCTGGCGCAGAGGTACTGCTGGTCATCTTCATTATCCTCGACGGTTATTTATAACACAAGAGCTTATAGGGGGCTCGGGCCGCAAAAAACGCCGACAAGTAATCAGTCTTCGTGCACTATTTCCATCGAAAAGTGACTATTGGGAGGAAGATCAGCACAGCGACAGCTCTGCTTTTTCTTCCTCAGCCAGAGGCATATACAAGTACCGAAAATGGTAGTAGAGGCGTAAGCACCGATAAAGTTGCAATTGCAATCGCAACAAGAACCACGAGCATTCTGGAAGCCAAACAAGATCAACACGACCGAAGATAGCTGGGGGTCAACAAGAGTCATGATCGATTGTTTCTCGAACAAGAAGAACAGCGAGATCCTTTGTTTTAGTGGCGCCGCAAATACGCCTCGCAATTCGCGGCAGCGCCGTTTCGAATATGGGTGCGTTTGCGGCAGCGCCGTTTCCATGGGTGCAGAAAATTCTCCGCGAGGACCCCGAAAGTGCAAGCTCTTCAAAGACCAGGTCAACTAGTTGTATTGTCATTGTGTTTGTGTGCATGTCGACCACCAACTTTAGACTTTCCATAACATCGTTCGTGGTCTTCATGGAAACACAAACAACTTCGGTTGTTTCACCAGTCTGTCCCCGCAAACTTCCCTTATCTTCACTTCGTTATCAACGGCTCCTTGAAAGTTTGGAGTTGCATCAAGAAGTTGATGTCCTGGTCCTCAGGAAAGAACGCCAATGATTTTCCGATCCCGGTCCACGCGCTTACATTCACCGTCCCCCTGCATCCAAAGCAAAAAAATCATCACCACCCCCATCTACTTCAATATCAGAGTAGTATATGAATTTATCATGAACATTTTTGCACTCTAAAGGTGGGTCAGCCCAGTATTTATTCTCAACACGGGCGCAACATCAAGATGAATGTGCTTCACATCCTTCATCTCCACATTATGCACAAAAGAGATTTTTAAGGGTGAAGATTATTTTACCTGACTGGATACCCTCCGCATGATCTTCCACTTCGAATGTTTCCTCGGTGTCCACGAGATACTCGTAGGGAAACACGTGCTTCATATGAGAGTGCACAACTCCCCTGTCTCCCCCTCATTTGTATTGCATGAACAGCAATACGAAAACCACCACACGTGTTAGCTGCGCATGACAAGTAGTTCATGCGCTCAGTGTACGTAGTACTGTTTGATGGGCTCCCCAAATTTGTATTATGCAAACAGTGCCACAAAGCAGCAACTGGATTTGGGTGCTCGCATGACAAATGAGGGGGAGGGGGAGTTCGGCGTTCTCATACTTCAACGGGTCCTTGTGGAACCGCTCCCCAAGAAATCCTGTATAAAAACGTCCCCGCCCCAGAGTTGTCATGCAAATCTGCATGCCTCACATGTTTCTCATGCGCAGACCCATGAGAAGCATTTTCTAGTCGTGTTCTGGGCTTTGTGATGCTCCAATCAGCATGCTATGCTAGATCTGTTATGCTTCTGAGCTAGTCAAACAGGATTACAGTACAAGGCCAAACTTGTCATGCGCAGCAACCAAATCTGGTTGATTTGTCTAGCAGATTCCTCATCTTGGCTCTGGGGCGGGGACGTTTTTGCTCAGGATAAAAACTCGCCAAACATCATCAGTTGCAGAATACCACTGTGCGCCACCACGGCGATCTGCTTCGCCTGTTGGGTAAGCTCGTTCGTCAACACCAGCTTTTTGAACTGCTGGTATCCCAAAAAAAACTATTTCACTGTGATGGTTTTGCAAGATTTGCATCACAAGTTTGACACACATGACACCGAAAATTTTCCATGCGCGTTGCCCAAGGGAAAACACGCTTGAAAATCCAATGTCTTGCAGGTGTAGCAAGACAAATAGTTCTGTGTTCCATTTTCTGCATTACAGGTTCACAGTGAAACAGTTTTTTCTTGCGATAGCTGGATCCGGTGCTGCAATGCGCTTTTCGTCTCTTGGGGGAAGGAGACTCCCTTGGTTAGCTTCGGGTCGATGTGAACTGCAAAAGTATCGCACTCGTTCGTAGTATTAATTGCAGTCATGCATTACAAATCTCTTTATTGCGATAAATCCGCATTACAAATTTCTCATGCTGAAGAAATTTGTGATGCATTTATACGAATACGATACTTTTGCAGTTCATAGTCGAAGGCGACCGCGTTTCCGTCCAGGTGGTATCAAATGTAAAAGTGTATGGGTCTGGAAGATTGGAACTTGTGATGCTAACTTTGGACTCTAGAAAAATCTGTATTGCATGACCAGCAAGAGGAGTCTAGTTTGTGCTACGAGGGGAGGGCGTTTGTCATGCGGAGTAGGCATCAGGAAGCTCTCGCAAAATCTGTGATGCGCGGTCGTGCATTGCAGACATCCTGGGTCATGCAAAACATGCATGACAAGTCTCAGAATCTTCCAGACCCAGACATTTTTACATTTGATAGGTGGTAGGTTTCGACAAATTCAGGGCGCTATCGAATGCAAAAATCTGTGGTCTCGCAGGACGCGGCGAATTTGCGTTGCTGAGTATAATTGCACGACAGCCCGATCTTTTGCACGACGGTATCCACGCATCACAAATTTCATCTCCGGTGGTATGATCTATTGGGAGTTCTTGCTCTACTACCGTGTTTTGCATGACAAAGTGGGTCTCACAGCATCACAAAAAAAAAGTACCCAATCGAAATCATGCATCACAAATGCTCACTGTCCTTCAAATTTCGCATCACAAATCCAGATGACCCAGACGCATTTGCCGTGCGTAGGTTCACGTGCGAGGCTGTCTTGGCCAAGTCGTACACGTTGACCTCGTGCTTTTCCTTATGCATTGCAACAGCATGATCGTACTAGAATGATGGAAAAATCGCATAGAAAATTTTCGCAATACAGGGAAAATAAGAATGCAACTTGTCATGCTGGATCAGGTATTGATGAAGGTTCTAGACTTCTGCTTCTCATGCATGAATGCAAGAATTGAATTAGTATGAGTACGATAAAAACCTTTTGCACAGGATATTCCTCTTGTTCTACCAATGTCTCGAAATCCACCCACGGATACCACTTCTTCAGCGTTGCTGTTTCCTGGCGCACGTTCGGGGTCATCCCAATGGCGTACTCCAGCAGCGTTTCGGTCGCGACAAACCGGATCTTGTTCTTCTCTTCAAACTGCAGCCGCTGCTTTTTCAACTCATCCAAAGACACAGTCATCCTCGTCTTTTCTGGTATGCACTGCAAAGATGTCCGGGTCTGGAAGAGTGCAAAACTGTCATGCGCATTTCAGAACACAGAAAAATCTCTCTTGCATAGGTAGCAAAAGCTGCCCACTTTCTGTCACCAAAGTGGAGGACTTGCCATGCGGATTCGGCATTGCGAAAGCTTCTCGAAACCTGTGATGCTAGAGCTTCCATGCCAGACCTTCTGTGTCATGCAAAAACTGCATGACTCTTCCAGACCCAGACATTTTTGCACTTGATATCTGAGGTCCAGGCCCAAATCTCTTCGTCTTCCGCATCCGCAACGCCCCACTTGTCCGCTGGAAAATTTTCCGGGAAAAATTCCAGAATCTGGTCCTTCCAGATGTTTGACAGGGTTTGGATGGCCCGGGAGAGGGGAGACACCAGCACCAAATCAATCTTCTGTTTGTCCTTCACGTTCTTGGCAAAGTCACTTTTCAACCCGAACTCCTGCGCTTCTAAGTGGTATTACAGTGAAAAGTGCCCCCCACCCCTCAAATTGCAAAAATTTGTGATGCGGAGTTTCCAAATGAAAACTTTTTGTCATGCATGAAACGAGTATGAATCTTTCTGATGCGGAGTCTAGGCGTGTATCGCATCGCTTGCATGACAAGCGCCGCTCTTGCTGGGGTCTTTTGCAATACAAATTTTCGCTATTCACGGTTGGAAACCTGTGATGCTGATAGGTGCAAGAGGGCGAATGTTTCATTTGGAAAGGTTTGCAATACAAATGCTTTCAAGTTCGGGGGTGGGGGCATTTTTCATTCTGATAAGTGGCCTTGCTTCATCAGAGGACTGTCGTGAAGTCTCGGCGAGAAAAAAACATCTTTGGAGAAGTGATTGTTCACAAACGCGACATTGTGCCAGCTGGTCCCGTGCCGGATGCAGTAGATAGCTTTATGCTGCGCTGGGCTCCGCATTTTGTTGTTCACGCCTTTGTTTTCAACCGGCGCCACTCCTGGTCCTGCCGTTCCCGGTGCACTGCCCACTTGTACAGCAGCGTCTTGCTTATCGTTCTTGGAGGCTACTACTAATAACTCCGCAGCTGGTGTCGTTTTCGGAACTACGTCTTGTTGCTACGGCTCGTTGCTCGACCCCGGCCCAGCTGGGCCTTCCCACAATAGCAACGCACGCGCCACAGGCATATTTTGGCGCGGGCAAGCATCCAAGAGACAAAGCCCCGGCCTCGCCCCGCAATGGGAACAGAGGGCAAACGAAGGAGACACCGAACCACCAGCCCCAGCCTGGGAACAAGTTCGCAAGGGTAACGGATTGGGTACCGCCAGTGCCAAACGACCCCTGTTCCCAAAGCCAGGCGAGACCGAGGACAGAGCGGAGCTCCCCTGGTGCAGATGAAGCGGCAAAGCGAATCCGAAAAAGAAAAGGCAGCCCCCGAGATAAGTGTAGTGCCAGCGCTGCGAGGCGCCTAGCCTCCCGAAAACAGAAGTGCCTCAGGTCAGGGAGGTTTCAACGCGGTACTAGGCGCGCCAGACCGCAACATCAACAAAGCGAAGCAGTGAGTACTTAGTCCTACGACACGCTGAAAGACGTGTCCGCCTCCAGGAAGAGTCCTTGCGTGGGCAATGTGTAGAAAGACCTCGGCCCCCGCCTAAAATTGGAACGGCCAACAGGCAGGACAGAGCAGACAATTGATCCGCGCCCCCAACGGGATGCGAGCTATACGCGCATCCGAAACCAACCCTCCGAAACAAACCATCCGTCAGCAAGACCAACCCGCGCAAGGCCATCGCCAAGCACCCTGATCCAGCACCATAAGGCTCTCCGGCACAACTCTATAAACCTTGGACACGCGAACAAAAGCAATCTCCAGCCAGCCCATCTAGGACCCCGAGTTTGAGAATCTTGCCAGAGCCCGTACGGAAGTATCCAGCTCGAATGAGAGGCGAAAACAGAGAAGGGCCCACATTTACAAGGGCTCGAAAATAGGGAATAGCAATAAGCATCTTGCTCGCATCTCGATCTGCTCCAGCGCCACTACAACTAGTCCAAAAACCGCAAAACAATCCGGAATCCACCTTCCCCGCTGGGAAGCGCCCTCAGTGGCGGAATGGCACTACGGTGCACTCTGAGCACATGAGCTACCATCCATTAGAGCACAACCATCCTAAATCACCCGTCCCCGCTGGGACGCGCCCTCAGTGGCGGAATGGCACTACGGTGCACTCTGAGCACATGAGCTACCATCCATTAGATCCAAACATCCTAAAACACCCTTCCCCGCTGGGAAGCGCCCTCAGTGGCGGAATGGCACTGCGGTGCACTCTGAGCACATGAGCTACCATTCATTAGAACGCGAGAACGAAGTGAATTCATCACAAAGCAAACTATCCAGCGAATCTTGCGGACTACGTCCGCGTTGGCTCCTTCCCCGACCCCACTCAGAGGGGCGGAAGACCAACAAACTCCAGGCATTAGCTTCTAGGGATCTGCCAGCCCATATACAAGAACGGAAGGGGGGGAAACTCCCTCCAGTCACTCCACGAAAATGTTCTACCGGGGTGGATATGTCAAAAATAACTCCGCAGCTGGTGTCGTTTTCGGAACTACGTCTTGTTGCTCGAAAAGAGTGCGCAGGCATTCACTCCAAGTGGACAGAGAGCCGCCCTGGAGCAACTGAGCAGAACCGATGCGATTCAGCTGAAAACCTACTTCCCATCGCAAAAACAAAGAGCCGAAAAACCCCATCCAGCCACAACCAAGAGGAGGCTGCCTTGGACACCCGAGACCGAACTACCCCCGAGACTACCTCGCTGCCGCCCGGTGCTGTGAAAGTTCCATGGCGATCACCTTAAGAAGTAGGAGCGGGCAAAAGGTCCACCTCCGTGCATGATTTTGACCTTACACCTGACTGCTCGCCTGGCCCTGGAACTAGGCATGTTACTGACCAACAGCCCCCACGAGGTCATAGGATGAACGGGTTTGAACCGCCAGTGCCCAGAGCCAAGCGAGAGGTGTAAGGCCAACGAACAATACCCTAGGGAATATATTCCACAAGAACCCGCCCTTCATCAACAAGCCCGAAACTAACCGACGGCCCGCCCCTGGCGATCCACAAACATGCCGGCGAGGCCTGACTGCCTCGGTATGCCACAGCCATATCCTGGGGAAAAACAGCCCCGCGGCTACTTCCTCAACACAAATGCCCGCGAAATAGGGAAGCGACCAACTGAAAACCCCTCTGCGTTACAACGCACAGCCTCAAAACCCCCCTAAATTCGGACACCAAATCAAAACATCCGCGAAAATGGCCCCAAACACTCGAACTCCTTTCCCCATCACCAGCTACCTGACTCGAGTGAGTACCCAAGAATACTCTAACCGTGCAAGCATCGCGAAGCCAAACCAATACCAGAATGAGTAGCGGAAGTTAGCCGGATATCAAACGTCACAACTATTATAGCACCCCAAAGCCGTGCCATCGAGAGAAAAGCCGCCGAAATATCCCAAACCAAAATTTGACCGCCAGCGGCCACAAGCCGGCCTAAATCGCGGCATCGCCATGAGACCCGGCAACAGCCCCTCTGAGATCAAGAAAGCCCCAGCCCTGCCCAGAAAGAGGCAGACACAGCCATGCACCCAAACGAAAGGCAAAACTCACCCCGCCCGCTGGGTCCGCAACAGTCATGTCATCGAGAGGCGAAAAACTCGCGCCACTTTCATCTCGGCAAACCGAAGTCATGCCATCGAGACGCAAAAACCTATTCTGGCATCCTACCATCATGCACCCCACAGTCATGTCATCGAGGCGCAAACACTGCGACCACCTCGGCAAACCACAGCCCCCAGTCACTCTTAACTGGGTCCAGCTGAGAGAAAAATTGTTGGCACGACCCCCGCATGGAGAGCGGGTCCAGTCGTACCCCTTGCATTTGCTTACCAGGGATCTGCCAGCCCTTTCAGATGTGCGAGCGCACTTGCCGTCACTTACTCGAAAACGATGCACCGGGGTGCATCCGTCACTAATAACTCCGCACCTGGTGTCGTTTTCGGAACGACGTCTTGTTGCTCCGGCGCAGCTACCGTCATTTTCGCTGCGTTCCTTCCGAGTGTTATCCAGACAGAGCCAACACCGCCCAAGCGGCCCGTTGGAACGAGCCTGAAGGGGCTGGGCGAAGCAGGCCGGACCTAGCTTCCGTAGCGGGGAACGGCCCACTCCATCACCAACACGTCTGTCCGGGCGAACCGGCACGACGTGAGCGGCCACTTGTGTGGGAGGGAGGGGGAAAAGAAGTGCATCCTTCACAGCGAAATCCAAATACGCAAACGGCAGACAGCGTCTGCGTTGGCTCCTTCCAACGACCCCACTCAAAGGGGCGGAAGACCAACAACTACAGGCATTAGCTTCTAGGGATCTGCCAGCCCATATACAAACAGTCACGGGGGAATACTCCCTCCAGTCACTCCTCGAAAATGATCTACCCCGAAGCACCACCTCGAAAATGAGATGATGAGCGGCGGGCACCGAGCATGCGCTTCAACCCCGAACACCAGCAAGGCGAAACTGTTACGGCTCCCGCCAGGAGCAGACAGCTAGCGCAGGTCGCTCATGCAGAACGGGCCCCAGCAGCCGAAGAATGCACCGGCGTGCAAGCCATCCCGTGGAGAATGCACTGCAACCAGCAGAGCGCAAACGCAACTACCCAGGATATCATAGTGCTTGGCAGTCCGGGTGAGGCTGTATCCGGGGCAGCGAGACAGCAGCCTAACCATGATCGACGAGGGCGGCGCAGCGGGCCTGCAAACTGTAAACCTCATCCCTCCTTCTACGAAGACAAGGGAGGCGGCAAACCGCGAGAGAAAGGAAAAAGCGACGCGCAGTCGTGACTAGACCAAACGGAGACTGACCAAGCCCCCTACAGTGGCATCGAAGCCTCACACGGTCCCCGAGCGGCCGAAAAGTAAACGAGAGACAGAGAAGGGGGACAACCTCGAAGGCCGCCCGTCAACATAGTCGTCGAGGCGCTTCACTGGGCCAAGCGCGCGCCCTGCGTGCCTGCGTCAGTCTACGGAACGTAGTTGGAAAAGCAACGCGACTAACTTCTCACCGCTTGTGAGCGCGGTGAACTCAACTAGTATTGCGCCCCAGCGAGCCAGTCGAAGCTGTTAGAGTGCACACCCCAGGCCACCGACTCTACAGCCAAGACCCGTCCGCCGACACCAGGGAGGAAAAGAAATCCTGCAGGCCGAGAAACCACGCGTCTCCTCCCGTAGAAGTAGTACCATCTTCCGATATCAACCCAGGCAAGCCGAGCTGGCAAACCACCTCCCGCACGGGAAAATCCGCGTCAACCGCATCTACCGCAAGGCGCACCCGGCGCGGAACCTACTCCGACAGCTAGAAGGCGAGAAGCCTAGTTGTAAGCACCCAGACAGCGGGTCTTCCAGCCACTAGGCTGACCTGAGGAAGCGGGCAGCAGCCCTGGGCAACCACCTGCCGATGCGTTGGACTATCCCTCACCGGAAACCAACCCCGCAAGGGTCCCCTGAATAATAACAGATGCGTCCTGGTGCAAGAAGGCCAAGGCCTCTCACGGCCTTGTGTCGTTTTCGGAACTACGCACCTGGTGTCGTTTTCGGAACTACGCACCTGGTGTCGTTTTCGGAACTACGTCTTCATGCTCCGGCGCAGCTACCGTCATGTTATTAGTTGTGTTCACGCCAAGGTTCCCGCAAGCCAGGTCGCAGCGACAAGAAGGAGCACCGAGGATATTACTAACTCCGTCGAAAGAAAAAGAGCAGGAAAAAGTAGGCGGCGAAAGTAGTCCGCTTGGTGCAGCAGGAGCAGGATTCTTCTTAACCGCTGCTACACGTCGTGGTTCTTCTACTTGCGAGGCGGGTCCTCCTGCGAGTAGAAATTGTCTACTTGTGCTTTGTCCTTGTCCACCACCTGCTGCAGCGTTACTACACAAGGGAACGCTTGTTCTGCCCGACGCTGAAACAGGCACGGTCTGATCGCGATTGTCACTGCAACTACTTGCTGTAAGTCGTGCCCCAGTTGTTGTCGTGGATGGACGGCCACTGCTGCGTACTTGCAACCTAGTGGTCGTAATACTCAATCCGAATGCTACGTAGGGGTGAGTATCGTAATCTTCGTAAAGCTCGGTTGATGATAATGCTGCTGCAAGGAAAAGCAAGCGCTTCAGTAAAGCAAGCAGATGAAAAGTAGCAAGGCTGCTGGGACTGCTGCAAAACATGAAATTGAAAGATCAAGCTAATGCGGACCACTCCACTGGTGGCGCAAGACGTCGAATAGTTAAATACTTTTGCAAAGTTATTTTTTATCTTGTAACTTTGCAAGGAGAAGCATTCCGCTTTATCACATCTTTGAAAATCTTAAACACCAATTTTAGATTATCGTCTCCGGAAATCAGTCGTGTGCGATCGCGCTTGGTTTTTCTTTTTGTCAGGGTCGGACCCCAAGAACACGAAACTTGCAGATGATATGATAAGTAGAGGAAAGATCTGCTCGTACATAATTTTGAAAAAGGATAGCGGAACCCAGTCTACATCAACCTCAGCCGCAGACAAAAATCTGGATCTCTTGCTTGACACGTGGCAGTAAAAAGATCCCCCATCCGAAGGAACCGCCAGAGGAAGAAAAAACAAGCAACAAAGGAAAAGGTGTTGTAAGTGGAGCATTTCTCGCTCTTTCACGTGCCTGTGTCTGTGTGTCTTCCTTTTGATGTGCAGATAATTTTCCTGCTTCGTGGCGTTGCCGGCGGCCCACGTGTATTCTTTACTGTGCACCCTGATTTGTCCCCTCACAGCCGGAGTTGTTTTCGTCCGGAGAAATTATGTTCAAGATGAACAGCGTAGAAATTTTTGCTCTTTTATTTGTACTACCTACTGCACTACAACTTCTCCTCTATGTTGACTATGCTTCATCCGAATGTTGCAGCTAGGTGGACGATTACATACTTACTTTAGTACTCATACTTATCCTTTGGCCACCCGCCAGGGGCCTGGCTGCAGCTTCATCGTGGTGGGATCCGTGTCCCAGCCGTACGTTTCGAGCAGCACCAAAAACCGTTCACAATATCCTCCGCGGAAACGTCCCCACGACCCCAGAGTTGTCGTGTTGGGAATCTAGCAACACAAACACAGGTCAAGAAACATATTTCGCAAGCCACCTTCCTCGCTGTGTTGTAAGTAACGCAAATTTGCATGATAATTCTGGGGTACGCGCGTTAACGTTTTTCCTCAGGATACAAAATCCTGTTTCGCCACTGCGGTCTGGAACTCGTCGACGGTTGCGAACTTGTGACAGTGCACAACTCCCACTCCCCCTATTTATCATGCAAAACCCCAAATCGAAGCGCTTCCCTGTGGCACTGTTTGCATGACAGATTCCGGAAGGAGCCCAAACAGTACTACAATAGGCGCATGAATTCGTCATGCATTGGCTCCTTCTGTGCTGGTGATTTTATTGCCGTTCATGCTATACAAATGAGGGGGAGGGGGAGTTGTGCACTGTCGTAAAACTTGTGACTCAACGCGAAGTGCAGGCAGCACGCATGGAAAAAGGCCTCCATCTCGGCAGGTGTAGACGTTCTTAAAGGCAAACATGTTCTCGATCGGGAGGTACTTGTAGTTGTGCTGGATTGTTCTACTTCTTTTGCGCTAGAAGTTGTGGTATTTCTTGTGGGTTCATCTTCTTCTTTCGTTTTGAAACTTTCCCTGGATCCGCCTAAGACGACGCTGGAAGCAGGCCGTGGAATTGCAGCAGCCGCGCCCGCGGAACCCGCTGTGGAGTTGAGTGGGGACCGAGAGAAGTTGTTCTCGACGGTCCTGCCTAATTCGTCCTCCTCCTCCTCCTCACACAAAAACGCCGCGACGATGGGAGGGCCGTGCTTGCAGGTTTGCTGGTCCTGGTTCTTTACTCGTCCTCCGAGGGTCTTACTGCCCCCGGACCGAAAATAAAGAACCGCAAGAAGAGACGCAACGAGCGTACAACTACCCGCACTTCTTTTGCTTTCCACCACCTCCTGTACGTGTTTTACGACGCATCTGTTCGGAACCGTGATGTGCGCATAGTACAACTCGCCACCAATACCATGTGCCGCGGGTACAACTTTTCCGAGGGGCAGCTCCGCCAGTCTAGGTCGCGTTTTGCTCAGATTCACCTCCCAACACTTTCTCAGCGTTTCGCGCGCGTTAATACTGCGGATGGATAGAGGGCAGCTAGTTCCCACCAATTTTGATGTTTGTTCATCACGGGGGCCTCTACTCACAACGTCACGCACGTACGCTTCCACCAAAAGGCAAAACCTCGTTCGGTTCAGCGTTCGCAAATGCAGGCATATGCATTGCAAAAGTATCGTCCTCGTACAAATGCATTACAACTTTCCTCAGCATGAGAAAAAAAATTTGTAATGCTGATTTACCTTGAGAGGAAGATTTGTAAATGCATGACTACAATACGAGTACGATACTTTTGCACAGGATAAGGCACCGGACCGCTCGGTAGTTGAACACCACGTGCAGAACCGTGAGAAAGAGGAACAGCAGCCAGGATATGCATTGGAAACATGTCTGGGTCATCTGGAAAGTTGTCATGCTAATGTCCGAATCACACGCAATACAGTATTGCGGAGCCGCGCATGACAAGTTTCTGAGCGACTATATCCATGGCCTTTTTACATGGCAAACAAGCACCACTGTACCTCAACAAGCATGACAGACTTTTCTGTATTGTCGACCAAGCATGACAAACTCGCATTCCTGTTCCAGACCCAGACATATTTGCACTTGATACAGGAAAAAACGAAGCTGTTTTCGATTTTCTCCGTTACCGACGCGAACAGCATGCCAAGCAGAAGGCCGAGGAAAATCTATCAAAGCGAAGCATCCCCATTTCAAAACGATGCTTCTTATGCTGGATTTCCGTACACAAATCAGATTCGTCTTGCAGTATTAAAGGGCTGCAGGCGTATGCCATTCCTGAGTCGAGAAGTTTTGAGGTAGGTGACTAGCACGGCAAACATCCTGCATCACAAACCGCCTGCATAATGTGGCTGACTCTCTAGATTTGCCTTCATCTCGCAAGACAGACAGGATTGGTGGTCACAAAAATACATCACAAATTTTCAGACGGATGCGTTTTCAATATGGGGAGGAGGCGGGACTTTTCCTCCCAATAAAGTCACCGCGGTCTCTTGCGTACCTTCCTTAGTCGCGATGTCGCCCGGGTCGGTGGTTACCGCTCTTGGATGTTTGGAAGCGGATTTTACCGACGACCACCCGGAGGGTGCGTTAAGTTGTTGCTCATGCACGACAGCACCAGTTGTACTGTTTTCCTCTTCTACAACCCTCGATGAGGGTGAAAAGGGCGGCCGCGACGTTGAAAAGTGGTACGTGGTGCACAGTTTTGCGGCTCCGGCCGCGACACCGCAGGTGGACTTGCAAATGGCCGACAGCGTGAGCAGGAGCAAATACAGACTCACTTTATCAAATGCAAAAATGTCTGGGTCTGGAAACTTGTAATGCTAAAATGTGCAATAGGAAAACACTTCCTTATGCAGAAAAGCATGACAAGTTTGCAGAACGCTTTCCCATCCGAGGTCCGCATGAGAAACTGCGTTTTTGTAATGACATGAGAGGCTACAACTTTTGTTGGTCACGCAATAGTACAGATTTCACAGGAATGCAAGACCAGCATGACAAGTTACATCCTTCCAGACCCAGACACTTTTGCAATCCATACACTTCCGTGTCAACCCAATGCAGACGGAAAAAACTGCTGCGACCTTCGTCGTCGTGGTCCACCCCGGGGAGTGAACTAGTACTGCTCTCCGAGGCACCAAGTAAAACCTGCACGACTCGTTGCAGCGAAAACACAACTGGGAGCGGGACCCACAGTGTGCTCGTGTCGGAGAGGCTCTGCGCGATTGGGGACAGCATGTCCAGAAACTGCCCCTATCAACTGCAAAAGTGTCTGGGTCCTCTGGAAGATTGCAACTTATCATGCTGTTTTTGGACTCTAAAAAAATTTGTATTGCATGACCAGCAAGAGGGGTACAATTTGTGCTACACGGACGGGCCATTTCCCATGCGGAAGGTGCATCAGGAAGGGTTCTAAAAATCTGTAATGCTAGGGCATACATCACAGACTAGTATGAGTCATGAGAAATATGCACGACAAATCTTGCATTCTTCGAGACCTAGACATTTTTGCATTTGATAGCCCTACGTCGTTCGCAACATCCGCGAAGAACCTCCACTCCTTTATCCTGAGTAAAAACGTCCCCACACCAGACTCAAGCTGGGAAGTCTGCTAGACAAATCTGTCAGCTGTTGCTGTTGCGCATGACAAGTTTGGCCTCGTAGTGTAATCCTGTTAGTTTAGCTTGCTCAGCAGCATCACAGATCTAGCATATCATGCTGCTTCTAGCATCACGAATCCCAAAACGCGACTAGAAACTGCTTCTCATGGGTCTCCGCATGAGAAACATGCTCAGCATGCAGATTTGCATTGCAACTCTGGGGTGGGGACGTTTTTACAAATGATATCCTTGATGAACGCGGAGAACGACGCAGAAAACCGGGAGCCGAAGATCACGGACGTGACCATGCCCACCATATCCCGCGCCACCCACATCAGCGTCGCGGCGAGGGCGGTGGTTTGCTTGTTGGAACCACCACCCTTTTCGCCTCCAACGCCCGCGCCTTCCAGCAACGCCTTGGTGCACAAGACCCCGCGTAGGTAGCTGCATAAGCCCTGCAGGGAGTCGTAAACCTGAAATTCCAAGTACTCCTCCCCGACCGAGTGCGGGTAGTCTATCGGCAGGAAGGTCAGGTAGAACTTCTCTCGCAGGGTTTTTTTCAGCGAGTTCAGCTTCCTTCCGACAAGTTGCAACCGGGTTTTTATTCGGACATAAACCCGAGCTAGGAGATTTGTCCGGCTGGTGCGCAGATTGTACTTCTGGTTCTCGTCCTCGGACGAGCATATGTGTAATACAGGGTCTCGCAACTGCTCTTGCTCGTGGAGGTCTTTATTACTCTCCGCTTCGAACGCCCCGTCGGTCTCCGGACCACGATCTGGGCCTTGTTGAGTTTGGTTGGTTCTAGATCTTAGATGCAGAGACGGAAGAACATGAAGTAACAACGCAACGGAGAGATGAAGGAGGGGACAACACTTCTGCCTGTAACGTCCAAAGAATTCGAAACCACGCTGCTTTGGGAAAAGTAGCCCTAAGTGGCAGGAAAAACTTTGGTGCTCGCTTAAAACGGTGATCCCAGTGTACATGGCGGTTACAGGCGCCGGCTCCACCATCCATGCACTCACCGCTTTAACGTGTTGGAAGGAAAAAGGTCGGAGGAAGAAAGCAAAACCACAACACGCACACAAACCGGGATCAAGAAAGTTAGATCGTAGAGACCGAAGATGACCGAAGGCAAAAAACGAAGACCCGATCGAGCAATGACGATACGCTACGACCCGTACGAGCTACGAGAGAGTACGAATTTACGATAGGTCTTAGAATATGTAAACGACAAATATCCAAGTGCGAGCGAGGTATACATGAGAGTAGGCGACGTAGACGAACCGTAAATCAAAATGCAAGAACGGACGAGTCGAAATCATGTACGAGCGAGGCGATTGAAATATACAAGTGAGATATAGGTCAATAGTCAAGTACCGATGGATCGCAATTATGATCTTCACGCACACTCAACAACGCACACAAACATCGAGCGAGAGGGAGCGAGATCCGGTGTCGATGAGAAGTTGCTGTCCTTGTCGAAGTGCTGTGCTTTTGTTTTTTTTTCAATTAATGCATCGATAAAAAAGGAGAGAAAAAACTGTACCTAGGTGCCATTACAGCAAATAACCCAACCATTCGCATTTTATGCTTTTTATCATTCAAAGTACTCGTCTCCGCTTCGAACGCCCCGTCGGTCTCCGGACCACGATCTGCATATCGTTGAGTAGACAAAGGAGCGGACTTCTGTGTAGTTCTCTGTGAGGCAAAATTTGGAGGTGCTGCAGAAGTTTTTGGGTAAGAAATTCGAAAGACCTCACCTGTGGCAAGGTTGCGGTCCGTGGTGTAGTCAAGAGACAAAGATGACATTCTGCCTTGTAGTTCGGGAGAATTAAGATCAACTACTTGGTATATTTTTTTCCAAATGCAAATGAAGAAGATATGTATTGCCGCTTCTTAGTGTAGTTGAGTATAACGCACAACAAGTTCTAGCGAGCGCACGCACAACAAGTTCTAGCGCATTTTCTGCATTTTTTGTATGTTTTTGGGGTACCCGGGAACCTTTTCTTCCCACGCTGGGTATAGGCAAATTCGCCCGTGAGGGTCCCGTCTCGGCGGACGCAAAAAAAAAAGAGTATACTTGATTGTGAAACTCAAAACCCGTCTCGCAGACCATGAAGTAACAAGGGACAGGAGGTTAATAGAACTGAAAAAAACAGACGCAATTATGAGCACGACCAAGTGCTAGCCTGCGCCGCTGTTCGAATCGACCAACTGTCGTGCACAACTGATTTGATCTTCATAGATCTTGTTCAACATCCTGTTCTCGCTCGACAACGCAAAAGAAAATCCACGGACGGAAGCAGTAACGGATCTAGTACCACGGATCAGGAAATAGTCGTGGGCTACGATTTTTTTTTTCATCTGCGTATAGCAGAGGATCTCATCTTTTTCCGCGTCCGTGTGAAAGATAAAACGCGCGAGGTAGAAGAAGATCATCCCCTGACACAAGACGAGACGAGGACGCGTCAGACAGCAAAAAGGGATAAAGAAGCAAGTCCAGGGTTCTACTCGAAGCAAGCAGGGCAGAGCAAGCAGATCTCCGCTGTAAGCAACAAAAAAAAACTTCCGGACGAGTCGTGCGCAGTGTGTGGCAAAAAAAGCGACACGAAGGAGCAACAACGTGAATGAACAACAACGCGGCCAGAAGAGTCTACTCGCGGCTTTTGTCTCTCCTGAGAGGTCAACCTATGCAGCTTCCCAAGACGACAATATATATTTTCTACTGTCATCAAATTATATTCGTAATTGATTCGTGGCCCTTCGGATATCGCCGTAGTTTTGCTTTTGATCCAAACCGCGCGGTCAAAAGGAGAGCCCTTCTAATCTATCATGTACTCAGCCTCCGAAGAACTGAAACTACTTTATTTTCGGCATGAAGAGAAATGCAGCGTTTCGAATTTGATAATGATATTAGTGTAGGTCCTCCATTAATTTTCTCGGTTGACGAAAAGCGAAAAGCGACTCAATTAATTTACAGAAAAGTATGTACAGCCGCACCAAAGGTGCGTCTTCGTCTACTTACCTCGGGCTCGGAGCTCTTGTTGTAAAATAAGTGCGGAGTTGTATTTATTTCATTTACGAAACGAATTGCGAAAAGCCTCCTGCTTTTTCTGCAGGCGAGTCCAGAGCCATAAGGTCAAGATAGATGCGCAGCTCCTCTCATGTTCTTCTGATTAGACTCGCCAAACAATTTAAATTTTGAATTTACTCATACTCAATTCGTAGGAAAGAACAAGAGTCTTAGAAAACGGTAAAAATAAATCGACAAGATGAATGTTGTTAGTGCTCTTCAGCTTAGTGTAAGTGCGTACGTGGTGTTTGAGCTGTTCCCTGGGAACAGTTGAAAACCCAAACTAACTTGTGCTGCGTGACTTTTGCATAGGATCATGGACGATAAGATGTCGTGTTAGTGTTGGTTGTCGGTTTCTCCTTGTCCACCTGCTCAATGATCTTGACCATTTGCATTTCTTCTCCCGCTAATAAAAATTGGCGTCATGGTTCGCGACATGGTTTACATTCAACGAACCCCAGCCGTGGAATTGCTGGCTCTGGTGGTTGAAGTGAATGAGTGAATGATTTACACAGTTAGTTGCTGAATAGCCGAACGCGCTTCTGCATCGAGAAGCGCGCTCGGCTATTCAGCAACTAACAGATGCACTTGGTCAACAGCTTGCTGCATGCGTCGCTCCGCTTTCGAAACATTTTCGCGCGCCTCTCGCTCCACTTCCCGAATAGATTGCACCGCGGCATGGAAGTTCTTGTTGTTTTATTCCGCCTGTTGCTGTTGGATCAACCCGACGAGCGTTTGTTGCAGCGCAGCAGGGACATTTCCTTCCACCTCGGTGATTTTTTTTTCCAGCGTGGATTTCATCTCCGAGATTTTTCCGTCCAGCGTGGATTCCAGCGCGGTGATTTGTCCTTCCAGCTCGGGGATTTTTCCTTCCAGCTCGGGCATTTTTCCTTCCAGCGTGTTGATTTTTCCTTGCAGCACGTTGATTTTTCCTTCTTGCAGCTTGGACTCCAGTCGATTCATGGTCTCGAAAATTGTATCTTCATTGTTGACGAGCTGGTGAATGACGGTTTCCAGCGGATTGATTTTCCCATTCACCGCGACACTGATTAGATTTCCGTGTCGTTTGGGTTCGTTCGCTCCGGTCTCCAACTCGCTGACTCTGCTTTGCAGCTCGGACGTTTTCGCGTCCACCGCAACACGGATTTTCTCGTCGATCGAAGTCGCCGGGTTCTCCAAGGCGTTGCCTTTGGAGGCTCCCGGCCTGGATTCCAGCGCGGAGAGTTTTTTTTCCAGCGTGGATTCCACCAGATCGGAGATTTTTTTATCAAGCGTGGATTCCAGCGCGGAGATTTTTTCATTCAGCACGGAAGCCATTTTTCCTTCCAGCGTGGATTGCAGTGTGGAGATTCTTTGATCCAGCTCGGAGATTCTGCTCGTCAACACCGCCCCACCGCCAACGCCAAGGGCCCCCACAGCTGCAGCAGCGCCCCCTTATGCTAGGAAAAAAAAAAGACGCGCGGAAACTACACTCTTCCCATTTCCACGTGAAGGAGCAGTAGAAAGGTAAGTACGAGTAACAGCAGGACTTCTTCTACATTGATTAGCATCTATGCGACGAGTGCCCGAAGGCGAAGCGAACTCAAGCCGACAGCAGGCGCAAGAATAAAATCACTAAAAGCCCATCGAGAATGCTGAAGATATAAATGTATGCAACTAACTACACCATCGCTCAGTGGCCGCAAGATTCCAAGTGATGATACGATAGATTTGAATATGATGCTGATCCGCGTTGGGCCTTGCTCGGCCGTCCTCAATATTATATCGCCCTGCGTTCTTGTTCATTCTTCGTCCCCGTCCCTGCAGCGACATCATCAGTTGTTAGAAGTTTACAAAATACATTGCGACCCACATACATTTATTGGGTTACATGTGGTAGCTGTCGCGTAAAACAAATACTGAAATAGGAGTTTCTTTGAGTGTCGAGGAAGTAGCTCGCGGCGACTTACTTTTCCTTCCGATAAAGCAGCAAGCTGCATTTTCTTCCCGGAAAGTAGAGGAAGCTTCTTCTCCGTGGCAACGTTTTCCTTGTTCTTCTTCTTCAGGAGCAGCTTGTGGCCGAAGGTATTGGGTGCAAAATTGTCCCCACGATGAGATTCTTTATTTCTCCTGCACCAAAAGACGACACGCGAATCTGCCATGTTGAAAGACTGCGAACTGGGGTGAGCGCCCCTTGTACATCTACTGTCATGCAGAAATACAAATAAGCGCTTGTTCACGATAGATTCTCGGTCATTCATTGCCAACATGCTGAGTGTTTTTATCATTACTCTGAGAAAGACGCTTCGTCAGAAGTGGGGACGAAGTTGAAGACGGGTTGCGTCTTCATAGTGACAAAAAGTCCCGATGTTCGACCACATGGTAAACTCAAGCGCCACCAGCGCCGGTATGCAGTGCAAACTACGTCATGCTTCAAAGTCCCTTGCAGATGAGAAGAATGCGGGCCAACACTCCGAGAAGAATGCTGGCAAGAACACCGGAGCGATACACGACTCCGGAGAATTTATTGCCCAAAGCCATGTGGCAGGACCAGGACTAGGAAATAACCCTGTCGCCCGTGCTGATGATGATCTCCTGTCCCTCAAATTCAGCGTTTTCTTTTCGCATGTGTCTGCTCTGTATCCATTCGTGCGAAAAGCTGCATAGACATACATGACAAAGATTTTGGCGCACAGTCGTGCTGTCCAAGGACCATGAAAAACGTAGCAAGTAGTTTGCACTGGGTAGGCACGTAGAACCACAGAAGGAGAAACTTCTTCAGCTTGGTGGAACTGGAACAAGCAGCCTATGCATTGCAAATAGGTCTGGAAGAGTGGAAGTTTGTCATGCTTGTCTCTCATGACTCCCAAGTCTGTGATGGATGAGCGGGATGAGAATCTCTTGCCTGTTATGCAAAAGCGCAGTTTGCCATGCAGAACTCGAAACACATAGCAGCTCAAGAACTCGGCATGCTCGGCTGCGTATTACAGTGTGTCCACCATTGCCATTCCCAAGCCAGCATCACAAGTTTCCAGACCGCCCAGACATATTTGCATTTGATACAGTCCGCATTTTTGGGGTTTGTTTTTGCAGGTTTGGCGATACTACCGACTTCAAGAAAAGACCGGAGGTCTTGATGCGTTACAGATCAAACGATTTTTCCACAAAGACCAACTTGCGCGACAACTTCGTAAAACGAAGACTGAACTTCCGACGTATCGTATTTTTTCCGTACTTACTGTTTTTACCTTAGTGAAAGTCTTTAAATTTCAAGATGTAGTTTAGAACAAGGTAACAAGGAGCCTAGACGTGACCGGGGGGGTCACGTCCGTCCGGCCGGCCGGACGGACGGCACGTGACCGGGGGTCGGTCGTGGCGCTAGGAGGTGGTGGCCGCTGTGGACCGCGCGCCCGGGCAACTAAAAAAAAAAAAAAAGGTCATGAGCTCGGCACTTCACTGAAGAACTGCCTCTCTTCGTCACGCTCCGCCCCCGGTCACACGGCCGGGGGCTGTCAGCTAGCTCGGGCGCCCAACTAAAAAAAAAAGGTCATGAGTTCGGGCTTTCACGGAAAAAGGCGCGACTCTTGCCCCTGGTCCGCCGTCGGTGACGCGGCCGGGGGCTTCTAGCTACCGAAGGCCACAGTTGCGGCGGCATTCAGCGCCGAACTCGCATCGACGCCGGACTACCCCCGGTCACGTGCCGTCCGTCCGGCCGGACGGACGGACGTGACCCCCCCGGTCACGTCGAAGTTCCTTGTGACCCTGTTCTATATTAAGAAACGTATGTGTGGAAAAGGACTGAGGGAGAGGACTCGAAAGACCTAGAGCGACGAGACCTGTTGTTTTACAACTTCAACTTGTGGTATGTTTGCGATATAATTTCATCTGCGAGCAAAAAAAACGAACTAAACCCCCAGGTGCAAAAGAATCCTCCACACGATGGTATTGGTACCGAATCACTTTTATCACAAACAGAGTACTTAAACTCGGACTCCTCCACACCGATAGTAAGTAGCTGTAGCGTCTCAACTACCGACAGCGGTGCTTAGTATAGTTCTAGTCTGACGACAAACGACATTACGTACGCTGGGTGCCGATCTTGGCCACAGAAGGTCACGAGATCGTCGAAGACGAGCATTTTATTGCCCATCTTCAAACCATACCGATTGTGCTGGCCTCTGATAGATTCTGGATTCGCAACACCGATGGTAAGGGCGTCAATGTCATTTTACCGATGATGGAAGTATAAGCCGTCTTCTTCTACACGACCGAGAATGCGAATGGCTCCTGGTACTAGTATAACGACCGGGCGTAGAAAAAGATCACGTCGTGGAGGCAATGAAATAGCGCACTCAGACTGTACGCACGACAGGACTTCTTACAACACGACGACCTTCGCACAAGAATTGCACAAGAATGCAATTGACGATCTCGAGTGCATCGAATCACGTTTCGCACGAGCAGTTCCGCGGACAATTACGCGAAGGGATCGTCCCTGTCCTCCGCTACTAGAGGTCGACATAGCTCTACTAAAAGTTAAAGTATAAAAGTTCTTCTATAAAATATCTGACTGGCATGAGGAAGCGTTTGGACCATGTTTCTTTTTTTTGAAACTGAAACTCAACCTGAGTCTGAGTGGGAATTTCCCTACTACAAAAGGAGTTCGTAAAAACAAGTACGTCGAACAGAGTTGCGAGAAACAAAGTTCATTTCAGTGATGGATAGCAGAACCAAAACCTTCGTCAAAAATTTAAATTTAGCTCACAACAGAAAAGAAGACAAGAGGAAATAAATACGATATCAAGATAAAGGTGAAGCGCGTTATTCTCGTTTACTATAGACAAGTGTAGAAATGCAGTTCATTTTATTCCAATACGAAAATCCGAGTCATCATGTCGGTTCATTCAAAACTAGCTCGCTGTACCAAATCGCACCACGCAGGCGCTGGCTACACTTTCTCAGAAGAATAGGTAGGATATTTCGGCCGTGTGGCCATTTTTCGGTCACACTAATACAAAGCAAGGACCTTTTGCTAGATCCTGTTCTATTATTTTTCCGTCAGTCGAAATCAGAGAGCTTGTTTATTTTCAAGTTCCGTGTCAGAGGTAGGAATTATACATAGCTTCTTTATTTTCAAGTTCAAAACGGACGTCAAATTGCAATCATCTACACCGCCCCTACAACAGCAACCGCCGGGCCTTGACCCGCCACAATTCCAGACCCACCACCGCCCCCAGACGCGGCACCCGCTTTCGACGAGGAGGCAGCAGCAGAGGACGAGAGTCCAGACGCATATTGAAAGGAAAAACAAACTCCCCCTCCCCATATCGAAAGAGTACGCTCCCGAAAATTTGCGTTGCTGATTTGAGGCCACAAATCACGTCTGTCTTGCAAGCAGACAAGTGCAGAGGCTCCCGCGCCATTATGGAAGCGATTTGGCACGCTGTTGCAACTAGAGGGCAGCCGTTTGTAATGCTCAGCAACTAGACCCAACGCCTCTACCTAGGCCGAGGATCTGGCTGCAGTGCCTTACTGCAAGACAAATCGGATTTATCTACGCAAATCCAGCATCAGAAATTTCGTTTTGATATGGGGAGGGGAGATTTTTCCTTTCGATAACGCAGCCGGCGCACCCAGTCCCGCAGCCGACACGTTGATGACACTGCTAGCACTGTTGTTCCCGACCGCCGCAGCACCCGGAGCAGCCGCGGCTTGCTGCTGCAGGTTTTGGTTCAGTCCGGTGTTCGAGATCATCTGCGATTGCCCCATGTTCAGGTTGTTTACGTTCCCGCTTAGCAACGCTGCCAAAACCGCCTGTCCGGCCGAGCCGCCGGCCAATCCGTTCACGAGCGCGGCCACGGCCTGCTGGTTGATCGCGGCTGCGTTAATTGCAGTCGCGTCCTTCACCGCCTTCGCGGCTGCCTTCCGCTCCGCCATCGCCTTCGCAGCCTGGTTTTTCTGCTCCTGGAGCTTCTTCAGATTCCCATATCCTGAGTAAAAACGTCCCCTTTCCATAGTCAAATTCGGAGTCAAGTTGGGAAATCTGCAACACAAATCCAGAAGTTTTGCGCCGCGTCGCGCATAACAAGTTTGGCTCTGATTTGTAGTACAGGTGAGCAAGGAAAGCCGGATCACGAAGCCTACGCCATCTCCTTGCCCTGTTTACAGCACTACAAATTCGTCCGAAACACGACTGGAAATGGGTCTCATGGTGATGCGCATTACAAGTTTTCTCGTAATTGCAAATCTGCATGACAAGAACTCTTGGGAGGTGGGGACGTTTTTACTCAGGATATCCCTTCCTGCATCTTCTTTGCCCGGTCATAGAACTCGTGCGCCTTCTTCAGAAGTTGCTGGCCCTTCTCCGTTATGCATATGCACGCATGCCTGGGTCGGAATTTGTGATGCGAAAGTTGAAGGCCGATCACAAGGAGATCTACGATGTATGCATGCACAGCGCCATTTTTTTTGTCGCCCTGGAGGACACATGGTTGTCATGCGTTTTCCTTTTACGAATGAATCTGCAATAGGCTTCGAGAAATGTGTCATGCTGTTTTGCCATACTGCCGTTATATCCGTATGCGAGTGTCAGCATGACAGCTTTCCAGACCCAGGGACTACATACTTGCTATTCATACCCGTCTTCCCGCCGCACTATCGAATGTAAAAGTGTCTGGGTCTGGAAGAATGCAACTTGTGATGCTACATTTAGATTCCAAAAAAATTAGTATTGCATGAGTAGCAAAGGGAATGCGATTTTTGCTACGCTGAGAAGACATTTCTCATGCACAATAGGCATCAAGAAGCCCTCAAAAAATCTTAATCTGTATCGCTAGGGTATGCATCACAGACATCATGGCTCATGCAAAACGTGCATGACAGACAAGTGTCAGAATCTTCCAGACCCAGACATTTTTACATTTGATACGCACGGGATGAAGCCTGTGAGGCCAAGAGCTTTGTACGCCGCCTTGACGGACATACCTGTTTATCCTATGTAAAAACGTCCCCACCCCAGAGTCAAGATGGGGATCTCGCAACACAAGTCGAGAAGTGTTGGGAGTCAAGCATGACAAATTCGTCTCTGTATTGTAGTGAAGTTTATTAGCAAGTACAGCCGCAACACAAATCCATGGACTCACACTCATCCTGTTTAGAGCATCAAAAAGTCCAAAGCGCGACTGGAAATGCCTCTCATGGGGATGCGCATTGCAAATCTTCCTGTGACTGGAAACATGCATGACAACTCTGGGCTGGGGACGTTTTTACTCAGGATACTGCTTGTGTTTTGTCACTTGAAGTACTAGATCACGCCGAAAGAATAATGTTTCACCACATGTGCAAGGACGATCCTAGAACCAACCACAACTCACTGCGTTGCCTAGTCAGTGTTGAACTTACTTCTTTCGCAACAACACGACAAATACAAGTAGAAATGGGCTTTATTGCTTGAATCAGTAGAATCAAACGGAATATGCAGCAATAAAGTAAATTTCTTTATAGTACCCCACATCGCGATGCGCTGTCCGCTATGAACTGCAAAACAAGTATCGCACTCGTATAAATGCATTCCAAATTTTCTCAGCATGAGAAATAAAATCTGTAATGCGGATTTACATTAAGAAAAAAATTTGTAATGCATGATTGCAATACGAGTACGATACTTTTGCAGAGGATATCCGCGGGGATCGGATTTCATCTGGTTCGACTTCTTCGTGAAGACCACCTTGCCGCGCTGCGGTAATTTTTCATGCAATTTCATGCATGGCAAAAAAATTCCTTGCGTCATGCATCATAACGCATCGCAAAGTATTCCTTGTTTTGGAATGGAAGGACTGATCGCATATCTGAGACCCGAAACTTTGTCATGCGAGGATCGCCAGCAGAAACCTTATTTGTAATGCGTAGTCGCAAAAAGAATTCCTACCTTGTTCGTCGACAACTGGTCCTGCCACACGCCGCCCGTGGTCTATCAAAATGAAAAAAGCCCCCATCCCATATCGGAAACGGAAGATGCGCGAATTTCTGACGCTGTATTTGAGTACACAAATTATCGACTTGCATTGCTAGAAGGCCAAGAGACGAAGCTGCGGCCTAAATTGCAGGTAATCTGTCATGCTGTTTCCCACTTCTAGTTGCCTCCTGTCATCCTGGAGCTGCAAGAAGGCTTTGCCACGCTAGACAGCACTACAGTCCGCATCTTTATTTGCCTTCTAGCATAACAAAGCTGATTTGTGACCACAAATCTGCATCACAGATTTCCGTTTTGATAAGGGGAGGGGGCATTTTTCATTGTAATATGGTCTGCTTGATCTTCTTCTTCCACAGGGCCTTCTTGATTTCCAAGTTCTTTTATCAAAAGGAAAAATCCCCCCTCGTCCCCATATTGCCAAGGCACGTTTTCGAAGATCAAGATTTACAATGCAGATCTGTGGCCGCAAATCGCCTCCGTCATGCATGGAGGCAACTCCACAGGCTCCGCCGCATCCATTCTACAGGCGCTTTGTCAACATGCTGCTGTACCTACAGCATAGACGTCTGTCATGCTAAGCGCGTAGGCCAAAACCTGTCTACTCAGGCTTCATGATATGGGCCTGCAGTCCTCGCCCGCAAGACAAATCTGATTTGTGTACGCAAATCCAGCATCACAGAGCAGGGTAACAAGGAACTTAGACGTGACCGGGGGGGTCACGTCCGTCCGGCCGGCCGGACGGACGGCACGTGACCGGGGGTCGGTCGTGGCTCTCGGAGGTGGTGGCCACTGTGGACCGCGTGCCCGGGCACCCGGGCAACTAAAAAAAAAAAAAAGGTCATGAGCTCGGCACTTCACTGAAGGACTGCCTCTCTTCGTCCCGCTCCGCCCCCGGTCACGCGGACGCGGCCGGGGGCAGTCAGCTACATCCGAATACAGCTAGCTCGGGCGCCCAACTAAAAAAAAAAGGTCATGAGTTCGGTCTTTCACGGAAAAAGGCGCGACTCTTGCCCCTGGTCCGCCGTCGGTGACGCGGCCGGGGGCTTCTAGCTACCGAGGGCCCCAGTTGCTGCGGCATTCAGCGCCGAACTCGCCCCGAGCCCGGACTACCCCCGGTCACGTGCCGTCCGTCCGGCCGGACGGACGGACGTGACCCCCCCGGTCACGTTTAAGTTCCTTGTTACCCTGCCCAAACTCCGTTTTGATATGGGGAAGGGGGATTTTTCATTCTGATATCTTTTTCCGCAAGAACTCGTTCCGGACCTTCCGTTCCTCAGCGGACTATCAAAATGAAAAATCCCCCCTCCCCATATCAAAACGGAAATTTGTGATGCTGATTTGTGGCCACAAATCATCTTTGCCTTGCATATAGGACCATAGGAGCCATTCGACGCATTCCAGAGCAAGTCTGTCACGCACTTTCGACTACTGGAAACCTGTTTGCCATGCGCAATTGCTAGCCTTCTGCATACCCAAACAGGGTCAGAAAATGCCACCAAGCACTTTCTGCAAGACAGATCTGATTTGTGTACGCAAATCCAGCATCAGAAACTTCGTTTCGGTATGGGGAGGGGGGATTTTTCCTCACAATACGGACAGCTTGCGCTTCACTTGGTCCTGGTACAATTCCGGACGCATGTAGACGTGCATTCCCGGATTCACGTTAGCGAGATCGACCTTCGGTTCATCTGGGGCCTGCTGTAACAACGCAGCCGGCAACGGGACCTGGAAATAAGTTCAGGTCAATTTTTTGTGATGCGCATACAAGAACAGACACCAATATGCGAGGAGGACGCTCCTTGTTCTTCATCCCAACACTAAAATAGAATAACGCTCACGAACCTGGAAGGGCAATGCGTTAACGTTTTCGGGAGCAACAACCGGTACCACCTGCGCGGCCGACGCCGGTACTTCCACTGCCTGGGCAACGACCGCAGCTGGACCACCTTATCAACTGCAAAAATGTCTGGGTCTGGAAGAGCGTAACTTGTCATGCTGCATCTGGATCGTGGAAAAATTTGTGTTGCATGACGACCATAAGAAGTCCACGACTCTGGAACCGGTTTAGAGGCAGTTTCTCATGCAGGAAAGGCATGATAGAGATCTCACAGAACCTGTCATGCTAGGCCGTGCATGCCAGAACGCGTGGGTCATGGAAAACCTGCATGACAAACGTAGCATTCTTCCAGACCCAGACATTTTTGCATTTGATACACCTGGAGCCGGAACCGCAGCCGGTTGCACGACTTCTTGCACGATCTCCATCGGAACCGGAGCTTGTTCCTGCTGTTCCTTCTGCGCGAGGGCGACAACCGGGGCGGCCGGATGAAGAACGGGTTCCAATGCAGACGGTGCCACAATAGCAGAGGATGCGGAAGAGAGCGACGGCTTGACCGCAACAATCGTCTCGTCCTGCAGGGTGGAAGCTAAGCCGCTCGGTGTAGTTGTTGACCCGGCTACTTCTGCAACAGCAGCCACGGGCTGTGTCAGCTGCGTCGACATGGTGGTCGTGGTGTCAGAGAATATTGTGATGAGATTGTAAGTGGGACAAAAGGACTTTTTACCTTCTGTAAAAAGTAGCTCGAAAGTAGACTCTGAAACGTGCTTCTACTTGTCTATGTGTTTTGGAAATGGCGAAAATTGAATCCAAAAATTCAAACTACTGCGCTTTTGTTGAAACAGGCCCTATTTTCGTTCCCTTTGCGGTTTGCTCTCACCTCCGGAAATACATCAGGGTCGGTTTGTTGTTTTCTCTCTAGTCGTTCGATTAAGTATGTTGTGTGTCTTTTTCTCACGAACGCAGTTCCTTCCACATTAAAAAAAACCTGTCGCACTCGTCGAACTTTATTCATGAAAAAACTACACTATTGCAGACGTTTCCAAGAACGACCATGAAAACAACGACTTTCGGCACAACGGACTGTGCGCGACATGACGATACGAACACAGGTCATGTAGGATTGCTAGATGATGCGAGTAGGGGTCACGACGACACTCCTAGTTGCATCGAGCGGTTTCCTCGACCGCAAAGAATCGTAGTACAGTTGTCGTGTGGAAAATGATTATGTATTAAAACAGTCGCTTCTAGAGAACAAATCGTGCATACGCAAAGTGCATTTATTCGCATGGTGCCACTAGGCTTCTTCTCCTTGACGAGGATGAAGCAGTGTTAACCCGCCATTTCACCCTTCGTTAAAAGCTCTTAGAACGGTGTCTATCAAATGTAAAAATGTCTGGGTCTGGAAGCCTTCATGTTTGTCATGCTTGTCTGGCATGATTCTTAAATCTGTCATGCACGTTACCCAAGCGCTCCGTTTTTGTGTCATGCAGAATAGGCAACACCTAGGAGCTCAGAAACTTGTCATGCTGAGCCAGCATCTGTAGCCTCATCATGAGACGCCACCCAGCATCACAAGTTTCCAGACCCAGACACTTTTACTTTTGATAGTGTCCACATCCATCCCAAAGTCTTCTTCAATCACCGCCTTCTATCCCGCGGAAAAAAGCGAGTGCCCACATGTTGGCCACACGATTTGTAATGCAAAATAAATAGGATGAAAATCTATCATGGGTACTAACGGTAAGCCCATGATACGACCATGCTGTTTCAGGTAGGCAGGCGCCTCCTTGTCTGTACTTATTTTTGCATTACAGATCAATGTGAAGAAGATGTGGGAGCTTTTTTCTGTGTGATACCTTCGGATCGTTGATGCACTTCACCAGCTGATCGTAGTCCACATCGGCCGAAAAGCATGAAGAAGAAAAGCGCCCCTAAACCTCCGTACACAGAACAAAAAAATTGGTTTTTGCATTGCAAAACATGTGCCACTATGTAGGTATTTACCAGCATCACAAAGACAAATTATTTATTTCAACCCAGCACATTAGTGAAACTCTGTGTTCTACTTGCACAACACGACCGAACAAATCTCCGTCAAATGCTAAACATGCATCCCTTCGCCTTCATTCAATTGCAAGACGTATCGCATTCCCGTCATGCAACACTGAAAATAATTTCCGCGTGGATACAAATTTACACAAGCAACTACGTCGCCTTTTGGGAAAATACGGAGCACTTTTCAAGTTCGTAACAATCCAGCCTGCTCGAGAACCGGGTGGACGACATCCTTGTCTAATTTGAAGACGATTTTAGACGACTTCGCATCTGCCTCGTCCTCCCGCCGCGAATTCGCGTGGTGATTATGAATTGCAAATATGTCTGCATCAAATTGGAGGGAAGTTGTGATGCTACAATAAATCCGCGAAGGTTGATCGGCAACCTCTGGTACATGCCGGGCCAGACATGACGCACAAGTTTTTCTTGAGCGACTACGCTTTGGTGCATAAACTGCAGGACAACGACCTGCATTCGTGCATGTCGAAAAAGACAAAGAGGAGCTCCTGTACTAGGTCAGCTGCACGCATTTTTACAGCTTTTACTCCACTTCTGTTAGCCAAGCACGAGAAATACAAGTCTTGCTCTTACAGCCTTCCCTTGACCCAGACATTTAGTTGCACCAGCTGATATCGGTAGTTCATGAGCCACTTGATGTGCTTCGGTTTTAGGGTATCGCCGCCGGCCAGAGAGAGCGCGGCCAGCATCAGCTTTCGTTCGTGGTTGGAGGCATACCCGAAGTTGTGTTCGACAAGATCCGGACCAATAAAAACGGGTTCCTCTACGTCTTCGGCAGGACCACCCTCTATCTGCTCTTCGTCCTCATCCTCTACGTCTACAACCCTCCCGTCGTCCACCGAAGGTTTTCTACCACTCGCGTGGCTGACTTCCACCATGCGGCTGATTGCGAAGTCCTCCCGCAACCCCTCCAACATCGGGCATCCTACGTAAAAACGTCCCCGCCCCAAAGTTGTCATGCAAATCTGCATGCTTGAAATGTTTCTCATGCGAAGCCCCATGAGAAGCAATTCCTAGGCTTGTTTGTGGAGTTTGTGATGCTCCAATTAGCATAGCAGGTTAGGCCTGTGATGCTGCTGAACGAGCTCAGCAGGCGGATTACACTACGAGGCCAAACTTGTCACGCGCAACAACCTAAGCTTGTAGACTTGTCTAGCAGATTTCCCGTCTTGACTATGGGGTGGGGACGTTTTTAGTCAGGATATCGGGTTCAGCCGGTTCAGGATGCTCAGCGCCGATCTTCGGAACTCGTCCCGTTCCTGTGCGGACGTGGGAATGATAAACTTATCCAGGTTCGATTTACTGTTCGCGTTTTTGTCTTTCTCTTGATTCATTTTATTTTTTTCCTTTTTACTCCTCTTTTTCATCTTCTTCTTCTCTTTTTCGAGCAACTTAATCTTCGCGTCGTGCTTTATGCATTGCAAAAATGTCTGGGTCTGGAAGAGTGCAATCTACTTGTGATGCGCATTTCAGAACACAGAAAAGTCTCTCATGCATAGGTAGCAAAAGCTGCCCAATTTCTGTCACCGAAATGGAACACTTGTCATGCGGATTCGGTGTGGCGGAAGCTTCTCGAAACCTGTGATGCTAGAGCTTCCATGCCAGCCCTTCTGTGTCATGCAAAAACAGCATGACTCTTCCAGACCCAGACATTTTTCCACTTGATATGCTTCTCCAGTGCGCTACTGATGGCCGCGGAGCTGTTCGATCCGAAAATAACATCCTCGTCGAACTGCTCCAAAGCGTCCGCCTCCTCCTGAAAAAGGCCGCGGGTCTTTTCTAATCTCTGAAGCACCTCTTCTAGGAGTAGCTGGCCTGATCCGTTTTCAAAGGTATCCAGCACCTTGTAGGTGGGCTGGCTGATCGTAGGCTTGGTTGTACTGGAGCAGGCCATTTCTTTTTTTGATGGAGTCGCAAAATTCAGCTTTGTTGAGATCGACGTGCCATAACGAATCAGAAGCGGTTTCTGTCAAAAATAAAAACTAGACAGCCTCACTTAGTTTCATCACACGGGCGGCCCTAGTTGTATACCTTCCGCGTAAGTAGGTATTCACCCAATTCAGCCAGGACGAACCAGCTTCTGTTTACTTCATGCACCTGTTTCTTGCTAAAGACAGAAAAAAAAACTTGCACGCCAAAAGTTATCCGATGATCAGCTCGCAAAGAGTGAGTAACACTGTTCCTCGAAGACTTAAAGTTGCACTTGATTTCGTTTGCCAGGTAGTGGTCCTGGTCGTACTCAGAATTATACTCCTATACGATCAATCTGAATCTTCCAGCACAGATTCCTCGATCATGCGGCTCCGGCTGGGATCATGCTGTTCCGAAGACGAGAAAGTATCAAGATCGTTTCTACTGTGAGTGACCTTGGCAGAGACCTTTTTGTTGCTTGCGATCACGTTCCAGTAGGCTGTCGCACTGCATTCGAAAAAAATGTACTTGCGTGAAGATCATGTTGGATCTGGAATCTGTAAGATCCAAGTAGAAATAGCTTGTGGCTGGTTGTGCAAACATCGGGATTGGGCTCATGAAGATCGCTGTAGCAACGTAAGTAGCACTAGCACCTGCAATTATGATCGGAGTCAAATACCAGTCGGAAGACACGAAACGTGATCATTCTGTTATGATCAGGTGCGACTAACTGCAATGCAGCTTCGTCCAGGAGCGCGAAGTGTCTGTAAAAACATTTTCTACTACTTCGGTGTTGTTCCTTGCATTTTTCGATTTGATACATAGGAGTCAAAGTAAATAATCCAAAGAGCAAAAAAGAGTCGTCTTCTTTCAAACTGTCCAATGCATCGTCTTCTTTCAAACTGTTCTCGTATGCTCGATTTCAAAAAGGAAAATTATGCGCGGTCCGCTATTGCCGCCTTGCCGCAACAGCACTACTCCCTTTGTTTCCCTTACGTCTTGTCGCTGTCGCTACAGAGAAGTCCGGCTGATGTTGTAAAAACCGGAACTTCTGCGACCTAATTCCGTAAAGAAAAAGTCCTGTTGTGCCGAAAGTGTTGTAGTTTACGCCTGCATTTTTCCCACCCAGTGTCCCGGTTCTGCTGTATCCTTCAAACAGTACTCAAGTGCTATGGAAAATAAGCTCCTTAGTCCTGTTGTAAATCCCATGCTGGTTTCGCAAATGCCGTTGTTGACGCAGCATACTGGACTCCAGGTGACAGATCCGTGGTTTAACATGGACGACAAAGCGTCAGCCATATCAACTGCAAATATGTCTGAATCTGGAAACTTGTGATGCTGGGTGGCGTATCATGATGAGGCCAGAAGTGCTGGCTCAGCATGACAAGTTTCTGAGCTTCTAGGTGTTGATGCCTATTCTGCATGACAAACTGCGTTTCTGCATGACAGAAAAATGGAGCTCTTGGGTCACGTGCATGGCAGATTCAAGAGTCATGCCAGACAAGCATGACAGACATGCATTCTTCCAGACCAAGACATTTTTGCACTTGATAAGCCACAGCAGCCGCCAGCTCAGACTCTGCGGGGTCGGCGGACGCTGCGGTTGTGATTTTATCAAATGGAAAAATGTCTGGGTCTGGAAGAATGCAACTTGTCATGCTATTTTCGGATCCTAAAAACATTTGTATTGCATGACCAGGAAGAAGAGCTCATTTTGTGCTACGCGAGTAGTAGTAGTAGTACCATTTAACTCCTGGCGGGTCGGCGTTAGAACAGATTTAGCCTCTGCCAATACCTGGGCGTTAGAACAGATTTAGCCTCTGCCGATACCCCTAGGTGGAGACGCGGTCCACTTCCTAACTACCACCCGGCTGCACCTGCTAAACCGCTATCGATTGCTTACGCATGACTACAACCAGTGGGCGCTATGTGTGGCTGACCTGCCTTACCATCCAAGCCCGCGAGCAAGGTGGAGTTCCAGTATTGCCTTGATGGGTTAGTCTTACAAACTTGCTCGAAGAACTACGCGCGTGGCCGGTTGCGCGCTAAAAAGTATACTGGGGGTCTAATGATCAGACACGGTGATCCTATCACGATGGCGGGCAACCCAACGGCGTGTCCCTTTCAGACACGTTTTGCCGATCTTCTTCCCGCACCCTTTTATATGCGTTTCCATAGAAACGGCCCGCGGAGCTCCGCACTCGCAGAGCCGCCATCGCGCCCGCCCCGGGGGGACCCCTTGGGGAAGGGGGGCGCTGCATTAGCGCAGTCTTTTAAATTAGCAACCCTGGCGCCACTTCTTTTATATAGTTTTTCTTTCTTCTCTTTCTTTTTCTTTTCGTTTCCTAACGCGTCAGTGCGTGCGGTTCGCCGGTACAAGGAGAGGAAAAGCAGCGCCGTGCCTTTACGGCTGGCGGGAACGAAATGATTAGCATCGCCGCACCCCTCCGGGCTGGCGGGAACGTGTCGAACGGAGATCCATACGCAGTCGCCTCATTTTTTGTCGCTCTTTTCTGTTACTTTTTGTGTCTACGCTCTTCCCTCTGCACCCGCCAGAACACCCCGCATTTTCTTTTTCGCTTTGAGCCCCGGTCTGTGTCTTCTTTGCTCCTTTATTTCATTCACGTATGAGGCCTCATATTGCCTCTACTTTGCTACTCATTCATCAATCTCGTCCAAAAGAAAAAAAGAAACACACTGCAGTCACTATTTTCTCTTTCTTCATTCATTTTCCATCGCTGTTTTCTTTTTCTAGGGCTCTATACATTTGGGCTAGTTCTCGCTGCATAGGAGTTTCGTACTGCCTTTGCCTCCTCCTCCTCTTCTCCTCTTGTATCCTCTTCTCCTTCTCCCGCTGTTCATTCTCTTTCTGCATCAATGTCATGGGGTCATCTGCCATTAATTTCTCGACTGTGGGGAAGTTGGAGGCCTCCGTCGTTCGCTTCTTTTTTTCGTCCTCGTTGCCACCGTTTTGGTTCGCTTCCTTGTCTTGTTTCTCCACTTTTCTCCGTTTTTGCTGCTCTTGGTCCGCCACTTTTTCGTCTTGACCTTCCTCCGCCCGCTCCTTATTAATCGCGTCCCTTTGCTCCTCCTCCCCCCACGCCACCAGATTCCGAAAAAGTGTTCGCGTTGCCTCTTCTGGACCCTGATCTATATAGTATCCCTGTCCCATCGCCCCTCTTTTAAACACGTATCCTCTCCGAGTGCCTTCATATTCTTGCGCCCCGTAGAAACTTTTTTTTTCTTCCTCTTCTCCGTCTTCGCTGATCCTTTCTTCTTGGTCTCCTTCCTCCCGCCCCCTTTCTTTTTCGTTTGACTTTCTACCATCGTCTTCTTTGTTCGCCTCCTCTACCTCCTGCAACAGTTTCGTCGCTTTTTGGATTATTCTGAATGCCCCCTGCGCCATCTCGTCACCAGTTTCCTCTGCTTTCTTCTTCTCTTTCTCGATTAGTCGCAGTATAGTTTCAGAGAGTGTCTCTCCTTCCCTTCTTTCTTCCCCTTTTTCTTCTTGCTTTCTTTCTACATTTGCCCGGCTATTTCTACTTTGACTACTTGCGGCGCCACTCCCCTTTCCTACCCTCTCTGTGTTGGTGTTCTTTTTCGCTTCTTTCTTCTTTTGAGATTTCGCGCTGTCTTTCTCTCCTAAGCCTTGCTTCATTTCGTCACCATCCCCGTCTTCTGCGTTTTCTTTCTTTTTGTCCCCTTCTGTCTCCTCATCTTTCATTTTCCTATGTATGTATACCTGCCTTTCTATTTTTGGCATTTCCGGCCATTCCCACACCGGTTTCAGTGGAATCCGCTTCGTCCCAAAGTCGAACCGCACCCAGTCCGTATACTCATTGTCGTGATTTAACACGTTGGCCACCCTGAGCGGTATCTCTTCTTTGGTCCCTCCGTCTATATTTCTTGTCGCTTCTGCTCTGCTTGCAGTTCCTTTTCCCCATCTCGTTACTATGGTTAGGCCCGGGTCCTCACTTTCGGCTTTTTCTATTGTCTCCTGTAGCTCCAAGCCTATCCCATGCCCTTTTCGTAGTATCCCCCGCGTCTTCTCCCTTAACTCGTGGTAGTCTAGCAGTATAATCTGCACCGCTCCGCCTTCTTTCTTCCTCCTCTCTGTGACTATTTCTATGGCCCTCATTGCGTTGTTGCAGTATGCCACGAAAGTCCTTTCCTCTGTTCTTATTTCAGTCTTTAGGTGCTCCACTTTTGTCTCTATCGTCCTCATGTGTTTCTCCGTCCTTTCACTTGCCTCTTGTACTGTGACGGTTGTACTTCTTTCATTTCCGGCATGCTTCACCCATATTTTTTGCATCCTATCGCTCTGCCCTTTCTTCCCGAGGCCTCCTTTTCTGTTCCTGCTGACTACCAAACCCGCGCTCCCCCTGTGTGTATACTGATCCTCTACCCTTGGGGGACCCCGCGCGCTTCTCTCCTTCACGATCCCCACTGCACGCAGGTCACTCCCCGGCGATAGCCTAACTGTCGCGCCATCCTTCAGCGCCCGCAGCAGTGCTATGTCGGCTTCTTTTCTTTTCAGCATTTTTCGTTCTTCTGTTTTCGGGATGCCCGCCTTTGCTTCGCCTACTACCTTCACTGGCGTCGTTGCTAATGGTGCGAACAAGGCCGGGTCTGTTAGGTAGTTTGCCTGCGCCGTTGCCCGTAACGTTTTCAGTCCCATCGTGTACGGGTCAGCTAGTCCGAGTAAATTCATCCCGAGCACTACCCTATAGAATGCCTCCGCCGTTGTTTCTGTTCGGGCCATCAGCTCCTCCACTGCCTCCGTTGTCATTCCCAGTGTTTCAGCTATTGTCAGCGCCATTTCGCCCATCAATTCCGCCCAGTCTCCTAGGTCGAAATATAAATGCATCACTGGCAGGAAGTATATCATTGCCGACACAAAGAAAACCTGCACTACCCACGTGAGTTCCTCGCCGTTAAGTCTTCCCCTTTTCGCCATTACTTGGTGCGCCAGGTGTTGCCCTATCCCTATACTTTGTCTTACCTGTCCCCTCAGGGCCTTGGCTTGCTCCGTTTTGTCTTTCGGCACTATTTTGATCCCCAGAATCTTCAGAAATGTCTTTTCCTCGAACAGAATCCCGAAAGGCTGGAAGGCCTGTCTGATCACGTTTACCTTCAGCGGGTCTTCTATCGACGTTGCAACTTCACACTTCTGTGGTGCCAAGAATTGTCCTTCAGTTGCGTAGATTTCCTCATATGCCCAGCTTGCTGCTCTGAGCGCGCGCGCTACTATTTGCATATCTTCGATAAAGAACTTTATTACAACTGTGCCATCGTCCACGTATTGCACGCATAGGGTCCATCTTCTTTTCCCATCTCCGGGGAGTGTTCCTGAGTAGTATCGAGTCTCCACCCTTTTTCTTTTCTCATTCACCTTTCTTTTTCCCTGCTCTGTCGTTACCTTCTCTCCCTTTCTGTATCCCGTGACTACTGGCGGGGCTTCTTTAAGGTAGATCTCGTCGACTTCTTCTCTGACATTGTAATCGGGGAAAGTTGTATCGATATCGCCCCCCTTGTAAAGCCTTTTAATCCTCGTTCTCATCTTGGCTTCTGCTGCTTTTAGCCTTTCCTCTTCAGCCCTACCGTCTTCATTAAAGATTTCTTCGAGGAATTCCGCGATTATTTCTACTCCTGGGAGGAAGATCAGGGTCCCCGCTAACATCGTTTCTACTGCGCCCTGAATGAGTTCGCGATGTCTTAGCACGTGTCCGTAACAATCCCCGTTTCTGATCCATAAATCCTTCGTCCACGCTGTTACTATTATCAACTTTATGAACCACGGGTGTAGTTTTGCAGCTCTGTATGCTGCTACTGCCCTCGGTAGCCCTATATTGTTGAAATAGTTGGACGCATCTAGCCCAAAGACTACCGTCTCCTTTCTTCTTCTCCCTTTCCCATTACCTCCCTCCTTTCTTTCATCCGGTGTTTCCGCTTCGCCCTTCTCTTCCCCCTCGTGACATGTCTCCAGGACCTGCAGCGCTGTGGCTTGGCAGCTTGCTCCTGGTTTTGATGCTGATCCGCATCGGGTGAATGCGTCACTTTTGTCGGCTACCCGCGCCATTTCATATACCACTACGCTCAGCAACACCCTCACCATCGCTGTCCCCTGTATCACGGTCCGGATCTTTTCTATTGCCGTTGTTGCTGCTGTTTGTTTTTTCAACAGTTCCACCTGCACCGCGTTGAGGTGCTCCTCCAGGAGCTTCGGCCCCCTTCCCTCGTTTCTTTTCATCTCATACTCCTCCACTTCTTTTAAAAACCTACTAAACACCTCTGCTAGCACTTGGTATTGTTCTGGTGTGAGGGCGCGGTATATTCCTTGTCGGAGCCCATCCATGCCTGCTGCTTCACTGTTTAACTTTGAGACATGTGCTTGCAATTGTGGCCCCGTAAGTCGTATGCTCTTTACTTCTTTACATGCTTGCGTGAGCTGTCGTAGCGCTTTTTCGAGCTCTTTTCCGTCATATGTGTGCTTTTTGTCATTTTGCTTTCTCACGAATTCACACTTGAGGAGGTGGCTACTCGCTATCCTTTCTGTCGCTGCTTCTACCCCTTGCACTAGTGTGCCGCCTACTGTTACTTCTTTCGCCTCCCCCATCGGCATTCCTCTGCCTACCCCGCACGCAGCTTCTTTTACCTTTCTAGCTGTCTCATAAGCCGCTTTCTCGTTTTTCTCTTCCTTCTTTGGCTTCTCTGCGAATGACGCCAGCCATGCCTTTTCCATTTCGTCCTGTTTCGATTTCTGCTCCTGTCGTCGTGCGGTTTCCTCGTTCTTCTCCTCTTTCTCCTGCGTTTTCCGCTCTTCTTTTTTCTTCTTCTGCCAATTTTCGTAATTCGCGTCCTGTTTCGGTACTTCTTTTAGTTTCAGCACGCCTGCCTCGCCTAGTTTCTCCATCAGCCATTTTTGCATCCCTAGCATGCTCCTGCGATTTTCTGGCACCGTCCCTGCTTTTTCCATCACTTGCTGTAGTCTTTCTAACGTCACCGACTTTCTCGGCCATTTCACCAGCTGCGTGCCAGGGTTTTTCTTCTGAAGTCTTTCTTTCCCTTTTATGATCTCAATTCGCTGCCTTGAGCTTTCAACTGTCGGCACCATCAGCGTATAGCGCGCGTTAAGTTTCCACCTCTTTTGCTCTTTTTCTTTCTTCTGTTTTTGTTCTTCTGTGGGCTTCTCGGGCTCTGGGATCCACACTATGTCTGCTAGCAGAGCTACGTGGTCCGACTCCTCTTCTTTATTCTCCCCCTCTACCTCCTTATCTTCTCCGTTTTCCTCTTTGTCATGCGGAATAGGCATCAGGATGCCCTCCAAAAGTCTGTGATGCTAGGCCATGCGTTACAAGCATCATGGGTCATGCAAACTATGCATGACAAACCTGGCAACCTTTCAGACCCAGACATTTTTGCATTTGATAGATTTTATTGTTGAACAAACGTCGCTTTCATTGCCATTTTTAGTGAACAGAAATTTTCCAATTCCATCCATGCATGTATAAAGAATCCCATCCACGTGCATCAACAAAGTTTCTCATGCTAAAAAGTAGTACGGATGTATAATCAAATAGTACCGAAATTGAATCAGTACTTACGTTCCGAAAAGAAATAACTTCATCAGTACTTGTCAACTCGGTCATTCCATTGCAGGTGAGTGAATTCCCGACCGTGTGCTGTTCCGCAAATCCCGTAACCGGCATCGGCTCCCCCATGGCGAAAAAGCTCGCTGCCCCGCCGCCGGCAAAATTTGGCATGCTGCCATTCACGTAAAAGGCTCCGCCCGAGGCAAAGTTTATCGTGAATAAAAACGTCCCCACACCATAGTTGTCATGCAGATCATTCGCAATGACAAGCAAACTTGTGATGCGCAGCCCCATGAAAGGCATTTGCAATCGTGTTTTGAAATTTGTGATGCTGTAAACAGAATGAGCAGCTAGGTTTGTAATGCGGATGACCTTGCTAACCTGCACTACATTACGGACGGCAACTTGTCATGCGCTACAGACAAAACCTCTGGATTTGTGTTGCGAGATCGCCATCTTGACTCTGGGGTGGGGACGTTTTTGCTCAGGATAAAGTTGCGGTTGAAGTTTTTGGCCCAGGAAGAGCAGTGCTCGTTCCGGGCCTTGGCATAACGAAAAGCCGCGCGCGTGTACGCACCGCCACGCATGGTACTTTTTTTCCGATGCCCTCGCGTACACTGATGTGTGTCTGTGTTTCAGAAGAGCTGGTACACGTCGTCGACACACTCAAGACAAAACTGATACATAGGGTTAGTCTTAGTTGTACACGAGACTTTTTTATATCATCGAGCAACCGAAACGAAGAAGAAAGTCAAAGTCAACCGTGACCATCGTGATCCAAGTCCAGCAAAAGAAAAAAAAGAACAGATCTTCTACAGGTAGCCACAAGCTGAAAAAGTAGGACAACCTGAACGAGAAGCTTTTGACTTTGACTTTGAGGTGTAAAACGGACGGACGGAATTAGGTGGCGATTGGCGTTGCCTCTTACTCAGTCCCTCGATAGACAGCCGCGGGTTTACATCTTTTCGCGGACTGGCACACGACTAGGAAAGAGCAGTGTGGTCGCCTCTCTGACGTGGAAACACGCCTTTGCCCTAAACCCTATGCTATATACCAGTCGCTACAAAGATGATCTGTAAAAATATCTTCTACCGACGCCACTATGTATGTAAACACCCCAAACCCATGCGTAGTACAAGAAATTATGTATAGCATGCCTGAGTCCCGCGCTGCAGTGTTGTTGAACTTGGAATTTATGTTGGTGACGAGTACTAGGACCTGCAGCTACTTTTTTTTTTTTTTTCCACGGCGTCCGTGGTTTGTTAACTTTTACTCTTTTTGGTCCTTGGATCTTACGAACTTGTTTCAGAAGCGCACAGACAAAGCTATCTACTACCCCTGCATTTCAACATCAGCAGCTGTCGGGTCATACATATTTATTCTAGTGCCACGGGTCTCCACGTTATGCCGTGGACTTTCATCGCCGCATACAAACACGCACTTTATCTACAGGGGGTAAAACGGGAAGGCGTCTATCTGCCCCTCCGTTCTGACTCGAGACTGATGCCACGCCACCGCAGCACCCTCCTCGGTCGTAAAATGGTGTGTTTGCGTTTCGCGTGTGGTTACAGCTTTTTTTAGCAGACAACAAAACTCGGAAACTTGGGGGCCCTCAATAAGAATAAAAAACTGGAGATCGAGGGGGGCACAGAAGACCTCAACTACTCGAACGAAAATGTAGTAGTCGTGAATGTTTTGTTTCACTGCAAAGACTTCAAGCGGTGAGACAAAGCGGAGCTGAGTTTTATGTCATTGATAAGGTCCATTTCATTTTGACAAGAAAGTTTCGCGGCTGGAAGTGGAGATTTGAAAACATTACTTTTCGACATTTAACATCTTCTCGTGGTAAAAAGTACTCTCACACAACTGTGGTAGGTTTATTCTCGGGATGGAAACACAACTACAAAATTAAACAAGATAGGAAAGGTCAGTATTCTCGTGAGTGTAGTCGTATGTCAAAATCAAAAATCTACAATCGTCGAAAGCGGATAATATACAAAATTTACTTTACAGACAGAAAAATATAAAAAGCAAAAGTTCAACAGAGTAAGTACACACAACTTGCACAAATTCTGTAAAAATCTCGAATAAAACATGATAGGAATTTCTCTCATCGGTTGCCTCAAAAAAAAAGTTACCTCTATAGCAATATGAAGCATCTGTGTCCTCCCTGTACTCTGTTCTGTCGGGTCAATGCTTCTGCTAAATCTGCCCCTGCGGTGTCAACGTGAAGCTCTACCTCTAGTAGTTCTAGTTCGCGAAGATACTTACAACAACCTCAAACCGGCCAGCCCGGTAACGTTTTCGGGTCAAAAATGTCCTTCGCGTGAAACTCGTCCAGCACCTCATTGGCCGCTTCCTGCACCTGCGCGTCATCCGTGACGTCGTCGACCACCTCCTGCATCGCTCGCAATATTTGGTTCCGCACGAGGGTTTTGCTGTTTCTGCTTTTGCCGACACAGTCGAAATCTTCGTCGAGGCGGGAAACTTGGTCCTTGAAGCGACTAGTGGTGGTAGAAGCACCTTTAATATCATGAGTTGCCGCAGTAAAACCACCAGAGACACAATGCTGGGATGATCTTGATGATGTTCCGGAAAATTGTTTTTCGCCGGTCTGCTCAGAACTCTTACTCGTTTCCCGCAAAAACCGACCCAAATTCCGCACTGCCCCCACCCGTGTGGCGATTTCAAACCTCGGCTTTTGCTCCGTCAATAACTGCACCAACGCATCCAAACTTGCGATACAGCCCTTGATGGCTAAATTCGCCAGCGCCTTACGCGCGGCGCGCTGAATCAAGGGATTGCGATCCGCGTCCCGAACGGAAAGGTGTTGCAGGAAGGGCACGACCTGGGGATGACGGGATAGCAGGCTCTTGTGCGGCTTCTTCTGTGGTCTACTTAATGTAGGAACCGCACGGCCAGGTTGTTCTGTCGACAGTTTTTTTCGCTCGGCCGTTTCTCCCGCAGAAGTCATCGGCTGCACCGCGACCTGTCGCTGCACATCCTGCTGCTGAGATAAATCTACTTGTTCTACTATTCGTTCTGGAGTTGTAGAAGTGGAACAATCTTCTTCGTCCCCCAAGCGGCCCAAAGCTTCAATCATGGTGAATCGCCCCGTTTCGCTGTCCGCCCAGCACCGCATGTTCGAATTATCCGCGCGACAGTTTCGTGACCCCCCGCAATGTATCATGTGCAAAAGTGTCGTACTCGTATTAATTGCAGATATGCATCACAAATCCAACGTTCTACCTGAAATAGCATGACAAACTGCATTTTTGTTTTTGGAAAAATTTGTGATGCAATTCATACTAGTACGATTTTTCTTTTGCAGTGCATACAATGGAAGCAACAGTTCACCGTAGACAGGAGGCAGTCCAGCGCGTCGTCCGAGTGCGCCTGCACGGCGATATCCTGTGCAACAGTATCGCACTCGTAGTAATTGCATTTATGCATTACAAATCTCTTTCTTAAGGCAAATCTGCATTACAAATTCAATTTGTAATGCTAAGTCAATTTGTAATGCAATTTCTAGTAGTACGATAGTACTTTTGCAGTTCATAAGCGAGTTCGCACAGCGACTCGCGTACGGTTTCGCAGAGTTTGTCGCCCTTCCGGCAGCTCGCCTGCAGTGCGGACACGACCAGCGGCACGCAAGTCTTCGCCTTCGCGAGCGCCTTGGCCGCGTGTTCCCGAACCTTCAAATGGGGCGCGCACAGCAGAAAGTCGATCAGAACGTGCACGGCGGACTCGGAGACGTCGGAGTTAATACAGTCGCGGCTAGGATTGTTGTTTTCGTCGTCCAGCACTTCCACCGTCTGTTCCTCTTTAGTATTACGGATCATGTGCTCCCTGATCATGGTGCGCGGGGAGGCGGCGGACGCGGTCGTTCTTGCGAGTTTTGCTCTAAGAGAGGAACAAGCAGAGGTGGAACACGGTGATGGGCGTCTGGCGCCGTCGGCCCGGTCGTAAATAAAGTGCTGATGGTTCGGAGATCGAGACTCTTGCGGCGCAGTGTCACGATCGAACACCATCTCAATATCATCCGACAGCCCAGCTCCTGATGTATGCCCCGGTCCGGATTTTTCCTTGTAGGTATTGACGTCCCTGCCGTCACCACTGTTGAGAGGTAATATAGTTCCTGAAAAAGGACGATCATTCGAAGACCCATTTAACAAACCATCTCGATGTTGAATGGTATCAAATTTTTTGTAGCAAGTGCTGGTCGAGTGCCGCTTCCCGAGGAGATGTTTGTTTTCCAAGATGTTTCCCAGCGCCGCACAGGCCACCAACTGGTCTGGCTGGCCGCAAAGCTATGGATTGCAAAGATGTCTGGGTCTGGAAGGATGCAAGTTTGTCATGCTTGTCTCACATGACACCTGCATCTGTAATGCGTGGGCAGGAAAAAAGCCGTTTGCCTGTCATGCAAAAGTGCGGTTTGCCATGCGGAAAGCGAAACATAAAGGTGCCCAGAAACTTGTGATGCGTGGCTGCGCAATGGAGTTGCACGCCCATCATTCACAAACTAGCATCACAAGTTTCCAGACCCAGACACATTTGCAGTGCATACAAGCGGGGACACGCCGATTTCCCGAATCGCGTTGATGACGGGTTTCAGGTCGTGTTGGTTCACCGGATTTCGTATGCACTGCAAAAGTGTCTGGGTCTGGAAACTTGTCATGCTAAATCTGAATCACGCACAAATTTGTGTTGCATGATTACCAAATGCTGCCCACTTCTTATCAAGTTGAGAGGCAGTTTCTCATGCATGCTAGGCATGATAGTGATCTCACGGAATCTGTCATGCTAGGTCCTCCATTACAGATCATATGGGTCATGGAAAACCTGCATGACAAGTCGCGCAAAGTTCCAGACCCAGACACTTTTGAATTTGATATTTCGGCGAGGGGCAGAAGATCTACAACTTCTCGGCGCGTTCTGGTCTATCAAACGTGACTGAGAAGAACCGCTGTGGGGATTCATCGTGGTCCTCTGTCCGTCTTCCGCGCCCTGAGTTGAAGTTATCAGATTGTTCTCGCGGGGCGAAGCGCACGGACTTGGGACTTGAAACGTGTCGTCGTAAAGGTCTCTCCCGCGTAACGAGATATCGCACGAAAAAAACTGTCTCAGTCCGACACGCTTGCAGACTCAGCAACACAAATTTGCTCAGCATGACATAGAAAACCTGTGCTGCGTCAGACACAAGGGAAAACGCCAATGAAAGACGCCTTTCTTGCATCTCGAGCATGACAAAAAACTGTCTCAAGGGAGTTGCGCATTACAAGTTGAGACTGAGACACTTTCGTCGTACGATACGAGATCATCACCAAGTAGTGGAAGAAATTTTGCGCGGTTACGTGCTGCCCCCAGTCGTGGTTTTTCTTGGGCGTTGTATAACCTCCTTGGGTGGCAGCTCTGATCGTTTCGCTTCCTGCTGCTGCTGGGAGACAAGAACAGCCCGTGTCCTCGCCGCTTCTTCCGGTGGCCGTCGAAGGTCGCTGAGAGCCCTGTAGTTGTCCTTGCATTCTTGTGTCAGTATTGATAGTTGTTCTTGTGTCAGTACTGATAGTTGATTCCGCTGCGGGATCCGCCTTCTTATTCCGCGGGGCCAGTGGCAGCTGCTCTTCTTGTTCCACTCTCTCGCCAAAATCGTCTCCGAAAGGAGTAGACCACGGCCTATCGCCAACATTGTTTTCGTTGTCAAGTTCCATCATCATACATAAAATCCGCCTTCGACCCAGCCGCCGAAGATGTTGTTGATCCCATCCCCAAATAACCCGAGCACGGGCTGCTCGGCGCGCGGGTGCTGGAAATCTCACCGGAGCTCCGACTCAGGCTGCGGGCGCGGTTTATTTCTTGACGACCAGATTTACTGGCGCAGCTGCTGGTGTGAAGATCCTCTTTCAGGCAAGATTCTGTACCCATTTGCTTGGTCAAAAGTGGTCGATCGTCAGTAGTTGCGCCGCCAGAGGAGGAAGAGGAGGAGTCCTGCCGCGGAAAGGGCGGATCGAAGGTGGCCGACAGGTCGTCGGAAAACTGAGTTTGTTCCACCCGGGCACGGCCCTGCGGCTCGCCATGACCACTTACGCGGCTAACAATGTGGTCAACGCCGTGCAGTTCGTTATCAAAGTAGCTGTAGCTGGAACTTGCCGCACCACCAGCAGGACCGCAGTAGTCGAACCCGCCCCCACGAGTTTCCACGCACTCAAAGCCGGTAGGAGCACCGGTGTAGTACCGGGGAAAGAGGTTGAAGTAGGTACTGTTCGTGCTGCCTTTGCTGGAAGTAGTAGAAGCAGACCTGCCCGTGGTAACTGTATCACCTCCAGAATCATTACCACCTCGAGAAGTGGACAATAAGTGTGGTCTGTGCACCTCTTCCACCTTGGAGAACATGTCCTCGTCGCCACACAACCCGTACTCCCGCGCCTGACTCAAAACCGCATCCGCCCACGCGCGGGTGGCCAGTTCGCTGCCCCGTTTCGCGTGCTGCCGCAGAGAAGACCAGGCGGAAAGCTGCCGTCGCTCGACCGCGGACCGAAGCAAACTTTCCAGCGCTTGGTGGCACAACCGGCGGCGGACCCGTCCCAAGTCGCGGCACGAGCACGCCCAGTGGAGGACAGAGTTGAGGTCCAAATTCTGCACCAAATGGGACTCCAGCATGTGGTCAGCCGTGCCCGTGTGGAGTGCGGAAGTAGGTCGTGGGGTGCCGGGGGGCTCGGTTGTTGTCACTAAACTGGCCGCGGGGGTGGAGGAGGGGCGAAACGCCGCGGACAAGACCGCACCTGCGGAGAGGACGACGACAGAGAATCGGAGCGATTTGGACATGGTTTTGTGGGTAGGGACGGAGCGGAAGAGGATTGGTGTTCCGGTTTCAGACATGATCACGCTCTGGGCCTACTTTTGGGTTGAGCGGTGTGGCCGATATGGGCATGATTCGAGCAACATGCACAAGCCTGTTCGGGATAGGTAGCGGCTGACTCAGAACGAAAACTCTTAGCGTGGAGTGCGAAAATGCGTGTCTATGATAGATTCCTCCGGAATCGAGTAAGTAAATTTAAAAAGGCCACCCCGCTCGCATTCGTTCCTTCCAACGGTTGCTGGCGTGGCACCAAAACAAAAACTCAAATAACGGGGCGAAGGAATAATTGAAATGAATGAACACAGCGGGGCACAAAACTGACCGGGGCCGCAACTATACGAAGCCATGCGCCGCAACTCTTCTCTTATTTCTCAACAAAGGATCAATCATGACACCAGACCGGGCGGCGCTGCGAAACATTGCCGCCTTGCCCGGCAAACCAGTCAGACTCCAAAACCGGGCGGCGCGGGGCGGATGCGCGCCCAGTTCCCATGGGTGGAGAAGACGCCGGGGAGCCGGCGAACTTTCACTACACGGAACCGGCGCCGCAGGTCAGTTGTGCCGGGCGGTAATGCAACCAAGTAGCGACCGCCGGCCCGCTGGGAACCCGCCCCCCATTGGCGCGCGCCGCGCCGCCCACCATAGAGAGGCGCAGGGGGGCGCCGCGGGCGGCCAGGCCATCAATGCAAAGACGAAAGGCGCCCCCCCCTTCCGGGCGCCAGTCCCGGATGCCGGGAGAGGATCGGGGGACCGCCCGCCGGAAGCTCGCGTGGGGCGGCCCGGGGGCTTGGCGGCGCAGGAGGCGCCGCGGCCGCGCGGGCGGCTAGAAAATACCGCGGGCCCCTTGCCGGCTTTGCGCGCGCTGCTTCAGGTCCGTTTGGTGGCCTTGCGCTGCTCCTTGTTGTGCTGAGTGATTGCGTCCTTGCGCTTGTAAAGCTCCGCCAGTGGCGACGCTTTTGCACGCAGCCGGCGCCGTGCATTTCATGCGTAGCCACGCGGCCCCCTCTGCCCTGCCCCGGGGGGAGGCAAGGTAGGGAGCACACTGGAGGCGGCCAAAGGCGCCGCGCTTTCTGGGGGACCGCCCGCGGCGCGCACCAGAGTGAGCGCCCGGGCCCCCCCTCGCTCGGCCGCCCGGCCGGCCGCGCTTGGCCCGGCGAACCCGCGGGGGCAGCTACCTCGCCCCGCCTGCGGGCCCCGAGGGGCGCGCGCGGCGCGGCCCTTCGCCTTTGGCTGTTTTATTCATTCCGAACCCCCCGGCCGGCGCCGAGGAAGGGTGCCCGGGCCCTTACCTCCCTGCCGCGCGCCCAATGCGGTCGCGGCCGCTTCGCCTGCGCTGCGTGGCCCGTCGGCAGACTGGGCGCGCCCGCTGCGAAGGGTGTGGGCTGGCGCCCCCAATCATTCCCGGGCGCCCCCGGGCTTCTGCCCCCCGGCGGGGGGGCCCCGGCTCGCAACCACCCAAGGCCCAGCGCGGCAAAATCCTGGCCCCATTCGTGCGGCCCGCTCCACTGACTATGCCGGGCAAGCGGTCGAGCAAAACAACCCGCGCCGCCCCCAGCTCCGGTCGCTGCTGCGTCCGCCCTCTTGCGCGGGCCTGCCCGGCTCCCGTCTCCATGTAGTTGGCGCGAGGGGTCTTCAAGGCCTCCAAAACATGCAGGGCCGCTTCCCATCCGGCGGGGGAATGTTGGCGACGCCGGGCCGGGGGCGCGCGCGCCTGCATGTCCAAAGCCGCAGCGCCTTCATTTGCGGCGCCGCGCGCTGGCTTTTCAAGAAGCCAAACCTCGGCCGCCCCGCTGCCAATATAAAAGCCACCCGCCAGGATAACCAAGGCCGCCACCTCGCTCGTGCCCAACAGAAAAGGCCTGCGTGTGCTATGTTCCATCAAAAACATCCAGCTCGGCAAAAAGAAGAGCAACACAATGCCGACACGGAACACGTCGCGGAGCCAATACGCACATTGAAAAAACTCCCGACCGGTGGAGGTCCAGTGCGATTACGAAAAAGACATCAATAATTTTGTTCAAAGAAGATGAAGGCTTCTGCTTCTCCTTCTAAAGTACAGACTCTTCTTCTCGTTCTCCTGCGGTTGTACTGCAGTTTTGCCGTTCCTCGCAATCACAAGTTTAGATTTACACATAATACTCAAATCCCGACTGAGCTAAGTACTTATTCGTTCTTTCCTGTCAATTATACGTGACCACTTCCGGCAAATTTTTAGTTACAAACACCTCGTCTTCCTGTTCCTACCACATCCTCCTATGATCCCATCAAGATGACCGGCGAAGCCTTGACATTCCTCCTGGTCTATCTGAAAAGGTTCCAGTTAGTACTTTCGAATGAAAATCATGGGATTCCACTCTCACACCCGATGACGTTGATGTTGTTGAAAAATTTCCGCATTTCACTGCGCTTCATCCGCGGAGGTCCACAGGGTCAGGTTGTCTCGCAACAGCTGCATGATCAAGGTCGAGTCCTTGTAGCTTTCTTCCGAAACGTTGTCTAACTCCGCAATGTATGCATTGCAAACATCTTTATCCCTGGACGTCTGGCAACTTGTGTCCTAAAGCTTTCATTTTTGCAGAGTACTAGCAACCCATGACCGCATGAGAAAGTTTGCGAGGCTTATTTTTGCAGATTCAGATTCGTAAAACGCAGGACAGTTGCAGACTGAGTTTCACAACATGACAAAAAAGTTGGCCAGTGCCAGTCGCATTATATGCAACACAGATGCATGCTGTCCTTCAAAATTCGCATGACAAATCCGAACATCCAGGGATCTTTTTTGCAAAGCATATAATGGCGTCTTCGAAGGCTTTCCTCGCCATGGAGCACGCTTCCTCCGGCTGGTTCAGCACTTCGTAGTAGAAGACCTGATATTTTTCCGATTGGAATTTGTCATGCGCAACAAAATATTGAAAACCGTTTTGTCATGCGAAAAACCCCTACAGCAAACAAGTCAAGAACCCACTGAATGTTCTTTACCGAGAAGTTGAGCGCCAGTCCGAGCCTGATCGGATGGGTGACCAGCAATCCTTTCTCGGCGACATCTATCAAGTGCAAAAATGTCTGGGTCTGGAAGAATGCAAGTTTGTCATGCATATTCTGCACGATCCATAACGCCTGTGATGCATGGCCTGGCATCACAGCTTTTTAGAGCGCTTCCTCATGCCTATTCCGCATGACAAATGCCATCTCCGCGGAGCACAAAATGTACTCCCCTTACTGGTCACGCAATACAAATTTTTTTCGAATCCAGAGACAGCATCACAAGTTTAGAATCTAACAGACCCCGACATATTTGCAATCCATAACATCCATCGCATTCTTGTAGGCTTCCCGCGCCGCCTCGGCGGCTTTCGTCTTCCCGTCGTCGGCCTTGTATTCTGCGATGTAATATCAAATGCAAAAATGTCTGGGTCTGGATTGAAACTTGTAATGCTAAAAGTGGATGGTAGACGCACTGCACTACGCAGCTATGCATGACAAATTTTTTGGCTGCCATGCCTTACGTATTCCGCATGGCAAACTGCGTTCTTGCATGACAGGTCAGAGGGCCTTTTCGCGCCTGTGCAACACAGATTCTCGAGTCATGCCAGACAAGCATGACAAACTTGCACTCTTCCAGACCCAGACATTTTTGCATTTGATATGTAGCGGTGGTAGTCCCCCTTCATCTTGTAGTAGAAGACCTTGACGAAAGTTTTCATTGAAAATGCCGTTTTTTGCGTGTTCTTCACTTGGTCACAGTCGGAATGAAAGATTGCTCATCATCAACATTTCATGCGCATTTATTTCTGCAGGAGGTGCAGTGCAAAAACATCAAATCATCTACCTGCGACTCTTCCTTTCCCGCGGCTGTTTCTGGCGCAATCAGCGATTTTTCCAAGAGACTCAAAATCTGGCCGCTATCAAATGCAAAAATGTCTGGGTCTGGATCATTCTGAACTTGTGATGCTGTCTCTGGATTCTGAAAAAAATTGCATTGCATGACCAGCAAGAGGACTCCAGTTTGTGCTGCGCGGAGAGGGCATTTCTCATGCTGTAGAGGTATCACGAAGCGCTCTAAAAATCTGTGATGCTACGGCCTGCATCACAGACATCATGGTCAGGGAAAATATGCATGACAAATCTAGAAATCCTCCAGACCCAGACATTTTTGCATTTGATAGCCGCAAATGTCATCCAATTCCGTTTCGATCTTTTCTCGGTACTTTGGCGGGTGCGCGGCGTGTATGCGTTGTAAATATGTCAGGGTCTGGAAGGTTGCAACTTGCCATGCAGATTTTACATGACCCGTGTTGACGTCTGTGATAGATATATTCCCTAGCATCACAGATTTTCTGAGTGCTTCTCGATGCCTATCCCGCATGAGAAATCATGCCCTGTCCGCGTAATAAAAGCTAGAATTCTCTTGCTGCTCCGGCAATACAGATTTTTTTGGAATGTACAAAAGCAGCAGTACAAGTTCCACCGTTCCAGACCCAGACATATTTGCGGTTGATAGCGTGGGCGGAGCCTCGCTGGACCTCCTTCTGTTCGACGGAAGAGACGATACCTCGACAGTGCGATGATCTTTGTCATGCGGAAAACCCATCCTTGATGATGTTTGTCATGCGGAGATCCCATCCGTCATGCCAATGCAAATACATTCTTCGAAAATTATTGTGGAAAAAAACGATACGCCAGGAAGCCCTCCGAGACCCGACGGCGTTCTTGTAGGCCACTGAAAGTAGGTTTCTCTCCTCAACAGAAAGATCCTGGTCGGACTCGGCAACCTTTGTTTTTCATCGTGAAATGAGAAATACCTCATAATTCAATGAGACCTCTTCTGGACCACATCCATTAGTTGCAGTTTGTCATGCGGAAACTACAAAGCAAAAAAAAAAACTGCACCGTCATCTTCATCATGCGGGTAACGCATCACAGATTCTACCTTTTTCATGTACTCTGCCATTTCATCGTAGCGTTCAGCCTGTTCGGCCAGTTTCGCCATGTACACATTCCCTTCTCTATCCTGTGCAAAAGCATCGTATTCGTATAAATGCAGGTCTGGCATCACAAATTTTTTTCTGAAGCATTACAAATCTTATTTCTCACGCTGAGGAAATTTGTAATGCATTTATACGAGTGCGATACTTTGTTTTGCAGTTCATATTCTCGATCTTCCGACATATTGATGTTCTAGACTTCTTTGCGAACAAAATAAAACACCGAGTACTACAAGCACTTGTTACTACGTCGCTTGCGCAAAATCTATATTTCTCTATACAACGAGAACGACTAGTTTGTAGTTAAATGGCGTTGTAGAACGATCTGCCACCGAAGGAGCAGGCAGAGGATTGATGTTTGCTGGCCGCAATAAGGTGTATGAAGCAGAAGTCTGCACTTGGTTACTTGTAGAAAAGGAAACAAAGGCTGAGAAACGACTACTGCACATAGTGAAACGGACCAGTGACGCGACAAGAACGAAAAAGCATATGTAGCAGTACTTTACTTTATGTAAACTCCGCCAAAAACTTGGAATCCATTCCCGCCGCAGCTGCAAGGAGCTTGGAAATAAGAAGCGCAAAACGCAGAACACGAACACAGTTGAAATCTCACGCAAGTACGCAAACGGACCAACTCTTGCCAGCGCCAGGGCAAGGCACTGCCTCTCTCGCTAGTATCCATAATTCTCCCAAACACGTGCAGTCGATAGCGAAGAAGTTCTCAAAGTTCAAAAGCTGCGTCGATAGCAGTAGCTGAAGAATAATTTACTCCGGAAGTAGTGCCACACGGAATAAAAGTTGCGCGTAGTTGACAGATTGATTCTCGTCGCCCTAATACTGTTCGGGTGAAGAGACGACAAAATGAAAAGTATTATTTCAGCACAGTTTATAGCCCCCTTTTTCCTGGGTTGGGAGAGCCTGGGAGAGGAAAATCAGCAACGCCAACACGTCACAAAAAAAAAACTCGCTGGATTATCTAATCCCCCGCGTATGGTGTTGATTATTATACTTTAATAGGGAGAGCCATAGAACCAAAAAAAATTTCGCGCGCGCGCTGCGCGCGCGCATTCACTCACCCCATACGCAGCCAATGGCGTTGCATCGATTCGAAGGCAAACGAGCACCGCGCGCCCGCTCATCGAAGGACATTTGAAGTGGCCACTTCAACTTCCCCCCATCGAAGGAAATTTGAAATGGCCATTTCAACTTTCCCTCATCGAAGGAAAATCGAAGTGCCCACTTCAACGCTCCCTCATCAAAGGAAGCTCGCAGTTGCCATTTCAACTTTCCCTCATCGAAGCAAGGAAATTTGGGATGGCCGCTTCAACTTTCCCTCTTCGAAGGAAATTTGAAGTGGCCACTTCGCCTTTCCCTCATCGAAGGAAAATCGACGTTACCGCTTCAACCTTCCCTCATCGAAGGAAATTTGAAATGGCCCCGTCAACTTTCCCTCATCGAAGGAAATTCGAAGTGGCCACTTCAACTTTCCATCATCGAAGGAAAATTGAAGTGACCACTTCAACCTTCCCTCATCGAAGGAAATTTGAATTGGCCACTTCAGCTTTCCCTCATCGAAGGAAAATCGAAGTGCCCGCTTCAACTTTCCCTGATGGATAACGACAGCAGCGCCCCAGGGGCCGCCCGCGTGGAGGACACGCATGCAGGAATTTTTCGCCCCCTAGATGCCACCTGTCGGCGGCATCCGCCATCCCAAAAACTGCGCCGAGTAGTCACAAATAGAAATACGCCACAGGGGCGCCGTCCAAACCGCTTACATATATATAAAAAGAACTGCAGTAAAATAGACATCATACCATCGAGCCTGAAGCAAATTTACAAAACGAGTCGCGCTGTTCCTTCTAATTTGCGAAAGCTCTCCCAGCCTCTCCCAGCCTCTCCCGGGCTCTCCCCTCTCCCAGCTTATAAACTTAACTGTTATTTAAGTACTAACTTGTTCGGTTTAAAAACTCCTACCGCGAGTAGAAGCAGGATTTTCAGTAGTTTTTTTCGCAATCGCCTACTTACCTCAATACTTTTCGTACAAAAACAGTTCGCTCGATACTGTAAATTTGTCTTCAATTTTGTTTGAGAAACAAGTACTTGTAGGTTCTTTTGTAATCTGCATCAACACCTATTTCGTGTTTAGTTCTTGTTCTTGGCTTAGCTCGACCTCGAACGAAATAAACCAGTGGATATTCCATTTTTGCTCGGCAAGCGCGTTGCCTCGAAAACAAGTTCAAGTTCTGCGAAAAGGCTCTTAACAAAAGCAAAAAAGTTCTTCAGAAGATTGAGATTCTTGGAAGTACAGATCTTCCTGTCTCTACTAGTTCTGCTGCGATACTGCAACTTAAGTCCACCCTACAGCATGAAATCCAACCTTGTTAGAATCGCAACTCCCTCCTTAAAATCAAATCACGATCGAGCTCGCCCCCCTGGAGAACAGGTTCCCGATGTTCGGCAGAACATTCCCGAACCCGAGGTGGCTCGCGCCGGACAGCCAGTCGGAGAACCATGGGCAGTCCGGGATGGGGGTCAGCGGCGTGTGAAAGCCGACTTTCCACAAGCCCACCCCGAAAATCGACGCCAGCCCGACGAACCCGAGCTTCTTGAGCAGGTTGTACCACGGGGGGCGGTGCTCCGGTTTCATGTCCGCCATCACCAAGGCCATGAGAAAACCACCCAAAGCGCCGCCGAAATGGCCGTAGAGATCCATGTTCGGCGTCATCCCCGACATAGTGGTGACAGACACCAGCATGAACAGAATCCAGATCAGCGTGCGATCCCGGTTCTGCCCGAGCAGCTCCTATCAAATGCAAATATGTGTGGGTCTGGATCTGGAAGCTTGTAATGCTGAATCGTCAATAGTGAATGCTCTGTAAAAATGCAAGGCCAAGCATGAGAAATAGTTGCGCGGTTTCGCGTTGCGTTTTCCGCATGACGAACTGCGTTTTTGCATGACAAGCAAAAGAGTCTGTTCTTGGACACGCATCACAAACTCTTCTGTCATACTACACAAGCATGACAAACCTGGCATCCTTCCAAGAGACCCGGACATGTTTGCAATCCATAGCTCCCACGACATCACGATTTCCGCAATCCACACGCCGATAAGCCTGTTTTGATTTGTTTTTGATTTTTGTTCGTGATCGTGCATGACAAAGACGTATCGTCGTAGCAAAACCGCAATACAAATGTTGCTACAAGAACAGGACAAACTATACCCAAACCCCGCCGTGGACGCCCCAACAGCTAATTTGAACGGATCGAGCATGACCGAGATCAGGTTCCCGATCACTCCGCACATAACGTACAGGGACCGCATCTTCGATTTTCCGAACTGTCGCTCCTATCAAATGCAAATATGTCTGGGTCTCGACTGTCGCAAGACTTGTCATGCATGTTTTCTATGACGCATGAGGTCTGTCATATATGATCTAGCATGACAGATTCTGCACGACCTCTATCATGCCTCGCCTGCATGAGAAACTGCCTCTCAACTTGGTCAAAAGTGGGCAGCTTTTGGTAATCACGAAACACAGATTTTTCATTTTTGCACTATCCAGAATTAGCATTACAAGTTCCAGCGTTTCAGACCCAGAAATATTTGCAGTTGATAGCTCCATGCCAAACCCAATTCTTAACTGGAAGAACACGTTGAAGTATCCTAAACAAAAACGTCCCCACCCCATAGTCTTCAAGTTGGGGATCTAGCAACACAAATCTCCGTCCAAGTTTTGGGAGCTGCGCATGACAAGTTTTCCTCTGCAGTGTAGTGCTGGTTGGCAAGGGAAGAAGCATGAGAAAGCCACTTTCTCATCCCGTAGTTTACAGCATTACAAATTCCAAAACGCAACTGGAAACGCATCTCATGGAGCTGCGCATTATAAATCGATTCCTGTCGTTGCACATTTGCATCACAACTCTGGGGTGGGGGGCACGTTTTTTCTGACGATATGAAAAACAAGTGCATCATGTTCGCATGCAGCATCATCGGGCACAGTAACCGCCAAACCTGCCCCCGGGCCAGCGCGGGGCCCCAGGAAGCGCCGAGCATGTACCTGGTGGTTTTATGAAGAATTATTTGGTGATGTGTTTGCATTCGCATATTAGATGGCTCTTTGTGTTTCTTCTTCTTGTGAGGATGATTTTTTCATCTTGCAAGAGCGGTTGCATGGCGTAGTTCCCATGACAAAACACCACCTTGAAAAAGAAAACCGCGATCATCCGAATCACAGAATGAAGAACGAAATAGCGTTGTATCAAAAAAAGTACAGTGCACAGGGCGTCGGGTTTGCTTTCTGGTGGCCGATGAACATGGTAAAGCCGAAGGCCGCCACTTGCGCCAGCGTCACATTCCAGATGAAGGTGTCAGAGTCGAAGCCCGGGAAGATCAATTCCATAAACTGGTCCTCTTCCTTTGGCAACGGCTGCCCGGTCGTCGGGTGCGTCAGCGCCTGCGACCCGGTGCTCCCCGGGCCGGGGATGGTTTTGATCTGCCGGTTGTTATATGCATCGCAAATATGTATGGCGGGTCTGGAAGATTTGTAGATTTGTAATGCATGTCTGACATGGCTTGAGACTCTGTGATGCAGGGGCACGAAAAGGTCCCGCCCCTACCCGTCATGCAAAAACGCGGCTTGCCATGCGGAGTACGAAACACACAGCACCCCAAAAAATTGTCATGCTTGGCTGCGTACTGCAGTAGCAGTGCGACTCTCATTCATTTTTGGCATTACAACTTTCCACACCCAGACATATTTGCATTCGATATGTTATACTGGATTTTCGAGGGCGGCGGCGCTGGGACCATCGCGTATCCTGAGTAAAAACATCCCCACACCAGAGTCAAGATGGGGACTTTGCAACACAAACCTAGAACTTTGGGGGGTCACGCATCACAAGCTGCAGTCCGTAGTGTAGTGCAGGTTCGCAAGGCCAGCTGCATCAGAAATCCAGCATCTGCTCATCCTGTTTACAGCATTACAAATTTCAAAACACGACTAAAAAGGTCCTCCTGGCGATGCGCATTACAAATGTTCCTGTGATTGCAAATCTGCATGACAACTCTGGTGTGGTGACGTTTTTACTCAGGATATCGCGGTGCCAGAAGCCAGGGCTAGGGGAAAGAGCGCCGCGGAAGAGCCGAAGGTTGTGGTGAAAAAACCGAGGGCCTGGGAGGTATTGGTACAGTACATGATATCATTTTCATCTCACTGCCAGTTTTCCAGTGTAAGTATACAGTTCTTCTTTTTGCACAAGGAAAGAAACTTATGAAAATGGAACCAAACAATCGACACGTCTTCATCAAAATAGAGTTCAATCGATATTACCGTTGCCGCTTTTGCCACCGTGACATTCAACATCAGCGTCTCCGCCACATGTCGCCAATACGGATCGCACTTTGCCAAAAATTTCGCGGTCTTCTTCACGTGTCTCTCCGCTTGGTAGAACTGTTTCTTACTGAAGGACGAGGAGGGGGAGGAAGTTTTAGAGCCGCAGGAAGTTGTGCTGGTGGAACTAGTGCTTCTGCACGACATTGGACTGGACGGACAACTTGTTGGAGGGGTGCTGGTCGAAGTTGATGACGCATGCTCTTCTAGAAATTGTCCATCCGCTGTGCTTGTTCTACCATTTTCCTCGCGTCCTATCAGTCGTGGAACTGGCAGCACTGGTGCACTCCTCTTCGTCTCGTGCGCGCACAGCAGCTTGTTGTTCTGGCTGTGGACTAAAAATTCGCTTGCTGGTTTGGTCATGGGCAAGGACAAATCACAACTACCCTTCTTGACAGTTGTCAACTCCTCGAATCTTCGCCGGTGTGTGGTCAAATCCTCTTCTTGCGCACCAGCAGCAGACACTGATGAAGTAGAAGTGGTTATCGTTCTTCTTGGCACGGTTAGATTGATCCGGTTGCTTCTACTAAACTCCTTCGAAGTAGATGTCGCTTGATTACAAGACCTGCCGTTCCCTAGGTCATTCCGCTGCACCGTGGTCTGAATCAGATTTTCATTCCGCTGCGCCTTTTTCGCGGAAGATGTTGCTTCTCCTCGCACTACTGCCCCTCTTGGTCTTCTTGAGGAGGTCACCCGCGTGGAGACACTGCTGGGAAATGAACCTACGGCATTCTCTTCCACAAGCAAATAACCGGAGAGTGTTCTGCTCGTTTGCTCTACCATTTCGTTGAAAAAGGAGAAGGAAGGGGCAGTCCAGAAATCATGATCCTCCATGTAGTTTTTTTCCCGGGCTTTTCGTTCTTCTTCTAGCCGGGACGACCACGGGGCAATCGGCTTGGAGAATGCCATTTTCTCTTTTTCTGTCTAAAAATCTAGCTACTTACGAATGGGTCTGGGTCTCACCATCGCAGAAATACCGCGGTGCCGCACAAGTCGTTACACGGCTGTAGTAGTGTTCTTTCGACTTTCTAAACTGCCTATTGATAGGTTGCAAATGAAACATCGAAAGAAAAACATCGAACAATTTTCAGATAACAACTACAAAACTACAACACCTTCTATTTTGCTCGACAGCTCGTGGCACTTTGAAAAAAACGCAACTCGAAAAAAACTCAACTTTGATTCAACTCGTGGCTTGTTCCTTTTCCTAGAACAAGATCAAGCCCTGTTTTGATGCTGCTGTTCTCTCGCGTGAAAATGGTTTTGAACCAATTTGACGAAAACCTTAAAATTGTTGCGAAAATCGAAGTCGAAACGAAACAAAGTCAGCAATTGGAACAGCACTCACAGACTGGGTGAAAAAACATTCCTCGCAGTCCTTCTTTGCTATTTCCAGCTCTCAGAATTATCGACATCCAATCGATGCTTCTTTTTCTTTCTCACTACTTGGCGCATTCTATCATCCGGAGGTACTGCTGTTTACATACCATTCATTTTCGCATCTCTATCACCAGTTGTTGTACTGATTACGTCTTCTACTGCATAGTAAAAATTACCATCGACAATAATTCTTCAACGGCCTGTAATAGCTTTGATCGCAGTACTTTGTCGCTCTCTGCAACATGTAGTCCTGACACCTTTTCCCCTGCCCCAACACCAAATGAAACTTCCAGCGACGTTTCACCGCGAATTCGTTGTGCCCGAACACCCGGCGCTGGGCCCAGTACCCGTGCCGGTGGTACCTCTTCCACAAACTCGGATTCAAAGTGCCCTGGGTGTTGCGCCAATTCCCGTTACGGACGTGGAGAAAGCCACAGTCGTTTTTGATGTCGTCATTGTCGAAATCTGCTGCACTTGGTGAGTCGGTATTTTTAAAGTGGTTCTCCGGAGTCGACGACCCTATCTCCGCGGCGAGAGAGGGGAAAGGAAAAAACATCGGTGGTCCATTGTTGCTCTCGTCGTTCGCGTGGTTGTTCCTGCAGACTGTACTGCTCCTCAGGAACGCCGCGTAGAAAATGTTCAGTGCTGAGAAAAGGGATGTTGACGTCCAGAGGTTGGGAGCCAAATAACCTAAACAATTTCCATCCGGAACCTCAACCCAGGACCAGGAACAAGACAAGCTTGACTTACTCAGTTGTCCTCGCGGCGCTGATTGCCAGACACGCTGAGAAGTCCGCCCAGGCGCAAGGACGAGTTTTTCAAGCAGACGACGGACGAGGTTCGACATAATTTCTGTTTTTGCAGTGTCGTAGCCGAGGATCGTCTTTTGGAACAAGAATGACGTAAACCGTTTTTCCGACACAGTCTGGTGCTATCTATCAGTATGTTTGAACAAGTGGACTGCTCCTCTTTGAAGTAAGTACTTACTGATGATGTCCTTGGGGTACTACGTACACTCGATCAGTTTAGGTGGTCGGTGAAGCCAGTATATTGACCCGAAAGACAAGTGGTGCTGTCTGGAACAACCAGGACGGCAGTTTCTTCAACACTTGCACCGTGTCCCCAGGAGCTTCCTTCGGCCCCACAGAATTGGCGGCGTGCGCAATCGCACTGTGTGCAAGCTGCTCGTCGGTATGTCGAAGACACAATTGATGCCCGTGATGGATATGCTGCTCACGTAGTTCTTCACCGCATGATTTCAAAAAAACGAAACTTCGGATTGTAGTCCCTTCTTCCACCGCGTCTTCTTCATGTAGTAGATGAGTGCGAAATAAGTCAGCTCATATGCCATGGAATGTTACGAAACGTCTTGAAACTTTTGAAAAAAAAGTGGTGATGTCAAAGAATAAATCAATGATGATACATAGAAACGGTGCAGACAACTCACTCCAGCTTCAGCTTGGAAACGGACAAAATTACCCTTCGACGTCCTCAACAGGCCCATGTTTTACCAGCAATGCGATGTAACTCTCGGCGGATTCCCGGTTCGCAAAAATTTCGTCGTAGGTGGCGCTCAGCACCGGGTTTTTTTTTGCTGTAGGACCCTGCTGGGGAGCCACTGCATCTTCTTCCGCATTTTTGCTTGGCAGTGAAGATGAAGATGATGCTGAAGATGATCCACTTGATGTCCCTCTGCTCACACCTTTTGGGCGGCTATTCCGTGATGGTTCATCTTCAAGAGTGGTAGCGGTAGTTGATGTGCGGTTGGTCTTGGTACAAGCGGCGGCAGTAGATGGAGAATTCTGCTGATTTTCCTCTGTCGTGTTCGTGTTCTCCGTGTTTGTCTTTTTGTTTTCATTTTCCATGCTGCTCTGCATTTCCTTTGCGTTATTTTCTAACCCAGCGGTTTCGGTCTCCCCCGACGTCCCCGTCCTCTGCCTCTCCTCGGCCATCTTTCGCACATGTCGCGAGATCCTTTTGCGCAGCAGCGCAGCCCGCAGCTGCTGTTCGATTCGGCTGCACCACCGCAAGTGGAGAGCAGCCACCGGGGGAATATTGTTGGAGCCCGAAGAATTTGGAGCAGGTTCAATAAATCTGCTCGTTACAACCGTGGTTCTCCTTTCGCCGTCGAGATGGACAGCGGCGGTGTAATTTCGGAGGGTAGTTAGCCCGCCACTGTCAACATCTTGTGATGTGTCAGCAACATGATGATCTGCCGTTCTTGAATTTGATTGCTCCAATTTCAATATTTCCTTGTCCTCCTGCTTCATCTTCGCGGCCGTCTTTATTTTCGCGGCCATTCTTTTCGCGTACACCAATTGTTCGAAGAAAAAGTGTCGCTTCACCTCCTCCATCGAAACCAAGCCGCAGAACAATTCGGGCTCCGTGAGAAAAGCAAACGACAGCGGCCCGCCCTGTTGGAAGCGCACCCAGAAAGATGCGAAATTCCCGTGAAAGGGAGCCACGCCGGTGCCTGCGTACCGCGTCGGGAGTGTGGTTGCCGCACCCGCGAGAGCCCAAATCCGATCGAATTCGGTTATTTTTCGCGATTCGGTTATTTGTTCATCGGATGCTTGTTTTGTTTTTGACAACAGCAGTAGATCTGGTTGATTTACTTTTGATTCCGCTCTTTTCTCGGGAGAAGCAGAAGTAGAGGAAGAGGACCTACTGCTAGAACTGGTAGCGCTGGCAACTACGCCAGTCCCAGTGGAAACCTCCGCGCAACTGCGCAACACCAGCTCCCGCTGTCTCCGTACCTCCGCGTGCCAAATTTTGTACTCCAAAAACGCCGGGAGACCAAACAAATTGGAGTTACTGAACAAGAGACATTTATTTTCCGATGGTAATTGTTCTAATTTCAATTCACTGAGAGGTCGTGGAAAAGAAGCGCCACTAGTGGTCCTCGTCGTGTTGTTTTCTTGATTTCGTTTATCTTCCTGGCGCTTTTGCTGCTCGTTCCTCTTACGAATCATCTTCTCCGCGATTGGATTATTTCGTTCGTTCCTCTCCCCTATGCCGCCCAAAAGTTAGTGTGCTGGTGTCAGTGAAATTGCAATAAGTACTGTATCTGCATGACAAAGCAGCCTCCCTGTCGGATGTAGCATCACTAGAAATCGCACTTTTGCTTTTTCTCTTAAGCATCATGCGTCCGAAAACAATTTCTTAATTTGCAGTGCAACGATTTATCCGTACCAACACCCTACTTTTGCAAGACATATTCTCAAAGTAAAAGCTCGCGAATAGGTGCTCCGGGTCTTGCCACAAATCCGCGTAGAGTTGCTTGCACGTTTGCGCAAAATTGAACAGGTCGGAGTAAATTCTGATGGAGAAAAACTTCTCCGGGAAAGTTCCGTCGTGCGAGCTGGAGGAGAAAGACGACAGTGGGAGACTGGTCAGCACGTCCTCTGCCTCGAATTTCAGTGTTCCGCCGAACCCATCCGGTATGGTCAGAATAGTATCACCTTGGTCTTTTGCACTTTGATGTGGAGAAACTGCTGGAGATGGTGAAGGGGAGGAAGAAGAAGAACCGTGAGCAAGACGTTGAGCAGCATTCATCTCATTTGCTTGTTCGTCTTCTCTGTGCCTGCTGACAATCCTCTTCCTCATTCTGGTATGTTCGTTTGCATCAATTTTACCCCTGCTCCTATCACTGGTGGATCTCCGTTGAATCTCTTCCACACTTTCCGCTTCATTATTCGCATCCCGACCGAGAAACCCGGTAAAAAATTCGTGAATGTCGTGTTCCAAATTCTGCAGCACATAACTGGGGCCGAAGAAATCCAGCCACGGAACCAGCTGCTTCTCCGACAGGGGACGGTAGTATGTTGATCTTTTACCAGTAACACCTGGTCTACTTTTGCCGAAAAACTGCAATTTAACCTCAGGTCCGACGAAGCTCGCGATCTCAAAAATCAGCTCCAGTGGCAAATCTGTGAGCGACATTTTCCTGTTTGCGATGTTGAAGGAAGGGTTTTTTTCCTCCTCATCATGATTACCGTCCTCACAACTTTCCTGATCCGTCTCTGATATCACTTCTGCAAGTATGTCGGGTGTACCGCCACAGCTTGTGCTGCCGTTGCTCGTTGTGGAGGTTGAGGTATGAGTTTCATCTCCCTCGCCACCATGATCCTTTAGCCGCGCTACCACAGAAGGTGATTTGTCACAGTCGCTCACATTCGGAAGATTAGCGCTTTTGATGTCGAGGTTGCCGTTGCTCTTCTTGTTTTTCGCACAAAAATCATTCGCACTTGGAGCAGGTTCTTTTGTGATGAGCCGCTGTTGGTCGTCTCCTTCTGCGTTCGTGGAGGTTGACGGGGGCTGGGTCGTAACTTTTCTCCAATAGAACTTCTTCTTCTTCTTTCCCTTCGCTTCATTCTTCATGTAGCAGGTAGTATCCTCTCCTGCGCCCGTGGTCATCGAAGGCCGCTGGGTCGTGACTTTTCTCCAGGAGTACTTCTTTTTACCCTTCCCCTTGCCCCCATTTGCGTCGCCGGTATTGGTTTGTCGTGCGAAAGACGTTGGTGCGGAGGACATATTTGGCTTTCGTTTTTTTTGGCGGATCTGCTGTACCTCAACGATAGCACGACGGACGCAGCAGTGCTTGTTGCTGATTCTGGCTGGGGAACAGGGTGCAACCCGTGGTCCGTAGAAGTTGAAAGTGGCACTGTACCTTCACGACAAGCAGGTTGTCAAGAAGACGGGGGAAACTCAAAGTTCCGTGAAGAAGACGCAGAAAAGGGCAACACTCCGAGAGCTTCGTTTTCCGTGGTGAAAACTCAATGACAATGCAGCAAACCAATGAAAATAGTATCCTTCGCGTTTAGCAGACAACAGAAACAGAGACAGAGTTTTTGCGTTTCGCAGACAACAGATATACTTTACGTTTCGCAGACAACAGATTTGTTTCCCTAGAATTTTTTGAGTTGAGATTGTGAAGTGAAGAAATAGAAATTAGTCCTTCCAGTCCCAGTGCAAGCAACAATTACACGATTATCATCACGACGTAGAGCATAAACCAGAACGCGGACGAAGCGGAAACCACGACGCTACTGCAGCCTGACACTTGACAAGTAGTATCCATACATAGCGAACACTTTTCCTCGCTGCAGCTGTTGCGCCCTTGCATACTTCAGCGACATCGCCCGTCGCACTCTCTAGAGACGTTTTATGTTTCTTTCCGCGGATCTTCGCGCTGACGCAAGCAGATTCCCAGTAAAACTAAGTAATCGACAGTCGCTCCTGTACTCACTTCTTCATCTGAAAAGCAAAAGTCACTTCCTCTTCTTTTCATGTTTCTTCTCCTTTTTATCCCTACTTTTCGACCTGGATTTTTTCCGCTTTCGGCTCCTGCTTCGGCTTTTATTGTGCTTTTTGCTTTTCGCCTCCCGGCCACGGTCTCGTGACCTAGACCGCGATCGCCTACTGTACTCGCGGTCTCGATCACGATCTCTAATGTCCCGAGGATTATGGTCTCTGTCGCGCCTAGAACTACCTCCGTCTCTGGAAGACGGATGTTGAGCGGCGTCGTCCGGGTGGAGGTACTGTCTGGAAGAAGACGAAGGAATTGGAATTGCGTTTGGGTTATCTGAAGCGCGATCCTTTCCAAAACCGAAGAAATCGTCCTTTCCTTTGCCCTTCTTCCCCTTTCCTTTTTTCCCGTTCAACGCGAGGAAAGGGTTGTCCAGCTTGTAGTTTTCACTGCTGTTACCCCCGGAGGGCAACCCCTTCCCTCCCTTCATCCCCGCTATTTCATCCGCGGAAATTCTTCCGGATTTGAACTGCGAGAACTGTTTCGACACGGACTGCGAAAAGTCGCAGTGGATTCTCCTGCCGTCCACCAACACCCCCTGCATCTTGAAAAAGGCCTCCTCGCAGTCGCGCTCGGCTTCGTACTCAATAAATGCGTACTGCAAGCTATCCCCGGTTTTGAAATCCCGAATGATCTGGCAGGACCGAATTAACCCGAACCGCTCGAAAAGGAGCTGCAAATCTGAATCCTGCGTCACCGGGTTCAGATTTGCGATGAACAGCACATTGTCCGGGGGTTTCATATCCGCATCGGGTAAGTCATTTAACAGTTCCAGTGTTATCGCCTGCGATTTCGCGTCTGCCTTGCGGATACGGTCGAGCTGCGCCTCCGCGTCCTCGTTTTCCTCCTGGAGAAGATCTTCGATTTGCTTGTCGAGAATTTCCGCTGGGGACTCGTAACCTGGATAAGTAATTAGAAGAGAGTTCCTGAAGTTGGGCAGTCAGACAACAATTTCATTTCCAAACGCGGCCCCTGCATGACAGACAGAACCAGTCATGCGTCGGCCCACAGAGAAAAAAACAAGAGAAGTTTGCCTCATCTATGTACTCAAATACCGTCCTCATCCGCAATATCGTCGAACGGATCATCCAGCACAATGACGTGTTTTATCCTTACGTTTTGGAACGGCCGCTTGTAGTGATCGACCATCACCTGGTTCACTTTGTCCAGTACCTCCAGCCCCTCCTCCTCCGCGATCCGGCCGAAAATTGTGTGCGCCCCATCTAACCGCTCCAGGTCCTCGCGCAACGTCAAGTACACCCGATTCCCATTGCTGTCCGGGGACTCGGTGGCCATGGCGAGGATCCCCTTCGCGTCGTGGACAATGTCTTTGTGGATTTCATCGTGGAAGAACTTTTTCGCGTGCTTCTCGTTCCCTAAAATGTAGTTCCAGGCACTGCAATTCTCGTTTTGCTGTTTTCCCGTGGAGGCGCCGAAAAACGCCAGGTAGTCCTTCTCGATTTTATCGAAAACCACATTGTTGTAGAACTTCGCCTTGCAGAGTTTGAGAAAATTCTGGCTCGCTTTGGGGCAGTCTTTTACCAACAAGTCGATGACGATGTCGCCGAGGGAAGTTTCGAGCAACACGGACATGGTGGTTTGGTTTAGTATGAAGGGGAGATCGGGCTTTTCATAGAATACGTCTGCGAAGGGAGGTAAGTCGAACTTCTGTTTTGTCGAAAGGTGAAGCTTGTCCTTACATTGTACTAGTACTTACGCTGGTTGCCCCGTCCTATTTCTACTAAACCTCGTTACTGATCCTTGTCCTCGTCGTGCTAGAAATTGTCGCTGTCAAGAACAAATGGATGCTGTAAGTTTCACGGAAAAAGAATACGGCTATGCAGCAAGCAACAGCTGTGCTGGAAAAGCAATGCGAAAAGATGATCTCTTCTCTGAAAAGTAGAAGTCTTTTCTCTGAAAAGTAAAACCTGCTTCTTTAGATCTACCTTGGAACTTCGACAAAGAAAGATCGGCTTCGCTTTCGAAGAGAATTCCACTGAAGGTAAAGGACCTGATCTCACTCTTCGTCATGACTTTATTGCTACTGCTACACGATAGATTGGAACACTGTGTCAAAGCTCATGAGTGCAGAAGTATCGGTAGAGAAAATTCCTTCTTCTGATTTTCATTTCTGTTCTACTTCGTGCCATTCCATAATGCAACCCGATCTGAAGGCTTCAAGAACTACAATCATTAAAGATGCGATTTGGATACGACCTGACTAAGTTGTACTGCAAGACAAGACACTCTCTCCCCCTCCTACCGCGAGAGAGGAATCAGAGCCGAGGATTCGGAATTCAAACTCCCCACCACCCCCAATGACTTCATGTCCACCACTTCTGTCTCCGCCCAGTTTCCCGCGATGCCCTCCACCGGGTAGAAAAACCGGTCCAAACTCCTCGACTTCCGCACCTTCCGGCCCAGCAACTCCAAAGTCGCTTGGTAGGCGTTTCGGCTGGACCCCAAGTTCGGACACACGTTCTCCAGCTGGTGTTGCGTGTGCAGTACCGTGGCGGACCCGAGCCACGAAATCTCCGGTTGCGTGTACAGATACCAGCACCGCACCCGCTGCGCCTCATACTGCATGCGCTCGAGCTTCCAGACGGGAATGGATTTCATATGCATTGCAAATATGTCTGGGTCTGGAAACCTGTGATGCAAGTCAGTCAATGACAAATGCACTGTAATGCGCTGCCAAGCATGACAAGTTTTTTCGTGCTTCTGTTCTGCGTATTCCGCACGAGAAATGGGTTTTTGCATGACAGGCGAGAGAGGCTTTTTGTGGCCACACAATACAGAGTTAAGGGTGAGGGTCATGCCAAACCAGCATGACAAGTCTCGCAACCTTCCAGACCCAGACATATTTGCAGTTGATATTTCAAGTAGTCGTACAACTCGTTCATTTTCGCTACGGGAAATTTGATGACGAATTTTGTCACGTCGAACAGGGATTCAAACGGCGTTTCAAAGTGGTCACTGAGTATCACCGGCACGCACCCCGCCCACATGGTCTCGAAAAATCGGACGGACCAGGCGGCTATCAAATGTAAAAGTGTCTGGGTCTGGAAGATTGCCAGGTTTGTCATGCACATTTTGCATGACTCCTGATGTCTGTGATGCATGCCCTAGCATCACAGATTTTATTGTGAGGGCTTCCTGATGCCTATACCGCATGACAAATGCTCTTTCCGTGTAGCAACACTTGGACTCTCTTTGCTGCTCATGCAATACAGATCTTTTTAGAATCCAAAATCAGCATGACGAGTTGGATTCTTCCAGACCCAGACATTTTTACAGTTGATAGCGGCGCGGCCCCGGGGCACCAGACAAAACCGGCTGTCGCCCATCAGAGAATACATTTGCCGGCTGTTCAACAATTGCGACATGGACTCCTCGGCGTGGATCTGGCAGTCCTCCTTCGCGCCGAAGATTTCTTTCACGCTGTTCCTATGCATTGCAAATCTTTTTGTCTGGGTCTGGTGGATTTCTGATGCGAGATTTGAAGCACAACAAGATCTGTGATGCATGAATACCAGTGCCCAACTATTTGATCGTGCTGGATTTGGTAGCTGCTGAAGAAAACTTCTCATGCTGTGATGCCGTACAGACGGCCACCCTGCAATGCAGATATCAGCAACACAAATTTCCAGACCTAGAGATAGTTGCATTTGATAGTTCCGCACCGCATACGCTTCCGCCACGTCCTGCCACAATTTTCCCGCGAAGGAGCAGAAAATCGTTCTCGCGCGTAGAGGTTTGTTGAACGTGAGCAACCCCAGGACATTATCCTAAGTAAGAATGTCCCCACCCGCCCATAGTTGTCATGCACATCTGGATGCTGAAAATGTTTCCCATGCGGAGCCCCATGGGAAGACTTGGATAGTCGTGCTTTGGAATTTGTATTGCTCCAACCAGCATAGTGGGCTAGATCTGTGATGCTGCTAAACGACCTGAACAAGATTACACTACGAGCAACCCAAGCGTGTCATGCGCAACAACCTAAGCTGGCTGATTTGTGTAGCAGATTTCCCATCTTGACACTATGGGGTGGGGACGTTGTTACTCAGGATACACGTGTTTGAACTCCATATAGGGAGGAGTGACGATGTCCTTTCTCGTGTCAAACACCGGCTGGAGCAGCGGGTCGTAACCCAGCTCGTCGATGGACAGCTCAAACCCGACCTCGGTCTCTGGCGTCAGAAAAATCGCGTTGGGGATGAATTTTCGCCAGCTCCGGAACACGTCTTGGTAATGGAAGGTGAAAATGTGGTCCCGCCCGTTGTTCCGTTTTAAATAGGGTAGATCGCTCATCAACTTGCTGTAAATCTCGTCTAGTTTGTCCAAGGAGTACAAATTGGCGACCTGGAGACAGAGTGCGAAACCCGGGACGAAAAAGAAATCCGCTTCTTCGTATTATGAGTAAAAACGTCCCCACCCTAAGAGTTGTCATGCAGATTTGCGATTACAGAGAGATTCGTAATGCGCATCTTCATGACAGGCATTTCCAATCGCATTGTCGAATTTGTAATGCTGTAAACAGGATAAGCAGATGGGTTTGTGATGCGATTGTCCTTGCTAATATGCACTACGCTACGGACTGCAACTACTTCTCATGCGTGGCTCCCAAAACTTGTGGATTTGTCTTGCTAGGTTCCCAACTTGACTATGGGGTGGGGACGTTTTTACATATGATACTTCGGGGTCTTTCGTCATCTCGGGCGCCTGCCGGAAGAAATCGTAGAACCCGACGTCCGAGCCCCACGGTATGCATTGCAAACACGTCTGGGTCCGGAAGAGTGCGAAGTTTGTCATGCTCGGCCAGCATGACTCTTAAGGCTGTCATGCACATTGCCCAAATAGAAACACCCCTCCAGTGCTCGTCTGTCATGCAAAAACACAGCTTGCCATGCAGAGTCGGCAACACCTAGCAACCCAAAAACTTGCCATGCTTGGCTCTCAATTGCGGCGTTCTCACGATTGATGTCGAACCCGCATTACAAGTTTCCAGACCACCCAGCCGTATTTGTATTCGTTACACTGTCTCCGGTGGCAAAAGGACGCGCCAGTGGTCAGTTTCCCAATTTCCTTGCTGAAGCCGTATCAAATGCAAATATGTCTGGGTCAGGAAACTTGTGATGCTACAATGTGCATGATGAAACCACTGCCTTATGCAGAAAAGCATGACAAGTCTGTAGAACGCTTTCTCATACAAACCCCGCATGAGAAACTGCGCTTTTGTATGACATGAGAGGCTACGACTTCTGTCGGTCATGCAATACAGATTTCACACTGATGTACGACCAGCATTTACAAGTTTCAACTTTCCAGACCCAGACATATTTGCAATGCATAACCCGTCGTCATACACGAAAATCCGGACCTTCGTCTGTGGCACGTTTTGGATTGGCGTACCCGTGTAGGCGTGAAAGGGGGTGGATTCCCAACTTGGTATGTCGGCAAACTGCCGCCGGCTGCGCTGGGAAAGCTGCCGCTTGAGCTCGTCGCGGTACACTTGGCCCCCGTCTTCTTCGGTCGTGGTGACGTTGGTCAACAGGAAGTGCTGTCGGTATTTTCGTACGTTGTAGAGGATTTGTGCTCGGAGGGTACGGAGTTCGACGTCCTTCAACGGCCAGGCGGAGTCTTCGTAGAATTGCGGCGTCATCTGGGTTTTAGTGTTTTGCAAGGTTGCTCCTATTGTCGGAAGAGCGATTGTCGAGCCTGTTGAAAATCTATCATGTGCTGTTTGTCGTGCAAGGGAAGCGACAGATTCTAATTACCACGGTAACACTATGCATCACAAAAAATGCTTACCCCTTCCAGAAAACCGTCGTTCAGCATCGCGAAGTTTACCAGCGTGTATGGAACAGTAAGCCAATTTTATTTGAGCTGCCTGCACGGATACACTTTTAATGCCATCGTACTAGGCCGTCTTTCTCATGCAGATGAGAATTACACGACAACGAGCAGAATACTTCCTTGCGACGTAAACACCTATTTGTAGCAGACCCTGCATGATAAGACCAGCTTATTTCTGGCGCTCAGAACTAGTACCTCGCTTCCACTTTTCTTATCGTCCCGTGAAAGCTCCCTCCGTTCCACGCATTCCAGATGTTGAACAGAAACAGGGAGTAAGCCCCGAGCAGGCACGCATCGTCATTGTTCAGCAAGTCATTCAGCCCGTAATTCCGCATAAAAAACCCCGCCAGCGCGATCCTATTTTGGTGCAGCTGCGCGGAAGAGCAAATGCGGGTGGGTAACGGCTCTGCTATTTCTTCCTGGTCGTTCAACACATTTGCGGCAAGTTCCGCATCAGTTTCCTCCTCCGCACCCGTAAAGAAAGCCGCTTCCGGGTCGTGAAATGCAGTAGCACTTGCTGCAGTTCTTGTTGCGCCACCCCTGAACGACGTCGTAGTTCCCTCTCCCGTATTACTACAGGCATCATTGAGTTGCCGGAGCACATCGGACCAGAAGGTCGATTTTGTGCAATTCGGATCAGCGTACAGACCGACGGTCAAGGGGTCGGTCACATGCTTGTCCGCAATGTGGGCGTCGTAAGCGTGCGCTATTTCCGCGGCGTCGTGCAGCACCACCACCGTCGAGATTGCAAACAAGGGAGACACAAAACTACGGCGACGTCGCCGACGCTTACGCAAACGCATTTTTCACAGAAGGTTTTGACGGGGATGATACTAAATGACAAGAGGCTCAAGTAAGAAGTATTCTTTGTAGCATCCTTTGAAAAAATTGCACATCGACGACTTAAGTAAGTACATACTTAGGGTTGACACCTCAAAAAAAAACAAGTAATCATCGAGGGATAGGCTGCGCTTCAGCAGCGTACCAACAAACTAAAGAAGCGGCTTGTGAGTAGAACGAAAGAAACGGCTTCTCAGTAGAACGAAAGAGGCGGCTTCTCAGGAAGAGCCGGCCTCTCAAGTGATGTGATCTTGGTGTGTGATCTTTAAAATTTTCGTTTTCCGAACTGTGCGAGCGAAGCAAATGCCAGGAACCAACGTGACCGTCGGTCTCTTCCGATGAGAAACGAACCGATTTCCAGAAGAAGAGAAGAAAAGAAATGAATCGCTGAAGGCTTACGTTCCAAACGAAGAAGCAGCCGCGTCAAAAAGTACGCATCCATGGCTATTCAGGCGGTACTGGCAAAAAAGTCAACTTCTCATTAAGTAAGCTTCTACGCTTTTGCTTTACAAAGGAGTCCGGGCCACAGAAAAATGAAACTCTTGAAAGAAAGCTGAAGTTGCGAGGTCGTACTAGCAAAGACCCCCGGTCCTACGCTAGGAGCAGCATGAACGGTAAACCCGCATGACAAGAGGACATGGACAGCCTGTGAACAACCGAAGAGTTCCCGGCGCAAGACGCACTTTGGATTTGGTCCGCCGTGGTGTACATTATTTTTTCATCATCTTCCATGTGCTGTACAATTTTCATTTGAAATTTTTGGTCCGCTGAGTAGTTTCTTTTGCACTTGCAATAGTGATTTCGTCATGACAAAAAACACTTGTTGATAGCTTTATTTGCATTAACAACATCTGGCGCATCCCATCCGCTAAAAAGACGTATTTTGAAAAAGTTACAACTCTGATTGGGATATCTTATTTTTTATTCAGTACAAACAAAACTCGGATTTGAAATTCAACTTTGCCCTCGTCGTCAAAAAAAATCGTCGACTCCGGAGAGTACTGGGTTTTCCGTGGCAGCCGTGTCGGAAAGAAGACTGATCTTGGGAGAAGGACGTCAGGTATCGCATGCAAATACGTCTTGGTCCGGAGAACAAAAGGCGCAAGCTTCAAACTTGTGATGCTCTCTGCCAGTCACGCGAAAATCTGTCATGCACGAGCAGAAAAAACTTCAACTTTTGGCCACACTGAGAGAGGGTTTCTCCTGCTGAGAAGGCATTGCAGAGCCCTCGCAGAACCTGTGATGCTAGGCTCCGCATTCCAGACCTTCTGGACCATGCAATCTCTGCATGACAAACTCCGCAGTTATTTGCCTGGCCCAGACGTGTTTGCATTTGATATCAGGAGCGAGTAAGCGATTGGTATTTTTATTTGCTTCCTAATGTTCACTACAAAAGACACTTCTGGCCTTGTTCTTTCTCGGAAACAAAATTCATTGGCTTGTTTTTCAGCCTGTATTTATATTCAATGCGAAACTTGTACAACAACAATCTGATCAGGTAAACGAAAAAAATGAAAGTTGAGAGTGAAAATCTCAAAAAGGCATTAATATACTTACTTACACTACAATCAAATCCAAATTGAATTTCGGTTTTTCTAAAACCGCTCCACGCTCAGACGTTCGCGGTAGACCCGTTAATCCGCTTGCCAGTTTCCGTTCGCTGGTCATCCCCTTCGACCCCGTTCGAACCGTACTGGTTTTGGCGGGTCGTTGTCGTGGACGACGCACTGATATTGGAGAAAGAGCAAGAGCTGTGATTTCACTAGATCATTCCTGACGTCACACGAACAACAAATCGACAACAGCAGCATGTATTGTCTCTGACAACAGATCCGTTAAAAGTAGTCTCTACCTGAAAAATCCCAATCCATTCGACGAAGTCTGCGTCTCCCCCTCCATACCCAGATCGGCCGCGGAAAACGGAAGGTTATGGTCGCCCGACAGGTTGTCGGCCGCACCACCGAGTTGCAAATTCTCTGTTGAGTCGCTCTCGCTCAGGTCGGGGGAAGGTAACCTTTTTTGATGAAGCAATTTTTGACATGCTCATATATGGCAATATGAACGCATGAAGACTTGTGGTCGTCAGGTTCTGTTTCCTCAGAAGTGGAAGAACAAGTAGAAAAATCGTGTAAGGACCCCGCCTTTTCCTCGTCGTAAAACGGTTCCTTCGCGTCAAACGTCGGGCTTTTGTTCATGGTTTCGTCCCCCGCGACCGTGGATGACGTGCCGTCGCCTCGGCCGAATTTCATCCATTTCCCCACAATTCGACCGCTGGGGGTTGTCTTGTTGTCGGTGGAAAATCCCGCGCCGAAGTCGCCATGTTCGGGCACCATTTCTTTCACACTGATTTTTCGGATTCAATTGTGATTGTCTCTGATGTCTTGAACCCATACGAAGCTGCGTCTACGACATGCGTTCCACCGACCATCAGCACGAAGTTCATGCACAGCAGATGCAAATCAATCGCTTCATAGAAAATTTATACGCGTTTCCCCCGCCTCCCTCACATTCCTTCCCGACGCGCGATTTCGCAGACAACACACTCCCGACAGATTTCCGAGCCGTGCTTTCCACCGAGCCGTAGGAAGTTGAGGTAGAAGTTTTTGATGTCTCCAAAATCTTCTTCCTTGCGGCGGAACCTTCTAAATCCTCCTCTTGAACACGACCATCCTCGCCACCAAAACCGGCATCGTTTGATTCTTTTCCCTCTTCCTGCAAAATCGAATCCTCCAACTCCAGACTCCCGGAAATTTCTTCGCCCTCGTCACCGATGCTTCTTCGCTTGATCCTCATCTTCGCTGCGTTTTTCGGGCAAAGCGTCGCAGCAATTTTTTTCCGCAACAGAAACACGAAGAACGCCACGATGAGCAGGAACGTAACGTACAAGACGACCTCGCTGTGGTTCACGCGGTTCTGGAAGATGGCGGAGACGAAGCTTTGCAGCACTTCCGAAAACGGAGAAGCAATGCTGGTTTTCGCTTGCAAATTCGGCAATGGTGACTGCAATTTCATTTCCGCAGAACTTGGAGTAGAACTGCGGATGGTCGGATTGTATCCGACTGTTTCTTGTTCCGCGTGGATACCTGCAGCTTCGTTTGTGCGCGTCGAGGACGGCGCGGACGTAGCGGATGCTGATGTTGTCGCTGGGCGCTCTACTTCCGCCCCCGGCGAGGTGGGCATCGGAGCTGCTTTGGCTGTTTCAAGCGCGGACGAGGCGGGGGAAGAGGCAGGAGACGCGCCGTCGTGCTGTTTGATATCGAATGCCTCGCCTTTTACAGCGCCGTATTCACTCAGCTCCGCCTCTTCGACGAAAGCGAGATTTTCCGGCCCAGCTCCTGCTCCGCCGGTCCCCGGCTTCTCCTTACCGTGTCCGTGCCCTTGATCTTCGCCTCGTAATAGAGAGACCATCGCGCGACGTTGAAATTCCATCGTGACTGCTTCACCCTCGTGCTTGTACCTATCCCATCCGCCGTGCACTTTTCTCACCATTGCTTTCGAGAGCCTGTCATTCAGATAGCCGACAAAAAGTTTTCGTTCCACTGTTCTTTCGGAATCGTTAGCTTTGTCCATCACTTTCAATTTCCCTGGGTCACTCCCTGGCTCCGCCAGAAACATGTCGAGAATCAAAAAACTATTACCGTCGGCATTCTCGGTCACCGTTACTCCGAGTCCCTTGAAGTACGACCAAACCTGGGTTGTTACTGTAAATTCACCTTCCTTTGCGCTTTCGGGGCTGCCTTCCGGCTTTTGTGGACATCGGCAGGATCATCCCCCCAAGGATCACCCCCCTCAAGATGCAGGGGGGGGGTGAGGGGGGCCAGGGGGTGGACCGGGGGCAGGAAGCAAGGGGGCAACGAGCGAGGCCGGGGGCAGGCAGCCAGGCTACGGGGGGGGGGACAAGGGCAGGCGGGCCGGCGGCAGGCAGACCGGGGGCAGGGCGGGGCGGCGTTGGTATCTGCATGCTGGAAGGCCTTCCAAGAGGATTCCTGGCTCAAGATGTGCGACAGGCGGGCAGCCACCCGAGGAGGCCCGGAAGCGCCTAGCGCCTCGCCCGCCGAGGCAGCAAAGGCGGCACAAAGAGCGCGCCCCCCCGAGCGGGAGCACGGCAAACCAACGAAGGGGGGAACGGGGAGGGAAACACAGGGCGGGGGGCGAGGGCGACGAGGCGGCGCGTGCCTCCGACCCGCAACAGGAAGGGGCAAAAGGGAATCGTCTGGGCCAGCCGTCGCGACGGCGCCGTCGCGACGGCTGGCCCAGACGACACCGCCGAAACCCTAAGCCCTAAGCCCTAAAACCTAAACCCGACGCCCTTGAGGGGGGTGATCTTGGAAACTTGAGGGGGGTGATCTTATCTTGAGGGGGATGATCCGGCTTACGTCCGGCTTTTGTACTGCGAATTTGACGGACTTGCTCCCGGCACTCCCGCTTGTTTCCACGATCATGTCGTAAGCCTGTTTCAACCTACCGTCGGGCGCAGCTTCTCCTTCTTTCCGGTGAAAGGATTTTTCGTACGCGTCGATGGCAGCGACTAGAACACGCCCGAGAGAAAAGTTGTGCCCACCTTCGTCCTGTGCAGGTTTTGGAATGTTGTGGTCTCTCTCCTGCTGCTCAATCAACGCCAAAATACGCCCCCCATCGTCCTGTGGATCCACGAGCTTCGCTTCCGCTGTGAAGGCATGAACAGCTAGTCCTTCATGCGGCTCTCTGCCATGTTTATCGACGAAGGAAAACAACCAGAAGTGGCTTTCAATTTTCATCAACTCCTCCTCCTCTTTAGTAAGATGCACCCCGCCTCCGTCCTCTGGAGATGAACTTGGACCCCCGCTTTCCTTCTGCAGCTTTTCTTCTACAGCAAGAACCCGCACTAGCCTCAGAGAGACTACGGCGATGCAGCGCCACCACCGAGAAAAGCAACCCATTCTCCGCGAACTTCAGACGCTTGCGCCTTAGGTCCCGCGAGAAAAATTGCGGGCATCTTCTATCTTCACCACGAAGAACATTGTCCCTCGATTGCCTAAGAAAAGACATCGCACCTCCGGTCGCCGTGGTGGTGGTCGTTCCATCTTCATTTATCTACTTAAATTTTTCACAATGGAGATGCGATCTTGTTTGTCACTGAGTATCATACAAACAATGAACAGCGCCGCAATGAATAGAGTAACAGTAAAAGTGATATCGGCACAGAACAGACTGCAACCCCCTCTTATTGCAGTTGCAGAAAAGAGAGAGAGAGAGATAACCTATATAGCAAGCTAGACAGGACTAGTAAACAACGCACACCACACAGTAGAACGAAGGCCTTGTATCCGCTCTCCCGCTATCGTGATGTCGTTTCCACCTCGCAGCGCCTTTCTGTGGTCCGTCTGATCTACCCGCGGACTATGCGGTGGCGTTACCCTCGTCGAAGGCTTTCGTGGGTGAATCCGGGACAGTTTTGGTAGTCAGTTCGTCAAGGTCAAACCGGAAGGCGTAGGGATGGTTTACCTGTGGCCTTGTAGCACCGCTGCTGTCTTGAGCGTGCCGTTCTTGGCGCGCACGTAAAAATCAAGACTTAGGCTTAAAGCGGGCTATTGTTTGAATGAACCTGAAAAGCTGAACAAAAGGCGACAGGTCCCCGCAGGTGCTCTTCCACGCTACCTGCTGGCGAACCGAACTAAGGAAGACCCCTCCTCAGACTAGCCATCGTAAGCCGAGCGGATCCCCTGCGACGGCTCGACGCGGCTATTTTAGCGCGTAAGCCTTATGGGCTTAGACGTCTTGAGCTTTTTGTATACTTTCGTGGCACTTTTATCTAAGTACTTCTATCTAAGCTCGTTGCTCTAGGAAGGGCTTAGCGGGTGAGCGACAGCTGCGTTTTATGTATACTGTTCTCCTCTGATGCCCTCCGCGCTTTGCGCTCGCGATCGAGCTCAGTAGGGACAGTCTTCGCGTTCTTCGTCCTTCTTAACTATGCACTGCAGCTCGGTGCCTGTAGCTAAATTTCAGCCTCAACACACGCCTCGACATCTTCTCACTTTTCCCCCGATCTTCCTGGTGCTGCTCCTTTATCCCCACCTCCCACTTGGCGCACCCACGGTGCCCGACTTCCGGCTCCGGAGAGCCCAGGGGACGCACTGTGTGTGGTTCCGCTCCTCCCGCACTAACGCCCCACACTTGCCCTGCCGCCTGAGGTATCTCTTGCCACCATGGCCAGACTGTGGGGGGGAGGGTGGGGATTTCTGCAGCGCCTCGTGGTGCTGCCCTGCGGTTTGGCTCGGTGGCAAAATTGCGCTTGTGAAGACAGGCTCTGGGGGTGGTCGGGGCTGTGGTTTTTTCGTCTGGTGTTTGGCGCCGCGCCAATCAACAGAAGGGAAGAAGCTGCACGGTGCCGCTTTTTCTGCTGTTTCTCATGCTGCTGTCGCTGTCGAGCTACAGATCGCCGATCCACTTCGCAATTTTTTCTAGGTCTCGCTCGTGCACTTTCGTCTGTGCTTTTTCGGGTTGCCACTCCAAGACCTCCTGGAACTCCGCCGCGTTGAACTTCTCCTGCCCCGCCCGTATCGCGTTCGCTAGCCCCGTGGGAAGAATTCCCGCGTACTGTCTCGAGGCGGCTTCGTAGTAGTTGAGAACGTTCTTCACGTTTTTCGGCTCTTTTAAATAACTTATGCGAGATTCGCACGACTTTTGTCGTGGCCAGCCTAGATGTTCTTTTCGCAATTGCACTAAATGCACATCTTCGCACTCATACAAAACGTGGTCAGTGCTTGGGGTCACTTTTTTCGCGCAGATCGGACAACTCATGTAACTGCTTGAAGGGTTCCTGGCGTCGTGTACAGTCTTTCCCATGCCAAGCTGCCCCTGGTTTCCCACCCCTAACCATACTAGAAACATTACGCTATCTATGAAGCGAGGGCGTTTTTCGTGACTTTGGTACTGCCCTAGCTCTTCGGACCTGCGTAGTAAGGCGGGGTGGGTGCTGCTGTACCCCCTTGGGCAGCTGTACACTATCTGACTGACTATCTTCCGCAGAAGCTTTTCGGTGATGACTTTTTCAAAGGTTTTACGTCCCTGTGACGAGTCTCCTACGTGCTTCAGGCCTCTTGTTGCCGTTGCGTCTGCAAAGTCGTTAAAATAGCACCCTAAGTGCGACGGGCACCAGTTGAAGACGATCTCAACCCCCGGAGCCGATGCTTGTTCAAGACGTTCCAGGGCCTTCACGATGTCAATCACCATGGCGTTGGATTTGTCGCGCAGTGCTTCTATCGCCATCACCAGTCCGTTGGAATCGATGTAGAAGACGTGTCTTCTTATTGATTTTAGTATTGCTGCTGGTATTTTTTCTAGTATTTCGTTGATCTGATGCATCAAACCGAAGCACTCGCCGTCGAAAGAATCCGGGTTTATCTCTAGTTCGAAGTGGATCTTCGACTCCACTCCGCAGAAGCTGGCCACTACTGGCGCGGGCCGTGGCGCCGTCGGGAGAACCTTGTGCCAGGTTGCTCCTCCACCGCTTCCTCTGTCGCCTTTCGCCCCTCCGTCGGTGAAGGTGGCCATCGTGTCGGCTCTAGTCAGGTGTCGCCGGGCTTCCTTCTCTATCAAACGCGAGATCATTCGCCGCGTGTTGTTTTTCAGTTTGTGCTTCTTGATTTCGGCAGGGTCACGAAGACGGAATCTACTTGCTATTTTACTCATTGGGAAGACGTGGATCTTGTTCACCCCCTTCCAGAACTGCCTGCCTACCTGCAGGCTAGCCGCGCTTGCCGCTATTGGTTGAAATTCTTGATTTAGTGCTATTCTGTTCATTCGATTCGTCCATGCTTCGTCGCAATGCGCCCATAGCGGATTGTCTTTTAGTACTGTTGCTGCTACGGGGTCGCGGAGCGAGGAGATTCGCTCTGCGCTCGGGATGTCGTCGGGGGGGAAGTCGTCGCCATCTCCTGCTGCGTTCTGCGAAGCCGCACCGGACGACTGCGAGGCAGCTACCGGCGGGGCCTGTACCTGTGAAGGGGGGCGGGGCTGAGTGCCTGCTGCACTCTCTACTTCTTTGCTTGGCCTGAAATCGGGCACCTCTTCCTCCTCCTGGTGGAAGGGCCAGATTCCGAGCGCGGCCCCCTTGTAGAAAGTCATTAATGCCTCTACTAGCAGACTGTCCACCGGGTGCGGCAGCCCTGTGGCATTGTACATGACCGAATTGCTGCAGTGCTTTGGAATGCCTAGCTTCTGTTTTATTTTTGTTGCAAACTCTTTCGCGATTTCCTTCTTTGCTGTCTGTGTGAAATACGGAAATGTCACTACGGAAACCGATGTCACTGCTGGGTATGCAAAAGATTCGATGAGCATCTTGTTTTGTTTCTTGCTCCAACCTTTTTCGGTTTGTAAAAATGCAAACTCCTTTCCGACTTTTTTCAAAACCTGCTCTGCCTGGGAGTTGAAAGAGTACGTCCCGTCGTACGTTACTCCGAGACTCTTCCCAACCCCCGTACTTGATTTTGTTCGGGGCCGCTTCGCGTTGAAGGTAATTCGCTTGTGCTTGTTTGCGTCGAAGAAGATTTTTCTTTTCAGTCCCATGCTTTTCATTTTCTCCGGGATGTTCTCGGACTCCTCGTTCTCCACTACTACTACTGTAATGTCATCTGAGTACGCGCTCAACGCCTTCACTACGTCCAGCGCCACCAGATCTATTATTAGTGCTATTGTGTATCCGTTCCAAACCGATCCGCTCAGCGGCGACCCCTGTGGTTTTCCGACCCACAGGCTGTACTCTCTTCCGCCCGGTAGTTTTATCTTCCTCATTTTTAAAAAGCCGGCTACTGATGCTCTCTGCTGCGGTGGGCATAACTTGAACTCTAGCTGTCCGAGCGCTTCGACATGACAGACGATATCGAATCCTGAGCAGCAATCATTCAAAATCACTGAGCAGCGTGCTTGTCGGTAAATTCCGTCTACGATAACTACCGTCGAAAACTCCTTTCCATGTGACTGTCTGTACGCGTTGGAAAACTCGGGCTGGATTGTTTTGCTTCTTCCTAGTAGGGTCGCCCCTTCCCATTTCCAGCCGTCGAGGAAGAGGGACTGACGCCTGTCGAGCACGTTGTCAAGGAGTTTACTGAAAACCGAACATAGGCTCACCGGCCGCATCAAAGACTCCACATAACAACCTCCGGATACTTTTGGCACTGCTGCCATCGAGATGAGTCGCCCCATCTTCGGATATGTGCCTTCTTTCACGTACGCTGCCATGCATTGAAAAATCGCCCATCTCATCTTGGGCCCTGCATGCCTAGTCATTTCGTGCGTTGTCATGCAAAAACCTGGCGTACGGCCCGGCTCTAGCTTTCTTATTGCCGCCTCTACTTCTTGATACGAAAGCGGCCACGTTGCCCCGCCTTCTTCCGGTGCTTCCGCTTGTGCTGATCGGTAGTCCGCCTCCGCCTTCTCCCATGCCTGCGCGACTTCGTCCTTGGAGCTGGGTCCTGTTGCAAACTCTTCATAGACTTTGAAAGGCTTCTCCCTGAAAAAGTTTTTTATTATCCTACAAATTTCCGCCGGCGCGCGCGTGCATTCGTCTTCCAGCGGCGGCATGTTGACCTTTCGCGCCTTCAGCTCCTTGCTTGCTTCGTCGAGGTCTTTGGCCTCGATTCCTGTCGCCCGCTTCAGGCACTTGATCCGTGTGGCGGCGTCGCTCTTCGCCATCATCTTGGGGAAGCCGGTGCTCCATTTACTTTTTCCCTTCCTCTTTATTATTCCTTCCCAGTCTATGTCGGGCGGGGAAGAGTTCAACTCCCCCTGCTCGTCGTCGTTCGTTCCGCCTTGGGCGGCCTTCTCCTCTGCGTGGTTCTTTTCGTCTACTTCTTTCTTGTCCATCGTCTGTTCGTTGTTGGGTTTCTTCTTCTTCTTCGTTTTCCTCTCGTGTTTGAATTTCAGCGTTCTTTTTCCGACCTGCTTGAAGATGTTCCGGATGCTCAAGATTTGACTTTCATTGCAGTTGCAGAAAAGAATTTTCAAGATTTGACTTTCATTCAGCTTGTTTTCGCTCCGATTTTCACACACAAACAGGAGCCTTGCTCATCAAACTAGGAGTGGTGATTCCGCTGCTCCAGTTCGACAAAAAAATTATCGTCTCTCGAGGCTCCTTCTCTGTATGACATTCAAAGAAGAGCAAGGTGAGCATGTGTTGCCTCGGAAACACTGCGCTCAAAATGGTATGCGCTAAGGTCAATGGGGAAAAATTTGACATGAAGTTTCTTCTTGCGGGACCTTGTCCGTCTGAAGGTGCCAGTCGATGGTCTCGACAGAGTCTGTCTGAGTTAGAAACAGTACAACAAACCCAAGTACCGGAAAAAAGGCGGTCAATGAAGCTTCCCGCTCTCCTAGATGCTACGAAAAGAAAAAACTAACCTTGCCAATACTTCTACTTGCGAAGAAACGCTAGACAAGCACTTAGAAATAAATGTCAAGAAAGACGGCGCCTGCGAGTGCCCACACTGAAACGGTGAAAGAATAACCCCACCCCCATCACACCTCCTGCACCACCGCAAACTCTCCGAATTCCGACTCTTCATCGATCAACTCCGCAACCTTCCCATGGTCCACCAACTCCCCACTGTCCACATTCCCGGACGAATTGCTGCTTTTAATTTGCATCTTGTTCAGTTTCTCCATCTTCCGCCGGAAAGAGTTCTCCGCGGCTGCTTGCGACGTCAGGGGGGGTCTGCAGGGAAAATTGTGAGTCTGTGACGAAGATCAGAGTGTACTAGGTGTGTAGCAGGATCCGAACACGAAGCAACAGAGGAAGGAAATTTGCATGCGCAGCGTAGTGCTCATTGCAGAATAAAAGGAGATGACGAAACGCATGACAACAATTCCTCCACCATCAGGCCAACATTGTCCTCTCAGTAGACTCAAAATTTTCCTCATCTTCGTAACCGATCCAAGATTCGGCATAGTGTCGTACCCTTTCTTCCGTTCCGCTTCTAGTTTCAACAGGTGGGCCTCCAATTCCGGAAAAAACGCCATTTGAACCTCCTCCGCGGCAGACGGGGTATGGAGGGTAGGATGAGAGTCACGAGAGGCAGCAGTGCTTGTGATTTGATGTCATGCTGCACAAGCCTGTACGCTGAACTCAACACAACATCAGATGCTGTTTATGCATGACAGCTTCAGTAGTGACCTCGAAATGCACATGCAGACTGGCATGAAATCCTGCTTTATCAAATGCAAACTCTACTACTTCGCTGCTGCTTCTGGTCTAGACGAAGACCTTGCCCATTCTCATACCACACAATCCAGGTACAGTATCAACTGCAAATATGTCTGGGTCTGGAAGCATGCGAGATCTGTCATGCATTTTTTGCCTGTTCCAGAATCGCCTGGCATGCAAGCTCTAGCGTCACAGATTGAGCTGCTATCCCAATGCCTAATCCGCATGACAAATCCCTTTTCTCGGAAACAAGAACTGGGGCCTTTTGCTAGCCATGCATGACCGATTTTGTCATGATGTAGACACCGCATCACAAATTCGAATTCTTCCAGACCCAGACATATTTGCAATGCATATACAGTACGCCGAAACCACTGCTCCGATGAAGATCCACAACAGCGCGAGGAAGTTGGTGGACTGTAAATTTGATTTTTCAGAAGTGTCATGTGAATTCTGCATGACAAGCAGCTCATGTCCATCTGAATTTTGCATGACAAATATAGTAATCCTTACCCCGCACACCAGTGTCGACGCCAGTTCCCGCAGATACGGGGACGTCGTCGCGTTACAGAGCTGTCCGCTGAACACCACCCCGAGGACGTGTAACCCGATGAAACTCGTGTTAAACACGAGGTAGTAGTAGTAGCGCCGCAACTGGAATTCCACCCGGTACACCACGCCTATCCCGCCGCCAATCACGATCGGAATGCCCAGGAGGAACCAGGCGCCGAACCACACTTGCGTGCTCTCGTTGATTGAAACCCCGAACACGTTCAGTGCGTGCGTACTGTTGATGGAGCACAGGAAAAACACACAGAAAAACAAGTGCGTGAACCCAATCACCAAAACCCCTCGCGTGATGCTGTACCGCCCGAGAAACGTTTGCGCCGGTCGAAGTCGCGTTTTGTCGCGGAGGTTCTCCTATCAAATGCAAATATCTGGAAACTTGTAATGCTAAAAGTGAATGAAAGACGTACTGCAATACGCAGCTACGCATGACAAATTTTTTGGCTGCCATGTGTTACGTATTCCGCATGGCATGGCAAACTGCGTTTTTGCATAACAGGTAAGAAGGCCTTTTCGTGCCTAGGAAACACAGATTTGCGAGTCATGCCAGACAAGCATGACAAACTTACAGTCTTCCAGAAGACCCAGTCATATTTGCGATTCATATCTCCAGCCCGTCGTCGGAGTCCTCCCCGTCGAGTTGGGTTTTGTCAACCGCGAATTTTTTGATGATGTCCTGCGCGGAAGGATTTTTGCCCGTAGTTGTTGTGTCAGCACTAGAAGTTGTTGCTGCGTTTCTACTTGTCGGATCGGTGGCACCGGCACCCGAAGTTGTGGCGGTTCTACTTTCATCCTTTAGCAGGGTGGATGAATTCGGTTCTGGGTTTTGCTGCTGCTGTCCGGCGTCCTCTTCCTCCTCTTGGTCCTCCTGACCGTCAGAACCCAACGCTCCTCGCGGCGGTCCGGAGAAGAGCTCGTATGGAGAGGGGAGAAACGCGTGATCTTTTTTGTCGTGCTATCATTGATCTTAGTTGATTTGTCCTCAAGGATTGAATGGTGCTAGACCCGACTTACACCAACGAAGGGTACTAGTGTAGTAGACCTCCTATGTCTACTGTGCTCCTCATGCAAAATTCCGCAACACGAAGTCTCGAAACACCCGCCATTTCATCCGCTTACACTCGCCCAGGAGTTTTGGAGACTCTGAAAGGCCGCCCGCCGCCGCTTGTTTTTGTACCAGTCGCTCATGGCGTTCTTCGCGCTTTGGAACTAGCCGTTTGTTCTGGCAGCGGATTAAAGACAAGCAATCCACCGGACCCTGCTCCGGTAGTACCCTGGCCGGAACAGCGCTGCCCTGCTCCGCAGGCGGGTTTTGACCTTCGGAACTGGAGCGCTACATCTTGTTTTCCATAGTAAGTACTACCTCCACCTCCGGGTCTTCTTCCGAGGAAGAGACGAGGTGGCGAGTCTTGTTCGCAAACAGATAGCTTTGTTCACGTCTTTTGAAAACCAAAATCACGATCAAAACACTCGTGAAATGAGAAAAGAAGAAGAACTCTGTGCAACGCAAACGGAGATGTGCCACTCTCCATATTGTACCTCTCCTTTCAGTCCCACCCTCAAGGTGATAAAAACCAGCACGGAGCGCTGTCCTTCTCTTAGGGTTGCTGATCTTGTGTGACCGCAAAGCAGGAGGTGAAAGACAGAGCAAGGGGTGAATGTACACCTTGCGTTAGAGAGTTGAACAACGACAATGATATTTCGCTTTCCTGAAAGATCCAAATCCTGCGTCAAGTGCTGATCTGCACCACGTCCTACTTGTTTGTTGTCGCCAAAATTATTAGTTACACCAGGTCGGTGCTATCCATGAATGTTTAGATCGAATTTAAGTATTTTTCACCAAAAAACATTGATTCCCTCCCCGAGGCTGAGTAGCACGATGGACAACTCCTTTTGCTCCTTCGGGTTCAGAATCAGTAGTGTAAGTGTAACAGCAAAAACTAAAACTATGTATGAAAATCCAGAAATAGAAATATTTCACGCCTCGTCTATCTGTTCCAACTTCTTTCCGTGTAAGTTGAGGCATTGCCGTAATCTTCTTCCTGGAGCGTCGATTGGTCCTCGTCGTCGGATAAAATAGCCCCGCCAATCATTCTATCAAATCCAAAAATGTCTGGGTCTGGAAAAATGCAACTTGTGATGCTGCGTTTGGAGTCCAAAAAAATCTGTATTGCATGAGCAGCAAAGGGAATGCAATTTTTGCTACGCGAAGAGGGCACTTGTCATGCGGAATAGGCATCAAGATGCCCTCAAAACATCTGTGACGCTAGGGCATGCATCACAGACATCATGGCTCATGCAAAACGTGCATCACAAGTCTCAAAATCTTCCAGACCCAGACATATTTGCAATTCATACATTCCGTCGTGATACATGAGAGGGTCCTTTTCTTTCAGCTGGTCTTATCCTACGAAAAAGTGAGTTTAGCACTGTATTTTCTACTGCGTGTTGATCTACTCAATAGTGGGCTGAGCCTGATCTAGCTTGGCGCAGTTCTTGCATAACAAAACTGGATCACTCCGTTTTTTCTCTGGTACTTATGCAAAAACGCGACCTGGTTTGAAAATTTTATCTTGTTGACAGTCGTGTGCTCTTTTACAAAATCCGTTTGTCACAAAAGAATCTATCCTCACTTTTTCGCATGTACTTGATAGCTGTCTCAGTTTGTCGACACTTCTCCTCTCGCTCTCGTAGTCCTTCCAGTAGGTTGGGTCGTAGGCCTATGCAACACAAATTCACCTCCGTACTTGTACTTCTCCATGCAGAAAATGCATGACAAATATACTGAGCAAGCGCTTATCCATGAAACTTGTGATGCGAAATGGGATTGAGAGAAGTCTCTCGTCATGCATGGTCGTCATTTGTACGTTGTAAATTCCCTGTGGATACAGCCCACACCTTCTTCTTGTGGTTTTTCGTCCCCTCGTGCGCTTCCCAGACAAACGGCTGCTTCTCCTGCTATCCTATGGAAAAACACACCCAGCTATTCACTCGTCTCTCAACATGATCCAGATGGGAATTTCGCTATCAGTACTTCTTAAAGCACGTTGCTCGTGAGTAGAGCATGACAAGTTTCGAAACCCGGCGAGGCGACCCTCTTCATGGGGCTGCGCATGAGAAACCCACTCTACTGAGCCTGAGCATACAGATATACATGCCAAATATGAAGTGGGTAAACTCTCACTTAGGATAGCAGCATCTTTTTCGTGATCGGTTCGTCGTGCTGACTCCCACAGAGAAGGCAGGAAATGTGCAGCACGTTGGCCCTGTGGTGGGTTTGGAACGAAACAAAGAATGACAACGAACTCAACGTCCTAAACTACATTCCACATCACTAGCGGACTACTGCTATTCGACGATTTGGCCGTTTCTGGCTCATATGCAAATGACACTAAACCGCTCCCGCAACTTTCTCAGCTAGCACAACTACAACTGCAAAAGTGCAACTCGTTTCAACATACCAGCTGTAAACCTGGTCGAAGTGCAGCACCCCGACCAAGTACGGCGCGCCCTCCCTGGGCTCCAGGCAGCGGAAGTCGGAGTCGCCCACCAGAACGCGCTATGCATTGCAAAAATGTCGGGGTCTAGAAGATTTTCAGATTTGTAATGCTGAATCCGCATACCCCTGAACTTTGTGATGCATGTTTTGCAATAGCGCTGTCTTATTGTCAGGCAAAACGCTATATGTGATGCGGGTTCTTACGCACTACAGAACCCCTCAGATGAAGTTTGTCATGCATAGCTACCTAGTCGGGTCGGCTTGTCATCCATGTATTAGCATCACAAGTTTATCATTGCTCCAGACTCAGACATATTTGCAATGCATACGTGCTCCAACACGTCCATAGACTCCTGCCGATCCAGCACCGCCTTCTGGTGCGAGGAGGAGTTTTCGTGCTCCTTGTCGAACAGCGGGTACTTCTTCTTCGCGTTCCGGCACAACCGGCAGTGGAAGGCGATGTATCAAATGCAAATGTGTCTGGGTCTGGAAACTTGTGATGCTGGGTGGCGTATCATGAGGAAGCCACAAGTGCTGGCTCAGCATGACAAGTTTTTGCGCTTGTTCTAGGTGTTGCCTATTCTGCATGACAAACTGCGTTTCTGCATGACTGAAAAATCGGGCTCTTGGGTAACGTGCATGACAGATGTAAGAGTCATGCCAGACAAGCATGACAAACATGCATTCTTCCAAACCCAGATATATTTACAATGCATACGACGCGCTCGATGTCAATCGGCCCGTCGACATCTGGAGGGTTTTCCTCGCAGTTGTTGTACTTGATCTCCACAAACATCCGCTTCGTCCGGTCAATCTGGTACTGTAACACTGAAAAATGCCCCCACCACCGAACTTGGGAGCATTTGTATTGCAAACCTTTCCAAGAGAAACACTCGCCCGCTTGCATCTAGCAGCATCACAGATTTGGAATCGTGAATAGCGAAAATTTGTATTGCAAAAGATCCCAGCAAGGGCGGCGCTTGTCATGCAAGCAATGCTATATATGCCTAGACTCTGCATCACAAAGATTCATATTCCTTTCATGCATGAGCAAAAGTTTTCATTTGGAAGCTTCGCATTACAAATTATTGCAACTTTGGAGGGGGTGGGGGCATTTTTCACTGTGATAGGTACTGCCCCTTTTTCTTCAACGCCTCCTGATCCAGGATGTGCGCCCACTCCTGCTCGTAGTCCTGCAGGCTCCACTCGTTGGCATATCACAAGGAAAAATCCCCCCTCCCCACATCGAAAACGAAACTTGTCAACTTGTAATGCTAGAAGGCCAAGAGACGCAGCTGTGACCTCGTTTGCAGGCAATTTGTCATGCTGTTTCCCGCTTCCAGCTGCCCCCTGTCATGCTGAAGATGCAAGGCTTTCCCACGCCAACCAGCACTACAGTCCGCATCTTTTCTCTTCTCGCATGACAAAGCTGATTTGTGGCCACAAATCTGCATCACAAATTTGTAGTTTGAGTATGGGGTGGGGGGATTTTTCATTTTGATATGGCAACCGCCTTCTTCTTCTTCGCGCCGGACGAAGAGCTGGTGCCGTAGTGGTCAGCGTAATAGTTGCCGTCGTAATCGTCATCCGGATCGTAGCTAGCCTTGCCGTACAACAGCGTATCGTAGTGCCGCATGTTTCGCCTTGCCTCCTGGTCCTTCTGGCGCTGTTTTTCTTCCTTCTTTTTCTGGTTCTGCACCGCTTGCTGAGCCTTTTTTTCTCTCCGCTGCTGCTTCTCCCGTTCCGCCTCAATTTCCTGCTCGCTCATACCGGCCATCCACCTGTAGGTGAGAAAATTTTCTAGAATTGTGGTCCGTCACTGCGAACTCTGCATGAGAAACAGGGGTAGCTTTTCGTTTCTTTTCGAAAAGCCGCATCACAAACTGTCACTGTGCAGAAGTTCAAACCCAATCTAGTTCCACGTGGAAGTCAGTAACTCGTCCAAAAAGACGTACACTTAGATAGAAACAGTACTTTTCATGTTCCGGAAGTAGATCCAGCTGGAGATTCGTCATTTGTTCCGTTATCTGTCGCACGTCCACCGCATCCTCGGGCGAAGAAGATCCGTTTTTGTTCTGCTTCTTGCTGTCGGCCTTGCCGCCGACCTTGTTACCAGCTCCATTGTTGTTCCAGGCGGAACTAGAGGACGAGGAGGCGCCGGCTCCACCATATTGATTTTGATGCCCGCCGGTTTTGTTGTCCTTCTTGTTGTTTCCCTTGCCCGGCTTGCCCCAGCCCATTGTGCTGATAGTTCGTTGGGTCAAGGCCACTGCTGTTGTACCAGAACTTCCACCGGTGGTGTTGATTTCTATCTTCTCAAGCGATCGGCGCTCAGAGATAGACTAACTTGCTGCTCCAGGCAGAAATAACGCGTGCCGCAGTCGATCTTCTTCTTTTCTTTCAGGCGCACGTGTAAGTTCCAGTTTATTGCCTCCAAACAACGAGCGTAGGTGGAGCAGACTATTCTTGTCGCAAGAGAAACTACTGCTCGGTCGTCGGGGTAGGCATTCTTGATTTTGATCGAAATTTTCTATAACAGTCTCTAAAATGTAGCGGATACGATTCACGACTAAGTAGAAGAAGAAAGAAGTAGAAGATCTTCCTGTAGAAGTTCTAACACGCAATCCACCACCCGGTTCAAAATTATCTGCGGAATTAATTCTTTGTCTTTTTTTTTCAGTGCCTAGCCGCGTGAAACAATCTGTGCTATGAAAAATCGAACTTCAATAATGCGCATAGGATACTATCAGTCGCCGTGCCGGGCCATTTGCCGTTTTCTCGCTGGTGAAACAAATACGACATTTTTGCAACAGCAAACGGACAAAAGATAAAGACCGTTTTTGCTGATCTCGAGGGGAAAAGAAACGGAAAAAAAAATCGACAAAAGTAGCCCTTGCCGCGGAGAATTAAGTAGCATAAGAGATCCTTTTATCCGTGTCGGCACTTGCTCGCGGACGATCTAAGCAAAACTTCTAGCCGAGGATGATCCTCACGATACCTACGCTCACCATCTGCTGAAGTGAAGACCGGTCATTGTGTTACCAGGATTGCATGCTTGGTTGCGCTTCCTTGAGCGGATTTAGAAAACCCTTCCTTCTCGAAGAATATCGAAAACACCTCCAGAGGCTCCCGTTCAGTCGTAGACCTCTGTCAGCTGCCTCGCAGCAAGCAGCTCCTGCTGCGAAGAAGATTCAGCTGCGCGAGCGAAGTCTTGTTCCGTCATCTGCTCTTTCACTATGGTACGTGATAAGTATGCTCATCTGAATTCTTGAGAAACCAAAACACTTTTGGAAAAAAACTCAGCTATTCTTTAGCAAGCACTATAAGGCCGTCGTGATCAGCGTAAACCTTGCTTTCCACAGCATTTCGTCTCTGTGCCTGTGCTCCATTCTGTACCTTTCACCATACTTGTTACTTCTCACCCTAAAGCTATTCTACAGTGTGAGACCCTGAAGATGTTGTCTCGGTCTGTGCAATCTTCGCTGCTCCTACTCCTGAAAAAAACCCGGGTTTGGTATTCCATTTTCCAAGTCTGTATACTTGCGCTCCTTTCGTAGACACTGCAAGTTCTTTACGCCTCAGCTTTACAGAGCCCCCTGTTCGTCCGACGTCCACAGGGTCAGGTTGTCGCGCAAAAGCTGCATGATCAGTGTCGCATCCTTGTAGACGTCCTCTGCTACGGAATCTAACTCCGCGATGGCATCCTCGAAGGCCTGTCAGTGTTGAAGAATCTTGAACAAATGCATGCTTATCATTATCGTTCTGATTGCGCATGACAACCTCGTTTTCTCATGCCTGGCTATGCATGAAAAGAAACATGAAAGGGAAAAAATGTACTTTAATACCTGTCTCGCGAGCTTGCACGCTTCATCCGACCGGTTCAGCACTTCGTAGTAGAAAACGGAAAAGTTCAAAGCCAGACCTAGGCTTATCCGGGGCAAAATTTTCTGCTGCTCGTCTCGGGTCGGGAATGTCGCATGTTCTTCATGCTACTTAGGTGATCGGTTTTCATGCATAGGATCATGCAAGCAGAAGCAAATAGGAAGGCACGGATCTGCAAAAAAATAAACTGGTCTGATCCCCTCCATCACAGTAAACACGACCGAAAACGACGCAGATGAATTTTGCTTGGATAAATCGAATCGGGCTTGTTGTCACTAACTCCGCTTGTGCCAGCGACATTGCCTCCGCGTACCTGTTGTCAGTCAGTGTTGTCGTGTTGACCTTGACACCGTTTCTCCATGACAAAACACACCACTGAATCGTTCTACTGCGCATGACAAAAACTCCCCAAGGTTGTAGTAGTTCTAGTTGTCTCAAAAACCAAAAGTTCAATACGCGCCCTGCGCTTGGTTCTTCAGATTTTGCTCGTTCGGCTCGAATTCCGCCTTGTATCGGTAGTAATCCCCCTTCATCTTCAGGTAGAAGACCTGTGGTTTCAGTTTTTTTTGCGGAAATTGCATGAGAAATTGTCTTGTTTGCTCCTCACAAACAAAAAGGCATGACAAATTTCATGCCCTCACCTTGTCCTCCCCTGTGGATGATTTTGCGAGCAGCGACATTCGGATCAGCTTCAAAATCTCGTCGCAAATCTTTGCGAGCTCGTTCTCAATCTTCTTTTTGTATTGCTCTGCGGTATGCAAGTGCACAACCCACGTAATTCCCTCGTTTGTCATGCACAACGTGCCACTCAGATACTCCCTTTGGGCACCTCCTGATGCATCACAAATTCAGCCGAAAGTCCAAACAGTCGTCTACAGTCACGGCAGGAGCTTGCCATGCACGGCCGTCATGTCTGGACCTGGAGACGTCTCTCATGCACATGCTGTACTTTATCCCCTCCTAATAACCAGGCGAGGGGACCACGCTGTGCCCTTTCCTACGCTGCTGCTGCGTTGTCAAAGTTTCCGCGTGAGCGCTCTTTTTGTTCCAGCGAATTTACCTGGTGGAGTGCGATAATTGGGTCGTTTTTACAACACTTTTCATGCAGAAAGCGGCAACGGTTCATTGTATCTGTCAGAAACCGGTAGATCAACTGTCATGCACATGAAGGTCGTACAACTGTTATGCACATGAAGAATCGGTTTATCAACCCGGAAGATGATGAACTGTGATCTTCGTCGAAACGAAATCATTCTCAATACCACTCTCCAAGCTGCTCTTCGGTAACCGACGGAATTCTTGTATGCGACAGCGAGTATGGAGGGAAAATTTGAAATCCGGTGGACCGCACAAAATCTACTTTCTCAGTCTCTTTATTGCTTCTGAAAACTCATTCGAACAGTGTCACTACAGACACGTCGCAGCTTTAGTAGCCATGCGCTGCACTAAGTACTCTTTTTCGTTCCAGTGCGACCTCTTTCGTTTGAAGCGAACAACACACCATGCTGCCCAGTGAACAAAAAACAAAAGTATCGTGCATGAGAAGAACCAGCCCAGATTTTTTTTCTATCTGATAAACAGCAAATTCCTTTCCTCTGCGTTGAGCTCCTCCTCCATTTCTCCCATATGACAGTACACAACTCCACCTCCCCCTCATTTGTAGTGCATTTCTAGCAACAGAAACTGAAACCGCCTATATGGTAATGCAGTCTCTGCATTACAAATCTATACACGGAGCACTGTGCACTTTGAGGTTCCAGAACTTGCCATGCAAACACAGCCAAAAGGCTTACACAGGATTTAGCATTTTTGCATTACAAATGAGGGAGAGGGAGGGTTGCGCACTCTCATATCCCACCTCTCGCATGTAATTGCTCATCTCGTCGTACGTGCTATTCAGTGAAACAATGCCCCCCCCAATGCAGCAACTTCGGTGGTTTATTGTCATCAAAAGCTGCAAAGAGGTGCCGACGTACTACGTGCGGACATTAAGCGAATACCAAACATTTTAACAAGTGCCTGTCATGAAAGTATTTTCCCGAGAACTTGCTCATCCCTTCAAGATCGCGATGAGAGCGTTACATGCTCATCTCCCCAGTTATGGATACAAACCGCGGAAAAAATGGGCAGGGGGGCGCTGTCGTCGCACTGCATACCTTTCCGCCTGCTCACATAGCTTTGCGAGGTAGACCTTCTGCTCACGCTCCGTGAGAGGGGCGGCCATTTTTTGTCTAACAGGGAAGTTTCGCGAAGTTTTTGGTAGCAAAATCTACTGCTTCTGTTGGTGTACAAGCGTTGCTCCAGAGCAGGATCCAACCGACTCGCACCTGGAAATAAGTTGACTGACGCAGAAGATACGATGGAGTAGCTCTCTCTTTCTTTTGTCCAAACTTCTGCGCTCTTCAGCGCACTTACTTTCATCCACCACAAGTAGTGGTTGTTGTATTGATTTCCCGCTCTCCATTCATCCGCCCTTCACTCAACCCGCTCTGACCCTCATGAAGATGATCTCTCAGTGCGTACTATTCTTTTGCGCCGCTGCTGAACACAAAGTGGAGCTTTCTTACCACTCATCAAGAAAAACTGTGAGCGACAAGCCAATTTTCAGCACAGCCAATTCAATTGTTTTGTACTTTATTGTCTCCAGCGCTTTCCTAGCGATAGAAACTCGCTCCCATATCCAAGCTCTTATACGCCTCAAAGTTTTTTCTTAGTCGTGTGATATTTTTCAATGCTCATCACAGCGCTCATATGCGTCGAGCAAGAAAAGCGGTGTGATTTTTACAAGCGTTCCCATCCGTGAGAGCATCGACCTCCGCTCGTTAGTGCAATGACTCTGTCGCTCTCGAGCGTCGTCACTCTTCAGAGAAGTGGAAGGAATGCGGTTATTGCAGTACTAGCCTGGCCGAACAACAGGCGAGACTATCTTGCCACAAAAGTCGACAAGCAGCTCCCGCTTTCTGTGTCGCGAGGTCTAGAGTTCTGCCCTGCCGTGCCGAAGAGTAGTATCAGCCTATAGTGAACAAGCACTTCTTTCCTCTATCCGATGTGTTTTTTTCTCAGGCAGATATAATTCGAAGCTGTTGTTTTGAAACACAGGCACAAAGTACGGCGATATTCTTCTACCAGTTGTAGACTTTCAACGCAAATTACGTCCTGGTAGCATTGACCTTTCAGTAGCTTCGCGCCAAAAACTACGCAATTGGTATTTGATTTTTATGGTCTTTTGAGTAGAGGCAGAGAATTTTAGCTTTTCGTGGTGCTGTACACTTGGATTGACGCACTGTTCTTGCGGAACTCCTTGCCTGCATTGAGAAGCTTCCCTGCTGTTCCCATCCGCCGAGACGCACTACGCTAGCAGAATCTTTTCTCGACCTTGAAACTTCTCGCAGGATGTTTTTTCCGCCAACAGGCAAAGCAAGCTGCTGCTCTCTACTTCTATCGGGAGACTCAGGACTTTATTCCAGTCGTTCTTTCATCTGCGCTCCTATCTCTGGAGCCTAGCCGCTGAAAAGTAGTTTTTGATTCTTTTTACTGTTGCGTGTTCTGTGGCTCATTAGCGAGATAGTTTTCCCCAAGTCCTTTTGCGAACCCTCGATATTGCGTGTGATCTGTTTCCAGTGTAATTATTTCTACGTATCTGTTGCTGACTCATCGCGCAGATCTTTCGAATACGTAAAAATATGGATCGACTTTTCGAAGTCCAAATACACAGATCGATTAAAAAACAGTGAAGTCAATTCCGAATAGAGAATCTTGCGAAAAAGACTAAACTGACAGAGACGCTGGTAGTACAACTTGGTGTTTTGCTAAAAACGACTAAAACTTCTTGGGAAAAGCTAAAGTAACACTTAAATAGGGAACAAATACGTACAAACGGACCTATTTGTAGTTCTTTGCTTGAGAAATACATTAATGATGTGTGATAAAAGAATATATGGGCTATTTGTGACAAATAACTCAAGTCCAGAAAGCTGCCAGATATCGATCAGAAGCCATATCTGCATAGCTGCTCCTTGAAGACTGATATAGGATTTAGAAGAAGAATAGAAACGATAAAAATTTTTGTGACTCAAATTTCTTGAGCAACGAGTATCGCGATTTAGATGTTCTTGTAAACTTGAAATAACAAATCTTTGGTAAATGTAGCTATACTAAAAGACGTCATAAAAAATCTTTCGATATCGCGACAAGCGGACACCAACCACCGTGCCATTGCATCGTTTCTGTAAACTTTCCTTCGCACAACTCCAAAAACCCCTGATGCGTAGTACATCGATGAGGTTTTGAGAAGTGTCGTGTGTCCTGGGTGCAACATTACAGGCGCGCCTGCTGCGAATCAAAAATTTCATAAAAAAGGTTCCCTGAAAATCAACTACTGTCGCTTCAAATCATCTAGACTCTGGCGCGATAACATGTACTACACCGTAATAGTATCGCTGCCACACGAAAATCGAGTCTCCGTTTCTTCTTTTGGGGGAGAAAAAACTGAAAACCCGAAAAATCGCGAAAGCCGTTGTTCGTCCTAGTAGTCCACTTTGTCATGTCACTCAAACACCATTGTAATAGACGAAAAGTTGCTTCAGAATAGATAGACGTTATCGGGACCACACTACTAGACTGATATTCCTTATCTTATTTGTTCCAAAATCCAGCTTAACCCTCGGTCTCGTCGGAGGTCCACAGGGTGAGGTTGTCGCGCAGCAACTGCATAATGAGGGTGGAGTCCTTGTAGCTGTCCTCGGACACGTTGTCCAACTCCGCGATGGCGTCTTCGAAGGCTTTTCTGGCCATGGTGCAGGCCTCCTCGGGCTGGTTCAGCACTTCGTAGTAGAAGACCTGAGAGAGTATTTTCAGTAAAATTGGCTTTCGTTGTAGTCTGCCGAGCTGTGCATGGGGTAGTACATCAAGTAATCCTTGACACTGCCATTCTAAACCTCTGAATTAGATCTGTAGTACCGTGCCGCATGAGAGGGGAATTTTGTCATGCACGACAAGCAGCAGGTGAACAACAAAGAGTCTGCCCAAACAAAAAATTCTATACGGAGAAGTTCAGGGCCAGACCCAGGCGGATCGGGTGGGTAACCAACAAACCAGACTCGGCGATCGTCATAGCCGCCTTGTACCTGTTTCATTCCGTTTTTTGGCTGGTAGTGCTTTGTCATGCCAAAACCTAATATGCAAGAGCTCGTCCGTGGAAATCTCGCATGACAAAAATTCCAAAATTCAAAATACGCGTCCTTTGCGGCCTCGGAGGCCTTGGTCTTCTCGGCATCCACCTTGTATTCCGCAATGTAACGGTGGTAGTCACCCTTCATCTTGTAGTAGAAGACCTGAAAGTGCGTTTCGTGAATTTGTGTTGCGGGATTATAGATAAGTGGAGTAGCTTTCCGATTCATCATCTCACTCGCATGTGCATCATCTGAATGACAAGCTCACCTCCTGAAGACAATAGGAACTTTTAAATGCAAAACACAATTGATTCGATATTCGAGTTTCTCATGCAACAGAGCAGTTACACATAAGTAGAAATACCTGGGACTCTTCCTTGCCCGGTGGCGGGGGGCTCTCCTTGGTGATCAGGTGGTCTTGCAACAGGGTCAGAATCTTGGCGCCTGTAGATTGGTGTTTTTCATGCGGTAGATGCTATACACAATTCTCTCTAGACTGCAATCCTTGCATGACAAAAAAAAACCGTGCTTTTTAGATCAATGCCTAAGGAGATGACCTGCCGCTGGTGTGAAAATCAGCATGACAAATTACCTCTCCTATGCAACATGAACATTCTGCATCAGAAACACAAAAATACAGATGTCGTCCAGCTCCGCCTCGACCTTCATTCGGTACTGCGCGGCCCGGGCAGCGGCCTCGGTGTTCCCCTTAGTGGTCTCCTTCTGCTCCACGGAAGAAATGATGCCTGAGAATTTTTTGAGCAGGAGTTTGTATTGCAATCTGCTTCAAGCACGTGACAACAACACACAGAGGACATCTTCATGACCACCCCAAAAAAACACCGACTCTTGTAGCAATGCGAAACCGCAAAAGAAAATTCAATACGCCAAGAGGCACGGCGGGACCCGACGGCGTTCTTGTAGGCGACAGAGAGCAAATTCCGTTCCTCCACACTGAGCTCGCCGCTGTCGGCCTTCGATACCTGATAAAGAGTTTGAAGTTGTAATGCAAATCTGCATGCTGAAAATGCTTCTCATGCGGATTTTAATTTTTACTTACTTTTGGGAAGAACATAAGTAGCTGTCACACGGTTTTGCACTTTCGAATCTGCAACAAAAATCTAAACTTTCTGGGGATTTACATCATGCTCTAAGGAGAAAACTGTCCTTCGGTGAAAAAAATCAACAAGAAAATCATCAACAGTACGTCTCTCATGTAGTCCGCCATTTCGTCATATCGCTCCGCCTGTTCGGCCAGCTTGGCCATGTACACAGACTCATCCTTAGACAGCGCCATCTTTTAGTAGAATTTGTATCAATTTGTAGTGACAAATTCCAAAACAAATTCCAATACAACTCTACTCACGACTCTAAATTGATAGTAGTAGTTCTTGTTAGAATTGGTGAAAGATAAATCCGAGGAGTCGTTGAACTACTTCACTCGAAGAAAAAGAGATGGAGAGAACTTCTATTGCGTAGTAGTTCTTGTGTCGCTCAAAAACATAAACGTGAACTACTTCAAAGTTCAAAAAAAAGAAAATTCAGAATCGTAGGGATAAAAAGTTTAGAATACGCTCCAGAAGGGAACCACGATTGATCTTGTTCCTTCTCAATGTGGTTTGTATTCTACTATTGCTCGAAAATATTAAACACTCTTACTTGTTATACTTTTCGGTGAAACTGCGGTGGATAAGTATGATAAGGATTTTCAAAATGCGCGCTGTGCGGACAGGTGATTTAAACCAGAAAAAACTCAACGTCTATGTCTGCGTTGTACTAGTGTCCTATGCATACGGAATTTCCAATCCACGTCATCATCATGATCTGCTCAGTGGGATCATTCGCGAAGACTGAGGCTTAGTTGTCTCGATTCGTTGGGAAAAAAGCAGTTGCAAGCTCGGATCTTCACCTGCTTATCAGGAACACAACTTCGGGAGATCTTTGGAAGCACGGGGCCTGTCGTTTCGCGTGATAAGACGAGTTCTTGTTCCCGTCATCAATTTAGTACAACTCACTTCGATTCTACTGTAACAACAGCGGCAGAAAAATTTAAAGAATTCGCGAAAGGATTCAGATCAGCTACGAAAATTTAAAGATTCCGCTTCACTGCAGCGATTGCAGGTAGACCACTCGCGGATCATGCAGGAAGACCAGTAGCACCTAGACTCTTCAACTCGTCTGTGACTTCAATGTTACCTACTGTATCGCTACTAGTAGTCCGCTTTCTCTAGAGTTGTAGACTAGGTAACCCAACATGGTTACAGGTGCAAGCGGTGCTGTGGCCGATGGTAGCAATCGAGTACGCACGAAAGAGGCCGGATCCGTATTTTTACTTAGGATAAAGAAGAAAAAAAGGTTTTTTTGCTTTTTTCTGATCACTTTTCAGCTGTTTTTTGTTTTTTTCGAATATGTATTTTTATATTGTGGCACTTGCACATCTGCTGCCCGCTGCAGCTTGCTTCCTCTCGTCTCTGCATCATAGCTTTATCGTACTACAAACTGAAGAACGCCATTGTTCTTGCGGCCCTGTGATTGAATCTAAAAAAAAAAACCACAACTACGCAACAGACGCAAGTAACGAACTAGGTCGTCTCTTCACCACCGCGACATGTGAGCTCCGGCTAATAAACCTGGTAAGGGACATAGCCAAAATTGCACAAGTACGGGGATTAGCGAGCACTAGTACTTTGACCTAGCCATACCACCTTTAAGAGTATCAGTATCGCTGCGCTTACCGTTAAGAACGAACGGAAAGAGACGACGCCCGAAAGCGTCGTCCACCAGCGAAGCATAATTGTACGTGTAAAACAAAGAAAATAATTCTGTGTGAAACGAAATCATCCAGACACCGACCTCCTCCTCCGAAAACATTTAGATTTCCGACGCAGGCCCTTATCACCCGCAACCGAATTTTCAAAAAACATACATGTCGCTAGTGCGTCAAGCCAGCAGAGACTGCACCTCGTCGGGTTGTCCGAACCAAGCTCTATATCCAAAGCCAAGACGAAGAAGAAAGAGAACTAGATACTTACTACAGTGAGTGGTCACCATTCGAGATTTTTCCCGTCCAACCGAAAAGGAAAACCAGAATAGAACCGCATGGAAATAAAACAGCCCCGGGTGGACGGAAAAATAAGTAGGTTTCATCTCAGGTTTTTTAATTCTTCCAAAATCTCATCTGGTACAGCTCATTCTTTGTGTTTCAAGCAGTGCGAAAAGTTTTTTCAAGAAAACCTGTGATTAGAAAACCAACTACCCTCTTCATATTTGTTCCAATAGCTTTGTTCGATTTTTTCGCAATCTAAAATATGGTAGTTTTCATCCTCGATGAGATCCGTTATCGTCACGCCAAACGAAAAAAGCGAGATATAATTTCCAGCTCCCGGCCAAACTCTATTTCCATTCACTGCCATGCTTGTGTACGTAGTGGGATTGTCTCAAAAGACGCTTCTTGGCAGTGTAGTGTCCTCCGCGTGGAAATTAGTAGTAGTCCGCTTTGTTGTTCTTTGCAGTTAGTTCGTGTGTTGCCGCAAAAGGAACTTTCAACAAATGGCAGTCGTGACTCATCTACGGATTCTCATTCATCCAAAATACAACCTAGTAAACAAACTTGCTAAATATCTCTGTTGAGGTGCAAAATGCCTCCATAGTAACAAACTAACGCGGGTGGCATATTGTGTACGTGATCATCTCGCTGTATGAGAGAAGAGGTTTTGTGGTTCCTACAGTTGCTTTCAGTTCTGATAGTATAAATCCCTCGTCCGAAAAATCTTGCAGCAAAAAAGTTCTCAGAGTGAATAGTTTATTCGAAATACTTTCCTCTTCCACAGCACGACCGCGTAGTTTTTCGATAAAAATTCAATCCATGAATGAACCGAGTTCGTAAAGTATCAGTTTCAGAAACGTAAAGCAGTCCGGAATGGTACTTTTGTAGCAGTGGTCTGAATACTTATTATTCCGGACACATAGAAGCTTCGGTCATCTTCTACATGGCATACTAAAAACCTCCAAATCTCGTCCACCTACTCAGCGTGCTTACTACGGCTATCTATTTCAAGTACAATTCTTTAGCGCGCTTTCGTAGTTGTACAACCTGCTTTACTCCTACTACCCTCTCGAACTAAAAAACTCCGTAGCTTTCGATCACCCTAGCAATAATCTATTACCATAGTACATAGCGCTTGTGTCTGAAGGCCTGCAATTCCTCTTCTCGGGCATATCAGTGCAAGAGGGATGTTCTCTTTTTCGTGCGACCACCAAAGGGAAAGCAGGCAGAACCGCCCTCCGAATCTGATGATCAGCTTCTTGTTCCCCCGATCTAAAGAATAGCAAGCCCCACACTTGTCAATCCTAATTTACCAATAAAAATAGTCTTTCCTTTCCTTGTGACCAATTTTGTATATAGTGTTGACAGACTGATCCGATAGTAAAACTACTAAAATCTCTACGTTTTCGCGTTGTGTTCTCACTGGTGTTGTTGTGTTCTTCCAATTGCTGATATCTTCCTTGTGGACGTAGGAAGCCACATGCGACAGCCTCTTCAAAAAAATTCGAGCCCACAGACTCAAAATCCTCATCGAGGATGGCCGCGCGCGGCTCCCTGTAGTAATCTCCTCCTTGTGTCCACCGAAAAATCAGCTCTTCTCAAGAATTTCTAGATGAACTAGAATTTCGACATTCATCTTCTTCTGTGCTGATGTTGATGTTTACTTTTTCTCCCGAAGATGATAGATGACGTTGTTCTTCTTTTTTTCTCCACCTTCTCGATGAAGAAATCTACTACTTCCCGTTCTATTTCCCATTGTCCCCGTATGTTACAACTCCGCTTACTTGGGCATCTGCTGCAAGACCCGCATGGCCTCATCGACCTTCTGGCGCAGCTGGGTCTCACTTTCGAGCATCATCAGCAGTTCGCTGTTGTCCATCTCCAGCATCATCCCCGTGATCTTTCCGGCCAGGTCCGGCTGCAAGCGGCTGACGGCCGGGTACAGCTTCTCACCCAGCATCTGCTTCTGCATGCCCGGCGGGGCGGACTGCAGCATGGTGGCGGTCAGCTGCTGGTCGTTCCGCGGCATGGCCTGTTGCTGCTGCTGCCCCTTACCCTGCATCATGTTCGGGTTCTGCTGCCCCTTCTGCATCTGCGGGTTGCCCGCGCCCGGGAATCCCTTCTGCATCTGCATCGGCATCATCTGCTGACCCTGGTTTTGAGAGAGAGAGAGAGAAATGTGTCTAAACATGCAGATTTCTGAAAGTCCAACCATGCCTTCCAAAATCCTAAACCCTTGATCGCAACACACCGAGGTTGTTACACTACAACTACGACGAGCACCACTATATACGTGTTTTGCTGTCCCTGTCTGTCATGCGCAATACAGCATAGCAACAAGGTTCTGCTATGCACGATTCCATTAGAACCTAAACATAAAGTTCTACCTTCATCATCATCGGGTTGAGCTGTTGCGGTGCCGGGTAGCCCTGCATCGGCGGACGCATGCCCGGGAAGCCCATCTGCTGCATCGGACGACCGTTCTGCTGACCCAGCATCTGCGGCATCTGCATCGGCATCATCTGACCCTTCATCTGACCTGTTTGGTTTTTGCATAGAAAACTATTTGCGCATCACAGACGGCCTTTCTAGTATCACAAGGCATTTGTGCAATTCCACGAGACGCACCTACAGAGCTTTCCATTCAACAATACCGTTCTGGACGGGCTGCTGGCCCATGCCGTAGGTCTGGTAGCCACCCATCATGTTGGGTGCGGTCTGGCCCTTTCCGCCCATCATGTTGGGGGCCATCTGGCCCTTGGTGCCGTCGAAGGTGACGAGACCACCCTTGCCACCCTTCTCGCCCTTGTATCAAATGCAAAAGCGTCTCGGTCTTGAAGAGTGGAACTTGTAATGCTGTCTGTGGATTCTAAAAGTATCTGTGTTGCATGAGCAGCAAGAGGAGTCCAGTTCGTGGCACGCGGAGAGGGCATTTCTCATGCGTGACAAGCATCAAGAAGCTGTCAAAAAATCAGTGATGCTAGGACCTGCATCACAAACCTCACGGATCATGCAAAAATTGCATGACAAATCTCGCAATCTCCCAGACCGAGACATTTTTGCATTTCATACCTTGTAGCGCTGGGACAGTCGGTTCACCCGCTCGTCCTTCTTCTCCGCGAGACCCACGTACAACGGCTTGCCCTTGACAGTCTGTAGTGATAGGGATAAAAGTTTTTGTGATTCATAGAAGACCTTGGACGAAATATACCAATCTGTCATGCTGAAACCGCACTGTAGAACTGAATCCTTCTGAACAACAAAAAAATCTGTGATGCAAAAGCAAGTACTCAGCCTTAATTCTGTGATGCAAAAATGCAAAAACAACCTATACCTTCAAGTGCATTTCCGTGACCGCTTTAGTCGCCTCGTCCGGGGTCTTGTAGCAGACGAAGCCGAAGCCCTTGGATCGGGACTTGGCGTCCATCATCACCCGCGCGGATATGCATTGCAAATATGTCTGGGTCTGGAAGGTTGATGCAACTTGTCATGCGAATTCTGGATAGTGCAAAAATCTGTGTTGCAAGAGTACCAAAAGCTGACCACTTTTGACCAAGCTGAGGGGGAGTTTCTCATGCAAACGAGGCATGATAGAGGTCGGACAAAATCTGTCATGCTGGGTCATGTATGACAGACCTCACGCGCCATGGCAAACCTGCATGGCAAGTCTTCCAATCTTCCACCCCCAGATGACATATTTGCATTTGATAGCGGAGGTGATTTCTCCAAAGGTCGCGAACATGGTTCGGAGCTCCGCGTCGGTGCAGTCCTCCGGCAGGTTCTTGATGTACAAGTTGACTCCCACCGGGGCGGACCAGGTAGACTTGAACTTGTTCTTCAGCATCTGTTCGCGCTCCGCCTTGGTCATAGCGCGGGAGACGAAGAGCAGGTGGTCCGGGTGGTCATCCGGATCGATAATCTCCTTCGGCTCCTTGCCGTCTTCGGCCGAGACGACCTTGTCGGCCGGGTTGCCGTCCGGGTACTTCTCTTTTTCCTCCTCGGACCGGAGGTCCTTCTTGTGCATGTCCTCGATGGCCGCGCGGGCCTCTTCCGCGGTCTCGTAGTTCAAGAAGGCGAAGTTGCGGTTCTGTTGGAAAGATTTTTTTGTCATGCGAAAATTTCTTCAAAACTGCAATTTAGATTTCTTCTCACAAGTGAAATTCAATGTATTCTTCTTCACAAGCTTCTCTCACAACACGCCATCTTCAGCATCAGCAACGACAGCATTGTACACGAAAGAGAATTATGAATCTGTCGTGCATATCAAAACGCAACAGCAATTACCTTCTTGTCTTTCTGGGTCATGCTGCTGGTGACCTTTCCGAACTTGCCAAATTCCTCCAGAATCTTGGCCTCATCCCACTCATCCGGATAGTTCTTGACGTAGATGTTCGTGAAGTTGGTGATCTTATGCATTGCAAAAGTATCGCACTAGTACAAATCGCAATATAAATTTTTCCAGAAGGAAAAATGGAATTTGTAATGCTGATTTCGCTAAGAAACAAGATTTGTCATGCATGGTTGCAATTCGTACGAGTACGATACTTTTGCACAGGATAGATCTCCGCCGGGGTGCGTCCGTCACGCGGGATAAATTCGCCGACGTACACAGTCTTCTCACCGATTTGCATGTTGTTCACCTGTGATAGAGAAGCCGATTTGAGTTTTCATGCCGAGCTTAATGATGCACTGTGACACAGCAGCACGCACAGCGTTGTCTCATGCAGGTAAATCACTACTTACACTCTCGCACTACAACTCGGAACAATAACATGTTTTTAAAAGCATCTAAACGTAGATTTATCGCTCTCTCAACATCTGGCTACATGCATCACAAAGCCCCTCGTCTTCCCTCCCAAACTCCTATAACACTAAAAAGTACCTTCTCAATGGCCTGCTTGGCCGCTTCCGCGGTTTCGTAGTGCACGAAACCGTAGCCGCGGGACTTGCCCTCCTGATCGGTCGCGACCTTGCAAGACAAGATGTTCCCAAAGAGGGAGAAGGTGTCGTACAGGGCCTTGTTGTCGACCGCCTTATCCAGGTTCTTCACGAAGACGTTGCCGTTGCCGGTCTTGCGCAGGTTCGGGTCACGGTGGGACCACATGATACCTAAATTTGTATTGCAGGGGCGAGATGAAACAGTGACTTCTCATGCTCGAAACCGATTTAGATTGCGGTCTCATGTACTACTACCACAGAATTTTCAAACACCGATATGAAACAGCCCATTGGAGGCAAATGATCCGCCTACAAGCATCCGAATCTCGTCCGTCATGCATCAAAATTTAAAAAATAGTATACGGCAGCAGCGTCCCTTGATGGTCGAGTAGTTCAGGGTGTCCATGACACGCTCGGCATCCGCAGCGGAGTGGAAGTTCACCTGTTTTGTTGTAGGTTTGTTGACATGGTAAACAAAACTGAAATGCGTTTTGGCATGGCGACGTCCTCAACCCTCGCAAAAACTTCTCTCTCGAACGTTCCTCCCGTCAATCTTTAAATTTTGTAAATCTTCACATCTTAATGTCACCTGGCACAGATCTAAATCCGCAGTAAGGCTGAATCAAATCCTGCTCCGCGAGCACTACAACAAGGTCAAACAGGACCTAGCGTCGTGAAGTGCGAACGAATAATCTAAATCGTCAGCACCGAACCATAAAATCTAAAGAATCCAAAAAAATGTATAAACATACGTAAGCGTATCCCAGACTGCGACGGGTGACGGAGTCGCGGCAGACACGGATGCTGGCGACCGGGCCGACGGTATCCTGAGTAAAAACGTCCCCACACCAGAGTCAAGATGGGAAATCTGCTAGACAAATCAACCAGCTTTGGTTGTTTGGCATGACAAGTTTGTCCTCGTAGTGTAGTCCTTTTTTGCTAGTTCAGAAGCATCACAGACCTAGCATAGCATGCTGATTCTAGCATCACAAATTCCAAAACACGAACAGCAAATGCTTCTCATAGTGCTCCGCATGAGAAACTTTTTTGGCATGCAGAATTGCATGACAACTATGGGGTGGGGACGTTTTTACAAATGATAAACGGTGTTGAAGATTTCGTACAGCATGGCCTCCGTCACCTCCGGATCCAAATCGCCGACGTACAGAGACGCGAACTGCGGGGCGCCGCCCGGCTGGCCGGCTCCCGGGACCGGGGCGGCACTAGCTTGGACTGCGGGTTGTTGCATCATCTTGATGTGGTGGGAGGTTGCGTCTAAAGAATAAGAAGATTAAACGTAAGATTTACAGTTAAAATACACAAACACAAGGTGTAGTAGATTTTAGTAGTTTTTTATGGTCGTGGATGAAAGCGACGAGAGTTTCAGGTATGACGTGTAATTCCGTAGAGAGGTAGTAGGTTTTGAAGAGATTTAGAAATTTTTTATGTCGAAGAGAACTTTTAGTTTAGTTTTTATGCAAGTGTGGTTGTGTTGAGCGATTTTTTTTAGTTTTTTCGGTTTTTTACTTATCAGTTTTATAATAAGTTTTCGACGCTAGCAGATCCTCGAGAGATCAGCTAAAGTCCGTTTTTTGAATAGTTTTCAGCCCTACTGTTTTGTTTTTGGAAAGAGATGAGTTTTTGGATTATGGATGTTGTTTTCAACTGTCAAAACAGTCGCCTTCTAAGCGGGAAATAAGGATCATAATTTCACAGGTGGATCGATGATTTGTATCCTGGAGAGGCGACAGATTTTTAGTGCCGTCTATTTCTTTCCGAGAGCATGATTTCGGGTGCCTTCTAAATTTCGGGAACTCTACGGAAGACGCTGTGGGTGGCTGGAGTGCTCACAATGGAAGATTCTCTTTTTCTAAATTTTGGATCTTGATCTTCATGCTAGATTTCGAAAAGGACATTCCGGATCTTTGGAGCGAAGAAGAGGACCAGCAGAAGTTGTTTAGCTCACTCTCTCATCCTTGAGGTCGGCCTAGAATTTTTGCGCTGATTTCAGATTTAGATTTACTTCTTCGCACAGTAATCTCCTTTTTCATTGATCGGAGATGGGCAAATCTAAATTTTCGCTCACTCGAAATGCCTCCGAAGCAGGAGCTGTTCGTACCTCACTAAGTGCGGCTCGCGAAGGCACGGGGAATGATGGACGAGGAACACTGCATTGCAAAATTTAGAACTAAGCTCGGTGTCAAAACCCTCCGACAAAGGGCAGAAAAGCGCTGCACTAGCACTCGCTGTTAGCTATACTAGCAATCTTTTGCGCAACCACTAGGGCTCGCCAAAGACCGCGGAATATCCACTTTTCTTGTCGTCACTGTCTATCAGCTTCCCTCATCATGAATCGCTCTCTCCAGCGCTGCGATCTCCGCCTCCAGTGCCTTCGTTTCTTCTATGATCCGCGCCTCTTCGGCACGCTGGAGTTTCTTCGCGGCGGCGTCTTCTTCTGCTGTTGATTTCCTGCTAGGAGCTGCGTCTGCGCGTTTTTCACTAGCAACTTCCGCATCCACATCACGACCACCGGGAGAAAATTTCGCAGCGCCAGGTTGTTTCGCATCTAAAGCTTCTCCCCTTGCTGCATTTTTACCCTGTTTGTTCTCCTTGGCAAAGAAAGCGTCTATCTCTCGCCGCTGCTTGGCAGACACGGTAGGATTATGTGTTCTCGACTTGTTAATATTACCGCCTGCCCGCACTTTCTCCAACTCCTGCTGCAGTTGTTTCAGTTGGTGTTCTTTAAATCGTTTTCTCTTCCTATTAGTGTCCTCACTCGACTGGAGCATCAAATCCTTAATAAATTCCATCTGCAGAGGCTTCGTCGTTTCCGTGCGCTCGAAGTAGTCCGACTGCAAAAGCTGCCGCACGTCGAAGGCGCGAACCCGTAACGGGGTAGAGGGGGCTGGGATGCGTGGCGAAGATAAGGGGTCGAGGGGGTGATCTGCGTCTGGTTGCAAGCCGATACTACTCTCTCGACTTTGCTCCCGCTTTTTACTAGCGACGCTCGTACCACGGACACCATCTTGCGAAGAGCACCAGCTGCTATTCCGCCAACAGTCCGCGTACTCGTTTACCCTGTAGTCCCCCGATAAGTGCTCGTGCAGGTTCTGCAAGACGTGACGATGCAGGAATTCGGTATTTACCTTCGTGGTTTTCCTCGTTCGGTTTGCCGAGTGAGATGGAGATGATGAACCACTGCCAAAAAGCTCCGTGCCGCCAGAGCTACTGCTAGTTGTACTCTCCGTCTGTTGTATCTCCTTGTCAACATCTTCCTCCTCCACAAAGCACACGGGTGGCGGCGTGTTCAGATACCGAAGAATCAAGCCCGGATTTTGGTTCTTTTGGCCCGCCTGCAATTGCTCTTTTGGTCCTCGAGAGAATCCATGCTTCGTCACGTTCCCGAATTTCGACACACTCTGCACCTTCTCGTGCAGATCCCGCAGCACAGCGGTGTCGAGATCTTCATCCAGCACGATGTGGGCGACAGAAGGAAGAACATCATGATCATCCGAAAGCAGATTTTGACGTCGCAGGGGGACACTACCAGAGGCCGCAGCAGCTTTCCGCAATTTCCCGAACCTCCGAACCAGGAACTGGGTCAAAACCACCTCGGGGCTGGCAAGGAAGTTGCTTTGCTCCGCCGTTGTCCGCTTGGATTTCTTGTTGCTATCATCCTCGATGCCGTTTTTCTCTTCGTCAGCGGAGGCTGATTTGTCGTGATCGTTTCTGGCAGCGGAAGTGGACAACGTACCACCTCGGCTCTGCTGTGCCAGCACTGCCTCCTCTGTCGGTACCGCTTCCCGCGCCACACAAATCGCGAGGACGTCCCCGTCTTCGACTTGTTTCTTCCGTTTTCGCAGCCGGTAAATTGTACTCGTTTTCTTAATTTTTCCACCCGTTTGATGCCTCGTCTTGTTCCCGACGGATTGAGAGCTGGAATTGATGATATCTTCGTTCCTGTACCCGTACACCGCGACCGTTTTCGCGTATTTCGCCACACGGAAGCGTTGGAGAACATGAGGGACGGACAGCTTGTTATGCTTTGCTCGATTTGCTGAGGACAATGCCGTTGTACTAGCATGCGCAATATTGTCGTTTGGAATCACGAGCAACCTCTTCATCACTTCGTCTACCTTGACCCGCCACCACCGGTCGTTAGTCAGTTTAGATTTTGATGTTGTTCCGGATTTCATTTTACCGTTCGAAAGAAATACCTCCGCCGGCATCCGCCACGACAGGCTGATGACGTGACGGCCGATGCCCTCGCAGTGGTAACTGCACGCGACAGATTCCGCTTTTAGCTGTTTTTTCAACTCAAAACGGAGCCGGTGGAGCAAGGTGTCCAGGGCGGTGACTTGGGTCGAATCTAGCAGGGTCGTGCTGTTATTTTTACTGCTGTCTTCACTCGAGAGAACATCGCCAGAAGCGGCACTATTACCTCCCTGTCTCAAGTTATCCGCTTTCTCCCCAACCCGGTAGGGGGCCTGTTGGAAGTTGAAGGTCTGACTCGTGGCTCTAAATCTTTCCAGTTGCTGTGGCTCCTTTGGTGTCGCGTTCATTTCAGAGAGAGTATCCGCGCCTTGTGCACGACGCACACGGTGCTGTAGTGGCACCCCGTTTTCATCCGTTTTCGAACATAACGTCTGCTGCAACGCCATCGCGACGTTGTACTGCGAAATGACTCTGTGCTGCTGCTTCCGCTGCATAAACGTCGGCCGTCTTCTCCTTCTATTTTTCCGCTCCATTTCTTTCAGTGCGCGCCGGTACGCCTGCTCTTTTGCAGAAAACGCGGGGAGGAGGTAGGAGGGAAGGACTTTTCTTGAAGGTACTCCTGCGTGATGCAGAAGTTCTGCCGGTGCTCTGGTGGCTGCACCCACTCCAGCGAGAATTCGTGAAGCAGAGGTCGTGCAGCTCGTCGAGCTAGCGCTCGGGGAACAACCCGAGAGAAGCGCGTTCATACTTGTCCAGCTCAATTTTCTGCTGCACAGGAGGTTTTCGCGGTATTCGTATTTTACAGTTTCGGTGGCTGAAAAAATTATCTTTGTTTATCGTGTTGATGTGCAACTCGTTTAACAATAAAGAGTGTAGCTGACTGTTAAGAATCTGCATTCGACCACGACGGCAAGACAATTCTAACTTCGAAAAACGTCACCACGATGGACCAACTGCAACAGCTTATTTATATTCGCCACGAGAACCTACTGCCAGTGTCGAACCACGAAAGACCAGCCGACAAATTGGGCGTCAGTGTCACCGACGTCCGACATAATCGAAAATAAGAAAAACCACCGAATCTTCACCCCAGCTGGGCGACAAAGTAAGCTGCATGGAGCGGCCACTATTTCTATCGCGCCCGCTTCATTCTCGTCGCAGCGTCACCTAGCTTCCGCGGCCGGCTTTAAACTTCTAATGTTTTTATATGTTTTTTGTCATACAGGTTGAAGTTCAACATTTTCAAAAAATTGTTTGCTCCACAGCGGAGGTGAAAGTTTTTCGAAAAAAAAATCGCTTCAGGTTTCTGAGATACAGATAATTGTAATGCTCCGTACTGCTGTAACGGTACTTACAATGTTGTCGCTCATCGACTTTTGGAGGTTACTAGACAAGTACTTCACTTGCTCCGCATCGTGTTTGTAGACGCGATGCAGTTCGTCATCGTAAACGCATCAATCAATGAACTACGATGTAGCTCCACCGCATTAACTCAGACGCTTGGGCCGCTTCTTATTCATCGATGTGTGAAGTAGTAGGAAACAGCCTCGCTACTTAAGTACTTCCGGAATCGTTCCATCACTTCTTCCTCTTCACCACCTCCCACCCGTCCGCCTGTCCCCCGCCCCCGCGGTTCTTCTTCTTCCCACTCAGACCCCCGTTACTGTTCCCTTCGCGCTCCGGACTGCTGTTGCTGTCCATGAGACTCTGGGCGATCATGGCGTTCGCGGCGTGCTCCATGCTGATGCCGTACTTCTGCTGGATATCGGAAACGAAGAGAGACTTCTGCTTGGAATTATTGCCGCCTTCGTCGTCCTCAGCGTCCGCTTGATCGAAAGCGGATTTGGAATTATTGTTCATCTTCCCGTCTTTGCTGTTCCCTCCAGCGCTCATCTTCTCCTCCGCCGTCAGAAATTCTTCCGGGTTCAAACAGAAGCCCTGTTTGTTGACCTTGCAACTATTCAACTTTGGAATTTCCGCTTCCAACTTTTTCACGGTTCGGCGCTCCCGGTTGTTCAGGGAAGACTGCTTCTGCTTCAGCAAAAGTTGCTGCAACTCGATGTTTTTCGCCTTCACCAGCTGTTTGACCGTGGTGTTCAGAACCGTTTTTGCAGGAATCTGGTTCGTTTCCGCTGACTGCTGTTGGGCTGCAGCAGGAGAGGTCAACATCTGCGGAGAAGTTGTAGTCGTGACCATAGTACCCTGTAGTTGTTGTGACTTCTTCATCTCTTGCTCGTGCTGAAAATTAGTGGTGCCTTTCGTTGGCGGAGAATTGGAGGGAAGATGAACACCACCATCCTCATTCTTCTTCTTGGCTTGTTTATTTTTCTTTCCCGCGCCGCCCTTCCCGCTTTTCCCGGTGGGGGAGAGGAAGCGCGCGTAGACCAAGTACCCGGTGTAGGTGGAAACTGCGAGGAAGGCGGTGGAGAAAAAGCTGAAGACTTCGAAGGTGGGCAGGTCCGGGTACTGGCGCTGCAGGCTGCTGTACTGGGTACGGAAAAACTCGGAAAGGTCGTCCATTTTTTGATGTTTTTTTGGGAGTTTGTTTGTTGTTTTCGTAATGTAGTGAAGTGAACTGGCAGGGGTGATACTTAGTCGATACTCGAAAATTGAAAACCGAATAACCACCGTGCGTTTTTGGTCAACCTAAAATCTAGTTGGGAAAACCTCTAGAATAGTTCTTGTGACTGAAAGGATTTTCAAACTGGACAATGGACTGTGCATGATGTGTGTAAAAATTTCAAATTGTTCATTGGGCATTTTTTGGAAACAATAACAAACGACAAGCAACCGAGCGCCGGCAATACAAATAATTCAAATGCGGATCATGGCTATCGGTATCGCTTTTCAAGCCGGGGGGGTTATAGGAGATCCTCGAATGGCAGTGCAATGCCTCGTAAGTTGCAGCTTCAGCAGATCTGCGGTGCTACTAACCAAGTATCCGTCCATACTGTTGTGCTCGAACTTGCAGATGAAAAGATCCTGTTGCAGAACGCTCAGAGTCGTAGTTTTGCTAGTATGTTGTTTCAATTTCAATTTCTTTACGTTCGTCAGTGAACAGGAGAGAGTAACTTGTCGGAAAGAACAAGTGTCTCCTACAACTACGCGTCACATCTGGTTGGGTCAGGAAATGAAAAAGCAACGAATAGCATAAATGGTGCGCCGCAGGGCGAGACATGAGAACCCAATCATTCTTAGTCTATGTGCATCTGAATGGCATTCCGGCCTCAGCGTAAACAGCTGAGAGGGTGTTGAGGTCAATATCATGATCGCGTGCTGGTGACGCAGCTGATGTGCTGTTCTTCGCATTATACTCCTTTGTCGCGAAGCCAGCAGTATTTCTGCTGTCAGCGTTGCTTTCGGCTTCAAAAGGCGCAGCACCACTTCTGCTGTCCTGATCGTAGGATGCCGTCGACGTCTGCTGTGGGTGAAAATCCGCCCCTGCCGTCCTCTCGTCGAAGTAGTCCTGCTCTGCTGCTGCATCAAAGCCTTGCTCCCGCTCATCATCCGTTCTCAAATCATAATCTCCACTTCCTCCTTCCGCCATCATCCTTCGTTCGAATTGCGGCTTTAAAACCTCCAAAACTTTCTTCGGAGGCAGAATCTGCAGCTTCAAAAATCCCTGCAGCATCCGCCAGGCTGTGGCTGTTTTTTTCGCACGACAGTTTTGGGCTGCATTATCATGTTCTTGTTCAACATCACGATGGAAGGAGAAAGAATCACTTGTTTCATCCCGAGTTGTTTGTGTTTCCGAACAATGCTCAGCATCAAATTCGGTTTCCAGTCGCTCCGCCAATTGATCTTCGATCTCCTCCGCGAGAGTTTCGAAAAACGCGACTCGGCTATCGAAAGGAAAAATCCCCCCTCCCCATATCAAAACGGAATTTCTGATGCTGGATCTGTGTACACAAATGAGCTGCGTATTGCAGGGCAGCATTGCGGCCAGATCCCCAGGCTAGGTAGGGGCGTATGGGTCTAGTTGCTCAGCATAGCAAACGGCTCCCCTTTAGGCCCAACAGCATGACAAATCGCTTCCGTAATGGAGCGGAAGACTCGCCCTTGTCTTTTGGCAAGACAAATGTGATTTGTGCCCTCAAATCAGCAACACAAATTTTCGGAAACATACCTTTTCAATAGGGGGAGGGGGGATTTTTCCTTACGATATCGGCCGGGAGAAGGAGAAGGAGGACCTTCGCCTTCCGTTTGTGGGGCGGTGGTAGTACTTGTTACTCCAACAGGAGCGTCGTGAAGGTCTTCTTTAATATCACTGCTTCCTGCGCTCGTCCCGTTTATTTGTCGTGTGGAGGCCCCCTCCATGGATGTAACATCATCAGGAACAGCAGCACGGAGAACAATATCATCATCTTCAATCACGGTGGTACTATCATGATCTTGATCATTTGCATGATTCCTATCGCTAGTACCCAGCATCTATCAACTGTAAAAATGTCTGGGTCTGGAAGAGTCATGCTGTTTCTGCATGACACAGAAGGTCTGGCATGGAAGCTTTAGCATCACAGGTTTCGAGAAGCTTCCGCAATGCCGAACCCGCATGACAAATCCCCCATTTTGGTGACAGAAAGTGAGCAGCTTTTGCTACCTATGCATGAGAGATTTTTGTGTGTTCCGAAATGCGCATCACAGGTTACATCCTTCCAGACCCAGACATTTTTACATTTGATAGCATCCCCGTCCCTATTATCTCCAGCATTTCCACCACCTGTTCCAAATTCTCGAAGTCCCGGGTATAACCTGCTCAGCTGTTACAATCTCAAACGTTGCAATAGAATACGGAAATCTGTGATGCAAGAGTGCAAGATTTAGCCAACTCGTCTCATAGGATTGCGCATGACAAGTTCCGGAGCCCCAAACCCCACTTCAACAATCTGGCGAAATTTGTATTGCAAAAGGCGGAACACTGTGCGAGTCTGTCATGCTCATCATGCACAGCACAAATTCCAGACTCTTTTGTAACGTTTGAGATGGTAACCGATTTGAGCAAGTCATACCGGGAAATTTTCGCGCAACACCGCAAAACCACGCTGCCGCAGTTCTTAGCCGCACTATCGAAAGACTCTTCTTGTTCCGCTTCTGCTCCCTCTACCTCGGAAACGATGTCATCCATCAACCCGCATTTTTTCATCCAGAAAAGTACCGACAGTACCTGTTTCGCGTTACTTCCGGACAACCCGCTGTAAAGAAACTGTTGAACCAGCTGTAAAACGAACGATTGGTAGTTGTCTTTCTTTCCAAACATCCGGACCAAGTCGATCAACACAAAACACGGCCACGAGTTCTTCCTCCTCTCCTGGTAATTCATCCCTGGGCTGACCAAAGTGCTGTGCCGCAAATTCTCGTTCCTCACCGCGTTACACCCACTCACAAAGGAGTTGTAGTCGGAGAAGTTTGCGAGCCGGAAATTTGCAACGTGCACCGCAATACTAGAAAACACGTCGTAGTCTTTCCTCGAGATCTCAAACGCTTTCAGAACTAAATGCAACTCCCGGATGCTCATCAAGTGCAGCGACACCTTCACCCGTTTCGAAAACACCTCCCAAAACGCCGGCGCGGTAAGCGGGCGCACGAACCGGTGGGCGATGAGCCTACTAGAAGAACTGTTTGCAGTTCGGGACTGTTTCGCGAGGCTAATCTCGTTTTTCACTACGTTCAGTGCGGTTTTGAGCAGCGTCTGCGTGTCCGCGTGAACCAGAATTCGGTCGTAGTGCTTGCGCTTCGGCGCGCGCCCCAGTCCGCGGCCCGCGTTTTTGTGTCGGAAGGGACCGTCGGTGGTGATGCTGCGAGTTTGGGCGGTGCAATTCCGAAGCGATTCTGTCGTGGTCCGGCAAAAGTGCAGCTGTAAGCAGCTCGACGAAGCAATTCTGGTAGCAGTTTTTACTCTCCCTGTTTCGCCGGACAAACGGACCGAGCAGGACGAGTGGGACGGGACGTGGGGCATCTTGTTTCATTGAAATGAAAATGAATCGGAATCTTCGGGGAAATCGAAATTAACGGGGTCTTTCTTTTTGGACCAGCGGCGAATTAACGACAAACAAGTACTCCTTACTACGTCAACACTCGAAAACCTTGAGCTTTCTATTCTGGTTCTGCCTCGTGAAAGAATACCGTGATCTTCTGAATCTTTTCATCAACCGGCAACATCCAGGGCGGAGCGAAGATCACACACGTGCGAATTGAAAAAGTCAAACTTTCCTCCCAGCCGCACGAAAACGGAATCGGAATAAACCGTCTTGCAGGATCTGCCGTCGAAATAGAGGTGCTTTGTCGCTTTTCGTCATGACTCGAGCCTTGTTGTCTTCACTTTGTGTAGTTCTACTTGTAGACGTTTTCCTGGTCGGCCGTTGTCCATTTGTCAAGAACTGGAAACTTACTTCACTGACTTGTCAGCTTCCTCGAGCATGTCGCACTACATTTTAGAAGTACGTGATAAAATCCACTTAAACCACTAGAGTGAAACTGTTCGTTTTTGAATACTTCAATCTTCTGGATCATCCTATCGCACCATCACAACTACTTTCTGCATCTCAAAACCTCCGCCCCGTTGGGTCTGTCCGCGTCCTCGCCATGCCCCCGCCGCCAAAGTTGAACGCCGATCGCCGCCGAGCAACCAGCTGCTCGCGCTCCTGTTTTTCCAGAGCGTACCGCCGCCCAACGTCCGCGTCCCCGCCATAGCGTTTGAGGAATTCTCGCACGTCGTTTTGGTGCATGGCAGCTTTGAGAAAGTCGATCAAATCCAGTAGAGCCGTGTCCTCGGGGTCCGACCCGTCGCCGAGGCCCTTAAACTCGGGGATGACAATAGCATTTTCCTTATCCTGTGTAAAGACGTCCCACCCGCCCAGCTGTCATTCAAATGCGCGACCATGACAGGAACATTTGTAATGCGCATCTCCATGATAGGTGTTTCCAGTTGTGTTTTGGAATTTGTGACGCCGTAAACAGGGTGAGAAAATGGCTTTCTCATGCGGTTTCCCTAGCTAATAAAAGCTGGAAAATTGTGTTGCAGATTTAGCAACTTGACTATGGGATGGGGACGTTTTTGCTCAGGATATTCCTTGTGCTTTTCCACGGCAATAGGGTCATGGTCAATGTGGATTACGCGCTCCAGGTTTCGCCCAAGTTTTCCAATGTCCTTGCGGAAGTGCTTGTAGTACCGGGTGCAGAACTCACGGTGCAAAACGCCACCGACCTGTGGTTGGATTTGGTGGATGTCAAGAACACTTTGCAATCTTGCAGAACAGGGAACAAGCCGAAGAAATTTCAATTTGCCACACTTGCGACGCAATTATAGTTGATATAAATCCAGGAAAAAGCTACACTTTGTTCTTTCAGACAAAAATTTTCGCCGGTGTGTTCAGATCAAATCGCTTCCGATTCCAGCTTTCACCCCAGCAAACAGACAGCACATCTGCCATGCACAGTGAGTACTACCGCGCAAACAGACGAACAGGCTGTGCAGGAGAAAAGTAGAACCAAAAAGCGATCAGTCTACAAAAGGTAGTAATTTGTCATCATGCGTAGAGATATTGTAGTACTGGCGCGAATGTCGCAGCACATCGCAGGATCTGGATCTTTTGTACTTGTTACACCAATGTCCTTCTGTGATCTCTTTAGATTGATTCCTTCTTTCTCCTGCTAAGTATCGTCGAGAATGAAGTAGCTAGAAGTAAACGGCTTAAAAAATCTCTACCGGGACTCCCCAGCGTTGCATCACATCCCCTGCAACCGGAAAAACGTCGTCAGAGAAGACAACAATTTCGTAGTAGTGCTGCAGCTCATTGAAAAATTTGTCCGCATGTGGGCGCTTGACGACCTGTACGTATTCATTTTTTGCAGTGCGCAGGGAGCGCGCATCAGTTCGTATTGCATAGCAACCAGCTTGCAAAAAGAAAAATTCAAGTTCGACACCGCAAAAAACGCACACAAGAAACCCCCTAGTCGATTATGTATACCTGCCACCCAGCTTTCCGGTCGTATTCCAGCTTACAGACCGTTTTGTCCAAATCGATCACGAGAGTTGGCAAGTGCGGGGGGTACTTCAGCGTTTCGAAGTCCAGCAACCAGGGCTCCGCCGGTGGGGGCACCAGCATGTCCCCAATCCGCATGAAAAACTCCCGGCTGTGGTGGTTAAACTCGTCGAAGATGTTTTCGTCCAGCGTCAAGCCGTAAGCTTCCATCTTTGTCAAAATCTCGTCCTGATAGCGGAGTGCTTGCTATTTTCATTTTGTGTACTACACATTTGTCATGCGGATATGAAAATAAACCATAATTTGTCATGCGGAACTGACTATCATGCGAAGTACTAGGACAAAGCAAAAATAAGTACCTGATACACTATCCCCAGTGCCGCTCCAGAGCAGCCAAGGAGGAAAAGCGCGGAACTACCAAAGCCGTTAGACTTACCTAGGAAAGACAAAGAAGTTGATGTGTGTGCATGAAGAATAGACATGGCGCAAAAACGCAAGGAGAGTTGTACAAGCTTCTTTGATAGTTTATCGGTGCAAAAATACGACGAACTGCGAGCAACTACTTACGCACCACCTTTGTGGTGCTTTCTCTCACACGAGCACCAGGAACAACCTTCTTTGTGAGACTGAAAACTCTGCAATTATACCACGCTTCTTCCGTGCCTGTGTTCCCGCTGTGGCAGAATTCGTAGAAGAGGAACTGCTGCTGCTATTTGCCTCCGAAGCTGCAGCTCCCGCACTCGAAGAATTCCCGCCCCCCTCACTTTGCGACGAGAACGCGGCGTGTGAAAAGGACCCTGCGGCACTCGCATCCGGTGCGGCCGTTGCTATGGAGAAGGGTCGGAGTTGACGGGGAAATAAAGTGAAGTTTTTCGTGATATTGTAGCCCAGTGCAGACAAAGATTTTTCAAGAGCTGCACTTCTGCCTTGTGCCGGTACTGGAGTAGGAAAGGAAGGTCGGCGCTTGAAGTTTCCACGAATCACAGTAGCTGCACAGGATGACGACGAATTTATTTTCGTCTGGCTCGTACAATTTCCTTCGCTCGTAGTTGCAACACTTCGAACTTGTCGTGCCAGCCCGCTAGTTGCTTTTGATCCAGAACAAGAAGAAGTAGCACGGCATAGAGATGACCTACAACTTCTGTTCGTTGTATTGCTGACGACCGAAGGGCTCGCATTGCTCCCGAGGACGCTCGTTGGTGCGGTTCCAAAATTCCTCCCTGTGGTTGTTCGACATGAAGACGACGTTGCCCCGCCCTGCTGCAGCCGGGTAAAAAGGAGGCGCGGAATGTTGCAACTACCGGCGGAAGTAGTAGTACCGGTGCGCGCTAGCACCTGCAACGGAAGCTGATGCGCCATGGTTCAAATTCAGATAGCGATTGTGTTCTCCCGATCAGTACAAAAAGACTATCAGTAAATCTAAAGTTGCTCCAAAGGTGGAGGTCCGTAGCGCCAGTCTTTCTCTAGCTCAAGAAGCCGTGATCACAAAGTTTTATGCCGTGCCCCCTAGGAAGTTAGTAGGGCGGCGCTCATCACGTGGCCGTAGAGCATATTCTTATTCAGTGTGAAACTCAAATGTGATCAACAGAAGAGACGGCAGCAAAGTCCTTTTCAAAAAAGCAAATACCTAAAAGCAGTAGACCACTTCGGAAAGGATCTAGAATGTAGTGCATTATACGGCGACACACGACCACCAGACTGGGATCTTTTCGGAGAGAGTTTCGTTCAGAAAAAAAATTGAGTGAATGAACCGACAAAAGTGTCAAAGTAAAGGAAGGTGTAGATCTGTCTTCATTCTTATTGCCGGGTTGCAAGTCCTAAATGTTGAGATCGGAGATCGTCCTACCGCACAGATGCTGCCGCGAAATCGAACAGAAATAGGCCCACTTCTCTTGCTGGGCAGCTCTAGTACTGCTTCTACCAGTCTGGTGCGCAACGCATGTTCTTTCGAGATTCGCTTTCTGCTTTGCATCAACATGACCGTACTAGGTTTGGAAAAAATGGAGACTCCTTCACACTGAAATCTCGATCAAACCGAGGACACGACAGGAAAACAAAAATTATCCTAGTTCAACTATAGAGTTTCTTGTAGCACCAGCGGCGACGTCGTCTTTCAACCCTTTTGTATATGAGAAACCTCCTTCCCACGACGCTTCCTCACGAGGACTCCGAGATCTGCAACTGGGAGTTGAGGGGAATGGAAATGACCGACGTGGCGCCGGTATCTTCTCCACTGCTCGCGGGCTCGAAGGCGGAGAAGCCGGATGCGTGCGCTGACGTCCCGAAATCGAAGGTCTTTTCCGCGTTTCGGGCCGCGCCGGGGCTTTGGGTTTGCTGCTCCTGCCGCGCCTTCTCCTCCACGTGAAACTCACGCATGTACCTTGGATCAAAATTTCACAATCATAATTGTTGACATATTTTTGCTTTTGCATCAGTTCTGCCGGGCGTTGAAACGAATGCATTTTATTTCCGCAGCGCGATGGACCTGCAAGCCGTTCTATTTTTTCATGATGTTCACTCTACAATATGACAGTGCCCAACTCCCCCTTTCCCTCATTTGTATTGCATGAAGTGCATCTACGAACGCCAGCGACACTGGAGCCTGTGCATGACAAATTGATGTGCCTAATGGAGTACTGTTTCGGGCTTTCGAAATTTGTCATGCAAACAGTGCCACAGGGCAGCGACTGGATTTGGGATTTTGCATGACAAACGAGGGAGAGGGGGAGTTGTGCACTGTCATATACAATTTACCTCGCCATCGCGTCTTCCCCGGAGGTCAGCGAAGAACTGCTGGTGTCCTCAACAGAGGCAGCAGTCGTGGAAGTGGTAGCGTCAGTCGATTTTGAAGAAGTTGTAGCAGAGTCTCCTGCGTCAAAAGCAGAATCCCAGTCCCGAAGCAGCTTGTCGTTGATATTCTTTTGTTCTGACTTCTTCTTTGTAGAAGTAAACTTCATTTGCAACAGAGACGCGGGGATGTTACTCACCTTCATTTTCTCCCCCCGCGCCCGCACCTTGGTTTGCGCTTTCACCTTTTTCCACTCCGATTATTGCAATGAAAAATGCCCCCAATCCGCAATTTGCAAAACTTTCTCATGCAAAGTTTCCAAATGAACGACTCTTGTCTTGCGCGACAGGACTACGAGCATTTCTGATGCAGAATCTAGCTGCGCAAGGCATCTTTTGCATAACAGATCCGGCTGCCGTTGGGCTCCTTTGCAACACAAATTTCTGAGCCATTCAGCATAAAAAATTTGTGATGCTGATATATGCAAGACGGGGAATGTTTCCATTGGAAAGGTTTGCAATACAAATGCTGCTAAGTTCTGGGGTGGGGGCATTTTTCCTGTTGATACCGATTTTTCCTTCTTCTCGTTTACGGCGAAAGGCGTGTGGATGTCCACCTTAGCGGACCGTTGCATCTGGATCTGCTTGTTCAAATCATCCGTGGTAACTGGTTTCTTGTCCGATGTGCCATCCTGCTGCCGCTGTTGCAACAAGGCTTTCAAATTAGCGTTTGACTTCACCTTGCGCCATTCTTGGTCGTCTATCCTGAGTAAAAACGTCCCCACACCAGAGTCAAGCTGGGAAATCTGCTAGACAAATTTGTCAGCTTTTGCTGCTGCGCATGACAAGTTTGGCCTCGCAGTGTAATCCTGTTTAGCTTGTTCAGCAGCATCACAGATCTAGCATATCATGCTGATTCTAGCATCACAAATCCCACAACACGACTAGAGACTGCTTCTCATGGGTCTCCGCATGAGAAACATTTTCAGCATGCAGATTTGCATTACAACTCTGGTGTGGGGACGTTTTTACTCACGATATCGTCGTTTTTCTCGTCGTTGACGAATTCGCTGCTGATGTGAAAGCTGTGCATTGCAAACATGTCTTGGTCTGGAGGGTTGCAACTTGTGATGCACGCTGCAGGTAACACAAAAATTTGTCTTGGGCGAGTAGCACAAGGTGCCCAACATGTTGGGCCATGCTGAAATGGCATTGTTCTTCATCTTCATGCGGAATACGCATTGCAAAGCCATTGCGATGATGAAACCTGTGATGCTATAGTGCCCTGCATTGCAGACCTCGCGGAGTATCCGAAGTCTGCATGACAAACTTCTGGACTCATGCAGACCTCACGGATCGATATAATTTGCAATGGATAAAAGCCCCGGTTGTACAAAGACGTCTGCGCGTGGATATCCTGTGCACAAGTATCGTACTGGTATTAATCGCAACCAGGCATCACAAATCTTCATTCCAAGGTAAAACAGCATGACAAGGTCCATTTGTCATGCTGACCGAATTTGTGATGCGATTTCTACTAGTACGATGCTTTTGCAATGCATAGTGGACCTGCTCTTCCAATTTGTCCGCTAATTTCTCCCGTTGCTTGTTATTCGCAAACAGTTTCAGCTCCTTGGGCTCCTTATCAAATGTAAAAGTGTCTGGGTCTGGAAGATTGCCGGGTTTGTCATGCATATTTTGAATGATCCATGATGTCTGTGATGCATGCCCAAGCATCACAGATTTGTAGAGTACTTTGTGATGCCTCTACCGCATGAGAAATGCCCTCTCCACGTAGCACAAACTGGAGTCCTTTTGCTGGTCATGCAATACAAATTTTTTTAGAATCCAGAGAAAGCATTACAAGTTTAGAATCTTCCAGACCCAGACACTTTTGCATTCCATACTCCTCACCGAAGGGGGAATCTGTCCCCCCGTGCTGCAAACGAAGGGAGTAAATTGCGTCCGGTGCAGAAGCAACAGCTCCTGCGAAGTAGAGCAGAGAACGACGAAATGAGTACGCATTCTTGCCGCGTGGCGCCATCTTTACTCCGAAATCGAAACCGAATCAATGTATGATCTTTGGAATTATATTATTCGCTTATAGAAAAATGTCAAAGTAAGATTTGAAATGAAAACCGCCCGCGAAGGGGTGACCACTCAAGAAAAAGACCAATTCCGATGGTTGTTGTAAGTAGGTGCATACGAGAAAAATAAAGCGCCCCTAAATCCCCTGGGGGCTCCACGACCACGTCGAACACGCTTGTTTATCAAAAAATTTGCTCCGTCAGGTTCTTGCCGAGAGGGAGAGGGCGTTTCGTTTCTTTTTCCGGACTGAAGTGAAGATGTCGTACGAAATAGAAACCACGCATCTGATTCTTCTTCTTGCACAAGAATGGGTAAATGATTGTAGCATCGGTTTCATGGGAAAGAGGATCTCTTTTATCGGATAAAATCCGAAAACCACTTGTTCTGTCCAGAGACTGAGACGGACAGGACTGGTAGCACGACAGCACAAAATATCATAATAGAACTTCCGGCTTACAGAAACATCACTCATGATCAGACGCCGTCATTGCACGAGCTGATGCGAGAAAACGGAAAGCAGATAAAAAGGCGTCCAAAAAAACGACGTGACCAGCCATTTTTAGAAGTCCGGCGGTGGAATTGTGTACAGATGAAGCCGCGCTGACGAGTGGCGGCCCCTGAGTTGTTTATTTCCGCATTCGAGTAGTTGTCACTTTCCCCCTGCTCCACCTGGCGCAATTTGTTCTCTCGACTTGCTATCAACGGCAAACAAATGGGTCTGAACCACTGGAAAGACTTGGATTCGCGTGTTCTCGGTAAGTCAAAATCATCTATCAATCTCTTTACTTATGCCCACAAAAATACTTTTGTTTCTCATACAAACACACGGCATCTTGTAGTGCACGACACTTCGCATACTTGATTGCCCGACCTAGTACATCAATCAGCAGTACTTGTATGTAGTAGCGCATGACACAAGTTCTTTGTTCTTTCCATATGTTGATCGTCAGACCTAAAACAAATTTGCAATTGATATTTCCGCTCCCTGTACAGATTCAACATTTCGTTCAGATGCGCCATACCGAACCCCTCCAGCGCCTTCGCCAGCACCCAGTTTGGCACCCAGGTCAGTGAATCTGTCTCCGTGTAATCCACCACATTTATCCTGAGTAAAAACGTCCCCACCCCAGAGTTGTCATGCAAATGCGCAATAACAGGAACATTTGTAATGCGCAGCTCCATGAGACGTGTTTTTAGTCGTGTTTTGGTCTTTGTAATGCTGTAAACAGGATCAGGGAGTAGCTTTCTCATGCGGCTTCCCTTGCCAACCAGCACTACACTGCAGAGGGAAACTTGTCATGCATAGCTCCCAAAACATGGAGATTTGTGTTGCTAGATTCCCAACGTGACCCTGGTGTGGGGACGTTTTTACAAATGATAACATAGCAACTGTTTTTGTCGTACGGATCTTTCCGCAAACAGCCGGCTTTCACAGTTTTGAACGCGGCCCCATCCGGAAGGGGCTCGTCCTGTTCGATATCCCAAGAGCACGCCGCGTAGGCCATGCCGCAAATGGGCGGAGTTGTAGTTGCAGCTATTTCCGCCTGCTGCTGTTGAAAAATCGGGTTCATAATATTCCGGACCGTCACCGTCTCTGGGATTCCAATGAGCCACTTCATCCAAGTCGGGAAGGCGTTCAAGTGAACCAAAGCGAACCGCTCCCCCCGGACGCAGGTTTTCCCTACCTTCAGGACTTTCGTTAAATGGGGTTTAAACAACTCTTCCAGCGCCTCTTGCTTTTTCCCCGACCGGTTTACTAGGTACTCCTGGTTGTTTTTATCCCACTTTTGGTCCCAGCTGGTCCTCTCCGCGGAGAGGTTGCCGAAGCAGTCCAGCGCCTCGCGGAGGTTGAAGTTCTGCAGCCGCATCACCGTGCGAATCAAAGACTTCCGGGTGTCCTCGTCGTAGGTGACAGAGATGTGGATCTCGGGAGTGAAAGCCAAAACTTCCCACTCAGGAGACGCTGTAGATGTTGTCGACGCGGCCCCAAGGAGCTTGCGATACCTTATTCATTTTATTGGATCATACCGAGTTGTACTAGGTGGACGCATCGTGTCAATGTTGTACAATCCGCAGTGGCTTCTATGTATAAGCATGCCCTTCTACGCGTACGCTGTGAAACATGAAAAAGAATCTTGTCGTGCTCGTGGTGCAGCACAATTACAAGAACATGTAGACGATGCTTGACGGTTCAGCTAGGTCTCAGTTGCACCATTCTAGTACCTGGCAAACCGCTGCTCGATTTCCGCCTTCATGCTTTTCTCGTATTCCGGCAGGACTTTTACCTGCACGGCCGCCATCAAACGCAGCACCTCCAGTTGCTGGTCGGCATCCTTTCCCTGCACGATGTCCTGGACCATCTCCGTGGTGCGGGCCAGCCGCTGCAATACCTGCCGGAAGTTTTTCACCCGGGACAAGGCTTCCAGGAGGGAAAACGCGACTTGAAATTCGGACTGGAAGGCTACACTTTTATCTAAAAGCATCCGGGCCCGGTTATGCTTAGCAAAAACGTCCCCACCCCAGAGTTGTAATGCAAATGCGCGATGACGGGAACATTTGTAATGCGCATCCCCATGAGAGGCGTTTCCAATCGAGATTTGGCATTTGTAATGCTGTAAACAGGATGAGAAATTGGTTTTCTTATGCGGCTTGCCTTGCTAACCACTACTATACCACAGACGGAAACTTGTCATGCGCAACTCCCAAAGCGTGGCGATTTGTGTTGCAGATTTACCAATTTGACTATGGGGTGGGGACGTTTTTCCTCAGGATACCGGTTCAGAAACGCAGACGGTTTTTGCGTGATCGAGAGCAGCTGCTGTTTCTCGCTGAGCGCAATGTGGTCGGGGGCGTTGTTTCCGGTTAACCTTTCTTCCGCGACCTTCTTGAAGAGCTGCTGGTATTCCTCAAACAGTTGTTGTGCTCCCGCGGCATCGATGTTGATGTTGATGCCCGTCTTTTGATTATTGTCTCCATGATCTTCGTGGTCTGGACGAACTAGATCCATGTCCTCGCCTCCCTCTAACGCTAGAAGCTCTTTCCTGTACTTATGCACCGCAAATATCGAAGATCTGGGTCCGGATTTGATGTCATGCAAGAGTTCAGAGCCAACTAGATCTGTGATGACATCTAAATGCGCCGAGTCGCCAGCTTTTTTGTCATCCTCAATTTTCTTTTTGTCATGAACTAAAGAACGCGAGGAGTGAATTTTCGGCAAGCAGCCGAGAATAAGAATAAGAACTTGTCATGCTAGAATTCTACCAAGTACTACTACATGCCGGCACTCTGCACTGCAAGTTTCAGCAACACAAATTTCCAGACCCAGACCGATATTTGTTATTGTGCATAATACTTCTGGACGAACAATCTCTCTTTTTGGCGGAACTCGTCGGAGAGAAACACTTCGTCCTGTAGCAGAATCAAAAGTTGAAACGTCTGCTGGTCGAGGCTGCTGCTTGCTATCGCCTCCAACGCGGACCTCAGTCTGTTGTTCCGGTCTTCCTCCCAATACCCCTGCTGTTTCTGGCTGGTCTCCGTCGACCACGATTTGGTGGCTGGCTGGACGGCCATAGCGATCGTTTTGTTTCCACGAAATTGGAGGTGAAGCGTCCGGAGAACCACAGCAGGCGTGAACCAGGTCAGTGGAAGACGATCAGTTTTTGATCTAATCTCTGGGTTGGGGTCCAGCAGGAGCAGTAGAAGACCTTTTCACGCTTACTTCTACTCAAGGCCAGCGCTTGTTATGTTGCTATTGTGTCCGGTGTGATAAATATTAGCCGTACTTACGCTTAGCTTCTTCTGCAACTGTGAAAACAAACTTTTGTTTCTACCGTGCAAATAAATCAGGAATAACCACGAAGACCACTTCTACCGCGAAATTACGGTCTTCTACTCCAGGGAAGATGTTCTTGAAAGAGGTTCACTGTACCAGCACAGCTCATGAAAACTAACAGATGAAAGATAGACTAGACCAGTGTGTATCTTGGGGAGTACAAGTAATCGGACTACTACAGTATTGATGGGACAACCAGGGAACGAGAAAGTAATCGGGTAGTATTGAGGTTAGGTTCTCTGCGGAAATTTGAGGATAAGCAAATAAAGCACGCTATATTTACCTTTTTTCAAGAAATGCTGCGAGCCGAACTCGATGCAGAGGACTCCACCAGCTGCCCAATAACAAGTGTATATTCTACTAAATAAATCCTCCATCAGCCTGGTGCTTCCAACAATCTTTCTAATGAAATCTTTCTATGAATTCCGCGCCCGGTCGGGCGATACGGCAATCAATCGTTGCGCTTTTCACTTTGCGAAGAAAAAACCGCGACGCGCGCATTCCGGCGGCCGCGCGGCTTAGACGGGAGGCGCAAAACCTTCTTCTTCAGTCGCGGGCCGCAGTTGTGCACCGCATACTGCGGTCAAGGGCGCCCCTTTAAGGGGCGGGTCGGGCGGGGCTCGGGCTGCGCGGGGGCGGTCGCGCGATAATCCAAAAATTTTGGCGCGCCATACCGTCGCGCCTAATTTTACCCCGCACGGTATGGCGGGCGCGTGATTTTTGCTCATTTTCGTGTGGGCTTTTCTTTGTTCATTTCTTGCATTTTTGCGGAGGGCGCTTTTGCACCTCAAACGCGATTGCATTCCGCTTGATCAGGCCGAGGCCTCCGTCCCAAAAATGGCAAAACGTTACACCCCTAAACACGGCGGCACGCTGACTAAGCTTTCAGCGTGCCACCGTGTTTGGCGGCAAGACAAATTTCGGATTGAGCGCAAGGCCCATTACAAATGGGCGATTTTTTTTTTCATTTTTTCATTTTTTTCTTGCGAAAGACGATGCTACTGCGGACCCACGGAGGGTCCAAATTCGCTATTTTTTCGCAAGTGTACCGGGGTGATTCGCGAGACAAAAAAACCATCATTTTTCGGATACCAATGCGCCCATGGACGCAAAAATCGCCACTTTTACACCTTCCCCCGGTGGGAGGCTGCGTTTTTGGCGCACCTTTTGGCCGCCCACGCGGCCGACCCCGGTTCCAGCTTAGCAAGCCCTTCCCCCGATGCTACTGCCCCACTTTGGGGGGCGCCCCTTTGTTCCATCTAGATCCCCCGTAAGGTAATCCGCCGTCGCTTCCTTGCTTCGCAAATGGGAAGCGGGTTCGCCGGGCCCGGGGGCGACACTAAATAAATCCTCCATCAGCCTGGTGCTTCCAACAATCTTTCTAATCAAATCTTTCTACGAGCAGTGCCTTCGTTTGTGATAGTTGTGAGGCTCCTGCTTTCTTTCTCGTCTCGTCGTCGTCGTCACGGGAAGGATAATGAAGTTTTGCTTTTGACACTTCATCTGGCGCACGACATGAAAAACTACGTGCGGTCGTTCCGTTGCAGTGTGGTGCACGGAGAAGTAAGTAAGTAACCCTGGACGAAGCGAGTGAAAACGGAAAAGAAACGGCCAAAACTAGACGTATTGTGTGGACGAATTCTGGCAAGTAGCTGAACGAGTAAGTAATGCAGGCAACCAGCACACGACATCAAACAATGAGCTGCGACAGTTCTTAAGAAGCTACGAGTACAACGGTCCAATGTATTCTGTACGATACTGACAAGCGAAACGTAGGTACAAAAAGTAAAATCCAGGCGAACAGCGCCGCTTGAAAGTAGCCTACTGCTACCTTCGACAAGCACGGCGAAACTAGCTGCTTGGAAGATCTCCTGCGCCTCTGCCCGTCGTATCCTGGGTAGCTGTTTTGTATATTCCAGCGGGGGTGAGATTGTTTCTGGTTGCGGATGCGGACGAAAGTTAAAATAGTGCAAAAAACACAACGGGCTACGTGTAATTTGTCTGTCGAACAGTAATTGCTAGAGAAAATGCGACGTATTGATTTGAATACTTATGTAGAAGATGTGGTAGTTTGTATTGCTTTTACTTGATCGTAGAAGTTCGTCGTAGCAAACGGGAGATATGGCTCAGTGTAAGAAACAAAAGATGAAGAAAGAAGTGTAGCTTGTTGACCCACTGTGACTTTGATCGCGTTCGCGGAATTTGCAGAAAAGCTGTTTAAAAGGAAACAGGATAGTACCTGGCACCTTCCGTTTACAACTTGGCTTGGTGATGATAGGCTAACTTGATGTACGAAAATTCTGTCAAAAAATGATCCAAGTACAAATGGAAAAACGCGAATGCTAGGCCACGAGAACGCGAAAGAAGCAGATGTAGACCTAGACCTATACAACAAACAGGAAAAAAAAAAAGCAATCTATCGGGTTGCTGCAAAATTTTCGATGAAATCGGCAAAAGAAAAAGCTCTTGGTGCGTGATCTCGGTCACTGGGCCACCTCTGCTGGATGCCAGCCTTTCACACCAGCAGCACGCCCTCCTGATTTTCCCCAGAGGACACAACCAGCAGCTCCGGAACAGCAGGATGAGGAGGAGCGTGCTGTTGCTCCGTCTCGTCCGCACCAGCAGCTGTAGCTTTTTGCTCCGGGAGGCCAGGAGCAATCATGCTGCCGGGCCCCTCGGAGGACGTCCGCCCGGGGACAGCAGGCGGTCCTTGAAGTCCTCGAGCAGAGAGATCAACATCTTCCTCGTCGTTCGACTGCAAAAAGGAGGTGGAAGCAGAGCCGCTGCCGAGCAAGTTGCATGCCGCACCCTCCCAATAGTCGGAAGAACAGTACGACATGCAGAGCGCGTAGTTGGGGTAGAGGCCGCCATACCCATAACACTTCATACCGGAACTGCAGCAATTTCTCATATTCATCGGAAAGCATTCCTCATTTACCCCGAGCAGCTGCTGGCACCCTGGTGTTGCAGGTGTGGGGGTCGGTGTGGCCCACCACGGCGTCGGGGCTGGCGTCCAGGCTGGCGTCGGGGCTGGCGTCCAGCTCCAGGCTGGCGTCGGGGCTGGCGTCCAGCTCCAGGCTGGCGTCGGGGCTGGCGTCCAGCTCCAGGCTGGCGTCGGGGCTGGCGTCCAGGCTGGCGTCGTGTGAAATTCAATTTTGAAGCTTGAGCTACTTCATGCATAGAGAGAGGAACTTCAACTTTAACTTTTGCATGAAGACAACATAGTACAGTGATAGTTTTATAAAAAAAAAGTACCTCCGGCAGCAGCCTGCGGCCCCCAGCCGGGGCAGTTGTAGGAGCTGATCCAAATCGCTCCTGGAGGGTTGGCGTCACTCGGGTACCAAACGATGCGCAAGAGGTCCCCAGCATCGCCTGTCCAAAAACCGTCCTCGAGTCCTTCGGGCCCGTATCCCAAAGCGTCAGGTTTATGCCAGTCCGACACAGAGTAGCCAGAATCGTAGTTGTAGTTCCCGTCAATGTAACTGAACCTGTTGCAGGCCATTTGGAAGAAGGCATTTTTCGTGTCATCTGCGTCCCACCCCAGGTCCGTTTTCCAATAGGCGAAGTCGGCTTTTTCTTTACCCCAGATGGTTATCAACTGCAAAAATGTCTGGGTCTAGAAGAATGCCAGACTTGTCATGCAGGTTTTCCATGGCCGCCCATGAGGTCTGGTACTATGTAGGACATAGCATGACAGATTCTGTGAGATGAGTTCTATCAATATCATGTCTATCCTGCGTGAGAAACTGCCTCTCGATTAGGTCAAAAGTGGACAGCTTTTGGTAATCATGCAACACAGATTTTTTTCACATGATTCAGATTTATTAGCATGACAAGTTGCTTTGTTCCAGACCCAGACTACATTTTTGCATTTGATAGTCATAGTGGTGTCGTCTTTCTCTGGCTTTACGAGAAGTACGACTTGTTCGTGCGCGCCCCATTTCGTCTGACTGTTTCGAACGGTTTCGTCGTCGTCTTCGGTCAATTTGCGAAACTTGATGGTGTACGAATTCCTGCAGCGATGGAAGTAGTCGGATTATCAAATGAAAATATGTCTGGGTCTGGAAGATTCCCAGGTTCGTCATGCATATTTTGTATGACCCATGACGCCTGTGATGCATGACCTAGCATCGCAGATTTTTAGGAGGCTTCCTTGTGCCTAATTCGCGTGAGAAATGCCCTCTCCGTGTAGCAGAAACTGGGCTCCTCTTGCTAGTCATGCAATACAGCTTTTTTTTGGATCCAAGGACAGCATCACAAGTTGCATCGCTTTCAGACCCAGACATTTTTGCAATCCATACGGATCCTGAGTAAGAACGCCCCCACGTCGCCTATTTCAGAGCCAAGTAGATGGGAAATAAAATTATGCTAGACAAGTGCAAGTCAACAAGTATTGCCATTGCCTGGGGCGCATGACAATCTTGGGCGCGGCGCACAACTGTCGTGTTGTTTAGCGAGAAGTTGTGCAGGCGCATCACATCAAATCGCTCGTCTCGACGTCCTGATTATTGCATGAAGACAAACTCCCAGATTATATATCAAGTTGAGCCATGGCCAGGCATAAAATGAGCCGAATCGAGCAACGCAAAACCGGAGACCGAGAACGAACCGAGAAGCCGAGAGGTCCGGTTTCTCTTTTCCCGATTTCCCTTTTTTCTGTTTCTCCTTTTTCGGTTTCTCTTTCCCCGGTTTCTCTTTTCCGGGTTTCTCTTTTCCCGGTTTCTCTTTTGTCGGTTTCTCTTTTCTCTGTTTCTCTTTTCCCGGTTTCATTCTCTTTTCTGGGTTTCCCGGCTCTCCTTTTTCCGGCTTCTCTTTTTTCGGTTTCTTCTTTTCCCGGCTTCTCTTTTCGCGGCTTGGTCTTTTCCCGGTTTGCTCTTTTCCTGGTTTCTCTTTTCCCGGCTTCTCTTTTCCCGGTGTCTTCTTTTCCCGGCTCCTCCTCTTTTCCCGGCTTCTCTTTGAGCCGATCGAGAGGCCGAGAAGCCGAAAAAAAGGCAAGAAGCCGGAAAAAGGCCGGGCAGCCGAATTTCGGCTGCCCGAGAAGCCGAAGAAGGGCCGAGAAGCCGAAAAATGGCCGGGAAGCCGAAAAAAGGCCGGGAAGCGGAAAAAAGGTCGACCGAGAAGCCGAAAAAAGGCCGGGAATGCGAAAAAAGGCCGGGAATTCGAAAAAAGGCCGGGAATTCGAGAAAAGGCCGGCCGGGAATTCGAGTCGAAAAAAGGCCACAAGGCCGAGAAGCCGAAAGGCCGGGAAGCCGAAAGGCCGGGAAGCCGAAAGGCCGGGAAGCCGAGAAGCCGAAAGGCCGAGAAGCCGAAAGGCCGAGAAGCCGAAAGGCCGAGAAGCCGAAAGACCGAGAAGCCGAAAGGCCGAGTAGCCGAAAGGCCGAGAAGCCGAAAGGCCGAGAAGCCGAAAGGCTGGCCGAGAAGCCGAAAAGCCGAAAGGCCCGCCGGCCGAGAAGCCGAAAGGCCGGCCGAGAAGCCGAAAGGCCGGTCGAGAAGCCGAAGGGCCGGCCGAGAAGCAAGCCGAAACGCCCGCCGGCCGAGAAGCCGACCGGCCGGCCGAGGCACCGAAAGCAAGGGATAAGGAGGTCCGGGAGAAGGGCAACCGAGAAAAGAGGAACCGTCCCGGGAAAAGGGGGGGGGGCGGGAAATGAAACCCAAGCAAGCAAGCAACAGAACGGAAAGCCGGCCGCTCGGCGGGCTCCACGGGCCGGCCTTTCGGTCCCGCGTCCTTTTGGCTTCTCGATGGTTCGGGTTCTCGGCCTTTCGGCCTTGCGCTTTCGCCTGTGCGGCCTTTCGCTTTCAGGCCTTTCGCCCCCGGCCTTTCGCCTTCGGAAGCCTTGCCCAGAAGGCCGGCTGGCAGAGCAGAAGAAGCCGGGAACGTCGGCAAGGCAAAGAAACGCTGCCGGCTCTTCCGGCGCGTAAGCCTTTCCGGCCTTCCGGTTTCGGGGCCCGTTTCTTCTCGCCTGCGTTTCGCATTTTGGCCCTAGCTTGCTCGAGTGGCCTCCTTCTGCGCCCGGCCTCTGGCCTTTCCTTTGTTCCAGAGCCCGCGGCCGGGGGCCGGGTGCTCGGCCGCACTCACCAACCTTGGCGCCTCGGCCTCCGTCGCCGTAGCCTGGCGCGTTAAGGTCCAGAGCTGTGGCTCCTAGGACGCAAGCCCCTCCCTCTTCCCCGGTTTCCTGCTTCTCGTTGCTCGAGACACTGTGGCGACAAAACCTGCCGACTTGTAACATTCGAAAATGCTCCTCAATCAGCTTGCTTCGTCTTACAAAAGCATTAGCACGCATCTTGGGCATGCAGATTTGTATGGAATGACACATACGGGGTCGTCGTGGGCACGTTTACTTCGCACTGGATAAAGTGCCCGTGTCCTTCACCTTGTGACATTTCCCCGTTGCAGTGTCAAGGCCAAACTTTTCCCCGTTGAAGTCGGTATGGGGGTGTCAGGATCGAAATGGACAAAGTCGAAAAATTTGTGACTCACAAAATCGATGCCAGTTACTTAGCCCCACAGTTTGTAGTCGGCGCATGACAAATTTCCCCCGTCCTGGAAGCGAATCAGTCCTGCTGTCTAGGGCAAAGAAGCTCCCGCCCTTTGTCATGCTAGTCAGCAGCCCAACTCGTCTTGAAGACCCTTAGCTGCAGGACTATAATCTGCCTCCCTTGCATCCTCTGCAATACAGTCACTTTTTGAGCAGCCGCGTTGTAGTTTATGCGATGACAGATTATTTCGACTTTGTCGATTTCGATCCTGGCAGTTCCATAGTCGGCTGGCAGCACGTATCCCGTTGGTGGAACAAAAATTTTGACGCCGCTCTCGTGTGAAACGGTCTCCGCCTGGAGCTGGTCGCGCGTCCCCAAGTAGTAATTGCCGGTTTCTTTGTACTGGGATGACTCCAATATCAAAGATGTTTCATCACCACCCGCACTGGAGCCGCCAAGATGCGGCGCCCCGCTTTCCCCGGCGGACGCGGGTCGCCCCACGGTCGAGTCCACCTCACCGTCTCCCCCACAGCCCTTGACGTCGCCGCAGCTGGCGCTACCGGTTTGATCGTCGTCGCCGCCGCCCTTGATCTCACCCGTAGAATGCTCGCGCACGTCCTCCTCCGTCCCACGTCGAACGACCTGCGCCGCATCGGAAAAGCCCAGCAGATTGCTCGAGCTGCTCCAGAAGCTGCACATCCAGAGCTCGCACATCAAACTCGAGCCTTTCAGGAGGCGCAGCAGTGGGGCCGAGAAACCGGAGGGAGTGCTGCGGAACAAACTGCCCCTCGAGTAAACGAGCAGCCCCGGCGAAGAAAAACTGCCCAGCATTCGTCCTGTCATTCTTGTTGTGCTGAGTGGGCGTTTTGGGGTTCTGATTCTGAAATGCTGCGGAGAGGAAAGTGTACTTCGACTCGTTACACTGAGGAAAAAAAAAGTCGATCGCGATGAAAATAAGGGGAACTGGATTTTTTTCAATTCGATCTGTTCAGCGTAGAAGCAAATGCTAGTAGACTGTCGAAAACGGCACGTGTAAAAGTAAATGTCACGACCGCTACAAAAGAACGCCTGTAATAGAAATCCAGCGGGCTATGCCGCGGGTCTTCAAATGACGTACTTAGAAGAACAGGCACTCTTCATCTTGCGACGAGGAGGACGAAGCTTATCACGACGGGAAAAACATTAATTCTTGACACTTCTTGTTGATGTGCACGAGATGAAGTACGATGAGGCCGCTGAAGCGCGCTGCGCGGTTTTCGTTGAACGAGTGCGAAAACGAAATTGAAACCAATACCAAGAATAAGAAAGCCACAATATTGATTTACGAAAAACCCATGAACGAGTTCCAGGAAATGAATGAAAAATCGGGCTGGGGGATGTATAATCGTCGTCGATCGCATTTTCTAAGCAGAACACTTATCGTCGTCGCAATGGCGCTTCCTTGGGTCTTCCGATAATATCAAACGAAAGTTTGGAGTTCCGATCCGGCAGAGTTGATGTTGAGGCACTGGAGAAACGTTCAAACTATCCAACATCCCGCAGAAGGAAAAATAGATACAGAAGCAGAGAGAAATGAAAGCAACAGCCTCTCGTCTCCGCATAAAGTACTTAGGCGTGTTTGTCTGATCCAAATTCGGACTAGTCCTACAGGGAGAACCCGTTCTTCGGGTGAACAGGAACGGCAGTCGTTGTCTGGGGGACAGTCAAAACCCTTTCCTCTGCAACAACCGCTTAGATCTCCTGCGCCTTTGCCCGTCGTGTGGGTAGCTGTTTTGTATATTCCAGTGCTGGGGGTGTTTGTTTCTTGTTGCGGACGAAAATTAAAATGTAACGGGCTACGTCGAACAGTAATTGCTAGAGAAAATGCGTGTTGATTTGAACACTTATGTAGAAGATGTACTAGTTTGTGTTGCTTTTTCACTTAATCGTGAATAGGTTATTGCAGAAGTTCGTCGTCGCAAGTGTTAGAGATGGAGGCACCTTTTCAAATCAGTAAAAAGAAAACAGACGCATGGCTTAATCTTGAGACGTTGTGACCTTGATTGCGTTCGTCGAATTTTCAGAAAAGCTCTTTAAAAGGAAACAGGATAGAGATAGTAGTACCTTCCATTTACAACTTGGCTTGGTGATGATAGGCTAACTTGATGTACGAAAACTCTGTCAAAAAATGATCCAAGTGCAAATGGAAAAACGCGAATGCTAGGCCACGAGAACGCGAAAGAAGTAGGCCCATACAATAAACCAGAAAAAAAATCAAAAAAGCAATCGGGTTGCTGCAAAATGAAAAATTGTTTCGATGAAATCGGCAAAAGAAAAATCTCTTGTTGCGTGATCTCAGTGACTCGACCACTTGAGCTGGATGCCAGCGTTTCACACCAGCAGCACGCCATCCTGATTTTCCCCGCGCGCCATCTCCTCCGGCGCAGATGCAGTGGCGCGGTCAGTCCGCTCGGTCCCTTGTTCTTCGGGGACGTGTTGCAGCAGGGAAGCCTCTTCGGGCATCGAAATGAAAATTCCCCCTCCCGTACTCAAAGGATGATTTGCGACGCGGATTTGGGCAAGGTAAATCAGACTTGTTTTGCGAAAAGAGTCCGCACGATCCTACTAGGTCTCTTTGGATGATGTCGGCGCCGTTATCTAGGTCGTGAGCATCATGGCAGACGTGGTGTCTACTGCGGCTAAAACACAGTAGACAATGCCTCGAAACAAGTGCTCCTTTTCGCTGTTGCTTCTCGTGTATGCAAGACGAAATTCTAATTTGGTGCAGCCTCAAGTGGAAATGACAAACATTTATTCGTATTGGAGTACTTCTATCGGGAGCCCGAGGGAAGGTTTTTCGTCATGATACCGAGACCACTGGGCAGAAACTGGCTTTCGCGCGAGGCGGCTTCCTGCTCCGCGGTTGTGCTGCCGCTGCGCGCCTCGAGGAGCTGCGTGGGAGGATGAACCAGCGGGTGACCGAGTTGTTCAAGAACTGCATCATGTTGCACATGTTCGAGAGACGATTTTTCCGGGCGGAGTGCCTCCCGCTGCAGGAAGGAGGAAGTGCTGTGACGGGTACAGTGCCAGGGGTCCGTTCCGGGGACTATGGGCGTTTTCATCATCCCTCCGATCTCGCAATCCCACGAGTCGATATACCCTGCAAGTATGTCTGGGCCTGGCGTCATGCGAAAAGAAACCCGATCACAAAAAATAAAAAATCATCTGCGTTGCTGCATGAACGCAAACAGGCGGAGGAGGTGGATTCATCACGCGGAAGGGAAAGGGCATCGAGAAGGACTCGCAAAATATGTGATGCCTCCGTGTGCATTCGAGACCATATGTGATTGTGTGGTGCGAGAGATGCATGACAAACCTTGCATTTTTGCAGACCAAGACATGTTTGCTCTGGATAGTCGAGGCAGCCTGCCTCCCAGTCGTTCTTTTTGAAACAAATCATCTGCGTCCCAGTCCCAGCATTCACCCCGCAGCAATCCGGGTTGTGCTTGCAAGATTCCCCCCAGCCGAGCTGTTGTAGGCACACGGCCGTAGTCGGCGTCGAGGCAGTAGCAGTTGCAGGGGCAAAAGTAGTTGCAGTAGCAGGAGCAGTTGCAGTCGCTTCCTATCCCAAAAAAAAAGCACACTCATATACAACCAAAAAAAGCATACTTTTGTTATGCTGTTCTCCTGTCGCTGAGGCTTGTGCAATGCTGAGCCGCAAGAGGGGTACTATACGTGACGCCGTGCACGTAAAATGTAATGCGGAGCAGGATGAAAGAGGAGGTCATGCCGTGAATTCTCATGCTGTGTGGCCAACGCTGGAGGGACTTTTCGGGAACCAAAATTTTTAGCACGGCAAACACTGGTGTATGAGTGCACTTTTGGCTGATGTATGAGTGTACTTTGCTGTGCGATACCTGCGGCCCCTGCCCGGGGCAATTGTAGGAACTGATCCAAACCGCGGCGCCCTTTCCTTCATAGGCTTTTTCCATGTTATCAATTGCAAATTTGTTGCCGTACGCGATCTGCAAACGTTGCCTCTGGCTCTGCATGTGGTCCTTGGCAAGAAATAAAGTCTAAGTCACTAGTCCAACTACATTTTGTTGATTTGCACCAGTATGTATGTGGTCGTCGTCGTCCATGACTGACACAATAAACTAACTAGCTTATGATCAGGCACGCCCCAGAGGATGGACAAGTTGGGAAAAGAGCACAGAAAGACAAAAAAAAACTCCGAGCCATCTCTTGGAATGGGTGAAGGGACGCACACAAGAAAAGGCGGGAAGGGGGGGGGCGCGAGTCCGAGCGCTTGCCAACTTCCGGCGCTTTTGCTTTGGCGGGCCCTCATGACTTACGGCCATCGCGTGCGAGTGCATGGCCTACGCGCGTGGCTGTCACTGTTCTCATGACCTAAATGCGCAGGCCCTTGGTTGTTTTGCTCATGACCTGCGGCCATTGCCGTGCCTGTTCCTCTTTCGCTTTCCTTTTTTTCATTGATTTAACGAAAACGGGCACCGTGGCGCTTCTCTGCCACATGTTTCGACAACGGCTCGCAATTGCCCCCCCGAAAGCGTGCGCGAACCTTCACATTCGGAGAAACAACGGGACACCTAGCCCTGGTGCGCGGCTATTAGGGGTTGCAGAGCTTACGAAACGACAACACGGGGGCCGCAAAGGCAACAAAACGACAACACGGGGGCCACGAAGGTAACCCCTGGACTCGGGATACGGTTCCGACACAGCTTGTATGCTTAGCTAGGCCGCAAGAACATCTTCAAACGCATATCTAAGGGGGGAGCGGGGTCGGAATCGGGGGGCTTAAGCTTTGGCCCTGCTCTGACTGCGAGACAGAAGCTGATACAGAAGGGCTCGACCAGTCAAACAGGGAAGACCAGTCATCTCCTCCGTCCTCATGCAAATAAAGAACCGGCGGTGGAGGAGCCGTGCTAATTACTCGGCCAGGTAGTTTTAGCTAGACGAAACCACAACGACGAGTACACGAAACCACAACGACGGGGGACGGCGGGAGGGCGGGTAGAAATGTGATTCATAGGGGAGAATCGCTGGGCAGGGTCGGGGCTATCTACTTAAAAAGAGTGAGCTTAGACAGAGCTACCTACTTAGCACGCAGTTGCTCTTTCATCCGGATCTTGTTCGTTCATGTCACTACGGGGGTCGTGCTACGGGAGTAGTTGATCATGTCAGTGCAGGCCCAACCGAGAACTGTTGTAATCACCATCATTGTACAAGATATCACGGCCAGAGGGTGCCTTCTCTCCTTTTTTAAGTACAAGGAATAGCTAATGTCAGTACAAAGGAGGAAGGAAGTTGTGAGGAGTTTATCCGTGGGGGGTCTCACAAAATATCCCAACCGTGGGCTTCTTAGCACGACTACTAAGACGGTTGGTGGTCCTTGGTAACCCGGCAACTCCCCCGGGGGGTGGTCGTCGTCGTCCATGACTGACACAATAAATATTAGCGGTTTTATCAAGGGTGCCTAAAATTTGAGACTGGGGCACTTTTGTTCACGGGCACGGCATATGAACTGCAAAGGATCGTACTCGTCTAAATGCATTGCAAATTCCCTCAGCATGATCGGATTTACCTTAAGAAAAGGATTTGTAATGCAAGACTTGCATTTACACGAGTGCGATGCTTTTGCACAGGATACGGCAAACTTGTACCATGGCATACCCGTCCGTTGATTCCTATGGCAGTGCACAACTCCCCCTCTTCCTCCTTTGTCATGCAAAATCCCAAATCCAGTCGCGGCCTTGTGGCACTGTTTGCATGACAAATTTCGAGACCTCGAAACAGTAAGTACTACATTAGGTAAGTACATAAATTTGTCATGCACAGGCTCCAGAGTCGCTGACGTTTGTATATGCTGTTCATGCAATACAAATGAGGGGGAGGGGGAGTTGTGCACTGTCATAATTCCCACTGGATGCGCAACAGATCACCCGCGTCGCCCTTCCAAAAGCCGTCGAGCAACCTATCGTCGCCCCCACCATCAATCTATGCATGGCAAATACCTCTGGGTGGTCTGGAAACCTGTGATGCAGCAAGTCAGTCAAGAATAAGTAGTGCACTGTAATGTTGCACCGCGAGGCATGAAAAGCTATTTTGTGCTTCTTTGGTGCGTATCTGTTCCGCATGGAAAATTGCGTTTTTGCATGACAGGCGAGCGAGGCTGTTTGTGGCCACACAATACAGAGTACAGAGTCATGCCAGACTAGCATGACAAATCTCGCAATCTTGCAGACCCAGACATATTTGCACTCGATACGAACAATCCCTCCCCGTCAAGAAATTCCGACACAGAAAAGTCACTTTCGTCACTAGCCAGCCTTCCATGAAAGGGCTCAAAATTGTTGCAGCTCATCTGATATCCAGTGCAAAAATATCTGGCGGGTCTGGAAAAAGAATTGCGATCTTAGAATGAAGCGAAAATCTGTGACGCATAAAGAGGAGCGCCACCAGATCATTTGTCATATGCTTAAAAACGCAAGAGGCCGGCATGCTTTTTCCGCACTCCAGACCCTTCAAAAACTGCGTCATGCCTGGCGGGGCACTGAAGCCCGTCTCTGATGGAGAGACTTCTACAATGCCAAGTTTATTCCAGACCCAGATCTTCGACATTTGTGATTGATACTTGAAAGAAAATGTCAAGTTTGTCATCTTTTCTCCACCGCAGGTCGGTTTTCCAGTAAGAGTAGTCTGCTTTGTTTTTTTCAGTTTTGGTAGTCGGGTCCCACCTTACTGGTTTTTCGATGAGGACGATCCCTTCCTCCGCATACCAGCCCTCCTGCTCCGAGCCGTCCCGTCTGCGGAACTTGAGCGTATCCTTTCTGCACCGATTGACAACCTTAGCCCTCTCGACTATAGGATAACAACGAAGTTTCCCCGTTTCAACCCTTTTCCCATCCTTGTCCGCTGGTATCGCGTGACCAAAAAAAAACCCATTCTCTTTCGTATGGAGAGGAGAAAAAAGTTTCTCACAAGTTCTTGGAGGTTTTACTGCATGATGTGTACTTTGAATTTTTTTTTGGTACATACAGTCTTGTTGCATTTTGCAGAAATACTAATGGAATCCCGCACAAAGTTTATTTTTGCCCAAAGAATTAACATTAACACAATAATATTCTTGCATTGCAAAAATGCCCAGCAGCAGTCGTGATCGTGAGAAACTTTTTCTGTTGGATACCTCGAAGACGGGGAGTAGTAAGGGTCTGGGGCGTAGCCGTGGGTGCGGATTTGGCTCCCATAAAAGACGTTCCCCTTGTCAAGGGCTGGGAATTCAATGGACTTTTCCGAGTGCGGCGCATCACGACTGACAAGTTTTCCCGTAATCCACCCCGCCTCGTCTTGCTGCATGAAAAGCTCCTCGGATTGCAGAAACCCTCCGAAGGTCCAGTTGGGAACTGGCCCATTGCCGGGTTTGCATTTGGTGAGCGGATCCCTGTACTCCTTGACCAGACCAAACGTAATCTTAACAAGATTAGGAGGATTACCAGTCGGCACCTTGTCTTCTTTTCCTGCGGGACTGCATCCTCCTCCGCAAGATGAGACAAAGTTTTTACATGCCGCGTCGCTTTCTTTTGCCTCGGGTCTGTCGCACGCGGCTTTGTGATCGAAACGACAGTCAGCCGACTGCGACTTTCTGTTGTGGTCCCACTCTAGATTTTGCCACAGGGCGGGAAACTGCCCCGTAGTGCGGTACGAGCAGACGCAGTTATTCGCGGCTTTCGCACGACTAGCTCGCATATCAAATGCAAAAATGTCTGGGTCTGGAGACTTGTGATGCTGCGTGGCGTCTCATGATGAGGCCACAAGTGCTGGCGCAGCATGACAAGTTTCTGAGCTTCTAGGTGTTGCATATTCTGCATGACAAACTGCGTTTCTGCATCACAGAAAAATGGAGCTCTTGGGTAACGTGCGTGACAGATTTAAGAGTCATGCCAGACAAGCATGACAAACATGCATTCTTCCAGACCCAGACATTTTTGCATTTGATATCGCACGACCAAATCTTTGACGCAGTCATCACGAGCGTGCTGCTGCCTCTCGCGAGGTGTTGTCAATAAAATTACCTCGTGGAATTCTGAATAGTGGTCAGCTTCGTCCATCCGCACAGCTCTACCCCCTTTGTCGGTTTCGTAAAAGACGTCTACCGCGCAATTTTTCGCCCAGTCCCCAGGTGATCCCATGGGCGAGCTCGGATCGTAGAAAATCTTGATGTTCCCCGCCTGATCGTACTCCACCACCGCGTTTCGGGCATCACACTCCTGGCAACCTGTATAGGAATTGCCATAATGCTGAAGTGTCACCGAGCCTTCAGATACGGGTAAGCCTCCCAACCCATAGGCCTTATCAAATGCAAATATGTCTGGGTCTGGAAGGATCCGAACTTGCGATGCGTGTTTCGGATCCTACAAAGATCTGTGATGCAGAATGTGTAAATAAATGTCTCCACTTCTGGCCATGCTGAGAGGGCATTTCTCATGCAGAACACGCATCACCAAGGAGCTGCAGAACCTGTGATGCTAGGCCCTGCATTCCAGACGTGGGGCCGGGGGAGCTTGAAAAAACTGCGTGACAAATCTCGGAATCTCCCAGACCGAGACATTTTTGCATCTGATAGGCCTGTGGTCCGAACGATTGCTCGTCCACTTCCCCGGCGGACTTTGGTTGCCCCACCGTCCAGTCCTCCCCACCTCTATCAAAAGGACAAATGCCCCCTACCCGGACATTGCAAAAATTTGTGATGCAAAGTTTCCAAATAGAAACTTTTTGTCGTGCATGAAAGGACTAGGAGTCTTTCTGCTGCAGAATCTACTTCAGCATCAAGGCATATTTTACATGACAGGCCCGGCTGTTGTTCCTGGGGTCTTGTGCAACACAAATTGCTATTCATGGAAAATTTGTGATGCTGAAACATGTAAGAGGAGGAATATTTCCATTGGAAGGCTTTGCAATACAAATGCTTCCAGGCTATGGCGTGGGGGCGTTTTTCATTGTAATAGCCGCAGCCCTTGAGGTCGCCGCAGCTGGCACTACCGGTTTGATCCCCGTCGCCGCCGCCCCTTATGGGAGTGTCAGGAACCAAATCGACAAAATCGAAAAATTTGTGATGCATAAAATGGCGGGCACGTATGGCCTGTATTGGGGAGCCAGCCTGTTTAGGGGAAGACGCTGCGCTGCCAGAGTAGCATGACAGGAGCAGTCTTCTTTGCCCAAACAGCGCGACAGACTGGATTTTATTGGTGCTCCCGAAATTTGTCACGCGCCACTTGTATTTACACTGAGGTGCCAAGTGGTATTGCTTTTATGCGTCACAAATTACTTCGATTTTGTTGATTTCGATCCTGACACTCCCATACCCTTGATCTCACCCGTAGAGTGCTCGCGCTCCTTGCCGAGCGGCACCCAGTAGGACTCCTGGATGAGCCCTGGATCATTTGCTGGTGGTTGACCGCGCACGTCCTCCTCCGTCCCACGTCGAACGACCTGCGCCGCATCGGAAAAGCCCACCAGATTGCTCGAGCTGCTCCAGAAGCGGCACCACATGATCAAACTCGGGCCCTTCAGGAGGAGCGGCAGTGGAGCCGAGAAACCGATGCGAGTGCTGCGGAGCTTGAAGAAGCTGCCTGCCCTAGAGTTGTAGGAAATGGGCCGTCCGGGCGGAGAAACACTGCCCAACATCCGTCCTGTCATCCTCGTTGTGTGAGCGGGCGTTTTGGGGTGCGGATTCTGAAATGCTAGGACAGGAAAGTGTACTTCTACTTGTTACTTACACTGAGGAAAAAAAAAAGTCGATGCCGACGCAAATACCGGGAACTGGATTTCAATCAATTCGATGTGTTAGTTCAGCGTCGAAGCAAGAAATGCCTGTAGACTGTACGTGATTTGGCGTCGAACGTGACACGTGTAAAAGTAAATTTCACGGCCGCTACAACAGGACGTCTGTAATTGAAATCCCGTGGGCTGGGCGGGTCAAAAGATGTACTTAGAAGGGCAGGCTCGTCTTGCGACGAAGCTTATCACCAGCACGGGAATAATATTTAATATATTCTTGACACTTCTTGTTGTGCACGAGATGAAGTACGACGGGCTCGCTGAAGCAGTACGAGGCACAACACGACGCGAGGTCTATGATCTGGCGTCTGCTGTGTACTTACTACACGACAATATTATAAACTTGCTCACGGCCGCTACTGTACTACGTGTAGCTCTGTCAGGCAGAAGGTTGTGCAACGAACGTAGGTCGTAGGGCACGATGAGGACGACGGGAAAAAAGTAGCACAAAACACGACCTGCAAGAACGAGGTGAGCGATGTTGTGAACAAAGCGAGGTAGGAAAAATGAACTATTCAGCCGGAGCCGCGTAGCCACGAACTAGTATAAGTGGGATGCGCAGGATCAATCTGACGATTGCTCGAAAGATCTTATAAAGCTTGCTCCAAGTGCCTTCTCTTTGTCTTCGACTTCATTTTTCATTTTTGCATGTAATTCTCGTGGTCCGTCCTACAAAAAAAAGCCCTGTATGTTCAAAATCATCGTTGCAAACTTGCGAATCAGTCGTGGTCATGTCGCAATGTAGTTTCAGAACCTTTGCGAGGTTTCATAAAATTTTCGCTCATTGAATATCGTCTCTAGATGTGTACAGCTTATTAAATCGCTGCTTCCATTGTTTGTGTAGTCATAAAAATTTGCACTGCGCTTTATCATCTTCCGGCACAAAAAGGAAAAACGTCTAAAATCAAAACTTGGCCTAGGCATCGAGAGTATCCTTCTCTATTTTGAAAAAGAAAAAACAGGCCGTTGACAATGATATTCATTTTGTAAAAAAAATATTTTGAGCAATCACTAGGTGTGGTGTCAGTAAAAAAATTACAATGTCCGAGAAGTAGAGCAGTGCTCTGAAATTTGTATTATATCTAGAAGGCGCGAGCGAGCGAGCGACAAAGTCGTATCATTTGGTTTTGGTAGTCGTACTATTATTACAACTTCTACAAAAAAATATCTGCACACGCGTCTGTTATTGAAAATGCTACGCTCATCAAAAGCTCGTCTAAGGCGTGTTTTCTTCCTATCTTTTGCCTTGTTTTCGAGGATTTCGTCCTTCTACGAGAAAGCTGCCCCGGCAACGTCAAAATCTTGGCCAGCATTACATTTCAAAAGCCTGGCCTTGCCAGCTGGGTGTGTAGCTACATGGTGCATCGCTAATTGTAGGTGGTCGACATATCATTTTCGGGTAAGCTTCTATTTTGCATAGAAACGTACGAAGTGCGTCGTTATGTTTCATTAAAAAGCGCGATTGTCTAGTACCCGTGACCTTGCACGGATTTGTGAGTCCTCTCGTTGCGCTTTCTGATAAAAGAGTTGCAATTATGTATAAAGTCCAAAAGTAGAGTAGATCACTGTAAGAGCCGGAGCGAACGGCTATGAAGAAAAAGTTTATGACTGTGATTTTACGAACAATGAAATGCCCTGCGGCTGTCCGGCCGCGAATTATTTGCTATTGAATTCCAAATTCTGCTATCATATAGAAGTACGTAATAAATGCATGTAGTCTTCTTCTAAACGTTGATTTCCCGTTGTGCGATCATGCTTCTCGGATGACAATCGTCCGAGCGACTAGGGCCCAGAGGGAAATCGAGGCCTGTTCGTGGCCGGAAGTAGTACAGTTTGGTTCTTTTTCCCCCAGTTTCAATATCAAACTGCTATCATAATTCCATTATCAAATGCAAAAGTGTCGGGGTCTGGAAGATTGCAACTTGTCATGCTAAATCTGAAGCATGCAAAAATCTGTGTTGCATAATTACCAAAAGTCGTCCATTTTTTACCAAGTCGGGAGGTAGTTTCTCATGCAGGATAGGCATTAGAAAGGTCTCGCAGAATCTGTCATGCTAGGTCCTGCATTCCAGACCTCATGGGTCATGGAAAAGCAGCATGACAAACCGCGCATTCTTCCAGACCCAGACATTTTTGCATTTGATATCCATTTCGGGTGGCTCCAATTTTCCTCCATCGGATTTGTTTTTTTCCTTCCCCTATCAAATGCAAAAATGTCTGGGTCTGGAAGGATGCAAGGTTTGTCATGCACATTTTGCATGACTCCTGATGTCTGCGATGCATGCCCTAGCATCACAGATCTTGTGAGGGCTTTGTGATGCCTATAAAGCATGAGAAATGCCCTCTCGCCGTGGCCAAAACCAGACCTCTTTTGCTGTTCATGCAATACAGATTTTTGGATAATGCAGACGCAGCATCACAAGTTGCATTCTTCCAGACCCAGACATTTTTACATTCGATATCCCCCCGTGGTCCCACCTTGACCTGGCGCTGCCTTAGTGTTAGTATCCTGCTGCTTCCGCCCATGAGAAGAAAAAAACGCCGAAGTTAATACAGCCGGCCCGGCCGGCCCAGTTGCCGGTACTAGTGGTGCTTGTTCTCGATCAACATCTAGTGGCGGATTTAGAATGCTTTCCACTGGATTTATTAAAGCTTGTTGTTGTTGAGCGGTCACGACTGACGATGCAACACTTGTTGCGCTGGTGGTACAACTATTTCTAGCAGTGGCTAGTTTCCTTATGTCCTCTACAATCTGTTTCAATCGGTCGGCGTACATTTCCTCCTCCGCACTTGTAGTTCCGCCTGATGAGGTATCAAATGCAAAAGTGTCTGGGTCTGGAACAAGAATGCAACTTGTCATGCTGTTTTTGGACTCTAAAAAAATTTGTATTGCATGACCAGCAAGAGGGGTACAATTTGTGCTACACGGACAGGGCATTTCTCATGCGGAAGGTGCATCAGGAAGCCCTATAAAAGTCTGCGATGCTAGGTCAAGCATTACAGGCATCATTTCATGGGTCATGAGAAATATGCATGACAAATCTTGCATTCTTCCAGACCCAGACATATTTGCATTTGATATGATGAGGCTCCTGCACCACCTGCGCCACCAGCAACTGCTCCATGTTTCGCTGCTGCAGATAACACCTGTAGGTGCACCCCAACCGGCGGGCCTTGCTTAAACGCGGTGTGCCCTTTGCTCGTCAGAATGGCTTTCAGGGCCAATTTGGGACACCGGGTGAGAATTTCTTCTCGGATGGTCTCGATAAACCACGTAGATGTAGTTGGTGGTCTTGAAGATGCAGCGAACGAGGCGGGATTAATATCATCAACGATATCAACGTTATCCCACACAGATGAGGCTGATGAAACCGGTTTATTTCCAGACGATCTCCGACTGTCGCCACGTGTTGCTTCGGTCGGCAGCTGTAGAAGTGGCTGACTGTCTGCGTGCTGTGGCCCGTGAAGTGGATGCGGCGGCTGTTGTTGCCCGGAGGAGGTCCTCGCAGCTGTGGTAGTGCTACTGAGGGCGGGAAACGAGGAACTGGTTTCAGCGAAGGGGAACAAGCCGGCTGGAGTTCTTCCTTCTGGAAGCAGTTCGTAGGGCATAGATCTGGTGCTGTACGGTCGTTCTTGTTGAGATGGAGTAGTTATTATTTCCTGTAGTGGCCACTGCCAAAATTCCTCTTCAACCCCTCGGAGTAACGCTATCAAGGCTGCGTTTTTCTCAAGCAATGGGTTCTTCTTCTCTTTTCCCAGCGGCGCGTTATGAACAACCGCCGATATCTCCGGGAAGAAAATTCCTTCTCGGAAGACTTTGTTGCTGAGCATCTTGCCCAACGTATACAAGGCGTGGTTGTAGGTGTCGAGCATCCGCGGGAGGTGGAACTTCGTCGGGATTAACACGTTTTTGTACGGCTTGATCTTCACTTTTTTCCTGCTGGAAGTGGACGAAGCTGACGTTGTTGATGACGACAGTTTCTTCAGGGCTCTTCTTGGTACCCACCCGATTTTTCCCCGCTGCAGCGCTGCCGTGGCGGTGGAGGCTATGGCTCCTCCGGCGAAGAAACTGCTCAAGTCTAAAAAACTACTGGCTGTAGAGCCATTCGTCGCAGTGCTGGCCATGTGTGGATCGCCGTATGCAGCGGCTGCCGCTACACCCGTGCCCCAGTGAGACGCTCTAGTAGCGCCGCCACCATCGTGCATGCTGGCGTCCCACGGGTGGCCCTCTTGCGAGAAACTCTCTGCGACATTGAAATGGTCCGCCCATGAGGAGTTGCATCGTGAGGAAAAATTACTGCTTCTACTAACTTCTTCAGTGCGATGGGTCGTGAATGCAATATGACGATGCAGAATTTCCGCAGAGGTATTTGCATAATTTCGCTAGAAAAAATACGAAAGACACCGCTGCTCGATGTCGCCAGGTTCCATATCCTTAGAACAACACGAGCAGACCAGATTCTGTCTATTTGCCATGCGTGACAGCGACTATTTTTCCCATACCGATCCTGCAAAATCAAAATCGTCCCATCCACAGAAGTTGTGGTGAAAAACAAGCAGCTCGTCTTTTTTCCTCCGATAAGCCGCTCATATGATGGTGCAAGGCTGCAAAGTCTATGCTTTGTTGATCGTGCATAGAAGCGCTAGCACCCGTGTAGGAGCAAAACTCCGGGTCGTATCCCGGGACGCTGTCCGCTCCCGGGCAGAATTCCGGCGCAGCAGAGCTCAGTTTCCTCCTACCCGCGACTGATACACCTGACGAGGTCGTGCCTCTACCTGCTGCATTCGTAGAAGAAGCTCCTCCACCCGAACTACTGCTCATGATCGTCGCCGCATTCACATTTGGCGCCACCCCGGACAAAACCCGGACCTTCACGATGCAGTTGCTGCTTGTGCCTTCGCTCCCGGCCGCGGCGCACGTGTTGTCGGTCTCTGGCCCTTCGGGGGAGCAGGATTTCGAGGACAAAACTAGCACTTTGCTCCCCTTCCCGAGAATCCCGATGGGTTGTTGCAGAAACATGTCGTGCAACGCGGTCTGCTCTGTCAGTTGGAAAACCTCGACGTTCCAAATTTCCTCGGCTAGGAATTCCTTTTTTATCATTTGAGAAGTAGTTGTACTACTTGCTGTACTACCTTTCGTTCCTATCCAAGAAAAAAACTGTGCTAGTGTAACTTTCCTTGGCTGACAGCATCACAAGTTTGCTCTACATGACACAGAAAACCTGTCATGCGTGATTTGTAAGGGAAAACACACATGAAAGGAGGACTGCATGGATGTCTGGCATGACAGGTGTAACTCTGTTTCATGTTCTGCATCACAGATTTACACTTACACAGTTTTTTTCTTGGATAGTTCCACCTGTAGAAGTACTACTCGAGAACTTCACCTCAATCTTATCAAGAAGAAAAATCCCCCCTCCCCATATCGAAACGGAAATCTGTGATGCAGATTTGTGGTCACAAATCAGCTTGTCATGCTAGAAGGGAAAAGATGCGGACTGTCGTGCAGGGTGGCGTGGGATGGCTTTGCATCTTCAGCATGACAGGAGGCAGCTGGAAGTGGGAAACAGCATGACAAATTGCCTGCAAACGAGGCCACGCCTGCGGCTCTTGGGCTTCTAGCATTACAACTCGTTTTGTGTACTCAAATACAGCATCACAAATTTCGTTTTCGATATGGGGTGGGGGGATTTTTCCTTTTGATAAATCTTATCTAAAAAATCCGGCTGCGTGATCTGGATGATACGGTTATTATTACCGCTTGCAGCATGGGCCGCTCCTTGCGCAGAAAGTCCAGACAATAAACCGGTGGAATTCATCATCCCGCCGCTACCGTATAATGATCCCCCTTGTGGCGAAATGAAATTCGTGACCCCGCCTGCTCCAGCTCCGTAGAAAGAGCTGGTGCCGTCTATCCCATGTAAAAACGTCCCCACCACATAGTCAAGATGGGGAATCGGCTAGACAAATCCACAAGTTTTGGCTGTTTCGCATGACAAATTTCAACTCGTGGTGTACTGCTGTTTGAGCTAGTTGAGGAGCAGCATCACAGATCTAGTATGTCATGCTGATTGGAGCATGACAAACCGCAAAACACGACTAGAAAACGCTTCTCATGGGGCTCTGCATGAGAAACATTTTCAGCATGCAGATTTGCATTACAACTATGTGGTGGGGACGTTTTTAAATACGATACCGTCTAGGCCGTCGTGATTGACATCGGACTGCTGCAACACAATCTTTATGCATTGCAAATATGTCTGCGTCTGGAAGGTTGCAACTTGTGATGCTGCATTTGGATACTCTGAAAATCTGTATTGCATGAACAGTAAAAGAGGTCCAGTTTTTGCCACAGCGAGAGGGCATTTCTAATGCGGTATAGGCATCAGGGAGACCTCACAAAATCTGTGATGCTGTGGCATGCATCACAGACGTCAGGAGTCATGCAAAATGTGCATGACAGACCTTGCATCCTTCCAGACCCAGACATATTTGCGTTTGATAATCTTCGTGACCACTCCACGGCGAAGCTGCTGGTGTTGCTGCTGTTGCCCAGAAGCAGTTCCAGTTCCAGTCGCCAACTCCTCTACAAAATCCCCTAATGCGATGCTCTTCATCTGCTCTTCCTTCTCAAAATCGACTCCCGGGTCCTGCAGGAAAAAGAGCATATTCTCGTTCAACAGACTCGCATCGTCGACCGGGAGCGGGGAGTGCTCGAAATGGTAGGGGAGGTTGTTTTTGATGATGCGTTCTTGCTCCGACGCAGGAAACCCGCCCATTGACGGCGACATCGGATCATCGCGGCGGGGGTCCTGAGGGTCTTCTTTGGCATTGGCTCCTTCGACGTGACTACTATCCTTCAGCACCAGCCTGTGCATGTGCACGATGTTGTTACTAGGCATTGTTTCCGTACTCGCTGCACCACTGGTAACTCCTCCGCTAGGTGAAAAGTCCGCCGGTTTTTCCACTGCATGTTGCTCTACTCCTCCTGGGCGAGGTGTCACTGCGTTTTCATAAAATTCGCACAGATACTGCAAAAACTTGAAAAAGAGACGAAGGACTTCGAGATGGAAAAATCTTCTACTTTTCGGCTTCATGATCTCATCCTCCGCGTTGCCTGATAGAGGCTGCCCTTGAGCTTGATGTCCTAGTGCTGGAGGTACTGCTGCTGCTGCAACTGGCGCATTTACAAGACCTCCCGCTGATGTTGTACAACTACCAGTCCGACAGCTACTACCTTCTTCCACTTTCTTTTCAATCGCAAACACGTCGATGTTCCAGTCAAAAAGGAACTTCAACGCCAGGATTGTCAGTGTAACCGAGTTCAAGCCTCCGCTGCGACTGCTGCCGACGAGCTTGATGCTATCAAAATGAAAAATCCCCCACCCCATATCAAAACGAAGTTTGTGGCGCTGGATTTGCGTACAGAGATCAGATTTGTCTTGCTGGAGAGGACTGCAGGCCCATACCAAGCCTGAGCCGAGAGGTTTCGGGCTAGGCTCTTAGCATGAGAAACGTCTGCGCTGTAGGCCCAACAGCGTCACAAATCGCCTGCATAAAGCGGCGGAGCCTGTGGAGTTGCCTTCTTGCAAGACAGAGATGATTTGTGGTCGCAAATCAGCATTGCAAATTTTCTGCTACGTACGTTTTCGATATGGGGAGGGGGGATTTTTCCTCACAATAGATGCGGGTTTTGAACCATCGCTTGATTAGGCGGATGAGTTCCCGGGTGATCTTTGGCATCTGGTCGAGTAGCGTTTTCAGCAGCCGGTCGCGATCCACAACGTGCAAATCTCTTTGCTGGTCCTGTATAGCAGCTTTGCTTTGTCCACATTCGCTAGGAGTGGCACTCTCTGTATTGTGCAACAGCTTCACCGGAGAGATACGAGGTGGTCCAGCCAGAGCTTCGGCCGCTTGTGCGGGAGACAACACCTGGCTCGGTTTTATCCCTGAAACAAGCGTGGTACCAGTAGCAGCGGTACTAGAGAAATGAATCTTCCCCTCCTTTGAGATGTGCTCCTCGCAGCCTGCCCCGCTTGTCTCGTCTCGCACCGCCCACAGCTGAAATAGCTCCACGTTGTTACTGCTCGCGGCGGTGCTCAGACTGGCGGAGGAGGAAATGTGGCGCAGCTGCTGGTGGGAAGAAGAGCCATGGGATGCAGCAGACCCAGCGGCGGCACTTCGCGATTTGTTCATATCAACGTTCAGAACACTACTTGCCGACTGCGCTCCTAAGTGTGCAAGTTCAAATGCTTTCTTTAAATCATCCACATTTAGTACTTCACTAGCAGAGCCTCGACAAGCGGCGCCGAAGATCTCCTCGAGGACAGTAGTGGGAACAATACTTGCGCCTGCTGCTGTACCCCACCGCCGAGCCGGCGTCCGGCCTTTAGGACCGGAGGACCACCACGCGGGCATGAAGAAAGAAGTAGTCCCGAAGAAGCCGTCACGAACTACCGAAGACGAGCTGCCCTGCTCGAGACCGCTCTGGTCCTCGACGTCCAAACCTAGCGCAGACGAATCTACTTCCCGCGCCTCGCCGGTGCTCCTCCTGCTCCCATCAAGTGAAACCCGACGCTGCTCTTCCAACAAAACGTAGTCCGGAACCGTAGTAGACAAAGGTGGTTGTGTATCCCACGAAAAAAGTGTTACAGTTACACATTTGTTGGAGTTGCTACATCAAAGTTGCTCGACATTCCAAAGCAAACCTGTGATGCGCAGACTATAAGGGAAAACACGAATGAAATGAGGCTGCCAAGCATTTCCTGCATGGCAAAGGTTGCCTGTCTTGCTTGTTTCGCAACACAATGTGTAACTGTAACACTTTATTTTTCTTCGCATATTGTGCAAATGCCGTTGCAATAGTGCCGGAGGTGGCGCCCGCGCCGAGGTGATGTCCTCCTCCTGGAACCCCTGCGGATAAACTACTGCTAGGTGCCGAAGAAGATGAAGGCACGTTCACCTCCTGCAAAGACTGCAGCACGAGATCAATCCTGACAGGCTGAGGAGATGAAAAAGGTGTTGCTGCTGTATTATCCGCACTACGCACCTCATGTCGTAGATCATCCGGTCGTGCACTACTAGAGAGCAGCACTTCGACGCTGCTGATGCTCATGTGGTTGATTTGCTGGGGTGTTTGCGGCGGGACACGGAATAACTGCGAATTGTTCTGCATCTTCTCCAGTATTTGCTTGTGCAAGTAGGAGATGCAGAAGTTGTCCCGGATGTATAATTTGAAGTCCAAATCCACATCGAGCGCCACGGCGGTGTTCTGGTATAACGACCCTTGTGGAATCAACAAAATTCGCTTCTGCAACTCGTGCACAATTTGCTCCTGGAGTTTCCGAGCGCGGAGAAGAAAGAGGGACGTTTGCTTCTCCAGTTCTTGGATGTTGGAAGACTCCGTTTCGTCCAGGTGGGAATCGGGGTTTGATTGATCTTTTTGCAAAGGGGATGAATTGTGTTGTTGTGCACCTGGAGGAATTGTTGTACTTGCAGCACCAATTTGAATGTATGCCGGTGCGTAGGGGTCGGCCTTTGTCGGTAGAACAGCCACCGAGCCGGAATGCAGGTTATTTGTTCCCGGTGGTCCTTGGCTGCTCACCTGTCTGCCACTGGTCGTCTTCAGGAAGGATTTCTGCTGCTGTTGTTGTTTGATATTAGTTCCTGCTAGTAACTTCTTCTTCGCCTCGGTCACTGCGTTGACCAAAGTCCCAAGCACCGCGTCCAGTTTCTGTGCCTCTGCGACAAGCTTGGCCAAAAATTGATTACTGGTAATCGCAAAAGAAGAAGACGAGGATGGGTTCCTTCCGCCTCTGCTTGTTCCATGCAAAGGATCTTCCTCACTTTTGCTGTTATTTCTAGACGTTTTTACTTTCACCTCGCCGAAGATGCTGGGCCCGTTTTCCAAAAAGATCTGCAGCAAGGCTTCGTACAGGAAAAATCGGACTCTCTCTTCGGCCTGCTTCATTTCCCGCAGGCGGTCTTGGGTGAGTAGGCCTTCGCTGAGAAAGAGTTCCGCTTGCTTGTCAAAATTTGCGATTTCGGTTTCAGAAACCGCTTGTGCTTCCGTTGGAACAGCGTCACTTTCAGGAGGCTCTTGCGCAGGATGCGGAAGAGGTGGGTTGAGAGACGCCTCGCTCACCCCATTTTTCCCTCGGTTCTGCAGATCCTGCAAATGAGGGACCGAATTCGGAAGGGGTAAAGACGCCACTGCAGCGGAAAAAAGCTCGGGCTTGTAGCCGAATATCCCGGGAAGCAGGAGAGACTTCTCCTGATCTAAATCTTCCGGTATGAACGGAGGTGGTGCAGGAGTTGCTGAAAGACGCACTACTTCTGCGCTCGTCCCGTGTACGACCTGGTCAATTGCAGCTGCTGCTTCCGGTGGTGCAGGAGCGTAGTAGGTCGTTGCGGCCGCAGTGGTCTGTGCAATGCCGGAAGCTACGGGATTGGGAATCTCGTGGTAGTCTTTCTTAACAGCAGCACCGGGAGGAGGACTGCTGCCCGGACCTCCGGCCCAGCGCTTCACTTGTACCGCCGTCGGCGGGTTGACAGGATGTTGTGCTGAGGCGGGTAGTTCTTGCGAGGGTGGCTTTTCTCCTGTCGGAAGAGCATCTTTTTTTGCTGCTGCAGCTTGTTTACTTCTGCCCTTTGTAGTGGCCCCAACTATGGGTTCCACATTTGTTACGGTCAATGCAGACGTCGCCTGCAACGCCGACTTGTCGATGGTAACAGCTACAGGAACTGCGCCGGGTGGCGTTACAACTGTCACTTCTGGCACTGATGCAGCTGCCTCTACCTCCAAAGGTTCAGTGTCCAACGCCCGAATGGAAGCTTTCTGTTCACCAGCCGCAGCTGCGTCTCCGCCAAGTTGCTGTGCCGCGGCCTCTACTTCCTCTGCCCAGTGCTGTACCAACGTTTCAAGCGGAAGTAGAACCTCCTCGGTAAGTTTCTTCGCGGTTTCCTCGAGTAATCGTGGCTGCTCAAATCTGTAGAAATTAGCAATCGCCCGAAACTGTGCGCCAAAGGAATGAAAGCTCCTGCTGGGGGCTTCGTGGTCTCCCATTTTTGCGGAAGCTTCCCTAGCGTAAAACGAGGGCAGCGATTCCGGTCGTTCAAGACCTCTGCCACCGCTGATGCCCTCCTCCATTGGGTGTTCAAACGCCGACAACGTGAGAATCGCGTTTCTCATCCGATTGTCCCAGGCTGATAGAGCAGTGTAAAACTGTTTCACCTGCTCGCGTAGAGAGGTAGTACTAGCAGCAGTTGTTGATTTTGATGCGGAAGCAGCGGACTTTGTCGCGCCGCTCTTGCCCTTTTTAGATGCACCCCCTTGCTTCCCGCTGCCATTGTTCTGCGCAGCTGAGGGTAGAACCAAGCCGGAATGGATGTCGAAGCCCTGATGTTCAAAAGCAGCAGCGGCGGATAACTGCGAGGATAAACCGTTCGGCACGGCCGCCACTGCATTCACCACCGAAGTCAAGAAACCGGAGTTCTCCCCCAGTCGGCGGACGGTCTGCAGAAGCTTTTCCTTCGTGGCAAGGTCGAAAGAGCTTAGCAAAGAACTCTTCCGGTCGTTGCTACTCTTTTCTTCTTGCTCAGCGTCTGCCCATAATTCATCTTGTGCTGAGTACGACTGTTTCACCGATTCTAGCAGAGGTTGTGCTGCATAGGGGTACTGTCTCTTGTCTAAAAATGATTCCAATCTGCCTTCCTGTAAAAACGCTTCCTTCGCGGTGAAAAGCTCCGCTAAAGGGTGCAAAAAGCTGTTGACTTGCCGCGATTTCTCTTGCGCTACTTCAAATACAAACGCTGTATCAGAAATAACATCTCCAACGATGCCACTACCTTCCTCCTCGATTGGCAGCTCCAGCACTTCCGCGATTTTCGGATACCGTTCGGAATTCCCTAAGTCAGACGTTTCTGGGAAGTGCAGCAGATACCTCTGTCGAAATTGTTGCACCAACGCATAGACTCGCTTCTGCAAGGTCTCCGCTCGACAGTGCGTCCGGAACCAGAGGTGGGTTTCTTGTGTTGAATTGTGTCCATCTTCCACTTCTACCGCCACACCAGCGGAACTTGTCATCGCGTTGTTCCTTTGCTTTTCTTTTTTCTTCGCCTTTCCCCGCTTCTTTCCCAACAAAGGCTGGTGATTTATTGCAGAAGAATCTTCTTGAAGATGATGATTCTCTCTCGCTTTATTTTGTTTCTCCAAAACGTAATTGAGGCACGAGAAAACGTCGTCTTTGATCGGGGTAAGGAACTTTTCTTCCAAGGCGCGAAAAGACTCCATCTCTGCTGCTGGTTGCAGATTCTTGATCCTGTGGTCAACAGGAGCATCATCATTCTCATGAGAATCATTCCCGCTGCTAAAAACGCCGGCCAAAAGCTGTTTCAAGTTTTCGCGAAAAGGGTCCAATTGCTGCTCCAACTTCGCCCGTGGGAGATGAGTGGTCACTCCCTGCTTCGCAGCAGCACCTGCCGGGCTCTCCCCCGGTGGTTGTACTGCTGCGTGCAGTTCCCCTTGTTTGCTTTGCTTTTTCTTCTTCCCACCACCACCAGCTGTTGTTACTGCTGGTGCTCCTGTCGGTGCTGCAAGAACGCCAGCTACAGTGACAGCAGCAACTACACTCCCGCAGACATTCTCGAGCGCTGTCCCAATTTTCAGCACGCAGCTACTTCCAATTTCCTTCGCTGGTGAATTCTTCTCCGCCGGAAGAACTACCGCTGCCGTACTACTACTTCTCTCGAGAAATTCTTTTTGCACCTCCGCGATTTTTTCTTTCCAGTACGTTTCTAACTGCTGCATCTTCTGGAGCGCAAGCAACCGCTGCTTCTCCGTGTCGCTCACGATCGTGCTAAACCCCTTCTGTTCCTGCGAAAGGTTCTTCAAGTCTTGCTTCCAGGCTTCCAGCCACAAACGGATCTGCTGGTAGTGGGCTTTGTGAAACTTCTCGACGGATTGCTGGTATAGGATTTTGTCGGAACTTTGACTGGTGCTGTCACCGGAAGGTGGAGTAGTACCAAATGATGCGGTGCCCGCGCCGGCGACTCCTGGTATTGTAGCGAAGGACGAGCTACCACTCTGCTGTAACGATGATACATCCTGGTTGTATAGTGATGTTTTTGGCGTAGCAGTAGCACCAGTACTGCTCTCTGTCGCAAGAGAACCGCCTTCGATAGAAGTAGTAGTGCCCGCCATCGGAAGTTTCAGTTTTTTCGGCCGCCTGCTCACCACGCGCGGCGCTTGTTGGTGACCTCCGCGGGTGACGTCGAACTCATCTTGCTGGGTAGTTGGCGATAAAATCCCGGCGGCCCCGTCGTGCGAAAATCCCGACCCGTCTTCCACGCTGTTATCTTCTTCTGACGGGCTCTTCTCACCGGCCGGAGAGTTGTTGTCCTCCTCACAACGGGAAGATGAAAACAGGAGCGATTCCGAGCTACTTGTGACCCCCGGCGGGTACAAGGTTGCTGCTGTTGAGAGCAGTGTGTCCGAGGTGTAGGTAGTCGTGGAGGACCCGCTGTGTTTCCGATGCACGGCCTGCACGGCGCCTGTTCCAATCGGTGTCGTAATCCCCGAGCACTGCTGCGACTCGTTTCGGCTGGATACTACAGACGCGCCAGAAGGGGTGCTGAGTGACAGTGACTTCTTTCTCGCGGGCGTTGCGCCGGGAGGCGTGGTCGATTTGGAGCTCTCTGTTGGAGATGAACCAGAGAAAGACGTTGTACCAAGGTGCTGATGCGCAGCGGCAAGTTGTGTTTCCTTGCCAACCTCGTTACCACGATGTGGTCCTGCGCTTCGTGCTCCTTCTTGAAAGCTTCTTTTCTCAAAATTTGTGTCTGCTTTCAGCATTTCCAAAGCCTTCCCGCCGTACTGCTGTAGGAAATCCAAGTCGCCAAACACCTTCGAAGACAAAAACGACATGTCCCCCGTGTCCCCCTGCTGCTGGCGCTTCGCCCGGGAGAGGGCGCCGGAGGCGTCGTCCAGAAGGTTTTTGACAGTGGGCAGAAGGTCGAGGGTTAAGACCGCGGGGAAATGAAACCAGGACGTCGCAGTTGCTGATGGTTCTTTCCGGTTCAAAGATTTTGATGTCGCCGTCGCGGCTGCCCGTCCGCCGAGAAAAACGACCGCCGGCGGAGCTTCTTCCTCAGGATTATCAAACTGGTGCTCTGTATCGTCATCAGCAAAAGATAAACTGTCGGCTCTACTTCCAAACAGCTTCCGCTCCTCTGCAAGCACTTCCTTCTGCACAAACGCGTAGAAATGGGCCGCGTTGCTTCTCTCCGCTTCTTGATCCTCGTCCTCTTCATCATACTCTGAATTCACTGTCACTGCCGACTGGTGTAACACGCGAGCCCTACCACCATGTGCGCCACCATGTGCGCCAACAGCAAAATTAGTTCCAGAAACCACCACCGGCACCCCCTTTTCGATTGTGTGAAAAAAGTCTTCATCACTCGCCAACAGATCGTCTAACTTTTTTTCCAGTTTTATCGTACGAAAAAAGTGTTTCACTGTAAGGATTTTGCAAGTTTTGCATCACAAGTTTGTTTCACATGACAGCGGAAATTTTTTGCCATGCGGGGTTCCTAAGGGAAAACGCAGGAGCTAGAAATTCATTGTCTTGCATGTGTAGCATGACAAACACTTCTGCGATCCATTTTCTGCATCACAAGAACTTTACAGTGAAACAGTTTTTTCTTGCGATAAGTTTCATTTTGTCCAGAACCGCCTTCAAAATCCCGTCGTACAGCCGGTATTGCATTTGCGACTCAAACTGCTTCATCATCATTCGAAACTCATTCGCCGGGAACCTGGATTCCAGCAGCTTGTCCTTCAATCTTCCCGCAGACGGGAAAAGCGTCTTCCACAACTTCGTATCATGAAGCTGTTTCAGCGGGGATACCAGGATCACCACAGAACTACTAAATTGCTGCACCTCCGCAATCCCGGGCCCGACGTAGTAGAGGACTTGATCTAAAAGTTGAAACAGTTGAAAAGTGAAATTTTTCAACTGAGTCTCGGTATCAACCCCCGCAGATGAACTCTCCTCCCCCAACTCGTATTTCTGCATCGTAACCAGCAACGCACGAACCTTCTCCACGAGCGCATTCCACAGCCGTTTCAAACCGTTACCCAATTCCTGGTTTACCGAAGCCGCAGCCGCAAGGGATTTACTCGAAAACAGCTCCTTCACCCAAACGGAGAAAGTCGGCTGCGCTGATGATGATCTCGAAGCACCTGTAGTTGCTCCACTTCCAGTGGATTTCATCATCATCGCCCCCGCCGTCGATACACCAGTATTATCCGCGATGAACCCATCGAACAGGTTCCTGCCAGAATCACTTAACAGCGTCAACACCGTGTCAAACCCGTTGCGACTCCCTTCGAACTGCGTCTGGAAAAGCTTAAATTCGTTTTGCAAATCTTGCCGATTCTTCAAATACTGCTTCTCTTTCGTTTCTAATTTTTTCACAATGTCCACAAACGCCGTCCGGAGCTTGTATTTTTCGTGCTGTTTTATCGCCTTCTGCTCGATGAATAAGTACTTGTGGATATTGCAATGAAAAATGCCCCCACCCCCGAACTTGGGAGCATTTGTATTGCAAACCTTTCCAAATGAAACACGCGCCTTCTTGCATCTATCAGCATCACAGATTTCCAATCGTGAAGAGCAAAAATTTGTATTGCAAAAGATCCCAGGAAGAGCGGCGCTTGTCCTGCAAGCGATGCGATATACGCCTAGGCTCTGCATCAGGGAGATTCATACTCCTTTCCTGCATAACAAAAAGTCTTTATTTGGAAACTTCGCATCACAAATTCTTGCAACTCTGGGAGTGGGGGCATTTTTCACTGTAATAGTGGAACCGTTTCTCCACGCGATGGACCGCTGCTTCCACCGTGCTATGCCTCCTCTCCAGAACCTGCAGGTTCTCTTTCAGAATGATGTCAAGCGCGGGGTCGAGGAAGGCTCGGAAGGCCTCGGACGAGAACTTGTTGGCCGCGTCTTCTAGGTTCTTTTTCTGCTCACCGTCCGCTTCCTCGTCATTTTTGCTGTGCGCATTTCCACCAAAAAGGCCCTCGATCAGCACTGCATCCCTGTCCGGGTTATTATTTCCAGTACTAGGTCCTAGCGTCGTAGACGGGCTGTCAAACAAACTTTTTTCCGCCTCGTCAACCAATTCTGGGTCGGCTGCTGTCACGAAGGCGGGAGGGCCGGGAGAGGACCAAGTTGCCAGTCGTCTACTTCTCGACGTTCTTTTGTGCTCTAGTACAAATTCCCGTGGGCCCCGGTTGGTGGCTTCCGTTTTCTGCAGCTCTGCTGCGGCATGATCATGATCATCTCCATCGCCCACAGAAGTACTAGCTTTTTTAGCACCCCCTTGTAGTTCATCTCCTTCGCTGGTCGATTCACCGTGCCCGTCGTCCTTAACTATGTTGTCCGTGCTTGCGGTTCTGCTCATCTTCCCGGTCTGCTCTTCAGACACGCCCCGCACCGACGAACCTCCCGACTGGTTTGTCGTGGCTAGCATGACAGACCCTTGGCCCACCGCCGAGCAGATCGACGGTGCGTTGTTGCGGACACTCGCGGCATATCAAATGCAAAAGTGTCTGGGTCTGGAAGATTCTGAGACTTGTCATGCACGTTTTGCATGGGCCGTGATGTCTGTAATGCATGCCGTAGCATCACAGACTTTTCGAGGGCTTCGCGATGCCTATTCCGCATGACAAATGCCTTCTCCGCGTAGCAAAAATTGCATTCCCTTTGCTGGTCATGCATTACAGATTTTTTTGGAATCCAAATGCAGCATCACAAGTTCGGACTCTTCCAGACCCAGACATATTTGCATTTGATACGGCACTGTTTATTTCATCATCATGATCTTCACTACGTAGCACACCCGTGCTTCTACAGGCTTTCTCCACGACGTCCAAAGCCAATTCTTTTTTCCTTTGCGCCGCCAGTGCCGCGGCTGCGTTGGCATTCAGGATGACAAGCTGCTCGGGGGAAAGCCGGTTAATGGACGTTGATGCATTTTGCACTACTGTATTTGTTGATATTTCCGGCTCCTCCTGCATCGTTGTACTAGAAGGAGTGTTCTTCCCTGCCTTATCCGTAGGTCCTGGCGAGTAAACCACGCGCACCGGCTGGAGGATTTTCTCCCCGGTTTTCTCATCTTGTTCGAAAGAATCAGGGAGTTTCCGCTTCAGGGTCGCATTCATCTCCGTCTGACCGGCCACGCCGGCTGCTGGAGTCAGAGTCTGTAGTTGTTCTTTTTCCTCAGTACTTGTACTACTGGGTAGAAGAAGACCACCGACCTCTTTCCCCGCAGGTACTACTAAACCGGAGTTCGCTGGGACGGCCGTGACGCTACCGATTCGTTTCCCGGTCAGCCCCTCGGCGAGGCCGGCGAAAAAATTCAGCCTCATCACGTTCTCGCGCGTCAAATCGGAAGATGCAGGTCCATCTCGTGGTCCGTCTGGTGCAACTGGGGGTCTAGTACTTTCCTGTTGTTTCTCGACACCAGCGCCAGTGGTTTCCTCACCTGGATCTTGTGCTTCAGGATCAACATCTGTCGGCGCTTTATCAACTTCCGCAACCGCAACCGCAGCCGCGTCTACTACCTCTTGTGTCCTCCGCTCAACGTCATAGCTTCCCTTTACCCGCTCGAGGCGCTTCGTTATCTTTTCCTCCTCCTTCCTGCTTTTCTCCCGCTTTTCCAGCTTCCCCGCGTTGAAGCTCCAAGAGGCCATCAGCTGAGGTTCTAAGATTCCGTCCCAGGAAGCTATCATGTCTTCCAGCAAGTCTGGTAGGAGAACACGGAACTCCGTTTGGATCCGCTTAAACGCCAAAACAGCGTCGAGCTCCGTGATCTTGTCGTAGG